GCCTATCTGAAAAGTACCTCCGACACATTGGCCAAGCACCTGGCTGCTGCCCAAACCGAAGGATTCACACTAGGTCTTAAACTTGTTCGTGGCGCATATATCGCTTCGGATCAACGATCTCTCATCCATGACACGAAAGAAGATACCGATAACGCATACAATTCCATCACAACTGGCGCGCTGAAACAAAATATCGGCGAATTTGGCTCCTCCAAGGCTTGGCCGTCTGTTAATTTGTTCCTTGCGAGCCATAATCGGGAAAGTGTCATGGCGGCGCACCAGTTGCACAAGCAGCGTACTGCGGCGGGTCTGCCGACTGTGCCGGTGGGCTTTGCTCAGTTGCATGGAATGTCCGATGAGGTTAGTTTCTCGTTGCTTCAGCTTAAGGGGTCGGATGGGAGTCCCGAGGTTTATAAGTGTTCTACTTGGGGTGGAATGGGAGAGTGTTTGGCCTATCTTTTGCGGAGGGCGATTGAGAATCGGGATGCTGTTTTGCGAACGAGTGATGAGTATAATGCTTTGAAGGGGGAGTTTGGGAGGAGAGTAAGGGGGATGTTTTCTTTTTCGAAATAAGATGGCATGGCATGGAATTGAATGATATGGCATATCTCGCCTGCTAGGTTAGACTTGGGGATGGCATGGGATAGAATTTACGAAATTTTCAGATCGGATTTATGAGATCAATGATATGTTCAAGTTTTGATGTCTACTCTGGGAGCATTGCAATTTGGAAGTTGTTTTCACTGTAATCTAAACTGCTATTCAGCTCTCCTACCGGACTGTCTGAAGTATACTAGTCAATCAACCCCAACTTATCCACCCACAATCAATATTGAAGATTAACATCCCAAAAAGAAATCTCATCCATGGATTCTCATTGACACTTGCGTCTCATCAAACCCCACCCTTTCCCCGATCCTTGCATCACCAGTAATAGTTACACCAAAATTCAACATCAGACCCCCTCGCTCCCTATCTGCATCGCTCGCACACAATCTACTACTGCCAAGTATACGATAAGCTAGGTTGTATTCAAGTTTAGGTTGGGCTGCAGGAATTATCATCTCATCTGGTGACCTACGGGAAGGCTACCGAGTGGATACACGTAGATTGAAACTGACTTTCCAGATGTCGGGTTTGTGATCCAAAGTTGGGTGTGGCGGGTTTGTGTTCCCCGGATGATTTGAGATTGGCGGGGCGGGGAGCTTGGGGGGATGCGTTGCCGTTTTGGGATGATAAGAGAGGGGGTTGGATTGGTGGGGTTGGAGGGGTATGATGAAGGTCAATGAAGTGATTGTAAGGGTGTGAAGTAATTGATTACGATTTCGTTGTTAATGGGGTTGCTTTGGGGTATTCTGCTTATGGTGGTGGAGGTGGTGGTGGAGGGCTAGGGCTTATACTGCTTGTACTAGTTACTAGTGGGGACTTTTCAAGGTGAGATTTGAAATATATGAAAATTCCTCTAATTATAGAATCCATCGTCGAACGCATTCGATATTCGGTTCTCCTACAAGCTTTATTCAAAATAATTCAATTTCTACGCCCAATGCCTACTTCGTCCAAATTCACTGGTAATAATCATAAATTGCAGTTTTGAACTAACTCCAAAGAAAATCTAGTACGGGCTTCAAACTATACAGTCGAACATGTACACGCTTCAACATCATAACTCATCATAATCTAGTGGATGCTGTGGTTGCTGGGATAAGTGAATCCAGTCTGGGGGAAGAACTCCTCCTTAATCAGGCGGGGGCTGGTGAAGCGGCGCAGCACATCGGAGCTACCAGCCTTGTCGTTGGTACCACTGGCACGGGCACCACCGAAGGACTGCTGGCCAATAAGGGCAGCAGTGGTCTTGCAGTTGATGTAGAAGTTGCCAGCGGAGTAGCGGAGAGCGTCCTCGGCCTCACGGATGGCAGTGCGGTCCTGAGCGAAGACAGCGCCGGTCAGGGCGAGACCACCACCGGCCTCGTCGACCTTCTTCAGGGTGGAAGACCACTCGGCGTCGGGGTAGACGTAGACAGCTAGAACGGGTCCGAAGATCTCCTCGTTGAAGAGTTGGTGGTCGGGTGTGTCAACCTGGTAGACGGTTGGGTTGATGTAGTATCCGACAGAGCCATCATAGTCACCACCGGCAATCAGCTTGACGGAGGGATCCTTGTTGCTGCGGTCGATGATGGACTTGATCTTCTCGAATGAGCGGCCGTGAATGACAGGGCCCATGAATGCCTCAAGGTCCTTGTCTGGGTTACCCATGGTGATTTCCTTGACGCCGGCCTTGAGGCCAGTGAGGAACTCCTCGGCACGGGACTCGGGCAGGTACACGCGCGAGGTGGCGGAGCACTTCTGGCCCTGGTACTCGAAGGAGCCGCGGATGGTGTGGTTCACGGCGCTGGAAATGTCGGCGGTTGGGTGGATGAGGTGGAAGTTCTTGCCGCTGGTCTCGGCCACGACGCGAGGGAACTCGCGGTAGGTCTTTTTGGCAATGCCCTCGCCGATACGGCCGTATAAAGAGCGGAAGACGTCGGATGATCCAATGAAGTTCAGACCGGCGAAGTCGCGGTGGGAGAGAGCGACGTCGGTGATGGTCTTGGGGTCACCGGTCACGAATTGAATGACGTTCTTTGGGAGACCGGCTTCCAGAAGAATGTTGTAGACGAGCTGACTGGCGTAGACATTGGAGGGAGAGGGCTTCCAGATAACAACGTTACCCATGAGAGCAGGTGCTGAGATCAGGTTACCACCCAATGCGGTGAAGTTGAAGGGGGAGATGGAGTAGACGAAGCCCTCGAGAGGACGGTAGTCGAGACGGCTATGGTTCCAAGGGTTAGCTCTAATTCTATACAATTAAGATAACTGAGTAGCTGGATCTCACCTCCACATGCCATCGCTACCGCGAGTAGGCTGTCTCTCAAGAATCTCCGCAGCGTAGTTGCAGTTGAGACGGAAAAAGTCCGCTAGCTCAGCAGCGGCATCAATCTCACCCTGCCAGATATTCTTACCCTGGCCCAGCATGGTGGCAGCAATCAGGTCATAACGGTACTTGCCAGTCACCAACTCAGCCGCCTTCAGGAAGATGGCAGCCCGGTCGACGAAGGGGGTATCCTGCCATGACTGCTTAGCTCCCAGAGCAGCATCAATAGCAGCCTTGGTCTGCTCCTTGGTAGCCAGAGGGTAGTTGGTGAAAGTAGTCTGGTGCTCCGCGGGGAGAGGTTGATCCCACGATTGAGCAGACTTTTGCGCCTGGCCGTTGTAGAAAACGCTGCTCTGGACAGGAAGTTGAGATCGGAGCTTGACCAGAGCTTCCTCGAGCTTGGTGCGCTCTTCGGAGCCTCTTTTGTAAAGTGGCTAGCAATGAAGATGTTAGTTGGTGGCACTTTCAAGTATTTAATTGAAGTTTTAGGATGATATACTCACGTTGGGCTCATTGCGAGGGTCAGGAAGACGGAAGGGAGTAGTGGCCTTGCCTCGGAGCTGAACCAAAGGACGAGCAGGGTTCAGACGGAGACGAGGAGCAAAGGATCGCGCAGTGCGCATGTTCATGAGAGTAGAGGAGGACATGACGGCTGTGTGAAGGAGAACTGAACGAGAGGCAACATATTGGCGAACCAAGCGATCTTTATTAAGACGCATTCACAGCATTTCCAGCAACTCTTTTTTTTTATCGGGAGCATGGCCGATGGCAAACAGCAAGCTACCCCGCGATAAACGGGGCTGGAGTAGATTGGAATAGACTGGAGCTATGACGAAGTGGAGTCGGCGTTGATGCGATGCGGCGCGTGCAGCATCGGGACGAGAACCCGATGGCCACTTAGACCTGGTTTCCCCACATTAAACAATGCGATAAGCAAAGGTAGAATCGAGTAAAAGAAACCACCGGTCAGGCGGACCGACTTTTTTGTTGTGATAGAAGGGAGGGTTGGTTTCCTTCCCCGCCATTCTATTCTAGTAGGTTTGCTTGATTCACGATGGAAAGATGGGTGACCTAGCGATGGAACAGAGGTCAAACAAACACCAAAATAAATGGGAACGATCATTATTAGGTCGACTCACAGCTGATATCGGTGCTGCAACTGTTTCTGCGACATTAGTTGCACCTGCAGTGACAATTATCGATCGGTGAGTGGCGTTTCAAGGCAGTCTACAATTAATTCTAACTTTTGTATAGAGCGCTGGTCGAGAAATCCCTGTTAAACCAATCTCTCCTTCGCGGTCTTCGAAATCATGCAACAGCAGCACTCAAGCATCCTGCCCGATTCGTCTTCCAATTACCATTTGGCATCATCTGGGCCCTTTACGCAGCTACCTTTACCGTCGCCAACGGAACAGACACCATCGGCAATGCGATGAGCGCTTCATCAACAGGCATGATTACATTTCTTTCCACGACGGCGGTAAATGTCCCTCTGGGCGTATGGAAAGATATGCGATTTGCGAAAATCTTCGGTACTCGAGCCGCGCCTGTGGCAGCAGCTGGAGCCCTCGACGTCGCACGACCAGCCATCGTGCAAAACCGCGCCGTAGCTCGAGCTGCGACGGCGATTTTTCTTTTGCGCGATAGCGTTACCATCTTCGGTTCCTTTACGCTCGCACCCAAATTGTCGGAGATCATTCCTGATTCTCTGACGACGCATCCACATGCAAAGCCTGTCATTACGCAGTTGACTGTTCCAGTTTTGACGCAATTAGTGGCTACTCCATTGCATTTATTAGGCTTGGATCTATATATGCGACAGCATACAGTGCCTTTGGTCGATCGTGTGAAGCGCTCACAGCAGTATTTGGCTTCTACGACTGTTACCCGTTGTATTCGGATTATACCTGCGTTTGGATTTGGTTGTCTTGCGAACTTGGAGCTTCGATCAATGTTTCACGAGAAGTTGAATTCATAATGACTCGGAGAGAAGAATAGAATAGTAGAGAAATATGTGTCATGTGTTAATGAATTTTTATTTGGTTTCATCATGAACAACTCCAACATCCGTCTAATTCTAAACAAGTTAACGTCGAGTATCATTGACATGCTCCTGCGTCTCCATCAGACGAGCTAAAGTAACCGCCTCTCGCAGTGCCCGGCCCACAGATCCTCGTACTCCAGCCTCTTCCATCACCATTAAACCTCCAATCGTGCACCCCTCGGGAGAAGTGCCTTGGTCTTTCAGCAAAGCCGGATGTATTCCACTTTGAAGCATTGCCGCAGTGCCTTGCATCGACTGGAAGATCATTGTATGTGCCAGGTCTCGAGGAACGCCCACAGCCACAGCCGCATCGATCATTGCATCGCAAATAACCGCAAACATAGCCGGCGTCGATCCTCCAACAGCCGTGGTAGCATTCATCAACCTCGGATCGATCTGAACAGCTTTTCCGATCCGCTCAAAAATCGCATTTGTGACAGTCAGGTAGTGTGCCGGCGGAGCAGGCTCTGAGACCTCGATGGCTGTGAGAGACTGAGACACCTGCGCGGCAATATTCGGCAGAGTTCGCACCACCCACGCACGGTCGGATTTATTGGCATTGGTCGTCTCGCTGCCGTAGATGGTTTGCTCGAGCTTTTGTCTGGTCCAACCAGCTGCGATGCTGATCAGAAGTTTCTTCCCCAATGCTTCGCGGAGGGATTGCTGCGACAGGACCGACTCGATGTCGGTTGGGTCAACTCCCAGGATGATCACATCGGCTTCGCGCACGGCTAGGGTGTTGTCTCCCCGCTTGATGGTCAATTTATCGAGATGCTGGGAGAATCGCGCTGCTAGCTTTTCCTCTGAGCTCTGACTGCGCACGCACGCGATGAATTTAGTGAAGAGGGACTCTTTTTCGGTGCCATTGAGCAGACTGTCGAGGATTGCGCCGCCCAGATTTCCTGCAACCTCGTTAGCCCCGCTGTTGAACTGGGACACCAACTTCAATTGAAGATGGAAATCGTGTACTCACCACATCCCAGGAGACAGAGTGTTGTGAATTTGACTTCGGCCATGGTCGCAATAGTCTGGTTGATTGTGAGTTGGCGAGAATGCTTTGATTGAGCAAGATTCAATCTCAAGAAAAAAAAAGAAGAATCACCAGCTCAGTCGCAAAGATACCCCCCAATTTCCCCCGCTTTGATGCAGATAAGCTCTGCCACCTGAGCAGCTTGACCTCGGAAGACCCCCCGGCGCCCTGTGGAGATGTGGCGATTATTGGTTACAAATGTTAATTCTCCCCCTCATCAACTCCACTCGGTAGGCCTTCCGATGCCCGATAACGCGCGCTTGACAACGAACTCGCTGGTGTCGCATGACAGGCCGGTTTCTGGACTATGAAAACGATGGTCTGCGGGGTATATATGATACGTAAAGAGACTCGGAGCTCTCGGAAGAATAGGGAATCAATTATTTTTGCATCGTCTCCATCATGGGCGTTTCCAAGACGGACCAGATCATCATCGTCGGTGGAGGTGCCTTTGGTCTCTCAACCGCGCTGCAACTCGTGCAAAAGGGATATTCCAATGTATCTGTTTATGAGAAAGATGACCATATTCCCCCGCGCTTCTCGGCCGCCAATGATCTGAACAAGATCGTGCGGGCAGAGTACGAGGATCAATTCTACACAGATCTGACAATTGTATGACTATGACCTCAATCACTGATCTAATGGCGAAGAAGCTTTTGATACTAACTATACGGATCTTTTAGAGAGCCATCCAAGCTTGGAAAACCCCCCCTTTTCGCGCCGTACTTCCATCAAGTCGGTTTTCTGCACTGTGTATCAGGCGCAGCTCCTCAACAAGCCACCGACACTCTAAACAGATTCCGTGCATCTGCCGAGCGAGATGCGCAAATCAAGCCGCATGTCGTTCCTTTAGATAACGTGAAGGATGTCCGACAAGCTTGCTGGCAGCTTGACGGTCCCTTGACCGGCTGGAACGGATACTTCAATCGCTTCGACGGCTACGCGCATTCTGGTGCCGCTCTCGCTGGTGTATACCGAGCCGCCCAGGCAGCCGGTGTGAGATTCTTTTTGGGAGAGCAAAATGGCGCAGTGGACGAGCTTGTTTACGTTTCCACTGCCACGGCCAAGAAGTGCGCCGGTATCCGCACAAAGAATGGACGTTTCCACCCCGCCTCGTTGGTAATCGTTGCTGCTGGCGCCGCTGCCGGTCGCTTGGTGCCCCAACTTGGACAAACGGTCGTTGCGAAGTCGTGGTCTGTTGCGCATGTGCATCTCACTGATGAGGAGACGTCTGCTCTTCGTGGAATCCCTGTTACCTACGCGCGTGATTTGGGATTCTTCTTCAAACCAGACCCAAAGACCAATCTACTGAAGATGTGTCCTATGGGTGGTGGTTATATCAACACTGATCCCAAAACAGGGGTTTCGCACTCTCCCGAGACCTTGAAAGAGAGTGCCTTCTTGCCAGAGGAGGATGAGAAGCAATTGAGACAACTGTTGAAGCAGACTCTGCCTTCCCTTGCGGACAGGCCTTTCGTCGAGAAATCTCTTTGCTGGTTCGCTGATACCAATGATTCTGATTTCATCGTCGATTATATTCCCAACATGTCTGATTCCGTCATCGTTATGTCCGGTGACTCGGGCCATGCTTTCAAAATGTTCCCTATTGCCGGAACGTTCCTCACGGACATGCTTGAGGCACCGGGTAGTCAACAACCTGTTGCCCGGTGGCGCTGGAAGCAGCCCCCTTCCAGCGAGGGCAAGGGTGACTGGGGCGGCGATGTGAGCTGGCGCCTCGGGTCATCGAAGGAGCTGTCAAGTATTTTGCCATCAAAGGCCAAGCTATAGATCTTTGCATATCAAATTTAGAATCTTCAATGATAATATTGTGAATTTGTTTCAGAGTTCTTTTTGTTCCTAACAAAGCCTTATAAGTAGAATAAGTACCAAGAATCTTGGTATTGTGCTCTTTGTTGACGGCTAAAAGTACTCAGCTGAGAGATTCAAGGTAAACTAATCGTAAATAAGATAACACATGTGATGATTCCTTTCTTTGCTTAAACACAATAAAATTCCATGATCTCAAAAAGAATCTGAAAGAGATTCGAGTCAGTCAGATGTTTTAGAGTACCTTTGGTATATTCAAGTTGAGTTGCTTGTTTGGTGCTTCTCATACTGCGTTTGCATTGTCTCATTTTGATTGAAACATCAACATGGTGTTTCCAAATCAACTTGAGACACCATTGAATGATGGCAGCGAATTTGAGTAGCCACGCAAGTACACTTTATATTTCATGGATTGGAAAAAAGAAACCTTTCTTCCAGATGAAACCATTCATATTTGATCTATGAATATCTGCCTTACAATTAATTTTCTCGATTCCGAGAAATCAACAATCATTTTTAAGCATGCATCGACCCGCGTCTGCGCTGTCATTGCAGAACCGACTTCGCTCTAAATATACACTCATATTATCCTAAATTTCAAAGTCTCCGAGATCAGGCAACCTCTCTACAGAGAAGATATCTTACCACTTCCGCGAAACTTTCGTATCACTCTGCAAGACGGCCATCAATGTTAGAAACTTGCTAGGAAAAAGATACAGCAAAGCAAGACTAATATTAATATTGAACAGGTGGTTCAAAAATCGCATATTGGTTATCAACTTCAATTATTCATACATGTGTCTCTTGAAAGTCCTCGATCATACCGGAAGTGGTGGTTGTGGTCATTTCTTCATCATAGAGATTGTGCAATGTACCGAGTCTCGCTTCCGAGTCGGCCACCAAAACCAAAAGTATTGCATAAATCCCATGACGAGGATTCTTGTACCCAGTTCCAAGTCATTCCGTGATTTTATGCGGTGGTTTGAGGCAGGGCATAATAAGGTTGCAGGGAATTGTCCTGTTTGTTATGGAGGGATGAGTGAGAATGCTGAGTTTTGATCTTCTTTTCTTCTTTTCTTTAAACGAACTAGAATAACTACAGCTTCTAGTTGTCTACTTCCGTATCATATCTGTTAACCATAAATTCTGTTCATGCACTTAAGTCTGCTATCATTGGTAAAAAAAGAATCCAATCCATCAAAATAATCCTCTCTAAAATTCTAGTCAATTCATTTCAAAGGTTCATTGTACATCATCATCAACATCATCCATCATGAATACCAGTTAGTAGTCTGAGCCAACCTCATCCACCAAAGACACGCAATGCACCCCTGCATAATGGGGAAGGGGGGGGAGGAAAAGAGGCATCCTGCTCATAGTAAAGAACCCAATCCTCACCATATACTATGCTCAATCATCGCATTAGACATCCACTCCGTATCAATACTCTCAATCGAATCCGCAACAGCCATAATCTGCTCTGCAGTCAAACGACTCGTAAACCCAAGTTCCTGATCATCCAAAGCAGGAACACCCACACCCACACCCACGCCGGGATCAGAAAGAATATCGTGCTCGAGTTGTGCCTGCGCAGTAGAAGCAGTAGGCTGTGCTTGTCCGGAGGGCGGGAATGAACTAGCCAGGGAAACTTGAGAATTGTTATTGAGAACATTGTTTGGAAATGAGACGGGCGCGGATAGACATCGCGGATGTTCTTGTGGGAAGCAGCTCAGTAACTCGTCCAGAAGGTGGAGTTCTGAGCGACGGAATTTTGCGAGGAGGTTTCCACTTTCGATTATTTCTTCGAAGATTGTGTAGGCTTTTTCGAGCCAGATTGGGTATGTCCAGCGGGTGTCGATTGCTGGGCCCATTAGTAGGACGACTGTTGAGACGAATATTGATTCGAGGTCGAAGGAGAGGAATGTTTCTATAGAGAGGAAATACTGTTAGTTGATTTATTGCAGTGCGGAAGATGGTGATAGCGATGTGATGTAGGGGGTAGACATCTTCTTTTATCTTTCTTCTTTCGACTTACCTAGAAGGCCCTCAGTCTGGAGACTGTGAAGGATGCAAATTATCTGCTGAGCAGAGTCCATACTCATTTGGATCAAGTTTCGAACAGTCCTGGAAGTATTGAGCACCTCGATGCAATTTTCAGGCGACTCGAAGCGGATTTTCAGGAAGCAGAATAGGAGCGGTCGGGTTGCGAGGACGATACATTGGTGGTAGAGGAGGTGAAGATATGCAGAAATTCTAGAAACACCGCTGATCTCGCGATCCATTTGCAGTGGGAATGCTCGTCGGAGTTCATCGGCCAGACTGGCGATATTTGCGAGGGCGGATTTTGTGCGTAGGAGGAAGTTTCGATTAATGCGACCGTCGATGGCATATACCGCTGTGAAAGAAGAAGGGCGTATGTTAGAAAGGTATCTCTGATTTGGAGAATTCCGTTTGTGACTTTTCTTCACAACTTACAGCCGTTGATTTCAGCGATGATTCGAGAAAGTCGGATGTGCATTCCGATGGCAGCTGTGCGCTGCATTGAACCTGGGAATGTTGGGAGGAGAGTGTTGATTTGGTCGTCGTTTAGGGTCTGGGGGAGACCCATCAACGAGGTCATCTCGCGATCCAGGATGTATACTGTCCACCAGATCTTGCGACACCGTTGAACCATATTCTCACCGAGATACTCGATCGGCATTTGTGTGTGCATTCCTTCCGCCATGGCCATTCGCATGGCCTGTCCGATCTGTGGGAGGATGGGTCAGTCGGTATATTCCAGATTCAAGTCCGCAAGTCTCCGAGTCTGTTTGGTGGATGACTTACATAGTTGTGTGCTGATGACCTGCAATCCAACGCTTGCAGATAAAGCGCAATACAGCACATAACTTCTGTGGACTCGATCGGTGCCTCATGAAGGACGATCACGTCCGGCAGCATTTCCAACGCTTTGACAAAGTAGTCCGCTCCAGGGGGTCTATTCCCTTGAACCTTGTGCTTCACGAACCCCTTTCCAAAAGCAAGAATGAGAAGAAAATGAACATACCACAACCCGGTGGTTGCGTTGGGTTTAGGCTCCGAGTAGAACTCCTGCAGATTAGCCATGAACTCGCTCTCGTCGAATAGATGATACAGCTGCCCGCAGCGGAACTTGACGACGTTGATCAGGTACATTGCATGGTCATAAGTGGGAACGGCTGGGGGTTCGGCCGTGCTGTGGCTTCTTCGCAGGCCATCCCATCCGAGATCGTAGGTTGCGCCATCAAATATCAAGGCCCCTGTCGGCAGTGCCTCTTGATAAATGTGCTCGTGAGTGAGGCTCAGTACCCGACGAGCGAATGACCAGTTCGAGGAAGTTCCTAGATAGACTTGCAAAAGGATTAGAATCATTGCAGTTATTAGCGGGTGGCTTTCCGACGTACATGTCCTCCCATTATCTGCGGACATAAAGGCCGGAGGGCCTGTAGAAAGCGGGTTGGTGAGCCCGGAAGCTGGATCTTCAATCTCTTGATGTAACTGATGAGATTCCTCATGGTCGTGAACTGATGAGCGGGACAATTGTGGCGAGTCATGTTTGAGATCTGCGATGCATGAGTATTGAAATGCACGAGCGAACCCACGGAAGTACGAACCGGGAGACCTATCCTCTGCATAATCTGGGCTGAGTGGACTAGGATCAATGCGTTCGCCGTTCTGCTGCAGACTAGCAATCTTCTGATGCAATTCGTCGATGTAACTGTATCTTTGTTTCAGCCAGGTGTCTTCTTATCACGCCTCCTGGGGGCTAGGAATGATGGTGGCGGGGAGGGAGCCGGGCAGGCACCAGAGCTACAGGAATCATTTACCCTCGAGTGACCAGGATCTTTTGATCGCGATCATCAAAGATACAAGTTAATTTTCGCTTATTGCAACCGTCACACGGCTGTGTTCCCGAACACTTGATTTTCTGTCTGCGACATCGGGTGCAGCTAGAGACAAGGTCAGAGTCAGGATCAGGATCAGAAAGAATCTTATGATGCAAGGCTGGGGGCCAAGACCTACGCATTCAAGGAACGTTTTGTGACTCGCGGCCCATTGCCTGCCATGAGGATGAATTATGTGTGCAAATGGAATGAATGGAGGAGGTTAGGAGGGACATTTGCATGAATGAAGCGAAATATCAAATTGACGAAAATGCGGGGGAATCTCGCCCGGTGGAGCCGGAGCCGCCAACTTTGCTTTGCCTTGGCCACCTTAGCCTTGGTTGGGCCAGATAAGCCTGTTTGATAGGGAAACATTGCCACTGGGCATTACTACGAGTGGAGTGGTCATAATTGTTATAATGATTATAGAAAGGTGATGATATCCTATCTTTCATCTCGCATTTCCCCCTCCTCGACTCTCTCCTTGTATGGCACACACAGGGCTGGGAAAGTGATGTGAGACTATTTACTTCTCCAAAGTTTAACCTTTTGCGTCAACTGATTTGCCGACCATGCCGCAAATTCTAGTGCTTTTTTTCGAAGGTGCCTTACGTCGAGGTCTAAGCGACGTGCGCATGACCCCAATCCGCCTCCAAAGATGCACATCTTAGCGGGGATACCAGGGCTGGCAGCGTCCTTCCCCTCCCCCTCCTCCGTCATTTCTACCCCGGAGATAGACCGAGTCCACTTTTTTTTAGATCCATGTCCTTGAAGTAGGACAGGTGAGTTGCACATCTGCAACATTAATTGTACTCGGATGTTGGTCGTCGGGAGGCTTCCCGGTCACCTGCCGCACTAAACCCTTTTGGAGCATCCAACCCGCCGATAAGCAAAAACCCGCCGGAAAGGCTGCCGGTGGAGGTGATGCATAGACTGGACTGGACTGGACTGGACTAGACTGGAGGATTGACTAAATAGAATTTCAACTAAAGAGACGTCTGATTTCATCCATTAACATACACACAACCCCACGCCCACCCGCTTCGATTATGTATTAGTTCAAGTTACGCCCTGGTACAGTATAGTCCAATCACGATGGCAGAAGACGACGCGGAAAGTGATCAAGGGGAATGGACATGCGGTGGGTAGCAGAAAAGGATTGACCTCATATTTTTGGGAAAAAAAAGAAAAAGAAAATAAAAATAATAAAGTTGGGAAACTGATAGACAGAGGGAGATTTGATTGGAGGAAGCAAGCATTGGAGTGCAGTTAATGAACGAGTGGGTGAGGCTTATCAATGGGACAGCCTCGTAGATGGGATGGTTGGATGCAAGCGAGTGTAGACGGTAGGAAGAAAATGCAATGGGTGGTTTTGCTGGCTGTAACGCAAGAGGGTGGGTGAGAGAGTGGACATTGAGCGAGTGTCGGGGATGGTGTGTCGTAAGAGTTGGATAAGAGTGAAAGTGGAGGAGGGGACTGGAGAATGGGAGGTTTTGTGACAATGATTAAGCATTAGGAACCGTGTCCAGCACACGGGACATTTTCTTGGCCCGAGCAGGGTCTTCCACAAGCATGCCTCGGGATTTCAGCATAGACTGAACAGTCTCAACGACTTTGTTGAATGAAGACGCAGCGCCACGTTCCTGCTTGAAACGGACCAGACTGAGGTTGGCTTGGCGACCATGTTCAAGTACGGTATAGAACTCAGCAGTAAATTCCACCTCTCGGAGACGAAGGACTATACGATGGTCAGTATACATCAATAACAAAATAGGGCGAGTTTTCGAAACGTACAGTTAGCCTCGCTCACTCGACCGTGAACTGTGCTGTTGCTCTTATCCATGTACACGTCTTCCATGCCGTAGTCTCGCCAATCACGGAGCAGCTTGTAAACTTCCTTGCGACTCTTGACCTTGGAAGTGTTGAGAGCGATGACTCGGGACGCTGGCTTGATCTGGAAAACACGGGCAAACCAATTGTGGTTAGCGATAGAGCGCCGCTTCATCGAAGGCGGGCTATGGAGATCGTCGGCCTCGAAGGAGCTCTCGGGGTCGGGGAATCCCTTGCACATGAGTGCAGAGTTGCGGTTTTGATCTTTTGAAGAAGGTCTGTCCTTGTCTTTGGTATGGCTTAGCGTATGCTCGAGAATGTCGCGGATGGATGACTTACCCGTCTCAGACTGAGCCATGTTTTTGTTCGACTTCTTTGGCATCAGCTTCTTCAGCAGAGTACCACCGAAGCGTTCCATGGACGTCTTTCGGGTAGGGGCTCGCACTTCCTCCGGCTTGGGAGGCGATCCCGTCAGGTCAACAGGAGTGTGAACAATTGTTCCATTGCTCGGAATGATTTGCTGACGTTCTTTGGGAGGAGGCAATGGCGGACTGTCAGGAACGTGTGAACGGGTCTTAAACCACGACCACTTCTTGCTGTAGGAACCTGTATTGCGCTCAGGGGATGGAGGGCTTTCGTCAATTCGCTCCAAGCCAGAGACATTACGAGTCTGTCGGGAACTGGCGGAATAATTGCGACCGGAATCCTTGATTTCCTTCTCTGGGGAATCCGATACCATACCCGGTATTTTCTTGCGAATCATCAAGGGTTTCACCTCATCCATGGACCGCAGGGAGCTGTGCGGGACCATCCGAATAGTGGTTCGAGCATCGCCTCCACGCTGCCCAGGCGGCGGCAAACGAGGCTTATGCTTGAGCTTGGGGGTCTTCTCGCGGGGGGCACGGACAGGACTGGCGAACTCTTCAGTGATAACGGGAAGTGAGGTTTCCTCCGCGACGAGGTAGTGATCCACTGGCAAATTGCTGTCTTCCCTATCAATATGATGGTCGTGCTGTGTTTGATCTTCTTCGATTAAGCGATCAAGATGGCCAATGAAGCCAGAAAGGTATCCCGGGATGTTATCACTTCGACCCGTGCTGTGCTCCACAAGCTTGCGTCGAGTTTCAGTGAGTTCCTGAATGCTGTATGAGCGACCGCACTCCTTCGGAGTAGCCTTCAATATATCGGCCGATGCCTTGATCGGAACTTTAACGAAATGCTCCTGACTGGCAACTGAGACTGGAGTTGCGGGTGTCTCGTATCCGGCTTCGGTGCTGGCGGTGCGGATGGTGGTCACAGAGCTACCATTGAACGCCTCTTCGCAAATCTGACTGAGTTCATGAGATACCTTCCGGGTGTCTTCCTTCCAGATTATGTCTGACTCCCTAACCTTTCTGGCCTGACCCAAGCTTCGGACCTTAACCCCGCTTGGTCGGACAACAGTTGGCTGGGCTGGGAGAGGTGGGCTACTCGGCATCGGAGGTATGTCATGACCATCAGCAATCATCTGAAGACTGGCGGCGCTTGGAGACCTCTTGAGATCGGTCTGTGGGTTTGGTAGTTGGTTCTGGCCTGTCTTTCTCCTCTTTGGCTTGGTCGATCCTTGAGACTTGTTGCGTGCGTGACGGAAAGATACATTGCGACGGTAGCTGGTCGAGTGGGTGGATAGACCCGGGCATCTTGAACTGGAGAGGGGAACCTTGGAAGATTGGAAGGACTTCATCGAGCTGGGCTTGTGCTTTCGCTTCTGTAGAACCGTGAAGGGTGAGTTCTCAATTCCATCATCATCTTCATCAGGCTCTTCTTCCTCTACGATTGATGGAGGTGGCTTGACAACGGGCGAGGCGACCATCTCAGCATGTTCTTCTAGTGCCCTGTGAATCGTGACCTGGGCATATTTAGCCTCCTTCAATGTCGCATGGTGTTTGGGTGACCGGAACGGATCGTAGCTCTCCACGCTGGCACACGATTTGGGCTCCTGCGGCGAGGTTATCCTGTGACGAATGTCTTTGACCACGGAAACCTGAGATCGACGTTTTGAGCTGTTCCGTCCATTCTGGCTACGACCTCGGCGAGGCTTGCTTCCGGGACGGGATATATGGTGATAGTCACTTGCAGAGTATTCCAACGGTTGGCCTTGGTAATTCTCCAACTGTTCATCACGAAACTTGGCAAGTGCGTTGTAAAACATTCGCTCGTGGGTTGGTCTGGAATTTCTAGTCAGCATCAAACTTACGCGTAAAATAATATGCGACTTACTCTATGCAAAGGATTCTGTCGATCAAAGCATCTGGCTTGACATCATGCCACAGTGTCTGTAGGTTTCGCAAGATGTCCATGTCTATATCCTGGCGACAGGAGATTGGCTTGCCGCAGTCCTTGATAGAGAGCTTGGGCGGAGGACCAATGTATTGATCAGTCATCGCGTTGTGCAGCTTTTCGTACTTGGTCAAGAGGGGGTGTTGCCAAATGTTAGCCATGGAGATCCGATCCTCTGGCCGTTTCTGCAAAATTCGTTGGATGAGGTCGGCGGATTCATCGCTTAACTCGGAAGGAATCATATATTCGCCCTTCTTAACCAGTCGCAACGTGTTGGGCAAGTCGCCACCATCAAAGGGAAGGTATCCCGTCAAAAGGGCATACAAAATAATTCCGCAGCTCCACATATCCGCCCGATCGCCGCGGTATTTGCGGCCGTAAATAATCTCCGGTGCGGCATAATGAGGGCTTCCACAAGAGGTGTTGAGCCAGTGACCTGCGGGTTGCAGGGCCGCCATACCAAAATCTGCAAGTTTGACATTGTGGTGGGAGTCGAGCAGAATGTTCTCAGGCTTCAAGTCACGGTGACAAATGTTGAAACGATGGCAGTACCCCAATCCTGCAATGATTTGGCGGAACAGGCGAACGGCTTCTTCCTCTGGGAGTGGACCATTCTTGGACACGTAGTCAAATAGCTCCCCCCCCTCGACGTATTCGAGAACCAGATAACTGTCATATTTGTCAGTTCATATCCATGACTCTTCTTGTCTCCTCTGCACTTACAGCTCGCCCCGATTCTCCCACACATCGTACAGACTAATTACATTATGATGCTCGATGAGCTTCATGATGACCACCTCGCGCTCAATTCCACAGGGCATGTGGCGAGCGTTAGTAAAACCTGAAAAGTTGCTGACGTTGCGATCCATTGCGGCGATACTTTCGCTCTGAACCATAGCGGCTGATTTCTTGGAGACAATCTTGATAGCTGCGGTCTGTCCGGTGACGGCGTGCTTGGCTAATCTGACACGACCGGTTGCTCCTTTGCCCAAGGTCTTCCCGAGTTGCCATGGTCCAACGTGAGTTTTGCGTTTTCCTTTATTCGATAGAATAGATGCAGCCGATAGAACGGAGTTGCGGGCCGAGTCGGATTGGAAGTCGGTGACTACCGACAGTCTGTGGTTCTCCTTGTCCCGAGGAGTCGGACTAGTCATGATGGACATCTGGTCTGGAGTCTTGAGCTGATCAAGATCCGCGACGTGGACCCTTGGTGTCTCGGGCTTGGGAGACCTCGCATTGTTGATTCTTCCGGATGCATCTTTCAAAGGCTGACGTCTCCGATGGGGATCGTTCAGATCCAGCATCGATTGATCCATCGCTTTGGTCGCTGGGGCTGGAACTCTTCTTCGTCAAATTGGCATCAAATGGCGATTTTTTGGACGGGTGATTCAGTTAGAAGCTGGGTAGACTATGTATTAGCCTCTCTGTTCCAATGTATACTTCCCCGTCTCCTGCTCACATTGAAGTGGGATTCAACACGGAATGGCGTTGACACAGGCGTCTTGAATGAAAATGAAGGACTGTAAAGATCGGCTCCAGTAGATTCCGGAAGGTGTAAAGAGTGACAAGGACCTGGTCAACACGGCATCGCGAGGTCGAAGGAGTCGAATGAAAGCTGCGGGAGGTGAGGACCCGTTGGTGAGAGAACTAGACTGGAGAAAGAAAACGGCGCGGTCGACTGGGCTTCAGAGACCTGGGAGATTGGGGGGGTGGGGGGGTCCTGACGTGGAATGCCTCAACATGACTTGTTGTGAAGAGGTGAGGAATGGAAGAGCAAGCAAGATTCCTGCCGCTGACAACGACGCTGGAATGCTCCCGTCATTTCCTTGGAGTAGTGCACTACACTACACTACACTACACTTCTTTACCACCCAGTCTGCTTTATTTGTTGCTTTACTATGATGTTTATTTTCTAGTTTGCTCCAATTTTCTTTTTTAATTCAATTTTGGTTATTTTAATGCTAATCTCTCTTCATTTTCTCTCTACTCCTCCCTTATTATAGTAGTTTCCAGGTTGAGCGGTTACCTAGTGTGAACCATATAACCACTACTACCTACTCTTCAGACATCTGAAACAAGATTTATTCCAAAAGATTGCCAGCAGTAATAGAACCTTATCCTTCTGTACATTCGAGGCTCCTCAGTGAAAATTGAGATATGTTTATGGTGGGGGAAGGGTCGTCGACGCATTCCATCCCGATCAAGGGCTCAAGGGTGAGGATTATCTTCGACATTCCACTCCCTAGACCCCTTCTCAAGTCTAATGAGATACTACTTCTGTTTTATAGTGTCGTCCATTGAGTGTTTATTTTGCTATTGACCCGCTGACACCGACCGTGCATATAGTTAGTCTTTCTGTCGCCATAACGATAATCGACACTCAGAGCTCCTATTGATCGAACAGTATCATCTATTATTCAGTAAAACGAGAAATAGATCAATTTTGCTTTTCTTGTTGAGTCCTTCGTCACTGTTTATCCATTAAGATTGTTATCCGTACCCTTTATCTACGGTGGAGAGCTTCATTTCTGTCAGCTTCGAGCCGCCCCCAGTAGTTTTAACCTATTCCTCGACCTCATGTCCTCGATCATCTTCAAGCTATAATTCCTTGAGTAGTTCCAGAGTTCAGAAAATTGCCTGGTACTTATTGAGCATCCTAATATATCCCCGGGCCCTATTCTGAACGTCCTGGACCTTCATAAATATATTCAGGCTCTACTAGTAGTAGAGTAACAATACGCAAATGCAAAGAAACGAAATGGAAATGGAAGTCATGATATACTACCGCCCTGGCAAATATCTGCAATCATTGCTTAGCATTTAAATCTTTCAAGGCAGCGTAGAACCTCCGGGGCTTGGAACTGTCACGGTCGTGGACGGATGTGGCTCTGGTGCTTTCCAGGGTTTTTATATATCAAACTGCCCAGGTGAGGTATAGAAGTAGTACATAAACTACTAAATATAATCCACTGGCAGGTAGAAAAAGAACTTTAACATTCTGGCCCTAACTACTACTACTATCGCGTCGAAAGAAAATAGCTATAAACAAATATCGAAACTATAGTGAACTTAAACATCCAAAACTTGAAGTGGTGCACTACTACCAGTGCTCCGGACCGATATGCACCTCATTAACATCAACCCCATCCACAAACCAACGTCCCTCCCCATTCCCATCAGATCCAAGAAGCATATCATTACCGCTCATCATGCGCTTACGCATCTTGCCACTCTCCCGATCAAAAGTCCAATCTTCCAACCCATAGCAACGTTTCCACTTCATTCCATCATCCGCATCCTGAAACTCATACCAAAACTGCACGGCGATACGATCCTCCCAAAAAGCAAAGAGCTCCTTTCGCAGACGATAACTTTTCTCGCGCTTCCACTTTGCTGTCAGAAATTTAATGATCGCTTCCGATCCTGAGAAAAATGTTGTGCGGTTTCGCCAGATACATGTTGGCGTATATCCGTTGACGACTTTTGACGGATCCCTAGTGTTGGTGTAACTTGTTAGATGTGTTCAAGTTGTTTGCACAAGATTGTACAAGATTGTAAGTGTGTGTATGTATGTACTACGTCATCTTCGGGGACAAAACAAAAGGGAAAATGTGAAGGAAAACGAGAGAATAGATCAGACGATCGCCCCCTCACAAGGGCAAAGCCAGAAACCACGGAAGAAACGCGAAATGGCATGCGACCATATGAGCTCAGGACCTCGCACGGACGGAGAGTCGAAGGGAGTGAGGAATGCAAGGGATGGATGGCGGTTGCCCTTACTTGGTCCATGTGGTTCCATAGGGTCAAGTCATGATGCAAGGGAAATCGAAAACTCACTGGGTATTCCACATGTTCTGGGCTGCTTTGACCTTCAGGTGAGCGGATTCTTTGGTGAAAGGGGGTTTGATATCGGCCATAATTGTTTTTGATCCACTTGGGTATGAACTTCAAGTCTTGGAGGTTCAATAAGTTGTATTGAATTTCTGGTCGAGTGAGGGGAGGTCGAAGCGGTAACGCGCGGAGGGGAGTTCAAGTTGGTCGGAAGAACCTTGGAATGGGAAATATATACAGTAGCAGGTGGTCACTTACTGGTAGGTATTTATACACCGACTCGGTCATGAACTAGTAGCTACTAGAGATGAAAACTTGAAGGTATTGGTCAATTTTGATTGCCAGTAGTACTCCATAGAAACCTAGACTCTGCCGGATCCTTGCCCTCTGCTCTTCGGCCCCTCGGACAAGCCGACCGGGATCTCGGGCTTTGATCTAGTCATGGCCTTGTTGGAAGTAAGAAGTGTCGGGTCGTGGGGGCTATTCTTTTCGTCCTGATAGTGAAGGTGTTGGGCTATCTCAGGGTGCATATCGAACACCACTGCACGTATCACATTCTATCCCGACTATAGATCTTTCAAAACTAAAGGACACAATTCATGAAATCTCCTTGGAAGAAAAGCTTCTTCTAACCACCTGGGCAAGAGAGTAAAGTCTCTAGAGCTAAGTTAGAAATGGTGGGGCTCATCATATATGCGACGCACTCGAAGGTATGATGATTTACGCGGGCTAAGCGAGTTTAGCGAGCCAAGTGTATGTTGTACCTGGAAAGTCAATGTTAAAGCCAGCTTTAAATAATTGACTACAACAGACGTTCTATGCCTTTTCCTTGGGGAAAAATGGAGAGGGCCTCGGGACGTGGGTATCCCAAACCTCATCATGGAGAGAGCGTGTCGACAACCCCCCCTTGACAAGGCTCGGTCATGACTTCTACTATCTTGGATCTCTCAAAATTGAATCCAGCGACGACTGTCTCAATGGAAATTTCCATGGGCAACCTGTCACTGTATTATAGAACAAAACTTCAGTGTGAAAACATTTATACATGATTTAGTAACTCGAACGACCATTTCAACTTTATATACATATAACCAACATTCCAATAGTTCTATTTTTTCAAACATCTTGATCTAGACCAGCAGACTCAACCCCTACCTCAGTCCCAGAATCTTGAACCTTCTGGCTCTCCAAAAGCTTCTTCCTCGCCAGCCCCTCAGCCCGTTTCCTCTCCCTACGGGCAACAGGATCCTCCCAATCCTCCGGCTTCGACTTCCCCTTCCCCTTCCAAGCCTCAAGCAAAGTAGCTCTAAACCTCTCCCTGCGCTCAGAATTAACCTTAAATCGCTCATCCGACATAGCAATCAGCATGGCTAGATACTCCTCTCGTCACAAGACTGCGAATAACAGGCTCGCCGGCAGATGATTCATCCTCGTCATCGCAATACCCAATCACAGACTCGAATTGGAGACCGGCTGAGCGCACGGCGACGATGGGACTCGGTCCGGTACCCTCTCCTTCGAGACAGCGGAGGCTTTGCAGGCCGCTTTCGCGGAAGCCGGAGGCCGATGCTGCGGCTAGGACGGGACTTGCGTGGGATAGGGTGGCGGCCATTACGTGGAGGATCTGGGTGAGTGTTAGTGGGTGGGTGTGCGCATGTGGGAATGTCGCGTGTTGATGTAGATTTAAGAAGGAATGGAGATGTTGCTAGGCATTTTTGGAGGACATGTACAATGTACCCGAAGGAGTACGAAATGAAATGAAATGAAAATGGGCGAAAACACATACCAATGGATCATAATGAAAACGAACAAGTCTCAACGACTTCCCAGCACTAACAGCTGGCGGTTTTCCATCACCAGGAATCAAGCCAAAAGCTTCATGCAATGAAGTCGGAGCCGAATCCGAACCCGAATTCGATAAATTGGACTTCAACCCAGGAAACGGATCATGCGAAACATACAACCATCTCCCAGCACCTTTCCCCCCGGAGGGAGCAAAAACTCTTTGATCATCTCGGACCTCTGGTTCCGCCTCTGTCTCTGCCTCTTTCACTGGACCCTCCTGCTCAGACACGACAGACGAACCGACATCCCTCCTCCCCTCGAGAAAAACACTAATGCGCCCCGCACAACTACTCGTCGTGACCAAGCCAGGCAAAGCATTAATATCGCGGATCAAATCCCGCACGCCTAGATCGACGGAGCCCTTCGGTGACAGATCTGTATAGTCTTCATCTGGGATGGCGAGCTCTTCTATGATTTTGTTCTTGCGGGTCGTGAAGAGTGGGGGGATATTTTCTTGGTTTGATTGAGCCATTGCTTTGGTCGGACCTTGGGGCCTCGTGGTCGTGGGGATGCTCTTCTTTCTCTTTTTTCAATTGAGAAGTGCAATGGAAGGTCTGATTCCTGGGTGTATGCTTTATTCTGTAAATAGTCGTAGAATAGAAATGTGATTGCGTCAGGGTATCTTTGATATCCAAATCGATCGATCGGACATGGCAGAAAAAAAGAAAATGGAAGGCGGAGAGCAGTCACGCTGGTCCCTCTCGTATTACGCAGTACATAAAAGGTAAGGGTAAGGGCAAAATAACATAATAATACCCAGGTTAAAAAGCCGGTTTAAAAAGGGTGTACTGCCCTCATTTGTCGCCCGATTTTTTTTTCTTTTCACCTATACCCATTTCTCAGAACCATCGCAGGAATCAATTTGGAGTTCCTTTTTCCGGGCGCAACAAATTGATCTCTGCTGTGCATCTCTTGCAGTGGGTAGCAAACAGAGCAGAATTGGCGGGGGAAACAAACAAGGTCTACAAAATACACACTACTTTTAAGCAAACCGTAAGGTGATTGGGCAGAAAGGGGGCAATAGTGGGATCTGATTTCAGTTCTATACACATCTTACACACATCTATTTCCATATTTACTATGTCTCGACGATCGTCCCGGGCCGCTCCCGCGGCGCAAGCGCCAGAAGCGGCGCCAAAGCGACGCGCTTCAACCAGGCTGTCCGCTTCGGAGGCGGAGGTTAAGAGGGTCAGGTCCAACATCGACTTACCTGGCAGTCAGGTTAAAACCACAACCAAGAAGAGCAAGTACTTTGAACCCGAGGGCTCCGCTGAGTCCGAGGAACCTGCCAGCGACACCGATGAGGACGAGGACGAGGACGAGGACGAGGACCACTCCGCGTATGAGGAGAATGATGTTGACCCAGAATCGGACGACCACGAGCCCTCCGACCAGGACGACGAACCCGACAGCGAGGAGGAGACGAAGGGCGCGCGGGCTAAAGGCGGCAAGGCAGGGAAAGGCAGGGTATCTGATGCTGCATCCTTGAAGGGCAAGGAACTCTGGCGCGAGGGTGTTCGCACAGGCTTGGCTCCAGGACAAGAGGTCATCGTTCCCAAACCTAAGGCCCGCGACCCCGGTGATGTGCCGTACGAGGATGAGACGTTGCACCCCAACACCCGGCTGTTCCTACTGGACCTGGCCAAGAACAACGAGAGGGAATGGCTCAAAGGTAAAGCAACACATGCACAATACAAGCAGGACAGAGCAGACAAAGCAAGGCTGGCTCTGCTGTGCCATCGCGGTTATCGAGTAAGCTGACTGGATGTATCCTGCAGGGCATGACCCAGATTACCGCGCGTCGAAGAAGGATTTCGAAACATTTGTCGAAGCCTTAACGGGCAAGCTCGCCGAACATGACAGTACTGTCCCCGAGTTGCCCGCGAAGGACCTGGTACGCCCCAACACGTCACCGACAAATCCTTGACACCGACGAGACGCTGACCAAGAGCCAGGTTTTTCGGATTCACCGCGACGTCCGCTTTAGCAAGAATCCTCTTCCATACAAGGTATGCCCATGGCCCATCATTGCCTGCCCCTACCCCTGCCCTGCTTCATCGCTGCGCGTGATAAACCTGCCCTGTGTGACTGTGATGGTTGTTAGCGGCGTGCAGGAGCCCTGCTGACGGACGAATAGATTCATTTCTCAGCTGCGTGGTAAGTTCATAGTGTATGCCTGAGAGGGGAATGATGTGAAGTGATACTCATGCAAGCCCTAGGTCCCGGACTGGCAAAAAGGGCCCGTATGCCGCGTATTATGTGCACTTCCAACCTGGTTCATGTTTTGTTGGTAGGTCTCTTCCGCATTCTTTGGTCTTGTGTTCTTCCGCCTCTCTTTTTTCTTTCTTTCTCCATCGTCATTCTTTTCTCACCATTTGGGTATAGGTTGCGGGCTCTGGCAACCCGAGGCCGAACCGCTCAGGTTGCTTCGAGAGGACATCGATGCGTACGCGGATCAATGGAAGGAGCTTCTCCGGGCGCCAGAGATGCGCCGGGAGTTCCTCGGCGGAGCGGCAGACGATGATGAAGCCGTGGTGAAGGCGTTTGCCCATCATAACCGAGAGTCTGCCCTGAAAACCAAGCCTAAGGTAAGTTAGTTGTCACCTTTTCTGAGCCTAGTCCTATTCCCGAAGCATGTTGGACCATGGAACCCCGGTGTGATCGAATGCCTGTCCTTTGCAGCCTCTTTAATTGTTCTCCTCGATGATCTGCCAGTTGTATGCCGTTGGTAAGGGGCTCGCCGTGTTGCATACGGGTGATGGGAGGCCCGATCGGACTCGGGTCCTTCTATTGAGGATGATGATCACCGAGAGTATCAGCATCGCCAAGGCCATCACCATTGTCTTTGCCATCTCGCCATTGCTCTGGTGTTTGTGATGATCATTGCCAGTCATTTCAGGCACCATCCAACGTGTACAGTGTACGGAGATCGTACACCGAGTACCATATGAGGAGACGAGTCACGCGTTCCAGCCGGGTCTGTGATCTCCGCCAATACACGCGGGCCGGGGGCAACGGACCAGACCGAGCGCGGCAGCCTCAGACACGCTAGAGTTGTGTGCCAATGGCAGTGGCGAGGTCAGTGGCAATGGCAATGGCAATGGCAATGGTAATGGTAATGGCGATAGCACATGGTAAAGGCAAAGGCAAAAGCAAAGCGGCACAGCCGAAGCAGAAAAAACAAACGACACAAACGAGGCAGGCACAGACTCGGACACAGAACTCAGACAGGGCAGGCACGACTCTCTCTCGGCCCATTTAGGACGATGGTTCCATGGTTCAACACGGCGCAGGCTCCACGTCCCAAAATGCCCGTCGAATGAACTTCCTTCTCTTTCCTCCACCAGTTACACCATCAAAACATCACACTCCTGAATACTAAGCTGGAGCTGGAGCTGAGCTAAGCTGAAGCTGAGCTGAGGAGCGATACTGATCAGAATACAGGGCTACGACGCCGACCATCCAAACATTCAATTGCTTCGTCTACGCAGTTTCACCCTGGGTCGTCCTATCTCTGACGCAGATATGATGGCTGCGGATGCACAACATCGGATCGCCGCCCTAGTTGCGGTGATGGAGCCCTTCGTAAGCAACTGATCTATCTCTTCTCCCTCTCGCTCGCCCTCTCCTTCTCCTTCTGCCCCCGTCCCCGCCGATTTTGCCCCGTCTCGACTAGTCTCGTTTCCTTTCTGAGCTAGCCACTTGGGGGGTCCCTTTGTTTTTCCCTTTCCCCTCTCTCCTCCTCCCTTCTGATCCCCTCCCGATGCTCGGCCCCAATCAATCAGATTGCACGGCTACACAACTTGTCACACTGGGGATTAGCCCTTGACCACCGCTGACCGCTTCCTCAACAGGTGACGTATCTCAACAGCGTCGTGATGCCCGATTCGTAACACAATTCCCCTACCTTGGCAGTTGATCGAGCCGCCTACCATCAAAGTCTACCCACAGACTTTGATTGGGCGCGTCTCTCGGGCATTCACCGTTGTGATAGTGATGAGAAATTGCATTGCATCCCCCCCATCCTTTCCCATCCTTCCATGGCTCTGGGCTCAATTCCCGGAATTTCTCTTTGTTTCCGTTCACATCGCCTGCAACTAAAAGCAAACAATCCGGAATCGATCAATTCGCCCGTCCATACATCGTGAGATTTTGAACCCCGATGGCGCTCTGCACAAGGCCATTTTAGGGGAATTGGGGACATACTCACCCCCTCCTCCCCTCCCCTCTTTGTTTTCTCTACTACTCCCTGTCAAATAGAAAAATTCATACTTTTTTCCCCTCCCTCTCTTTCTCTCCCAGGCTTATTCCCTGCATGCAGTAACAACTAAGACAGAATGTGTCACTGCACTGCACTGCGCCTCTGATCACATCTTAGCTGCATCAAGGCAGGAATCGAGATCCAGCCAATTCCCTTTCCACAGTCATAATCTGCATACTACTCTAGGTAGGGCTACATATCCTGCTGCTAGTATCCTCCACTCTACCCCTCTACATCCATGCAGTACCCCTCCTATCCCTGTCAGTCCAAATCGACCGATACACTTCGCCAATCCGCGCTAAACATGTAGTCCTCCCGTAGGAATCTTCCGACAGGCGGTCCGGTCCTGGGCTTAGGTTAGGGTATGTGCCTAACGCTGACGAGTCGAGGCACAGCCCTGTCCCATTCTATGAAACGAGACACATCAGACAGAGTACAAAAACAGAACTTTGTTTCTGGGCCACAGAACCAATAACAATGCCATCGCCGGAGAAAACAATCCAAGACCCAGACTTTGCCAATCCCCACTACATACTCTAGCTACATTCTAGTTAGTACTACCTAGCTGATCCAAAATCCCTCGAGAATCGGATGGAACAAAGAAACATTGGAGTTTTGTTTGTATGTACTCCGTAAATAAAAACTCAAAAAAAATCAAACACACCCACATCTACATCCACATCCACCTCGAATCCATCACCCACCTTCTCAAACAGGCCATCGTCAGAAAAGAAAAGAGAAAAAAAAAGAATATCATTGACACTAAAAACCTGCACACATATGTACATATGTATGGTGGTGGAACCCCGGAACCCCGGAGCAAACCCATATTCGACTCTGCAGAAGAAAGAAAGAAAGGAAAAATGTCCACAAAACCAGCGTCCACCTGGGTAGAGTCCACACATGCGTCCACACTTCTGCACCTCCAACTCAAGTAACAGGCCGAGAAAAAAGAGAAAAAAGAAAGAAAAGCCCACAGCAAGCGCCCGGACACTTGCGCCCGCCCGCGCCGCGTTCGGCCCGCTGTCGGGCAAGCCCGCTAGACGAAACCTTGGACTTCACGTTGGCTTGGACCTGGCTTAGGCGTAGTCGTGGATGTAGGCTTGGACTTTGTCTCAGGTCTAGGTCTATCTTTCTTTCGTTCTTACTTCCCATCGCCCATACATTCCCCTCCAATCTATATTCTATTAGATACGTCCTCCCCATTGACCCCTTCGTGTGTCTCTTCCGGTCTTCAACCACCCCTTTGGTTCACCTTGTGGGTAAGAGCATAGTTTGGTACGGGTGTTGGATTGGGTCGGGACGGGACTCCGCCACAAGTCCCAGTCCCAGAACCAGAAAAGCAGAAGACGCAGAACTTTGGTACGGTACGGAGAAAATGTGTTCGATTGGGTTTAGACCGGGGGTTCACTTAAATGGAAATGAGGAATGAACCAGATATTGGGAATCTCTGGTCCCAAAAAATGGGGAAATATTTCCCTCCAGGGCTTTTCCAAGCTCCGAATCCTTTTCTCTCCGAGGTTAGATTGGGTTGGCTAGTTAGTTAGTTAGGTACCGGTCACCTCTTCCCAAAAAAAATAATTATTAATTTAATTATTTTTGGAGGGGTAAGGGTAAGGCGGCGCCCTTTTGGGTCCATTGTAGTTCGATTCATTTCTCACCTTCCTGCTCTGGAAAGGAGCGTCAGGAATCCGATTCCATGGGTTTGTTATATGTGGCGTGAGACTGGTTGGGCCATTTTTAAAGTTACTAGGACTCCTTCTGGAAGTTGATTTACTAGAAGTGGTTGCAGAATGAATGGTCCGAGGCTTGTCCAGTATATGGATGAAATTGGATCCATGGCGATGAGGGTCTGCCACATGGTTGAAGTAGTAGTCTAGCCGTTGTTAGAAGGTATGTGTTTTTTGGGGTTACTAGTATACTAGTGCTAGTAGTTACTACTATACTAGGCGGGTCAGTATGATGTTAGGGCATGGGAGCTTCGGGGATCAACTTCCAATGGCTACTACATAGTTGTAACTTGGGTAATCTAAAGTGCTTCAGAGTATGGTAATCGTTGCTCTGATAGATTTGGTCTGGCTTTTACTATTATCTGGGTCCATGCGAGTGTCAGCGCCAGTGCCAGTGATAGTATGAACGAATTCCCAAGTGGAATGCACTGGGACCTCGGGAGTACATATTAGGTACTAGTAGTACCTGGAGGATATATATCAGTTACCACTGGCAGTACTCCAAATCTCCAGGGCTGAACTTAACTTTCAAGGTTCGAACCTAAACCTAATAGCTCTGAGAAAGTAGAAATCATCAAAAGTAATTTTCTGATGACACTATGTTCGAGTTAATGGTACTATAGTAGCACTAGTATGATCCGTATGATGTATTGCATACTCACAAGTCTTATCCAACAATGGATGAGCGCCACCAGAACCGTGCTCAAGAGCAAAGACCCCAAGCGACGTTTCTCTCAGCCATCCCTTGCATATATATGCTTACTAGGTAATGATGCCCAACTTCAAGTACGATATTAGCAATAGGGTTCTGCGCGGGTGATCGGTGCGGGCTGCCAGTGTCCGCCACGTGCAGCAACCGGCATCTCGCACCTCCCCTCGCAGCCGTTGCCAACATCATCTCCGTTCAATCTACCCCTACCATTGGCCATGGACTGCTGTCAGACTCATCGTGATCATGCGTGATTTTCAAAAGCGTTTAATGGTTACCATGGTACGCTACAGACATTTGATATCGAATCCGGATTGATGCATCTACATGCGATGCCAACGCCAACACCATCACCATCACCAACACCAACACCAACACCAACACCAACACCAACCTCAGCACGATCCTAGCGGTCGCACCGGGATTACCCCTACAAATCAGGGAGATCGCTCATGCGCCGGCAAGCAGCATCCCGAGAAAAAGAAAAGAAAGCAAGGAAAAAGCAACGTGATCATCCCGCTCTGCACGACACCCTGCACTCATTTCGCTCCGAAGCGAGTTGGAATCGCAACTGTGTCACCACCAATTTGCATTTGCATCACCCAGGATACGCCTTGGAGATCAAGCCCATCACACGACCCCGGTCATGCTGTCAATATACTTTCAACTCTGCAGAACTATCACATCACACCCAAACATCCCCCATCTCCGCCTCCCTTGGAGCCACGTCAGATCGCGAGAACAGAGCGTCCCAGGGCCGATTGTGAATGGCTGAGCGTGTTCCCGTGACCGTTCAGCCATGCGGGCTGCGCCTATTAGTGCCCGACCGGCTCCATCCCTGTTGATAGACGCGCTTCCGTGTGGGTAACCAGAAAAAGGAAAAAAGGGCAAAAAAAAAAGAAAAGAAAAAAACAGGGCTCCAAAGTCAAAGGCCTCGGACCAGCCCGAAAATAACCAGACAACCAACCAGAACGACAAGAGGCGAATACGATATCCCCAAAAACTAGACCTTCAAAGAAAACCGGAGAAAGGGAACGTCGTAGCCTGCGGTCGGGCGGCCATTGGGTCCCCAAGTCGACGCTCAGTCCCTCAGTTGGGTCCATGCCGACTAGCGCGTCCCCAGGACAAACCGCATCGAGTGGCCAGCGATTTTGGGTCGGGTGGACCCCTGGAGATGGCGGAGGTTTTGTATACACAGGTCAAGCTGAATAGGCCACGCCAGAGAGTGGAGTGTAACGGAAAGGCGCGGGCGTGCACGAGCGAAACAAAAATGGAGAAATTGAGGGGGAAAAATATCATCAAAAACCTCCCCAAAAATCGACAGAGATCCGAGAAAGAATTATTCAATACCAGTGGCGGGACAGTGCAGAAAGGCAAGGGCAAGAAATGTATCAAAATTTTTATTTTTTTTTCATCAAAAAAAGAGGCCCTCGGCTGATATGAGATGGTTCATGGCGGGCGCGAATCATCTTTTTTTCTTTTTTAAAAAAATCCAGATGGCACACATGCATGAGATCGGCGGGAAGACCGGAGCGGCCCGTGGGACAAGTACCCCGACCATCAGCGCAAAAGTTCGCAACTGTCCATGACCCGGTGGCTGCCAATGCCATCTTCTTCTCCCTCTCACCACCCACCCTGGTGCAAGTTTCACCATGGTGGAAATGGGAGGCCCCGATTTGATCCAGGATGACCACCCCGAGATCCAATCATATCCAAAAATCCACCATCCACAGAACTAGAATCATCCTGGTTCCCACCTTTCTCCTCTCTTCCCTTCCCCCCTCCTCCTTTGCAACATCGTTATGGGTGGCCCACACACCGGGATTAGCGGTGACGGAGGGCCACTTGCGCCGCCCCCGTACAACGTGGTTGTGGCTCTGGAACAAGGAACCCGCCCCCTGTCAGCGGTCAACGCAGCGCTAATGCAGGTTACCTTGACTCATGATGGGCTTTCCGGATCCAGTGCTACAGCCCTGGGAACTTAGGGCCCTCCACTTCTGTACTCGCTACATCCACTCCGGCCAGCAGTGAGAGGGAGGGGGCTCCGCTCTTGTCACCAGACAAGGACGGTTCTCGTCTCGTATTGGGAAATGGAGGGTGGCGAGGGCTGAACTCCACTCGTCAGCTGAAGTCTGATCGCCACTTCACACCGCCTCGGCTGGCGCTGCAGGCGTGGGATGGATGAGGGGAGAAGTTCGATAGTACATGCAGTAGCTTCATGTACTTGGCCGGGAGAAGAAGATGGGATGGGCCCTTTTGTGTGCTTGGGGGGAGAGTTCGCGCCGTCCCAGTCCTGCTGTAAGTACGAGAAGGTTGTAAATTGTGGCTGCCCTGTGTTATGGGGGGTGATGAGCTTTGCTGCTTTTTTGCTGCAACTAATCCTCTCTTGCACACACTGTCCTGCGTATTCCCGCTTGTCTCTTTCCCCCTTTGAATTTTCTTTCAATTTTTTGTCTTTGATTTTCTCCAAAGATTGATTGGGTCACAACCAAATCCAGATTTTCGCCCCGACCCGAGCCCATCGCCATGGAAGAGAATCCTGGTTCCGCGGGCCCGGTTGCGGTTGTGCGACGACGGTCCGAGTCGCGCTCGCCCATGGTGGATCGTTGGTCCGCGCCAGGGATCACGGAGGAATATGACGATCGGTAGCTGGCAGCAGCCGGGTCACCAAGTTACGAAGTCACCAGATCTCCAAGTTTTAGTCTTGCATCTGAGTCTACTGACATCTACTAGCAGCATCACCACTACCACTACTCCGTACGAGTATACGAAGTACCATAATCGTCTCGTACTAACCGAGCATCTCCATCCTATCCCCACCGGCTTACCTGTTCAGCTGATGCCCTAGCGTCAAGAGGGTCCCCCGTCCATGTCGACGGGTCACTGGCGCTGCTTTAGCCCGCGCTGCCCGGGCTCCACCCCGTTGTCTAAAAAATCCTGGCGCCAGTTCCAATCAGAAAATTGCATTGGGTGCTCTTCGACAGCGTCCAAGCAGTTCTACTGGCAGCGGGCTCTGGGATTGGTGTTGCTGGTCCTAGGACTAGTGACGGCCCTCGCCCGTCTTTTCCAGAACTGCTTATCGTCCCGGTCCATTTGATTTATTGAATTTATTTGAATTTATTTTATTATTTGAATATTCTATTTTATTATTATTTTTTATTAATTTCCATTCCATTCCCATTACTCCCCCAACTGTGTACTGTTATCCCATCTCTTCCATCTCTTCCATCGTGCTCACGTCATAATCCGAGGCTCTTTTTGGTTTGGTCCTCTTTTCTTCCTCCTTCTTTCTTTTCTTACCTTTTTCCTTTTTTCCTTTCCTTTTTCCTATTCCTTTTTCTGATCGTTTCCTTTTTGTCTTTTCTATTTTCGATTTTCCTATTTTCTTTTTTTTCAGTCCCTTCCCCTCTCCTCTCTCTCCAACCCTCATCTCTACCGAATTGGTTTCCTCCTGCAGCTACCTTTTTCCCCTGCGTGACCGCGCTATGCTGGCGTTGTCCGTGTGATTCGACTCGTCCCCCTTTCATAACCCGACGTCACTGTCCTGTATCTGTATCGGTATCTGATACTCCGTACTGGTACTTCTTGACTCATCTCACCTCATCTTCTCTCCTCCCCTTCCTCCCTCCCACAAATGTCCGGTCCTCCGCCCCCCAATGGTCCTCCGGACTTCGATCCTAATCGACAACCATATCCACCTTGGAACGGTCAGGGTCAATCACCCGAGGATCACCAACACCAACCTCCATATCAGGTATGTTTGCTTTATTGATGCGCTGTCTGTGTGTGCCGCGCTGTGCTATGTGAGCTGTATTTATCTCAATGCTAACATTCCTTCCCTCTGTGTCAAGTACCCGCCGCCGGGCTCATCTTATCCTCCTTCCGATCAAGACCGCGCCTATTATCCTCCACCTCAATATCCTCCCCCAGGAAGCATGGCGGCCATTCACCCACATGCTCAAGCTCCAGATGCCTATCGTCTCCCTCCTCCACCGGGTGCTTACCGCCCCGATCCCTACGGCCAACCTCCCGCGACTCAGGTAGTTCACTATCAAGCCGCAGCGCCGCGCCAGAGAACTGCCATTGCCTGCCGGTACTGTCGCCGTCGCAAGGTATGTGGATGCCGATTCCATGCGGGGATTGACGCGCTTGTTTGGGCGTCTTGAAAAGAGAATGAGAGGAAGGATTGCTGACGAGCGATATTGTTTAGATTCGCTGCTCAGGATTTGAGACCTCCACCGATGGTCGCTGTACCAACTGCATTCGATTCAACCAGGAGTGCATGTTCACTCCCGTTTCCTCACAGGCACAGGCCTTTGTTCCCGCGCAAGTCGCCTACCCTCATCTCCGCAACCAACAGGCTGGCGGCCGCGGCAGCAACCCTGGAATGACGCTCTACGGTGCCCACGGCCAGCCGCTTCCCCCCCAGCAGCAACCTGACTCGACCCTTCCGCCGCCTCAAGGGATGTATCATCCATATGGACGACCTCCCATGGATGGTGCCCCGCAGCCCCTTGCGTCTTCCATGCCGGATCCGGTAAGGCAGTTCATTCTAGCACCCACCCATAACCTCGGATCTAATGTAATGTTTTGATTGTGCAGAGACAAGGCCGCCGAAGCTCTGGATCGGGATTCGACTATCCGGACCCGACCAACCTTGCGCCCGTTACGCCCGCGTCCACTCCGGGATACCAAGCTCACACCGCTCCTGGCCCCTACTATCCTACACCGCACGATCGGCGTACCTCGCCGCAATCTGGCTACGGTTATGATGCACGCCACTCCTCCTCGCCTCACAGCTCTCCTTATCCTCCAATGACGCAGGGCGGCCCGACTCCACCCCCCACTTCAACTCCCGGCGGCTCGGCACGGGGCGGCTTGAATGTGCGGGACATGCTCAACCCCGGCAACAACGATCCTTCGCAAGGACGCTCTAGTACCGACAGCGACATGCTCAATGCGTTGAATCGCCGTGGCCCCCAGTAGAAATATCTCAGCTATACCTGAGACATCAACTGGGAGGAAATGGCGAGAAAACGCGACGGGAATGCGGGGACTGCGGAAGGAATGAAACTCGTGTGCTGGCCACACGGTTTTAAGGGAGAAATCCATGTGTTTTGGATTATGGTGACATGGGAAAAGGGCAGCATGGCCATATCGGAGCAATCCAGTTGGATCGGAATTTATCGACGAATCTCTTGTTTCACAAACACACACACCCTCAATCTCGCTTTGGAATTTGGAACTCTCCCTTCGGATCGATCAGAGACGCCCCAATGGAACGCGACAAAACAATTTTCTCTGTGCCCGTGCACACGAATCGGAATCCTAGAATGGAGGGTTGAAACATCTTTCCCGAGATATGTGACGAATTTGCTTGCGAGTGGATTATGACGACGACGATCGAAATTTCCTTTTCTTTCTGCCTCTGATCCGATGGCTAATGCCTGGAGGTACGAAGCCACTTTGAAACGCGGACCCATGAGCTTTACGAGCCGCACGAACATTTTTCTTTTCTTCTTCTCTCTACACATTCAAGATTGCCAGGACCAATGTGCTCTGGTTTTGGTTATTGACATACGACTTTTCTTTTCGATTTATTCTCTTACAATATTTCGTTTTCTCCATCGACTCTGGTTTAATTGTGATATTTGGAAGAAACTGTTGCGTCGACAAATGAATTGGGTGGGGAAGTGAAGGGAAGGGACTAGGTCTCGCAATCTGCGAATCACTTGGGAAGAATTGGCCCTCCTTGGCTGGTTTATCAAGGTGTCACATTCCAAGTCTCTCCGGAAATTGCACACCATCTATCCGCTCCCTCCCCCGATCCAAACTACCATGGCCAAATTCGAACGTCCAACCTGGTCCGACCCAACACGCACAGGCAGACAGAACAGCAAGACCAGGCTCCATGCATCACGATCAACGAATACATCCATCACACTCTTAACACACCCACACTCAACCTCCACCATATTACATCATCTCGCCTCCGTGCTCTACACCCCAAACGGCGGCAACAACATATACTTGTCACAAATTTCGGGGCGGCTACTTTGACTACTTTGCGTCTGCGTTTACGGTTCGGTTGATTCTCACTCGGGATTTTCTTCTTATCATTTCACTTCATCTTTTTGCGCACTCGGTTTCATTCCCTTGTTTCATCTACTTTCAACCCGTATATCTTTTATTTCCCGGAAGGCAATCTCGAAATTCGCGTTCGGCATGTCATGCAACAAAAGATGGTCGGCTGTGTGAATCTTTTACCTCCAAGTTTTTTCTGGTTGTTTTGTTGGTTTTTTGTTGCAAACTGATTTACCCTCGATCTCCGCAGGTCTTTTGTTTTGTTCTGTGTTTTTGCCAGCTTGTTTTTGCCATGCGCTATTACTTACTCGATGCGGCTTTTTGTTTATGCTTGTGGTTTTTCTTTTTTTTGTGTCCGTTTACAAACTTACTGGGAGGCTGTCTGATCACTCTTTGTCTTTTACTCGTTACTCACGCTTTGCATGTCTTTCTATTTATCTCCATCTATCTATCGATGCTCCACCCATATACGTCGGTAAAGTGCTTTATGCGCTGTTCTGTTCCCTTACGGACAAATCAACTGGTGTGAGAATCTCGTCAAACCGAGAACTATCCATTTACTTCCATTCTTGATCTGTAGATTATACCTGCTTTGAGCTAGTCTGACTTGTCTGGTTAAGTCAAGTTCAGTGTTAAATCCAATTGTAACGAGCAGAACAAATCGAATACCACGATACTCCTGCACAGCTTCCAAGGTACAGTATACCATACCTACACCTCTTCTCAAACCAAAGCTCTGCAATATCCAATGCATGTATTACATGCACAGCACCTCCACGCAGAGCCAATAAAAAGCCAACTCTCGCACAAACGTCAAGATAAGCGCAGAGCGGAAGGATCCCCGCGTAACCTACTAGACGCAGACGCTGGAAAGGGAAGACTGACGTCCATATTAACTTGGGTACTTTTGCTTAACTTGTTTAATTGGATGGGGCCGCTGGTATTTAGGGCTGATCTAGTCATTGGACTTAGCCGCGCTGATTATAAGCGCCTTGGACGCGACCTCTTGAGATGGTGCCGGCCGGTTCCTCTGGGTTGAGGGTGGTTTGTTAATACTCACTAGTTCCTATGTACTAACTAGTATATAATATCTGGTTCAAGTGGCTTGCCGTTCTGATTGAGTATTTGTATTGGATACCCTGTTTATTATTGTGGTGCTGTGTCTGATTTGTGATGGTGGAATACTACTAGCATAAGGGGTAGTTGGAAGTAGTGAAGTGTAGTGCAGTGTAGTGAAGTATGGTGTATTCAAACGTGCTATCGTGGCTTGGTTCAAGCATTAGAATGGACTATGATGGCTGTTTTCCATTATTAAAAATCACTATTTCTGACTAACTATAGCTGGCCAACTTGGATATCAGAAAGTGTTGATGCTTTTACATTATGTTGAAGATGGGGTCCGTTGCATTGCAATTAAATATTGGAATATGGATCACTTATTTGAGATCAGTTGCTAAGAATCGTGACCTCGGGGATTTTATTGTTCTTCTTTCAAGATGCTACGTATTGAGTAAAGTCCTCATCGGACTCGAGGGAGAGAGAGACGAGGATTTTAAACTTAAACACGTGCTTAATTCCATTGTCTCGATACACTATAAAATTTCCAACTACCATTTTCCCTCGCTTAAAGAAATATATTCAACCTGACCGGTGCTTCGATACAAGAAAAAGCGAAAGGAATGGAGTGCATTGTGCGCAATGAAGAGAATGTTGGTGTGGAATCGCTGCGTGGGCCTTTTGTAGAGTTGCAGTTATGCCCATCAGTGAAGATAGAGACACTGATCACGCACCAGACCGACTGGGATATTGCATTAACTTAAGCCCGCTTGCTCTCCTGACTCTATAGTCTGCATATCTTGAGGGTTAGCAGTATTCTTGGTAGTTTACTTGCATGCGGTGATGGTGAAATATTAGAAACATCTCTCACATTGTAATGAATGGGGCAAAATTCATTATCAAGTCACGCCGCTGTGAGTAGGCTATTATTGCATGCCATTCTATGTATCCAAGCAAGATTTATGAGCGATAATCAGAACAATCTGTGGCAAAAACATCTACGACTGGTGAGTAATGGAAGCCTTGCAAAAGCAAATAACATGCCTTTGAAAGCGCTAGTACGAAAAGGCTTCATCGTAGGTAAATATTCTTTGGCTAGAAAGATTGCTTATACAAGGAGGAAGGCAGGTCATGGGTATGGGTGCCGGAGCTCGGAGCAACCCTGTGATAGAAAATGGTAGGAAACGCATCGCAATTTAATCAAACTAGTATCCAACGTTAGCCCTCGATCGAGATAAGAATCAGCAAGCAGGGCAAGACTTACCGGAGTCAAGAAAGATTCGGCCACAAATCGTGCACGTGCATTCAACTATAAAAAAGCAGGTTAGTATGTGGCCAGTTCAGGGCGAGTTTTCAACACGGGATACGCACAAACAACTTCATTTCCGACACTTCCTTATCCACTTCTTCCATGAAGGTGATAATAAACTCGACAAGTTGGTGCTTAAGAAGATGCTCTGTGTGATAGTTCGTAACCAAAAAGCTGATATCGTATCCCTGATAGTGACGGCTGTTAGCAAAGACCAGGCCACGAAAGAAGTAGACCATGATTGCAGGAACGAACCTTTACGGGCTTCCTTCGGAGGATGAAGAATGACTCGGCTCGCTGTTGCAGGAAGCGGGTGAACTTGTGGACCAGCACTTTCTCGATTTCGTCCGCTTGCTTAATGCTCAAGCTTATTCTGACTGAGTTGACGGAAGGCTCGATGTCTGGATAACAGGTCAGCCCACTATCTTGGAAGGGGGAGAGATACTTTGTGGATCTCAAAGATAGGGATTGCGACGTACACAGCTTCTCATGTTCATTACGGCTGATGGTGATACTGGGATCATGGTTAATAAGGCTGCCTGGTCGTTTATATGCCGGTGCGCATTGGGGATCTCACGGGTTGAGGATCAGCTCAGGAGAGGACTTGGCTTCGATTTCAGGAACATTGTGACGCTCGGAGGTCTGCGAAGCGAAGTTGGAGATCGCAAGGGCGGCGGTGAGAGATGACCGACAGCATCTAGGCCCATGTTAGCACGTGTTGTTTTGTTGAAGCCTAGATGACGAAATGTAGCTCACTGAAGGTAGGGTCGCAGAGATTGAGACTAAAAAAATAGTCAGCTATTGTCAACGCCGCTCAAATACACATGGTAACATACCATGATGGGCTATGGATCCAACACAATTGGAGGGCGAAGGAAGTGTCTGAGCTCTTGAGACGAGGGGAAGTTGAGGTCCCGCGCGGCCGCGGAGAGGCGGAGGCGGTGGGGGCTGTGAGCGGTGAATGCGGTGAAGACGATGACGGTGGGTGGGCAATTCTGCCTGACAATTCAGGCAGAGAAGCTTCGCCGCCTTCCATCACCTTCCCCGAAGGGTTGTCGAGCTGTTTACTCCCCATCCCCAACCTATTCTTCCCATTTTTGATCTTTACTGCCCCTCGTCACTATGGCGTCCATCCCGAGTAAGTGGTGACATATCGATCCCTAGCTTCAGAACCCCGGCATTCCGGCTTGCCCTTCCCCCGCTAACTGATCGACAGTCATTGTTAAGCACGCGGGCAAACGCCACGAAGTTGAGCTCGATCCCACCTCCAACGGCGAAACATTGAAATACCAGTTGTTTTCCCTTACCGGAGTCGAACCGGACCGTCAGAAGGTACTCGTGAAGGGTGGCCAACTCAAGGATGATACTCCACTGTCCTCCCTCAAGGCCAAGCCAGGCCAGACCTTCATGATGATGGGGACCCCATCAGGTGGTCAGGGAGACGCAGACCTAGGCCGCCCGAAAGAGACAATGAAATTCCTCGAGGATATGACAGAAGCCGAGATTGCTCGACAAGACGGAGCTACACCTGCCGGCCTGCAGAACCTGGGCAATACCTGCTACTTGAACTCTACCTTGCAAACACTGCGAAGCGTCCCTGAGTTGCAGGAGGAGCTTCAGCGTTATCGTCCGAGTCGTGCTGGCCAATCCGGTGGCCTGTCCGATCTGAGCAGCTTTGGCCTTGGAGGAATGGACAGCTCCAGGGATATGGCCGCGTCTCTTCGAGACCTGTTCAAGCAAATGTCGGAGACACAGGAAGGAATTCCCCCTCTGATGTTCCTCAATGCCCTCCGTACCGCTTTCCCACAATTCGCCCAACGAGACCGCAATGGAGGCGGCTATTCCCAGCAGGACGCCGAGGAGGCTTGGTCGCAGATCGTCAACCAGCTGCGTACCAAGCTGACCATCACCGACGGAGCTGGAGAAGGTGCTTCTCAAACTTCCTTTGTCGACAAATACTTCGCGGGTCAGTTCGAGTCGGCTCTCGAATGTGATGACCCCGGGGCCAAGGAGGCAGGCGAAGAACCGACTAACTCATCCGATGTCTTTTTCAAGTTGGATTGTCACATTGGAAAGGAGATCAACCACCTCCAGGATGGAATCAGGGTTGGTTTACAAGAGCAGATTGAGAAGCAATCGCCTGTGTTAGACCGCAATGCGCTGTACACAAAGAAGTCGAAGATTGCTCGACTGCCCAAATATCTTACTGTACACTTTGTTCGTTTCTTCTGGAAACGCGACACCCAGAAGAAGGCCAAGATTATGCGAAAGGTCACATTCCCTGCCGAGCTCGACATTGTGGAGTTCTGCACCGAAACTCTTCAGAAACAGGTCATCCCTATTCGTGACAAGGTTCGGGAGATCCGCAAAGACGACATCGACATCGAACGCTCTCGCAAGCGCCAGAAACTGAGCCAGAAGCAAGAGGAAGAGCAGAGCAAGGAAGAGAAGGGAGGCGGTGGCCAGAAAGAGCCAATGCAGAAGAAGAAGGAAGCTCAAGAGGCCGCAGAGAGCAAGGGGAAGGCAAACGACAAGGACGGTGATACCAACATGGAGGAGAACTTCAAGACCGATGCCGAGTATGAAGCAGAGAAGTTGGAGGCGATCGCGTCCGCTAAGAAGGAGCTTTATGAGTTGATCAAGCAGAACGGCTCCACAGACAGCGGTACCAACCCGTCTGGTCTGTATGAGCTACGCGGTGTGATTACCCACCAGGGAGCCAGTGCGGACAGCGGTCATTACACTGCCTATGTCAAGAAGCAAGCTCGCCCCGACAACTCCCAAGCCGGTAGCAAGCGCCGTGACGAGGAGGAGGATGATGGCAAGTGGTGGTGGTTCAACGACGACAAGGTCACCGAAGTTGAAGCTGAGAAGATTGAAACTCTTTCTGGTGGTGGTAAGTGCTTTTGGCCTGGTATTATCTGAATTCCTACTGACAGCATTGACAGGCGAATCCCACTCGGCCCTGATCCTGCTCTACCGTGCCATTGAGCTCCCCAAGCAGGAGTAATTTCTCAACTAATTTGATAACTATTCACCCCCTAGTATGCGACAAAAAATACGCCTCTAGATGAATAGAAACGACGATTATGAGTTGACGTTGATGTTGATGTTGATGTGGGTGGGGAAGCTTGGGAATCCAACTAAAGTGGTTTATTCCGATAAATACTCTACTGTAGATGCAATGGGACTATGATTGACGGGACTCTAACTTTGTAATAAAAAACAACTTCATTGAAGCATATCCTCTGCAATGCATGTAATATGTAGAAATAAACATACAAAAGCTCCAGAGAAACTATCGAGGAAGATGATATCACGTGACCACGAGCCTCGGTCCCGCGACTTTCAATCCACTCGACGTGGACAGCTTCACTTCTCTGGTAAACGGTGATGTGAACACAATGAATTCTCCTCGGATACTGCAGTTGCCACGGCGCATCCCCTCGACTCGCGCATTCGTTTCCCCCCGATCCTCACTACGAACCCTGAGCACTGGCGCACAACAGACTACCTCGGCCCCATCATCACCATGGACACGGCGACTTATCTATGTCGGGATATTCGGAGGTCTGGGCATTGGAGTTGGGAAATTAATAGGGCAAAGGATCGCGCCACCACCAGTCCCAGGGTCTCCCGAGGACCAGAAGCAGCTCGAGAAACTCGAACGGGCCTATGAAATCGGACTCCCGATCGTGAAGCAATTACGAGACGACCCGGATTATGTCGAATCAGGCGTATACGAATACTTTTCGGACGAACAAAAAGCCCATCGTCTGACCTCTGGACCCTTGGCTGGGAGCAGGGGATTGGGACTACAGGTACGTTTGCCTTGTCAAGTTTCATGGCAGCGTCAACGCGGGCATCCTTCCTTGTCTTGGCTGGTTGTTCGCTCGCAATCAGTCCCTCTTTTTCCCGAATGACTTGCAACTGCCGAAGCTGTTAAATGCCGAACCTCGGGATCCCGTCTACAATGTACTAACCCGTTTCGTGAACCGACAGAAAGTATTCTGGAACGACAAGGATCAGAAGATCGTTAGCGTCGTGGCATTTGGCTCCGGCATCGAAGGATGGCCAACTATGGTGCATGGCGGTGCACTTGGCACCGTACTTGATGAGAATCTCGGACGTGCTGCGATACGACGTTTCCCGGCCCGTACTGGTGTCACTGCGAACCTCAACATAAACTACCGCGCGCCCGTCTACTCGGATAACTTCTACTCCCTGCATACAACCCTGGACCAAGAACGAAGCACGGACCGCAAGGCTTATGCCAAGTGTGAGCTTCGTGATATGACAGGGCGCGTGTGTGTGGAGGCGTCTGGCCTTTTCGTTGTTCCTAAGAAGCTCCGGCTGCGAACGATTGGAGAGACCTTTTGAGTGGTGGTCCCATGAACAGGAAATATCCGGGGAATCGCGATAATCATTGTGGGGATGGATGTCCAAGCGAAGTGTTATCGTGATGGACGCGCTATCCACTTCGTGGGGACCCGCTGGGGATAATTTTCCGCGGTTCATTTTTAAGTGATGATTCACTGGAATGGACAATAGCTATATGCCTCTCGGCTCCTTCCACTGTATCGTGCTAGAGCTAATTATAGGTGACCAGTACTTGGTTCCTGCCGTTATATACCCTGCCAATACCTGTACGATTCTATCTATTGCTGCAGATGTATGTATTATATTGATGTTAGTTACTTAGGCTTAAGCACAATGACATCGTGCAGTGGCAGTGCTCCTTTCCAAGCGAATCAGATGAACCAGACAAGCCTCTAATCTCAACAGGATACAGTTTCGGGGCTGATCCCCATTGTGGCACTTTACCCGGGGAGAATCGAAGCCATCACTGACGGCCTCCACTTTTCTCCGCGTTTCACCCCGCATTTTCCTACCCGAATCCACCGGTCGAGTCGCCCCAACTCGTCCAAGTCTCCCAAGTTCCCCTAAGCATTTCGGCCAAGAACCTGACCTGCCTCGGTATTTTCTCGATTTTGAACTCGTCCCTCCCGGCTATCGCTTATCTGCACCACACCTTGCGTGTTCGTTTGGAATGCATCCCGCTTGGTCCCCCTATTGGTGACTCCCTCCCCGGACGGACCCGCTATGGCAAGTGATGGCCTCTCGTCTAGCCCGTCACCGCACTGTGTCATGATTTCAGAATTGCTAGCTATGTTGCATCCTGGTCAAGGGTATATCTATCCAGGGTCCCACCTCCCACCTAAACGTGGGGATTGACTACGCGCCAGTGGGATTGACTACTGGCCTGTCTTTGCTTTTTCTTTCTACTTTACTTTTTCTTTCTACTTTTTTTTCCCTCCCAGTCGCACTCTGCGCTGAGATTTCTTTTCAATTCCAAACGTTCCCCTTCTTATCCTCCTGAAAGTGCCCCACAATGACAGGTGCTGTGGAGGACCCATGTCCGGTTGGACTGGATGAGAAGGCTATCCAGCACCATGAGAGTACCCATAGTCACCAGGAGGTGGTTGGTAGCGATCATAGTAATGATGCAGAGCTTCATGAGTCGGAGAAGGATATCCCGGTTAGCAAATACCCCCTGAATCATCAGAGTTTGGCCCCATACTAATATGTAAATTCTAGATGACCTTCCGACGCTTCATGGGATTCACAGCCATGGCTTTTCTGTGGACTGGAAGTCAGATTCCAGTGTATCTTTTTGGTATGAACAAGATGTCATGAGTGTATAAACACAGAAGGCGCTGACGAGTTGATAGGTGGCATCCCTCCCTATATCTATGGAGCCATTGGTGGAGCAGACCGATGGGTCTGGTTTGTAAGATAACCCCTTCTCTTCCTCTATGCTTCAGAAGCTGACATATTAATTGATAGGTCCTTGCCAACTTGCTTAGTCTCGCCGCCATCTGCCCCTTCGTCGGATCCTTGTCTGATCTGTTCGGTCGCCGTTATGTCGCGATCGCGGGCGCTGCCCTCATTTGTTTGGGCATGATCGTTAGCAGCACGGCCAACACCATGAACATTTTTATTGGTAGGCATATTTCGAAAAAGTTCCAGGCTTAAATACACAGTGTGAGGCTAATTAGAACTTAGCGGGCATGGCGATTGCTGGTGCTGGTGCTGGTATCAACGAATTGACTGCCCTGGCGGCCACCTCCGAAATGGCACCAACTCGCAAGCGCGGCGTTTATGTCGCAGCTCTCATTTTCTCCATTGTGCCATTTTGCCCATCTGTGCTCTATGCCCAGCTTATTGCATACTATAGCAACTGGCGATATGTTGGCGCGTTCTGTGGTGCGTGGAATGGATTTGGTCTGCTAGTCACGGTCTTCTTCTATTTCCCTCCTCCTCGAACCAACTCTCTTGGGCTGAGCCGGAAGGAGATCATCAGCCGTATCGATTTCGTCGGTGGTTTCTTGAGTATCACCGGTTTGATTGTGTTCTTGGCAGGTCTGCAGTGGGGCGGTTATATGGTAAGTCTTCATGTCACACCTTTAACACTGTATAATTACTAATATTTCTTCAAGTACCCATGGTCTTCTGCCCATGTCCTTGCCCCATTGATCATTGGTTTCGTCCTCTTGGTCGCATTTGCCTTCTGGGAAATTTATGGAGCCAAATACCCCATCTTCCCAACTCGACTGAAGCAAGAGCCTCGCACTCTAGGTCTCACCCTTGTTATCACATTTATCTCGGGCGCAAACTTCTTCTCCGTGCTGATGTTCTGGCCGACCGAATCTTTCAATGTATATGGCCATGACCCCGTTGATGTCGGCATTCGAAGTCTGCCTGTTGGTTTCGGTATCTTGGCAGGAGCCTGCATTGTGCTTGTGCTTCTCAGTGTTTTCCGTGGACACAACAAGGAGCTATTGATTGTTAGCAGTGTTCTTATGACCGCCGGTGAGTGCTAGCGATAACTAGGTCCCTTAAAAGACTAAACACTAACTTGAATTCTAACACTAGGCTGCGGAGCTCTCTCAATTGGACGCGTTGATAACCTCTACCAACTTTGGGGACTTCTCGTACTAGCCGGTCTTGGAATCGGTGGTATCGTGGTTCCAGCTTCAATCATCACTACCATCATCTGTCCTGATGTAAGCCATTGCTATCTTGAGCTACTCAGAAACTGTACTAATTTCTGCTAGGATCTCATTGCCACGATTTCCGCTCTTACCTTGTCCATCCGTGTCGTGGGTGGTGGAGTCGGCTACACGATCTACTACAATGTCTTCATCTCCAAATTCGTCCCGCTGACAACACACTACATTGGCGGTGTGATGGCGACACAGCTCAATATCACAGATGTCGCAGTCATCACAGAGGTGATTGAACTCACCGGCGCGTCGCTACTAGACGAAATCAAGATGGTCCCCGGTATTGCTGGAAATGAGATGGCATATGAAGCGGTGGTTGCTGCTGGACAGATTGCATACGCAGAGGCATATAAATGGGTTTACTATGTCAGCATTGCATTTGGAATTGTTTCCATTCTGGCGTCTTGCTTCCTGGGCGATATCTCCAAGTACATGACCGACCATGTTGCGGTGGTGATGTGAAGATTGTTTATATTTACGGAAATTGTGTATCTATCTGTCGGCACGAAGGTTGAAATGGCCAAATTTGAAGTATGAGAAATGAATTCTAATATTTACATTCAAATGGTAACAATGATTCCGTACCTAGTAATGGATGCTTCTTTTCAAGTCTGTTTCCAGCTCCTCGGCTTTACATTGATCAAACCAGTTTCGACCCGTTAGATCGACTCAACTTCCGCTTCAACCAAGGGATCTCCTCCAGTGAATATCGATATGCCCGGAACAGGGCATTTGATTCCCCTGGAAAGATATTCGCGGTCACATTATCCGGGTATGGGGCAAAGTGAGGGTTCACATACTCCCAGCAGATATATCCATCCTGAGTAACCTCGAACAGACGACCAAAAGCACTTTCGCACAAAAGAGTATTGCCATTCGCCAGTCTTTGAGCACTTCCCATGAATGGTGTAAAGAAGTATAGCATCTGTGAGCGATCGCGATACTCCCAGACGATATTTTTGGTCGCTCGATCAACCTCGATTGCTCGAGTGTATGTGATAGATTCACCATTGCGGAACGCACCGTTGTCGAAGATGAGGATATTACCATTCTCCAACTCTGTAGCGTTATGCTGCTGTGCGAGGACTTCAGACCCGATTTTCCACACAATGTTGCCGGTGGACCTTTCAATAATGACGACGGCTGAAACGGACCGCATTGACGCGAGAATGTGTTTTCCGTCTCGAAGTGGTAGAACCGAGTTGATAAGAGGGTAGTGTTCACGCGTGTAGTGGGGCTGGAGAGGATATTCCGCTCTGGGTAGTCGCTCAGACACCTTCCATTCCCAAAGTAGATTTCCAGCTCCATCAACTTCCTTGATTGTGTCTGCGTAGGTGATTCCATCAACCTCAGTTTCTGGGACACCGCCAATGACCTTGGCTGAGTCTTCTGGTGACAGAGCTTCGAGAGAGGTATATAGGATCCTACCATCGCCGTAATGATACTGATCGTGATGGCCTAGCGAATCGGTGAATTGGCGAACGATGTTACCCTCCGGATCGAGCTCGGACATCACTCCTCCACCATATTTGTTGAAGAATAAAAACGGAAATGGCCCTCCATCAGAGGTTGTTTCTTTCGGGGCTGGTCGAAGTGTGTTGACTGCGAGGTTTCCATTCGGTAGAAGTCTTGCGTGACGGCCGATTCTACCAGGGAGCTTCCATGAATGAACCTCATTCCCATCTATGTCTACCAGATGGGCTGTGTCACTGGTGAGAGGACAGAAGAGAGTAAAGCCTCCGAAAGACCGTTGCTTGTCTACTCCAGTCAGGCCGACGCCTCGTCTCTTGAGGGTGTTCTGCTCCATGGTCGGCGCAGGCAAACTCGCGCTGTTGGCTCCGATTTTGAAAAATAAAAAATTGAAATTGAAAGATATTTCGATGAAGCTATTGATCAATAACTCAAAATATTGCGAAGATATGCGCCTGTTATAATTTTTATTCCATCGTGCTGCCAAAAAAGCCAACCGGCGGCATCCCGTAGGAGCCGCCGGCATGCCGTCGGCTTTGACAACGGAGGCCCCCTTTATCAACTGAGGGCCCACCTTCTGGGGCTGTCATCGAGCTTCGAGATAGGTGAAGCTGATAAGCACGCCATCTTGGCTTTCATGATATCTTCGAAGTTCCTAGAGGTTGGACAGTTGTACCAACTACCAGTGATGATCTGGGACCTTGACTCGTCAGCCAGTGAAAATGTATAAAATATCGTGGTCACCCATCAGAGGAAATCGCTTGGTGTTGAAACGACCGTGACACCGAGCTGTTCCTTATTATTGAAATTGCGATTAATGAGTTCTCGAATTCAGTTGCAGTTTCAACTTGTTTATGAATCACGTCGCCATGAGTTCTATATCCGAGAAAGACTCCTTCAGTCGATCCGGTGCCGATGAGCACAAGGTCGCGACTACTAGTGTTTTGGACGAGACTGTCAAAGTTCCAGGCTACGATGCGAGCCTTCAATTTGACCCGAGAGAAGTTCGAAAGGCCTTGCTCAAGGTGGACTTTTTCATTCTTCCTCCAATCGTGCTTTGCTTCTGCTTTCTGCAATTTGATCGTACCAACATTGGAAACGCCCTCACCGATTCCCTGCGAAAAGACATCAACGTTGGCAACACAGAAGTCAATCTGGCACAGACGCTGTTTACAGTCGGCTTCATAATCACGGAGTTGCCTTTCAACATGATCAGCAAGTATATTGGACCCGAGCGTTTTCTTCCCATCACAATGTTCCTTTGGGGAATTGTCACATGGTCACAAGTCTTCATGAAGAATGCATCGGGCCTTTATGCGACTCGTTTCTTTATTGGAGCACTTGAAGGTGGATATATCCCTGGATTTGCCCTCTATATCTCGAAGTTCTATACCAACCAAGAGCTCGCATTTCGATATGCCATTTTTTGGGCTGCGAATAGTTTTGCCGGGGCGTTGGGTGGGCCATTATCAATCGGCCTGCTCTCCCTTGGTGGAAGAGGCGGACTTCGCGGATGGCAATGGCTTTTTCTTATAGGTATGTAAATTGAAACCTACATTCATCTTGAGGACAACATCTGACGAATCTTAGAGGGCGTACTTACTTGCTTCTTGGGAGTTATTGCCTATTTATACTTCCCCCATAATGCCGCAAGACCCAAGTCTGTATTTGGCAAATCATTTTCAATTTTTACTGAACGCGAGGCATCTATCCTTGTCACGCGGGTGATATACAACGACCCGACGAAAGCACTACGATACGGAAAACCAGTTCTACCATCGCATATCTTGGACACTTTTGGTGACTGGAGACTATATGGCCATCTTGTGGCCGCTCTGCTATCCATGGTTATGATATCACCGATGAATACCTACGCACCTTCTATTATCAAATCTTTGGGATTTACTTCCTTGCAAGCGAATGGACTCAATTCGGTAGGCAGCATATGTGCCTTGATTTGGTCCGTATCGCTCGCTTTCAGTAGTGACCGATTTCAAGAGCGTGGGTTCCATATTGCTGCAGGGTACTTGTGGGGGGCTGTAGGTCTTTTGTGGCTCGCATTGGCACCAGAAAATGTTGGGAAATGGGTACTCTATGGTATGTTTGCCAAGAATGGAGAAAATAAATGACACGCTAATCAGCGCTCGCAGGAGGTGTCGTTTGGACTCAAATGGGGATGGGCAGTGCACAAGCCATCAGTGCGGCCTGGCTGACTACCAAAATGGAGGACTATAAGCGCCCAGTCGCTTTGGCTGCGTATGTCATGTGTATCCAGCTTGCGAACTTTCCCGGAAATCAATTGTTCCGCACACAAGGTATGATCGATTCGAGAATGATATCGGCATAGAGCTGAAAATTTCTGCAGATGCACCTCGCTATAAATACGGCTTGGTAATAGCCGCTGCTTGTGCAATTGCTGCTACTGTAGTTATTCTATTCTGGAAGTTGTTGTACCGACTATTTGATGGCGGAGATTCCGGAGTGGAGGCAAAGAATAGACATTCAGAGTTTCTGGATACAGACATAGACGTCTGAACTATCTGATTATCTGAGATTTAATGGAAGTATTCCAGAGGCTAAAATAAAATTGTATTTTCAAGGTAATCTTCTCCCGAGGTGGAATATTTATGTATAGATTGCTACTAGTTAGGCGTAGGAACATGAACTTAGATTTCAATCCGATAAGCAAATAACTTGGTTTTATAAAATACCAAGAATATTTCTTCGTTTTGAGTATCTACTAACTACTAGTAGTAGTATTGTAGTCGCTGGCTCTAGTAATTATCTTCTCAGTACAACACGTGATCAAGTATTGCGCCATTTCCTGTGGGGAACCATCACCAATAAGATGATCATTTCCACCCACTTCGTAGATGTTTGCTGAAATGCCCATATCTAGGCTAGCTGGAGCCTGAGGAAGTGCAATCCATGATATAATGCCACCGCTGCGCTTAGGAAGAGCTTCAAAAGCATGTGATCTATGTCGAAAGAACAAAACGCGTTGTTATGCCAAAGACGGGGTAGGCAATACCTGTCTCCGCTGTTATACTCTATCTCTTTCGTGTTCCCTAGAAGAAATATTTGATCCAGAATCGTCCAAATCACCATCTGGGCAACAACAGAGATATGGTACCAGTCCTAGACATTCTAGTGCTAGCCAACGGCTCTCTACAGATTCGAGGTATGCCTCGGAATTTCACTCCAGCCAGTCCAACTGACCACGGATTGACTGACTCTGAAAGATTAGACTCGAAAGACTTGAACGAGCAGTTGGAGCTTTGGTGGATCGCTTAGATACACAATCCAAAGATCGAGGAAATGCCTCGACGAACACCGATGAGGCTAGACCCGAACAACCGAGGGCACCAGCCGAGCCAAATCCAGCGCCCGTCATTATGATCCGTGAAGCTGCTACTGATGCTGGTGTTTCGTCTCCGGAGCAATTTGATTTGCTTTCAAGCAGCTTATCTGATGTGATATCAGCTGGATTGGTCACATCGGCCACTGCCCACTCATTACTCAAACTGTTGGTCTTTGATTCTCCAGCTGTTTCTCATTTGCTGATGGAGCTAGGTTTCGCGTCCACTATGGTCGTTGGGTCCGATTTTCTGAATATGTCTCGACCGAGAAACTTCTGACCGAAGTAAGAAAGTCACCGCTGCTACTTTGCAGCGTTCTATTAATCGCGGTGCGACATACAACACAAGAATTTGCAGATGAGCTCGCACCAAGCCTATTCCGCGAAGCAAAGAGTTTGGTTTCACGGGCTCTGCTAGTGGTTCCACAGTTTATAGAGCATTTCCAAGCCATCTTGATATTAAGTCTATGGTCTACGACAATTGGTCAACAACCTCTGAGCATCGATAGTTGGCTGTTGACTGGGTATGCGCTTCAGCAGGGATTCGCCAGTTCCTGTTTCCCTGACTTATCAAAACTCAGACCGGGACAGGAAATTGAAAAGAGCCAGGTTGATGCTTGGTGCCTCTGGAATCACCTCTGCGTTGCCCATTTACAGTAAGACCGTACCCATCTTATCCTCGCAGAAACACTGGCATATTCATCACTATTTATAGATACTGTGTTGGCACACGGAGACAGACAATGTTGACTCAGGAACATATTGATCGGTGTTCTCATCTTTTGGAAAATGGAAGCCTCAAAAATTATGAAGCGAGGATGGTAGCTGAAGTGAAGTTGTACTGGGTGATATACACAAAGTGCTGCCCACAAGGCTATCAAGTCGATTTACAAGATGCCAAACTCGCCTTGCAAAATTGGAAAAAGGAATGGGCAAACTTATTCGGTGATTGATATACAGCCCAAAGGCCAAATTCCGTATGCAAGTGTTAACGCTAATGTGAATTTAGACGAGCCTCGTTCTCAGTTCCTTCAGATGGGCTTCCACTTTGCGCACCTTCTCGCTTACTACCAATCAGCCCGGTCACCGCAGTCATTGATGGATGGATCTATAATTTTGGATATGATTGATCTATCTAGCACCATCATTAACCTGGCCATGGACACGACAGATGATCGTACCCGCCACCTAACAGATCATATCTACCATCTCATAACATTCTCAGCCCTCACCCTTTGTCGTCTTGTACAGATGTATGAGGACCAGCTGCGCGTCTCCAATGTCGATGTCGATAGTCTAGATCGACTTGTTACCAAATTGATTACTTGGCTTCGCTCTATCGGTTTGCCGTGTCATGCTGCCCACTTGCTTAGCGATATTGTTTCATCGCAGTTTCAAAAGCTGCGCCCGGGAGCTCAATACGCACCCGCCAACGCTGGAGCAGGTTCTATGGCGCATTATAATACGCTATCAGTTTTGGATGCTTCACCCTTGTCATCTAACGTGGGATTCCTTTACCCCGATCTTATAGGATCCGAGTTGTTTGATATAGACGACGGAACAGCATCATGGCCACAGTGGAGTTGAGAGGCGGATTCTACGGCATTTCCGATGTTGAATAGCATTCTGGAAAAGAATAAAATACTTACTCTCTACAGGCAGGATTGGTGTATGCCAACTTTTGTCTTGACCCTCCTTTACTAACTAGTATTGATGTAACACTGTCGTATAACTAGTCTTCCCACTCAGGAACATAATTTATTTTAAATAAGCTGTTAGTAAATAATCACGATTCCATTATTCTGGACCCTCTAGTTCCATTGTAAACTGCAAATATAATTAACTTAATGTGTAGTTACTAGTTACTACTTCTGCTAGCAAATAAAGCCGTGGGGCCGATGACGCGCCAAGCCCCAGCAACTTTTTTTGATTCTCCAACGCTTCACTTCGCTTTCGCAACCTTGTAACATCCAAGCTGCTCACCAGATGGCCTCCAATCCCACCAAGAGGAAGGAACCTGCCTCAGGGCCTTATGGTTCAACGGGCGGCGCAGCTCGACGAGCCAAAACCTTCGATGCGCGCCAACTCGCCGTGCAATCAACCGATGCCGCCCTCTCCGCAACGGGCGAACTCGATGTCGCCGCGTACGCCTCCGCACGAGCATTCGAAATCCAAGCCTTGGAAGATGGAATTCAGCGATCGAGAACTGCGCTGACAACACGAGCTTTTCAAAAAGTCCCTCGCGCGTTGCGACGTCGAACAGCAAGTCACAATGTGAAGCGGGTCCCACAGAGGTTGAGGGCGCGGGCAAAGCGTGAGGTATGTTACAGCTCCATTTATGGCTCTAGCTGGCTGGTGACTGACCTTGCGATGGGATTGTGTTGAAACAGATGATCGAAGATAATACCCCGACCGTCACCGCTAGAAGACGCAAACCAACGCAGATCATGCGCATCCGTCTTGAATCTGCCCGACGCCTGCAAAACCTCAATGCCAGAACAAAGAATAAGCGCCTGGCTGCGAAGATCGCTCGAGATAAAGACACCAACACTCAGCTAACGGAGGGGGGTAGTCACAATTTCAATACCGCACCGCGAATCCCCAAAATCAAGAAGAACAAGCTCTCAAGACCTCCGCCCGCCGATGCAAAATTCCGCAAGCGCCAGCACAGCAAAACATGGCTTCCTACACACTTGTTCCATGCGAAACGGGCACATGTCACGACGACCAAGAACCCCCTCTGGCGATTCGCCATTCCCTTGTCGCCTACCGAGAAAAGCTATCGGCCTACACACAGGACACGCGGTGCTCGGGGTGCCATGGCGTGGGATATGAGCTATATGTCTACGATACAACTTGAAGGGTCTGAGAGTTCTATCCAAGCCGTGCTTCTCGCTGTTGGCATTGATAGTGCAGAGGGATCGGGTCCTAAAGGAAAGAAGTGGAAAGCTGGTGCCAGATCATTGGAAACCTGGGCCTTTGAGATGGATCACCCCACGAGGCCAACTGCTCCAGTCACCATGATCTGGTGCGCTGTTCCAAAATCGGAAGACGTGGAAATGGCCCACGCCGATGACAGTTCATCTGTACCTAAGATCACCCGACGAAAGCTTTGGTTTCGCGTTCATCCATCAGCCTTCCTGCAACTTTGGAATGATCTGCTCGACGCATCGAAGCGCCAAAGTCCGCCCGTCATGGTTGAGGATCTCAGATTTGAGATTGGAAGCATTGAGATTACTGGCCCAGGCTCCACAGAAGCATTGATCGCCGCTTTACGACCTTCCAACAAAGCCGATAGTCAGCTCCCAGCCCCACAGAGCCCAGAGGCGATTTGGCCAGCCTTATTGGGAGTATCAAACCCTTCATCATTGCCACAAAACGCCCTCTTATCTTTCAATGTGTCTGACCCCCGGCTTGAGTTCCCACCCCGCAAACTCGATATTCCAGACAGTGAATCTCATATGAATGATCTCGCCGTTCTACTTTCCAAGTGGTCCCCAGACCAGACGCAGGGACCTTCTTCATTATTTGATCGCTCTAGTCGCCTAGCAGCTACTCGCCAACTTCCCAGCCAGAAGGCGATCAATCGTCGTCGCAATATCTCGGGTCCTGGGAAGTATCCTGCTCCCAAGCCCACAGACCCCCAGATTCCAGCAATCGTACTTGCAAACCGGCCAAGAACTCATCCGAAACGAAACTCTGCGCCTGGCTCGTGGACTGTTCTTCTGCCATGGAAATGTGTGCCACCGGTATGGTATTCTCTAATGTACTACCCACTCTCGAGTGGAGGCAACCCTCGATTCGGAGGTGTAAAGCAACAGCAACAGCTTGCCTTTGAAGCGGGCGAGGCATGGTTCCCTGGTGACTTTCCCGGTACTCGGGCTGGGTGGGAATGGAATCAGCGCGAAGCTGAGAAATCTCGACACGAATGGGAACGACGACCTAAAGGCCGACGTGTTGAATATGACAGTCTTGTTCTAGGCGATAAGCACCCAAAGGGGGAGATTGGGCGTGGCTGGACCTGTGATTGGGAGAGACTTGTTCAAGGAACAGGTCAAGATGTCCCCGAAAACACCACTTCCCCTAGCAAAAAGGCCGACGGAGGCAAGTCCGCCGTACCCGATACTAGCATCCCGCCATCCGACCTTCACAATCTTCGATTTTCTACAAAAGACACCAACAAAATTCTCTCCAACCTCACCAAATCACAAACCGAGCCGGCGGCTCTCTCTACCGTATACGTCTCGCTAATTCACCGCGGCACTCCCACTGCTTGCTCACGCATTTACCGTCTACCAACAAACCCTACCCTCCGAGAAAAATGGTTACTATTGGCTTCAGCAAACCAGAAGTCTGCTGGAGGGAAAGCGGGATCCCGCAAACCCTCTGACGTTTCTGACGACGCAGCCCGGCGTCAACTTACTGAGTCACTTATCGCTGGCGTACCCGAAGATTCCCCGTCGATTCATCTCGAGGTTCCACCAGCAGATGATCTTATCGGGTTTGTCACTACAGGCAATTACAATCTATCCGAGGGCAAGGGAACTGGGATTGCTTCAATTCTGCTATCGATGGTAGCTGAATCAAATGCTAAGCTCTCAGAAATGAAGCTGTGCATCGTTCGGTCTGCTGGAGAGAAGGTCGGCCGATTAGCAACTTGGGAGATTGTCTAATTCAGTAGTACCTGATACCCTATTCAAATAACTGACGAAATGTGAATGAATCATAAAAAAATGTTTAATGAACTACAAAAAAAAACAGGTCCAGTAGCTCATTCAGAAGGATAATTCCATCTTATGCAGAATCATGGCAAACAATAAAAAAGACGATCTATACATACAGTACAGCAGCCACACTGAATCCTGCCAGTAAGACAAGGAACACATCCAAAAAACGACATGGCATATGAAGCCAAGCCAAGCCGAGCCGTGATCTTACGGCATCGGCATCTAACTATCACAATGGAGCACTCTATCTAACCGACAATGCGATCCACAAACGAAGCCTCCATACGCGCAACCTCCTTCTTAAAAGTATCAACCTCCTGCCAGCAGTCCAGCGGCCGGCGATCATTCAATCGCAGACAACCAATAACAGCAGACTGGGCCTTGGAAACACCCTCATCCAGATCAGCCAGCTTCCTGCGGCCATCAAGACGAGTGCGGAGCGCCTCGATCTCAGTGTTCACAGACTCGCGAGAGATATCGCGCTTCAACTCCTGCTGCTGGACGTTCTCGACGGGGACGGCGGCGGGGGCCGGGGTCTCGTATTCGCGGCCGGCGAAGGGAATGCGAGGCGCATCGAGGTTCAATGAGCCGACGGGGTAGCCGGTGCTGGCGGGGGCGGCAGGAGAAGTGGCGGCAGAGATAGGGAGGGAACCGGTGTCCTTTGAAGAGGCGAGGCGCTTTTCGATCTCGGCGAGGGTTTGCTGCTCGCGTTCGCGGAGACGCTGGAGTTCTTGCGAGACGCGGTTTTGGATCTCGAGTTCAATTGCCTTTGCGCGAGAAGAGTCCGTCTATTTGATGATTTCGAGTGTGAGTTTTATTTGTCTTCATTGTATCATTTGATCCAATGCTGGTGCCTAGCATTTATGTGCTGGTGGTTGAATTGAATTGGGGTTGGAACGAACCTCGGAGGTGGACTGGAGGGCCTCGACTAGGTTGGAGGAGAATTGGATGGGGGAGTTGCTGGAAGAAAGTAAACGGATTAGCCATCGTATTCCCTCTCTCATTGAGAATCCCCTTGCAAAGATCTGCCTGTGCTACCATCTTCGGGATGGCTGATCATCAACTCCTCCATGACATGATGGGTTCCCGCGCCCACCGCAAGATCGAGGCAGGATTCCGCACTCCCGGGGCAATTTACCTGGAGAAGACATGCTTGGAGCCGCCCGCAGCGTCGGGCTTGGAACTTCCAGCACCCATGGTTGTGAATGGCGAGTATGAATGCAATGCAATGCCTCGAAACGATCGAGAGAAGGGCGGGTGTGAGAGGCGCCGTCAACCCGAAGCTCCGATACTTCGGTCACGTGTGCTTAGTCATGCTCCGGTGTGAAGTAACTATACAGCATACTAGTAACTACAGAAAAGGATAATTTCAAAGTCAGCACGAGTAGCATAGAGGGAATGGGCATATTTTACTTTTCAGAGCTTGGAAATAGTTTACGTCCTTCTAAAATTACAAGAAATTGCAGCCGAAGGCTCGGAAGAGAGAAAAAACTACATCGATTCATCAACATTCGAATCTCATAAATGGGATTTTTCGTATGTAAAATCCTCTCATCTTCTGCAAGAGCTGACAATGAATTCAATTTGATAATTCGAGATATTTTTGACAAGTTTTAACTTTCTCAGAATATGATTATAAACTAAATACAGCCATTGTAGGTGCCTAAGCTCAGAGAACAGTGACCTTCTCGCCGCCCTTCAACCAGCAGATCTTATCACTGATACCCTCGTCTTCAAAAGCCTGGCGCAACTCGACGCCAAATTGGGTGAAATGCCCCCAAGATTCATAGTGCATCGGAATAAGCACGTCGGCTTTGAGAGCGCGGAATAGTTTGGCTCCATCCTTGCCGCCCATGGTGACTTGCAGGGGAGGAACGTTGGGGTCTGCTGAGATGGGGACATGAGCATTACCCAAGTTCATCACGGCGGCAACGACGTGAAATCGGTCTGCAATCGAGTTCAACTCTTCGATGTAGACGGTGTCGCCGGTGAAGTAGATTGCGTTGGGTAGTCCATCACGGCCATGCCCGAAGTCTTCTCCAGTCACGATGAAGCCGGTGCATTCGGCTCCTGGGGCATGTTGGGTCGGGGTGGCGATGATCTTGAAGGACTTTCCCCCGATTCTGCTCTCGATCTCCTCCCATGGCTTCATACCATGAACAGCCGGACGGGGCGCAAGTTTCTTGCTTCCATCGACGGTGGTAAAGACCCGGCGCCCGTCAAGGAGCTGGCGACCAAGCTCGTCCAAGTTGTCTGGGTGGTCTTCGTGGCTCAAGAGCACAGCATCGATGATAGGCAGTTGGTCAAGGCGCAGAGCGGGATTATCAGTTACTTTCACACTGAAGGCGCCAAGATCCCAACTGGTTCCAGCGGGGGAAAAGAATGGATCTGTTAAAAAGGTCACTCCATTGATGTTGAGGATTGCAGTGGCAGTGCCAATATGAGTGATATCGAGCGTAGGAGCCATCTTGAATAAGAATTTCTTAGAAGAGGAGTTGAAGTGTTGAGCACAATTGTTGAGACTTGGGCGTGTTCAGTAGTAAAGAACTTGAACTTGAAGTTTGGAATTTTGTATGATAAAGTGAATCGACCTCGAGGAGGAGATGGTATTTATATTCACCCCGCATCAAGGAAACAACTAGGTATGACAGATATTACTACGGGTACATGTCCGCAATCCTATGGATGGAAAAACATGACGCTTACGAACTTCTATTCCAAATAAGCTTGAATTTACAATTTCGGCATCCCGCCCGGGAATCCCGCTTGTCGGAATCCCTCCTAGTAACATTTCATAATATTGAATGGTAATCAATAATCCTCGAAATGAATCGTGCCATGATCAATGAATCAACATAGCCATGGTGAATACTGTCTTGATGATAAATCAAGCCCGGGTGACGGAAATACCACCAGATAGAAATAGATTTCCCACCACAGCCCGCCCCTGTGCTGACTGCAGATGATGGTTAAGCGACCGCTATTTATTGCCTGGGTGACCTTTGCCGGTTATTCCTTTCGGTACAAACTCGCCGGAATGCAAATAATGTCAGCAGTAGTTGTATAGCACATATTTTGTATTGCATCTGCAGGCAAAACGTTTGATATTTACTATATTTTTAGTGTCAAGGTACTATGCGAGAATTCGAGGTATCGAGTTAAAACGCTAGTAGCACTTTGAGATCACTAGATAATAGAGCCTACGATCATGTATCAGCAGATAAACAACCACTCATTGGTTACTAAAAAAGCAGGAAAAAAAATAGGGAAAAAAAATAGGAAAAAAAAATAGGAAAAAAAAATTAGGACTGTCCTACACTGAGCCAATCAGATATCCAAGACCAAAATTTCGATGATTTATTTCCTCTGGTCATTTTCCAAGTTGCCAAGCGGGATTGGCCGAGTGGGATGCCGGCTACGCCCGGGCTTAGTAAATCTGCCACAGGAAGACGCCGAGGAACCTTGCCACTCGACATCTTCGTTTCCATGCTACGACTTTTTATTTTCTTTGCCTGGCATATTACAGAGAAACAGAGGAATCGAATTTGAGAACATGGCGTCACGCCCATATCCTAAATCTGATCTGCCTCCCTTTAAATGTAACTTTCCAGGATGCAATGCGGCCTACCAACGAAAAGAGCACGTAAATCGACACATGGCACGTCATGAAGGAGACCGATTTCCATGTCCATACTGCGATAGTAGCTTGATAAGGAGGGATGTGCCATGATTATTCCCGCTAAAAACTCATGATAGTACGAGGACTAACTTCCACCTAGCGATCTTCTACGTCGGCATGTCCGGAACTACCACCCAGGGAGGGAGCCGCCCTTCGTGCGTGCGCAACGGGCCTGTAAAGCTTGCCAGGCTAGAAAAGAACGCTGTGATTTTGAATCTCCATGCAACAGATGTCAGAAGAGAGGGGTCGTTTGTTCACGAACTCGCCAGGAGACGGTTCATGATAAGCCCGAAGTGCAAGAGGCTCAAGCCCTCCCCAGCACGGACTTGGTAGGCCCAATACCTGGAGCAACTCGATGGATCGGTCAAGACTATATTGATATCTACTTTCGCGACTTCCATCCGACTTGGCCGTTTTTGCACCCTGGAACATTCGATACCCCGAACGAACCGTGTGTCCTTCTTCAATCCATGGTGATGATTGGGCTGTGGATCAAAGGCGACGATGCGTCACGAGCTAAGGCGACGTCTTTCCATTTCAAAATACTTTCTGCAATTGGAGCTCAAAGAGTGCGGGCCAACATATTAGTATCAAACTCTGGGATTTGCTGCTAACATTATCCATTGCAGTCTGAATGGTGTATTTCGAAATCCACGCCACACCAAGAAAAAGCGACGCCCTGGCCCATGGCAACTTACCAGGGTATTCTTTTACAGCTTATATTCGCTGTTCTTGTGGCCAAAAAAGAGACGACCTTTGATCTCAGCCTCGGTTTTCAGCTGCCAGCACAAAAATATGAACTACTCTCATCCCTTGTGGAGACATGTCGGCTAGCCGGCTTATTCTATTATCCAAATATGCTCTCGCGACATCATACCTCTGCGCCGCTCGCACTTGTTTGGGTGAGTGTGGAGGAGATCAAGCGTTTCGGACTAGCTCTATATAAGTTATGCAGACTTTGCTCTCGCAGCGGGGGCGACACTATCGACGGAAATGGTAGTGCTTTGAGAAACAATCTGTTAAATTTGACAGACATGGATTTTTGCATGCCGGATAGCGACGAAATCTGGAATGCACCGGAGGATGGCTTCATCCGACTCACAGCTTTACAACAACCATCTAGGGATAATCGAGATCCGGAACAATGGATATCCAAGACCTCAGGGCTGTTGTATGATAGTCGTGTTGGATTTGACTGGATATAAGCATCGCGATTGGGTCTGATTTAAATTATTCTATTTATATTCGCCGATGCATCAAAGGGCATCTGAAGCTATTGTAGTGGCGTTGCAAAAGTTTGAAACCCCATATTGCCCACCATGATTTACCGCCAACTAATATGAAACTAGTAGCTACCTGAGATGGAATAGATTGGCCTATCTATTCCAGCTCAGGTAGCTACTAGTCCGCGATTAGAAGGCGGAGACAAGAACAGTCAACATGGGGTTTCAAACATTTGCAACGCCACTGTAAGATACGAGTAGTACGTAGGCGGCTAAACGGGTAAGCAATGTTTTAGCCAGGTAAGTATCGGATACCTGAAAGGTGGGTGGATTTCAGTATACGTTTCTTCGTTTTCTCCATCAGTTTCCTTGTTTTCAACCGACAACGTGGGAGAATTCCAAGGCAGCAAAACCTCTTAATCCGTATACAGCAGTTTGTGTATCCATTTTCCAGAGAAGTTCTTCAAGTCTTGTCTTGAAATTTTCAGCTTGAGTATTGTGAAAGGTTGCGGTGTGTTTTGTATGTCAGCATCGGGTATTTATGGGTCGCATACGAAAGCAACAGGTTCCACGGCAGATTCACACCCCCACTACAATGTCAATCTTAGAAAGAATTCCACCAAAAAAATGTCGAATAGCCGCCCAATGGGATGATCTGTGATTATTACTTTTCAATTAGCGCCTCAAATGAAGAAAAGTTGGATAATTTCGGAGTTCTAATTTCTGGTGCAATTTTGCTGTTTGTGTGATGGCCCGTGGCTGTCGGCTTTAAAGTCCACCTATGAGGGTCGAGTTTGGGATAACTAACTGTGTCTCGCCAATTAGGACAAGGAAGTGTCGGCTTATTTTGTCGTCGCCTATGTAGAAATACCGAGTGCTGGTGCTCAACTATAGTGTCATGGTAATATGTTACCCTGTACATAAATAATGTCATATATTAAACCATCTAGGTCGCAGAGCCTCGCTATAGTTCACAGATAGAAGAAAGATAGTTCGGTTCACAGTTGGGTAATTGCGGAACAGACGTAGACGCAACATATTCACTGGATCATTCAAAATGACAAAGTATCTGTCACCGACAGGCCACATTTGGGCCAATGCTTTTTGTTTTGTTTTTGTTTATATTGTCCAACACTCCTTGGTATTACCAGTGAAGAGGCTTTCTCCCGTGGACGGCAACTCTGCTCATAGTTAGTATTCAGAAAATCGAAAAGGGTGGGTTGGACCGTACGTTTGAACATAGGCATGCAGCTTCTTATCACGCAGCTCCTGCTTGACCACAGCATTATGAATCTTAGCGGCATCCGCACCCCAACCAAGCACTTGCGTGTACAAACGCAGTGAGTATGAATCGATAGCTTGTTGTAACTGCACTGCCTGGTACTTGCCTAGGGTCTTCAGAAAGGGATCTTTTGGCCATGGTGAGAACGGCAGCGCGTATACCCTCAAGGTGACATCCTCAAAGCCGGCATCAATCATCCAGCCTTTCAGCTTATGATAAATGTTCAGCTCGCGGCCGCTCAACTCGCCGGCCAAATTGACGGCCTGCTGCCATTCCATGATTGCGCAGTCTGGTTTGAGTGACCCGTCGTCGCTCCGGGCCCATACGGCACTCTCATGTGATTCAAAGTAGCCGCCGGGTTTGACATGATCGAAGATCCGACGGATAAATCCTGGCCAGTCAGCTACGCATCTATTCGGCGTGTTAGGGATTTAGCTTGGTTGAGATAGGTAGACGAATGATCATACCCTGCCAGGCACCGTGCATGGATAAAGTCAAAGTGGTTCTCTTCAAACTGCCATTCCCTTTCGAAGTCATCCACGATGAACTCAATATTTGGGGCCACCCAGTTAGGCTGGATAGGGCTGACGTCGTTTCCAACCACACGGGCGCCGGGGAATTTCCTATATTATGGGATCAATTTTACTGGTATCGAAGGATAGATCAAGGGGGATTCAACATACTCGGCAATGTCCAAGGCCCAAATACCTGTTCCGGTCCCGAGATCAAGAATGTTCTGTGGTGATGATGTGATGGGTGCATTATAGAGCTCCCCTCCCAGCATCATCAGCCATCTATAACGTTCTGGTAAGCTATTATAGTTCAGTAGATATGTATCATTTCACGAACATGTGGTGTGTCTGAAGAAAGTATTAGTTATTGTATGAGCATAGAGACCCACTAAGCATGGCGGTGCCTTACCAGATCCATTCGATCTTGTTCCTCCTCATCATTCGGCATCCTAAATTTTCCGGTAAGTCCTCACATCCAAGAGCCTTCAGAAATAAAGTTGAAATTACATATAAGTACTCTAATCGCATGTCAACTAAGTATTGAATCGTAATACCCATACGGGGAAGTCCACTTACTGTGGAGCGGGTACTGCAGTACCGCCTACCATTTTCATATTCGAAATCGAGCACGCTTGAAGAGAGAGAGGTGAGATCGGATAGCGCATCATCGAATTCACTGTTCGTGTCCTACAGCAAGACAAAATATTAGTCTGGATATAATGAGGAGCTGGTCCTTGCACTCGGGTTTACATACGTCGTCAAAATTATCGGCCGTGATTGGACTGGCCGCGCCGACAGGGGTTTGGGCGCTAGTGTTGTGTGCAGATGGGGCTGGCCCCGAGGGCTCGAAGGGCGTATTATCCAGAGTAGAGCTCATTATGATGGGAGGGATGAAAATCGTGGGGGGAAATAATCCGGAGAAGCATGCAGAATAAATAAATCTGGTCTTCTCTTGCAAGAGACTCGCTTCCAAGATTGTCAGCCAACTTTGACGCGCGGGTGGAGGGGATTCTGGGTTCCAAGGTTTGTATCCAAACTGTCGGGTTCGAAGGGGATTGTAATTTTTTTGATCTATCTTACACGGTGGTCGCTTCTGAATCCTGTAACTGCCAATGAAAATCCCCGACATTGGATGGAAATTAATTCCACGCCACAGGTTTCTTCCGTGCATTGTGTCTTCCGTGAGAATTAAAATTATCTATACATCCCCCGTTTTCCTCGTTCCTTAAAAATACTTCTTTAATCGGAGTCGGCTGCGGAATACCCGTAGGTATTGGTAACACATCATTTTGATGCCCATCACCACGAATTTAAACAATCATTATTGTACTTTTGATTCTTCAGCGCAGAGGGTCTGTGCTCCAGCATACTCTTTTCGTCCATGCGCAGCTGATTCTCACCCGATTTCCCTGTGTTTTGTGTTCCCACGCTTCTGCAGTCCCAGCCAGGCGGTACCCCAGCCGACTAGTACCAACCGCCACAGACCAAATTCCACACGTCGAGAAGTACTAGGTATGGCGGATGACCACATGCGAATCCCTGCCATTGTATGTTTTGTTTTTATCTTTGCTTTTGCTCGCCTCTCGGACGATGGATGGGCTAAAGGATGCAGCTGGTTGCTCCCCGGTAACCTCCTTGCGCATCATTTCAACAACGGACCCGAAGCCTCGGGTATCTGATATTTTTCGCAAATCCCGAGATGGAGTCGTATTGGTGGTTCAACATTTTGGTGATCAAAGTACTACAAAAAGCTTCTAAGTGTGCCTATTGTCATTCGATCTGCGTTGCTCGTATATTAAATTCGAAGGTATCAACTGGTCCCTTGAGTCTCCGCGGTGTTGTCGAAGGGAGAAACCGAGGTGCTTCCAGGAGAAGAGGAACCTGAGACAATAGATACTTGTCATTCTGAGACTCATTAACAACCTCATCGTCGTAAAACACCCAGCAGACGTTATCATGTCGTTCGCTCCCCTTGCGCGGTTCCAGCGGGACAATTGATCCCGCGTCCACAACCAAGCGCAACTCAATTGACCCACCTTTCTACCCTTTGATAAACCGGTATACTTGAGAGGGAGGTTGATCCCGGGCGGCCTGAGATGCATCGCGTGAATAATAGCGTGGAGCTGCCGAGGGAAGGATGGGCGCACGACAGGCTGGGCATTATGGAGACTCGTATTCCGTATTCTCGCTGGAAAGATGCTCCCGGGATCTGAGTTGATGCATCGTTGCGTTGGATAGACTGCAGGACACCGTTTAATCAATCTGCCGCAGGCAAGTTCCTCAGGCTGTGGCATCGGGAGCCATCATCGTCGAAACGGGGCTCGGGAGCGGTCCGGCCCACATGCCACGAGGTGACACCATAGTCGGGGATATTGAGCCCCCGATAAACGCTTTTGCGAGATTGAATTGCCGGAAATCGCGGCAAGATGCGACCGGGGAAAGAACTTGGTCAGTGAGTGGGACTGCAGGATCAATATAGACGTACCAAGACGGACCAGATGATGGAAAGTATAACCCCACCTTCGGGACACAGGGATTGGGCAGTCTTCAAGTTTATTTTAGAACTTGAATATCTCTCCATTGCATAAAAAGACAGGAGTCAAGCTTTGAATATTTGTATATGTCGAGTCAGCTACAGCCCACTTTTTCAACAACTTCTGGCTTGTTCGTCTGCCATCTTATTTTATGCATATGTGCCAAAATCAAAATTACTAGGATGCCAAACGAGGAGAGGTCCTCAGACCTGAAGTGTTGCTTTGTTGCCATCTTCAACCCCTGTTTTGGAAGTTGCAGGATTTCAGGAATACACCTAGCCGTCAATTGTTAGTTGAAAGTACCAAATGGAATTTTGAAAAATAACACATAATAGGGGTCTTTCACCGTGTACCGTTGATCCAATTAGAGAGAATTAACGCTTCCATTCTCGCCTCCACAGCCATCCGCAGAGAATGTCCCGCTCGCACTAGCCAAACACAGTATGGAACTAATCTTTCGAGTGCTTCGCACTTGGCCGAAGATGCTAGCGGAGGAATTTCAAGCACCGCCACTGTTCCATGCAACTCAACTCACACCCGGGACAAAATTGCCTTTGCCATTGGCAACTTGCATAACACTGACGAAGATGTGGAATGGAACCTGCGAAGGGGCAGAAGATCTAGTTCGCAAAACAATACTGCACGAACTAGGAAATCTTGTGGATCGAGTATGTTCAACCTTTTGGATGAACTTCAAACTTTATTCAAGCTACCATTTGCTAAGTCGACCTTTCCTTAAGGATCAATCTGAGACTCTTGAAGGCACAGAACTCATCGCAGTATTACAAGCAGTAGTAATCTACGCAATCATACTAATCTCACCATCAAATAATTCTCAAACGCCACAACCGGACCACAACGATATATTCCGCAAAGTCGAACTACTCATCTACCGAATTGTTCGTAATGGATTATTCTTACAAGAAGAGCGCGTGATCAAAAACGTCCTACCTGGGCAGACTGGATAGACGTGACATCGAAACGTCGTGTCGTCCTCTCATTATATCTCCTTCACCGGGCGTATTCGGTCTTATACCGTGTGCCATGCTTCGACTGTGCGGAATTGGGTTTTATGCCTGCACCAGCACCAAAGGTACTCTGGCAAGCAACCACTGAGCGTGAGTGGGATACCAGGTATATTGAGTGGTTAGGGCGATGGAGTGGGAAGCTGTATTTGCAGGCGGAGTTGGGTTGGATTCAACCGGGTGCTGTGATGAATGCGAGGGCGGAAAGGTGGTTGGAGGAAACGGATGAGTTTGGGTTTATTATGATTTCAATGGGTATGTTTCATTCTTTGAGGTGTGGTTTGGACTATAAATGTGTTGCTGACGATGCGATGGCAGTGGATGCAGTTGATTATGATCCTCCTGGACTCAAAGCACTTGCTTCATAGCGTACGACGAAGCTCGAACTGTCCTTTTCATGGCATAGTGTAATGTCCAGTAGCTTGTTAATAGCTATTTACTGCTACTAGTACCGACAACTTTGGAAACGCTCCCAGGAGCAAGGTCATGAAACGAATTCTAATTGGCTTCTAAATACTGACCAGATATAAGAAACTAATAATCACAGTCGCTTTCTCGCGCAAAACGCATATAGGGATATTTTGCAGTCGTAAATTAGAAACCTGAGAAAAAAAAATTAGAAATGCTTCCAACATAGGTGGACAGACGACATACCCTTCTCGGTGTTACCCTCGCCCATACTCTTGCTGCTGCTGCTTCCACTCTGGATAGCACCCAGGATACCATCCATGTAAGGCGCACCACTCCACTTCTGGTGAGTGAGAACATCGACGCCGAGCTCTTTCTCGCGCGCTTGGACTAGGCGGACGTATGCCAGCATACCTTCCTCCTTGAATGCGCGGGACAGCTCAGTGGTGATGGTCGCATTGGTGTGCAAACCGGCCAGCGAGATCAATTGCAGAACGAAGCTAATATTGTTGGTTAGTTGAGTTGACATATCGTAATGGGTAGCACTGGTACTTACCCGTGCTTGGCAAGGTCCCAAATGAACGACTTCAGAGTTTCTTCGGTGAATCCCTGACCCATCCAGTTGAACGACGGGCTGAGATTGTATACGAGTTTCTTACCCGGGTACGCGGCGCGCACTTCCCCGGCAAGTGAGCCGGCCTTCGCAACGTCGGGGTCGCCGGTCTCGACCCAGAGCAGATCGGCGAAGGGAGCAAACTCCTTGGCGCGCTTAGTCGCGGCTGGGAATCCGGCATTGTAGTGGTAGAAACCTTCGCGGGTTCGGGGGCTATCGCAGGACCAGATAACTGGGGTTTTGGAGTAGTCGTTGGCGAGAGCACGACGACGGGAGAATGAGAGATCGGGGTTCTTCTGGACGTGGCTCTTGTAGGCATCTCGGGAGGATTGGGGGGGCACCTTCGGCCTCGAGATGAGCATCAACGGCTGGACAATGTTAGCAAGAGAAGATAGAGCAGAATATGAGGGTGCATACCCTCATCGAGAGTCACTAGCTTGTGATTCTTGACCCAGTTAAGTTCAAAGGCATCGATCTCAGCTGGCGAGGCACCTTCACGCTCCATCGCCTGCAGGGTCTCCGCCAATGGCTCAACGTCCTCAGTGACACCGAGGATGAATTCGTGGTCGCGCACATCGATTGCGCTGCTGATCAAGCGACCACTTTCGGAATCAGTACGTGCAATGACCAGGTTCTCGGTTCCCATCATATCCCACTGGAAGCGAGCAGCGGTGAGGCGGTTAATGTGTTCGCCGACCGGAACAAGGACCTTTCCCGCGAGGTGACCGCATTTCTTTCCACCGTGCAGCTGGTCCTCGAAGTGGACAGCCGCGGCACCGTTCTCAGCGAAAAGTTTTGCGAGCTTTAGAACAGCGGATAGACCGCCGTGTCTAGGAAAGGTGTTAACATGAATGTTGGCTGTTCGCTCAACCGTGTAGACCAAACTTACCCGGTGTCACCATCCGCGACAATCGGTCGCATATAATCCACGTAGGGAGTGGTCTTGCGCTGATCAGCACTGAGCTTTCGTCGGGTGTCCCATTGCTTCCGATCATGCATCGACTGCGCCTTGAATAATCGTTGGACCTGGTTCGGCACGGTGTTGTAGGGGTAGTCGCCGAAATCGGGGGAGACCTCGTTGGTGGAGGTGAGGAGAGAGGAACAAGCCCAGCCAGAGATGTAGAGGATCTCTTGGTTAGGGGCCTGTTGGGTCATTTGGACAGGGTCGATGGCGCCCACTGTGTGTACATATAATAATTAGTCCGACTGATCTGGCCATCACTTCGGGTAAGAGCTTCCAACTGACTAGTATGCACCGGCTCACCCGCTGCCGCGCGTTCGTTCAATAAATTGAACAATTTCCGAGCCATCAGCGAGCTTGGGTATGTCTGCTGCAGCGATCCACGCTTGCTCACCACATCCTCGGCTGTGTAGGGCCGCTTGATACCCTCATACCGGGGAGAGCTCCACCATTCCTGCACATCGCGGACCTGTTGTTCGTATAGGGCATCCTCAGCGGCACCGGCCTTGTCTCCCGTTGAAAGCAGCTGGTATGAATCGGATGGGAGTGTCGTTGACACTGGGGGCTGGACGGGTGGGAGTGACATCCGAGGATAACCGCATGTGAAGGCACGGAGAGCCAGGCGAGATGGCGCGGTAGCGTGAGGGAGCTGGGGGAGCTGGCGCGGAACTCGTCTCGATATTGTGCGAAGCATGACTAGGCCAAGTAGGATAATTAGATTGTTGAGGAAGAGTGAAGTAGAGGGAAGAAGAAAGGAAAGGAGATGTTTACAAGAGTAAGAGTAAGAGGGACCTCGGACCGGCTGCAATTGTGGGGTTTCCCCGTTTCCCCGCGACCTCCGAGAATCGCCAGCTGACTCATCTGCCCGCTTTACCCGCAATATCCGAAGACTACAAACTTTGAAGATTACAAAGTATATCGAAGCATTTCGATGTGTGCAATAAAATAACAATTAATCCGCAATGTAGGGGATTACTCTGTTCAATTGGGTGTCACATCCCGAGTCCAAATCTGAGTCAGGTTTTGCATTTCCTGGTCCCAGAGGGTCTTCAACATTGCCTTTTTGTCAGCTCTTACAACTTCAAGTTTTTATACTAGTAGTATATAGTATAGCATTTGATTGCAGGTCAAGTGGAGGACTTACAAAGTCAATCATGTCAAATCCTGAAAAGGGGGCCGATGTGTCGAAACTCTGCGTTGGCTGGAAGAGGCTATAGGTCGTTGCCTTGTTCGGAGCATACGCACTGTTGTTCAGCCAGACATCTTGTTCAACTTGGTCGGTAAAATTGGCATCGGTTGCATTTATACAGTTCCTAATACCTGAGTTGCTTTCGATGAGTCTGAGCATTGTTTTGAGGATGTCAGCAGCTTTGATAGTCTCAGGTGACGAGCGTGGGCATTCTTTCCAGGAAGTATAAGATGCTTTGAGCGTTTCAAAAAGTTCCTCTGAAGATATATGGCCTATACAGTGGCCCTTCTTCACTCGATTTATGATTGCAAGCGATATCACCATCGCCGCCGTCAGGCAGTCGCATATGGAGCGGGATGTCCCAAACCACACCTTGTGCCTATGCTGGGGCCGAGAAAAAAAAGCCCTGGAATAGTTCCCTTTGGCAACGTAGAATCCTTTGGGCTGCGTGTATGCATTCAATGCGAAACAGGTTGTAGTTTGGCTCATCACGCCCATCGATCAAGTACCGCCGGTACAATATACAGCGGGCGCGTTGGTATGTCATCTCGAGTGTGAGGGTGCATATCATTGTATCGCAATCGACTTTGGATTCAATTGATCTCTTCAGATTAGCAGGCACACCGATCCACGCCTCTTCCAATTGTTGTTCCAAATGAATCGTCTTTTCCAGTAGTGGGTAGGCTTCTAGGTTCTCCGCGATTGAACTGGCTGCCACCAGCAATCGCTCTTGGGCAAGAATATAAGTGAGTTTGTTCGGTATCTCGGTCTCCGGTTGCGATAGTGGGAGAACTTTCATGTTGAGATCGAGATTCTGGTCTAGAAGGATACGAGGCGGAGCGGTGTCACTTATTCCCTTTGGAATGACGATTGGAAGGCCTGATTGCCAAGCAACAAAATAATCGATCAACGATAGAATCAACCACAGTCGCCGTCTCATTTCCCCTTCAAATGGGGATAGTGCAGGATATATTCTAGGGTCTCTGTGATAGCCCATCATGATAGCCAGTCGAGATACCATGCCCAACAGTATAGAAACACCAGTTTTCAACCCATTACTCTGAAGATATTCAACTCCAAGATGAATTGTAGCAGCTTCTGCTTTATATCTTCCAGGCGCAGCGTAATCTGAGAGTGTGAGGGCGACGGCACATTTTTCGTGGTAGTAATTGAATATTTCTGGTGGTGGTGCCTCGGCTGTCTCTGGATTCACGGAATGTTCAATCCAGACGGCACACGCCAGAATCCCGAAAAGAAGGGCCAACCAACCACAAGAAGCCCTGGATGGATTCTCCCAGAAGGAAAGACACTGTCTTTTTATTAGATGCCGAATCTCGAAGAGTGAATGAGAATGGGGTTCTCAAGGAAGTCTTACCTCCTGTTTGAATGTTGGAGCATGGACGATCACTAAGAAACACCAAGGCACAAAGTCAGAAAGACAAATATTCCTAAGAAAGCAATGAACATACTCAGCGATGGTTCACCGCAGTCTAAGCAGCGTGAAACAAGTTCATCTGCGATTTTCCGTGGGGGTAATGCTAGCAAAAGATCTTCAATGGTTGCTTCTTTTGGTATTCTCCGAAGAAGCACAGGGGTCTGGGAATGCGTTTTCTCCCACGGTTCATCTTCATCCCCGTCAAAATTACGTGACTTTGGGAAATTTGATATCTGCCTCCGGTGGCAAGGGCAATAAGCCTCAATCCAATGAAAATAAAGGTATCTCAAATCTTGCTTACCGCGCTTTGCATGATTGCACGCCAGTGATTCTGGTTGAAAGATCGAGTACCAGTACTTTCGGGAAGCATTATTTCTGGATCCGGTCTAACATGATGACTTGAATCATCGCCTTCTGTTCTTTTATTAGATTTGGTCACCAAATAGTTACCTGTGGTAATATGCGGTGGTGACGGTCCATCTTGAAATGCGGTCTCAAGACGGAGCAATCGATTGCGGAGACTCTGTAATCCAGTTTTACAACCATCGTGTTGATGACGGTATTCCTGCGAGCCGCCTTTTGTTGAACTGTAATGGCAGCTCACTTCAAGGTCTTTTTTCTGGCAGTTATTACAGGGCACTTGACGATTACAACGTATTCTAGAACGACCAATAAGTTTAAGTATCATAATGGAAAGTAAAGAAATGGCTCCACTAAGATAGAGACAACATTCCATGTCAGGGCTGGGTGTCGGAACATACTTCTTCTCTCTGCAGGATGTGCAGGACAATAGAACACGGGGCTTTTGGTCTCTTCTCCTCCGATCGGCTCCCCTTTGTCTGCGACCCGCCAAAGGGTCCATCTCGGAAAATGCAGGTGATTTTGGAAGCGGTCTAGACTCCAGATACATATTTCTGCGATTCTGTGTCTAAAATCAACAGATTGACTGCATTGGTGGTCGCCGGAGTGCTGATTTTAGGAGACGGTGGGAGACGGGAAGGGGGCTTGTAATGAAACCGGCCGGCGTCCTCGGATTTCTCGGGTTTCTCGGATTTCATGGGAAGACATGTGGGTTCATGGCGAGGCCCCGAGTCTTGGCTATTCTTAAGCTTGTTGACTCGGGACATCCGTGTCTGTGCCACCTCTTGCTCAAAGTTCGACCAATGTAATACATCATTTATCTTGCTCATATATATCTATCATCCGTCAGCCGATTATAACCCCGGGAATTTCAAGTGAACAAGACAAAAGGAGCCTTCAAACCGAACTTCCAGAAATCAACAAACCAACACCCGGTGGATCGGTGGACCCATCTAACTGAGAGCATGGTGGAGCATAGTGGAGCCAAGCGACAGCCGATGACATGAACACGGCTACGAATTCGACAGCTTTACTCCTTATGGAATCTGTATTGGCTTGTTTGGTACTTGCAAGCTCCACTAGGCAGCAGTGCCGTGTTGAATCTCCCTCCGTACAAGTAGTATGCTGCCACCAGCCATGCATATCATTCACAGAAACTGCCAGTGCTTGCATAACCTTTGTGTCTTTCAACTCCGATACTATCTCGGGTGGATATATTGCCGTACGACGGTTTCAATCGATCCGTGTTATCCGAAACCTGCATTGCCACTGAAAGATAAATATTTCGTTTCGCCATTGCGAAAACCGAATTGACAGGTCGAATCTTGGAAGTTCAAAGCGGGCATTCCTGTACCTAGGTATCAAAGATTGCATTCAAGTTCAAACAAGGATGGGGGAAAAAGAAGATAGATTCCGTATCATCATTGTGGGGGGTTCTGTCGCAGGTCTTACTCTTGCCCACTGCCTTTGGAGAAACAAGATTGACTTCATCATCCTGGAAGCCAATGGGGAGATCGCCCCTCAAGCCGGTGCATCTATTGGAATCCTTCCCAATGGTGCTCGCATTCTCGACCAGCTTGGACTTTTTGATGATGTGCTCGATGCCGTTGAGCCTCTGCGACATTCTTCATTTTGGGCGGGTTCTGGTAGCCATATCATGAGCTCTGATGCGCCAAAGATAATGGCAGAAAGGTACGCGAGTTTATCTTCACCAATTTGGAGTTTGATCTTAAGAAAAATAAAACTGACCGAACCATTATCTCGTTTAGACACGGATATCCGATTAACTTTCTCGATCGCCGGACTCTCCTAGAGATTCTCTCTTCAAATCTGAACGGTTGTCATGGGAAATTATTTTTGACAAAAAGAGTTACCCAGATGGAGCACTTTAAAACACATGTAGTAGCTCACTGCCAAGATGGATCTACTTATCAGGGCGATTTGATCGTTGGAGCTGATGGTATTCGGAGCGTTGTGAGGCAGCAGATGTGGAATTATATGATATCTCAAGGTCTTTCCAAAGAAGTGGAAAGCGAAGGAACAGGTCAGTATCCAATAACCTTGGCGGCACGAAATACCCAATTTGCTGCTGAATTCTCGCTTTCTCCTCTTCAAATTACGGTTACTAAATTTCCGAAAGCCATGACCTCGGAGTACGATTGCGTTTTTGGTATTTCACCTGAAACGACCGGACTTATCCCTGGCCATACTCACCGAACATTCGGCAAAGATTACTCATTTTTGACTATTTCAAGCAAAAACGGTCGCGTATACTGGTTCTTCTTCACAAAATTGGACCGCAGATACGGTAGCCATGAAATCCCTCGTTTCGAAAAGCAGGATATAGACAAACACGTCGCACCCTTCTTGCATAAACCACTAAGTGGGACTGTGTCTTTCAAGAAAGTCTACGAAAGGGCCCTTGTAAAAACGCATCTTGCATTGGAAGAGGCCAGCTACAAGCACTGGCACAAGGGCCGCTTTGTTTGTATAGGTGATTCGATACACAAGGTGCGTCCCGTTCTGCAAATATGCGCGAAAATCACAAATTCATAATGACTAACTTTCGCTCAAGATGACGCCCAACGCAGGCCAGGGTGGGAACAGCGCAATCGAAAGTGCTGCTACACTGTCTAATCATCTTTCAAATCTACTTCAGCAAAAGTCCTGCCCCGAAGCAGAGGATATCAACAATTGCCTTCAATCATGGCAGAAGTCTCATCGCCCACGAGCCACAAAGATCTCCAATTCTGCGAATGAACTTACTCGACTTGAGGCCGGTGCAACTTTCAAAGACAGCATCCTTGGGTTGTATCTCCTGCCTTATTTGCAATCCTTTTTAATTGACAAATTTTCTGCACAAATAGTTGGCGCAGCGAGACTCGACTGTGTGGGCTTGCCAGAAAGATCCCTGCATGCAACTATGCCTTACAAGGATGAAACAAAAGCTATACATCAGTCAGACCTCTCGAAGAGAAGTTTGCTGTGCATTCCACTCCTGGGGTGCTTTGGAGCTGCCCGTGCCGTAATGGCCCCTTTGATCAGTAAAGTCAGACCATTCATGGTTCCTTTTTTTGTTGGCGGCTCTTGGACTTCGGGCACTGGAGAGACAGTTGACTTGCGCGGACCTATCTACCGCATTCCATTTATGGACAAACTTTTCAAGCCACTGATCTTTTGCTTCCTTCCTTCTATTACGGGAACGGATCCAGTATCGTGCATCCAAATGCGGTCCTTTATAACAGACCTGGGCCCAGTCTTCGGTATATGGATGCTGGAGAGCTACCGCAATTGTCATTCCCCCAGCGTCTCGCTGCTGTAAGTGCCTTCCACCTCCATTTGTCCTATAACAGCTCGTTTCTGCAAAAAAGACTAAGAATTTATCATTGAAGTCCTCTCCTTGCAGGCACTGCTTTTCAGCTCAAAGGCATTGGCATTTGGGCTCCCATTTATTATACCCTGGAGTACCTCCATGCTCCACTGGGGAGTCTCTTATCTGGGGTCATGAGATCGCAGCTCAACATACTATTTCTCTTCTGCTTGCACTCCTCGGTGGACTCTATCTACCGATATATTTGAACTTCACATCCGCGACCGTTGAATCCCGCCGGTTTTGGAATGCGGTTTGGCAGCCATTCCCTGTTATCGTGCCGACGATCGCCAGGGTCATTCGTCTACTGAGCAACCCGGTTTCCAAGGCTCAAAACTCAGCAGATTCGGCCAAATCAAGGATGAACCCTAGCAAGATAAATATGTTCTGGATCCGGGCTGCGTATATTGGCTTTGCTGCTATTTCCGGCTTCACCTGGATCCACTCCATCTGTTCCGCGCCAGCTAATAGCTCATTGCTGTCCATTTTCTGGCCAGGCTTGGATGGGCATTTGCGTCCCGTTGCTTCTTTCATGGATGGCATAGCGCGATTTCTGCAATATGATCAAATTTTTGCAATGGGCAGTGGCTTCGTTTGGCTTGCATTGAGACTTCATGAACTCGGTCAGTCTGGGGCTACATTTTCTTGGCTGAAGGTCGCTGGTTCATTCATCGGAGCCACGGCGGCCCTGGGACCAGGAGCGGCATTTTCTCTTGGGTGGGGCTGGAAAGAGGAATTTATCCACAAAATGGCTTCTCTTTGATGCCTGTAGTCTAGGTGGTACTATACAATCGACGGAGGCCTGCGAAGGACAAGAACTTTGCAAAAATGTATTCTATAAATAGATAGTGACGAAGCGGTTACCGAGAACTACTATATACAGTTGGAATGACATAGTGTCTACTCCCGATGTAATATGAGAAAGCATTTGGGCAGGCTGTCGTACCTGAATGATAACAGTGAACTGAATTATACTTTACGTAACTCACTACCAGCCACAGTCCAACATATCATGAAACAACGACAAAGCAAACAGATTGTCTATTCCACACCTAGCTGATTCCAAAGTTTGCGTATCGTCTAAGCAAGAATATCCTAGTGGAAGCCCGAATTTACATAGATAGCCAAGACAAGACTGCGCAATTAATAATTTCGGCGCACATCCATGATTAAACCAATCTCCCAAGTGTCACAATGGATTCTTATCCGTACATAACTGCATTTTCCAGTTGAGATATTTTTTTTCTCTCTTTTATTTTCTTGATTTCTGAAGGGCATCCCATAGTTTGAGAAATCTCTCTCTCATTTCATCTGTCAGGGCGTTGGGGATGTGACATTCGACCGCATATGACGTCGCCCGAAAATCGAGGATTGCCATCAGCCGGGGTAGTACTTTTACATAATAATTATGAAGTAGCGTCATTTCAGAAATCGGGCTTGGCGAAGACCCTTAGGATCGGGTATAAGATGTTTATCGGTGATAAAAAATACGACCTACCCCAGGTGGAGTAGATCTATGTGGGGGCGAGAAAGCAATTCGGCCGCAGATCCGCACATGGGGCAAGAAATTCTATGTTCATGAGGATGACAGAGAGATCTTTTTCGCACTGACGAACATGCAAACAGGCTCATAACATTGGCGCCAAGACGATTATTGAGCCAAGGCCATATCAGCCCCCGACTATGATGCAATTCCAACAAACCCTAGCACTGAATGAAACCAAGGTAGCCTCTCATGCGAGCAAGTTGAGCACCCGGTTTCATTCGAAGGCGATGAAATGAGAATAGATCTTCAATTCTTCGGCCAAAGCCTCAACAGCTATCGGGTATAGCAAAAGGCTGCGCATCTACGCTCGGAGATGCCTAAGAAATGTGGTTGGGGTTGGGATCAGAAAGGTCTATAAAGACCATACTCCATACCCTCGAATTTCCAATCCATCACAATCCATTATCATCAGCATCCAAGGCAATTCCAATCTGTCTTCTCTGTTCAAAACACCAATCAAGATATCACCGACCAAAATTCTCATGCACAGTGCCGCCCCCGCCATCCTGCTGGCAGCTCTCAGCCTGCCCTCCGCCATGGCGGGCCAGTGTTCTGCGGTAGGCCAATACTCTACGAACTCCGCAGGCTTTGGTAGCGGCGGAAATACTATTGCCAACGGCGGATCTCTCAAACTCTATGATGCCGATAGCAACGAGATCGGCGCTTACGACGGTGATAAATCGGTCTGTTCCGACCTCATCACTTTCGGCTCCGACTCCCTTGATGACACCTTCTCGTGGGGCGCGGCATGTGGAGGAAGTGGCCTCAGGTGAGCTAATCCCTAATAATTACGGAGATTTGGGGTATTGAGAAGCTAATAATAATACCATGTTCCAAGTGGCTGCCACGGTGCCTACGCTACACAGACTCACATTGAAGGAGAAGAACCCACTAGCGACACCAACTTCTATGGTGTTGGAGAGTCTGTTGAGTCTGAGTGCATTGTCTATTTTGACTGCTAGGGATCATAGGCTCAATTGCTCTCACTACTGCCGTCTGACGCCTGCTTGACTCTCAATCGGACGACCGATGCAACACGCTCAAGTTTCCTGTCTATGAAATCTGGATCCAATAGGTTTGGTACGAAATGAAATTTTGTTTAAGCTGGCCAAAGCCTTTCATGAGAGTAGAATCAGTAGATTATTATGGGAAGATATTCTCAGACACCGCCAATCCTGCATTGACAGAGTTGACGTAACAAATTATGCTCCTACTATTTGCAAAAGTTAAAAAATATAACATCTAGCTAAAACAGAATTTGGAGGATTAGAAATCCCATATCATGTGCTGCATATTCACAATGGGCTGCGGTAAACGATGAATTTATTATTCCAAAAATGGCGTCCCACAATATGAACGCCAGAAGACGTTTCCCGGATCGCCACACCTACCTTGGGCCACTTGAAAGTACTCAAGAATATGAGCCAAGGATAGTATTTTACGTCCGGCGGGCGGGGGCACTGACGTTCGAGGCCTCCCGGGGACATATTTCAGCTACGGTTGTTGGCACAGCGTACTTTATGTTCTCCTAAACCCCTGATATCCCACTTCAGCTTCATTTATTAAGTAGTAAGGAAAATTATATAAGTAAAGAATTACTCTTAACTCGGAAGTTGCAAGAATGAGTACAGAGTACATGCACTCGAGTTGGACTTTATGATTACTTGGAAGACTGACTCAGGACCCACAATATCCAGATAATATGCTATAACAGGTTTAGTCTCCGCCTGCGTTTTCTCATCCCCACTTTCCAAAAGGTGTTGAAGAAGTTGTCACCTTCGTTCAAATCATAACAATACTTTCCAGAAGAAGTTTAACTTCCGGCATCAACGAATTCTCGAAACGTCGATGTACAGGCCATTGATTTGTCATTTCTTATGGCGTTAGCAGGGTTTGTGTGGCTTGTAAGAGATTTATAAGTTGACACCTTTCAACGCATTTGAGATATTATTTTTGTCGTGGAAACATTTACTACGTGTTCTAACGCTGCTCAGATCAGCTTCTCTTAGCGCTTATGATGGCTCCTACGATTGCATGGCTTGGTCTTGGGAACATGGGGATGGTGAGCTCACCTCTTTCTCATTTTTTGATATACAATTTAAACCCCTGGCACTAACTTATAAAAAAAGGGCATGGCCAGCAATCTCGCCAAAAAGGGAATAATAAAATGCTCATTTATCGTGTATAACCGTACCGTCTCTCGCGCTCGCCAGTTCCAGGCCCTAAATCCCAATACCGTCGTCGCAGAATCGGCAGCCGAGGCTGCGGCCAAGGCTGATATCATCTTCACTTGCCTCGGAGATGATACCGCGGTATCTGAAATCATTGACTTAATCATCACCTCAACCACCATAAAAGGAAAATTGTTTGTGGATTGCTCCACTATTCACCCGGATACCACTACCGCCATTGCAAACAAATTCCAAGATGCCGGCGCCGAGTTTGTTACCAGTCTTATACACCTATTATGGAATACTTACGTGTTTAATTGATCAACCAGGATCCATAATGATGCTAGAAAGTGCTCATGAGTTACCAATTGGCGAGGACGCCCCAATCTGCCGAAAGGCGAGGACATTTATGGTCGTACAAACATATGAGTTATGATGAAACAATTCAGCAATAGAAATCGAGGATGGGGATGACTGGCGGAAGTCATAGGCAGGACTTGTCGACGACTGTAACATGGACCATATCTCCTTTCCCAACGTTCCGTCTAATTTTGTTCGGAATAGCTCCTAGGAGTAGATCGTTTCTTCTATGGGTATTTGATGCGCCGATCAGCAGACGTCATATGAGCTCTCCGAAACTCCCGAATTAAATATTAACCCGGAGCTTCAAGCATATAAATATCCTCAAATTCAATGGTATTGAAGTCTCACAGCTCTAACTTTATCTCCTTTCGATCATATTACTCTCGATTATTCAGTCTTGAAATCAACACCATGCGTCTTACATTCCTCATTCTTACCATTGCTGGCCTGAGCATGGCTGCCGCACCGGTATGGACTTCAACCAAGATTTTAATTGATAATATTTCTGACAAGGAAAAAAGATCCCCGCTGGAGGAACCTGCAAGAAAGATGGTAGCATGGGCAATTGCCAATCAGGACTTTGTGTGGTATGTTTTGAACAGTCAACTCTTAAACTGAGCATGACAGCAGCTAATGAATTCGTAATAGCAAGCTGCGAACGCGGCCACTGGAAAATGTAAATAAACCTCATTCGGGTATTTCTTTTATCAGGCGGGATTACTCTCCTTAAATTCATACCGCAGTAGATGAAGAATTTTGACCAGCTCAGCTCATTTTGTTGTTGTTTTCCATAAGTAGACCAGTGGTAACCGAATAAAATGAATTAATTCATCCATGGATCTGTATAATATCTGTAGTGGAAGGGAGCTTATGTCTTCTCTTCCCGATGATAAATCCGTCGCAAGAGTGCCTGGAAAACTTCAACGACTTCTAGAAAGATAACTACGCTCTTGCGAGAAGAGCTATATACATCAACTTGAAGTTAATTCGCTCGCAGATTAAAGAGCAAGGTTGGAGGTGCTAACTACTAGTACTGTCTTAATCCATGATTTCTACCCAGGTCTTGGGCATCACAGCACTGACCTGGGTAGTTCCATCTCGCAGGTAAGTACCTCTTGAAGACAAGAGAGTCTAGGGACCGCCCATCTAGGCAATTGGTCAGCGACATTGGAACTCAATGAGATATTCAATGTCGATCATGATTCAGATCCCACGGCGAACTTGAATCTTACCACCCCAGTAGTAACGGCAGCTTCAAGCTCAGCATACAAATTTTAGTCAGACTTATCACCGGAGAAAAATAAAGCCAGATCTATTTGTTTATTTACCTTCAATTGTACCTCCAACTTGAACTGGGCAGCTAGAGCGGGTTCCAAAGTTCGGTGGATATATAATGGATCTCCCGGAGGCTAGGTGGGTCCCCGATTAAAAATAACGTAGTCGACAAAAGTTTTTACCGAAACTTCTTGGCATGCGTGGGCTGGAATCGGTGTACTGTACTTCCCTTTGGTCCGAGTCGGCTTTTCGTTTCTTACTGGTTTGTTGGGCCCCGCCCCCCTTCCGGGGGGGGGGGCCCTCGGGAGAACATTCTCAACGCAATTGAGAATGTTCTCTCGCCATACTTCGATGTCAAAATCCTTATGCAGCCCAACACGCTCAATGTGAAAGGAGCTGTGTCACCAGAAACAGCGATCCTTCATTTTGCCTGTCACTCTCGGGCTGATGAGGACGATCCCTCCCGAAGTGTCATCATACTACAGGATTGGCAAAAGAAGCCTGCTCCATTTTCAGTGCGAACGCTCCTTAACCTAGATCTCAAGAGCTGTGAGTTGGTCTATCTTTCTGCATGCGAATCTGGGTGAACAAGGACGTCCGGTTACGGGATGAGGGAATTCACATTGCTGGTGGTTTTCATATCGCCGGAGTGTCGCATGTGATTTCCACTTTGTGGAAGATGTCAGATGAGATTTCGTCGGAGCTTGCGGGTGCATTCTATGCCAATATAAGACAGAATGGGCAGGACAGCCTGGATATGGATCGAGCGCCATATGCTCTTCATGATGTTGTTGGGGCTATGAGGCGGGAGGGTGTCCATCCGATGCTATGGGGCGCTTTCATTCACTCAAGTCCTTGAAGTGGAGGGCAGCTTTTGGTCCTCACTGACCGCTAAACCGGTATAATAGAATGTCACTCTTCATTCGTTCTGAAATTCCGTGAATTATCTGGTTGTATCGGAGAAGTGGTGAAGATCAATTAACTCAAATATCAGGATATTTCGCTCAAATGGATAAGGCGACCAAGTTAATCAGATAAACACAAAGTTCTTACGGATATGGGGAAGTTCTATGCAGAGTGACGTCATTTCAGCTCGTATAATTTAGCGTCATTAACCCTTGTCTCGCGAAGTCGACGACCATCAATTCGTAACCCTTTTTAGATTGCCTTCTCTTCAAGTTTCGGAGATATCCAGGGATTTAAGGATTCGGTGTTAAACGCAACTAAGTCCGACTTTCGAAGCTGGCTACGATGTAATACTACGAGATGTTCAGAATATAAAGACGTCGAGATGACAGCGTCAGACTGTTTCCTACCGCTAACGCACCACTCTAACTACGACCACCTGGGCAAGCCAACATTCGAATACTATACCTAGGTAGTTTTTAATAGCCAAGTCATATTTCCGTCCTTCGTCTATTCAAATCGTGAAAGCCTACCATGACCGATATTATCGATTTCATTAGGCCCACTAATGCCTTCGAGCTGGCGGCATTCGCCAAGAATCATCACGATACATATCCGTTCATAGAGCCGATGGGTACAGAGCTCTCTGGAAAGTCCATTCTCATTACGGGGGCTTCCAAGGGCATTGGACTTGCCACGGCTGTGCGCTGCGCCAAGGCTGGATGTGCTCAAATCGCCGTCGCCGCTCGATCTTCCCTTGAGAGCGTGGTCAAAGAAATTAAAGATGAAGCTGCCAAGTGCGGTGTCGAACTCCCTCATATTTTGCCATTATCTATGGATGTGACATCGGATGAGTCTGTCAAGGCTGCCAGCTTGAAGCTTGAAGCTGCTTTTGGGGGGGAAGTTAGACATCCTCGTAAACAACGCAGGGTATTTACCCGAATTCAAGACTGTCATCGAATCCGATCCAATCGAATGGTGGAAGGCCTGGGAAGTTAATGTGAAGGGAACATTTCTTTGTTGTCACTACTTCCTCCCGTTTGTTTTGAGCTCGGATACGAAGATAGTCGTCAATCTCTCCTCAGTCGGGGCCCACACTTTGTCATACGGCGCCTCTTCGTATCAAACATCTCGATTTGCAAATGTACGACTGAACGAATTTTTGGCCCGAGACCACGAGGATGAGAAGCTCATTGCAATCTCATTGCACCCCGGTGGCGTCAAAACTGATATGGCAGCCAACTTCCCAGAGGTGCTTCACTTCTCGCTTGCGGATGAGCTAGCACTCCCTGCCGATACCATTATATGGCTAGCGAAGGAGCGACGAGACTGGCTAAACGGGAGATTTGTATGGAGCAACTGGGATCTGGAAGAGGTGGAGGGAAAGAAGGATGAGATCATCGAAAAGGATCTTTTCAAATTCCGTATGACCGGATAATGTGCCAGCGCATATGAATTCTATTTACATATTCATAGTGTCGAATATCAAGATGATATGAGATCCAATCCTAGAGTAAATCGCGCGTTTCACGAGTACCTAGATATTCCACCAAGTAATGACTGTCTCACTGTCTCACAGTCGATCAGCAATGCCATGTCGGTGAACCCAACTGCGAGCTCGCTTCCCAAATATGTACCTGAGGTTCTTTGTTAATACCGTTTATTGCGCTTCTCAAAAATATGGCAGGTTGTACTTGCATTGGAATTGTGAATAGGGTAACTCCCATAGTTATCCCCCCGATGGTGAAAAAGCAGTTCCGGACTCCTTGGTTATCGATCCAGTCGTTGATGTAGAATGATAACCCGAATGCGAACAGGTTCTTGATGAAATTCATGGCCGCAAATGCCTCGCCTGCTTTCTCACGGTGACAATCAACAACATAGGTCACCACCCCAGTCGTACCAAGCTGAACACCAAAGTTAATGAGTCCAAGGCACACTATCACGGGTACTGGCCAAGGGTCTTGCGCGTATGAAGATTGGCCCCAAGCAAAAAATCCGGTGGACGTGAACAGAAGATATGTAACCATTATGGGTAAACGGAACTCGGGTTCTGTATTCAAGTTCAAGTTAGTCATACGCAGTCAATTGAAGGTATATTTCAAAGAAATTGCTGCCTACCGAAGATTCCTCCATTCATTCTAGACATCCTAGTAACCAAACCGTCGATAAGCGGCCCTGCGGCCAGAGTACCGAGAACAGAGGCCACGAACGACGACAAATTGGTCGCTCCAACTCCAACCACTGAAAAGTCATAAGGCGGCGCAGAGAATATTTGCGATAACGTGAGCGATATTCCGACGAGCCACGAAATGCAGGTGGTGAAAAGAAGAACGGCCCAGAGTACGGCCGGTGACGCGATGAGGTAGAAAGGTCGGATCAGCGTATTCCAGAATGAAACTTGATTAACATAGCCACTGTATGGCAGCAGTCTTTGTGTCCAGGATATAGGTTCCTCGCTCGGTATCGAAGCGGAGGTAGGTGCGTGTTCGAGTTGCTCCAACGCCCCTTTGCCTTCAACCACGACCTAGGAAACATTAGCAACAGAGTTTCAAAAAAAAAGATAAATATACACGCACGTTTGCTTCTCCCGTGTCGATATTTAAAGACTGTCTGGAATACGCAGATTCTGGCATCCAGAAAAAGACCATAATGAGGGTCAACGCAAAGGCACCTCCCATTGCATGCAACGCTATGCGATAGGAGCTATATTCAATAATTGCGGCAGCTATCGCGAATCAGCCAAAGAAATCTAAAATCAATACCCACCCAACTCACCGATTGGAACTGCTAAATTGATTCCCCCAAGTACTCCTAGGTTGAATACAGCAGTCCGAAAGCCCCTCTCGTGAACAAACCTTAACCCCTGCATTAGTATGTGTCGTGCCTGGGGGTATTTCACAAACATACCAAATATCCGAAATGGATGCAGGAACTAGGGCCTCCATCGGTGCCATACAGAGCCCACAGAACACCCTTGCAGCCACAAAAGACTCGAAGCTTTTCGCCTCGGCTGCCCAGAAACAAGAAACCATCAACCCAACTGTTGTACCCAAATACACCGGTCGCTTTCCGTATTTCACTGCAAGGGAGTTGAAAATAAGGCTTCCGATCGCAATTGCAGCGATAGTACCCCCTTGAACAGCCGACACGAATGTAGATAGAGAGACGCCAAAATCTGCAGCGAGTGGAACGAAGGCTCCTCCAAGGAGTGGTCCAACCGCTAAAAAATGGAATGAATGAGACATCCGCCTTCTGGATATTTCGGGAACTTTCACTTACCTCCGACACACCCACAGCCCCATCCATACGTAATTGTGAACAATTCCTTTCGTTTGCGTGACCAGTTGTAAGGGTCGTTGGGAGAGTCCGACGGCTGCGGAACAAGTACAATTTGCCCCGTTGAATCGCGCTTCAGGAATCCAGGATCGATGCCTGAGTAGGTATCGGTGTTTTGAAGCCCATTGAGTGGTGCCGTACCTGGAATATGCTCCAATCTGTCGTCATCGAGAATACCAAAAGGCATTTTGGTGGTTGGCACTCGATAGTGTGCGGAAACAACTTCCCTGACGCTTGGATACTTAAGAAAAAGTGTGATGTGAGTCCTGCTACTAGTTACCCTGGCAGACAAGTGATGTAAGCCGGGTTAAGAGGAGACAAGAGGAATTGCCGATCTTCAATTACTAGCACTAGTAACTGTTGATCGCTCTAAGTGGCCAGATTTCACAAGGGATTTATCAAGTTCCAAGTTAGTACCCCAGGGCTAGAAGTCGCCCAGGTGAACATCTTGAGCCCAGTGGCCTTGTGCCAATATATAGTATCTTTTCTACCAAAACTTGACTGCCATTCAACTCTATCGTCTTCATTTTTCTGGAACTACAATACCAGGTGGCTTTACTAGAGTTTGTGCGTGACTTTCACAAGTATGAATGACGAATTTCATGGATCGCAGGAATATGGGGCTGCGAAGCCCCATCGGGGAGAACCCGCCTAGTCTGTAATCTGGGGTCCCCATGGGGTTTCGCCGATTTCAGACTATAATGAGGAGGAAAAAGGATGGGAAAATACCAACTCCTGCTAATTGTATTATTCGCTATAGTCCCCTTTCTGCGAGATGCGGGGCATGCGTAGACCCGATAGATGGGACGCCCTCTGAATGTAGTTATGCATAAAATTTTCGCCTTGGATGAGCTGAAGCCGTAAAGTTTGCAAGTTGTTTGTTTGGGTTTATGGCTTCTTGATTATCAACCTTCTGTGCTATCTGGCCCGGCAATTACAATGATGATGACAGCCGGGACGGACCTGGGGATATGCCGAAAGAGAATTGGGAGTACTTTCGCTTTTTCGCTGTCAGGTTATATTCTTATGATAATATTATAATCTTGGAATCTATTACAGGTAGCTGAAGCCTGCACCCCCTTTTAACGAAATCTTCAATGTATTCGTGACTCGGTATTCTAGGGCTAATTAGGTAAGACTGTTCGTGGTGAATATCTTGGTTGGACTGAGATACATCTTACCTTCGGGACTGGAAAGTTTCTTATCAATTACTGCACCTTTTTTGGTCCATACAGCTCTGTCCATAGCGTCTTCTGAGAGACGCATTCCGCACGGGCTGTCGAGATAGGTGCGGGGTGTTGACCGACGCAACGCCACCACATCAAGTATATCCGAAAATACGGCCGAGAAGCTCATTAAGTTCAGCTAACTCACGCAGTTGGGTCGGTCATCGGCACGTAGACATAACCGATGTGTAAAAGAAAGTTCGTAAGCTGCCATGTTATGCTGGAAGATCGTCAAAGCCTCAGATACCGGAAATCCCCCGGATCCACTATAGGATGTGGAGAGCCGAGCAGGGAGGGGTTATGACGCGGCGAAGAAGCGAAACAAGAGCCGAGTGCGGAATTATCTTAGCAAAAGGGGCCTGCGAGCTCGATCTGTGTCTCAAATCATTGAGTAGCTTTCAATATGGCGTCTTTCAGAAGCATTGTGGTCACAGGTAGGAAAACAAAAACAAAAACAGAAGCATGTCCGAATGATCTGAATAATGACGATGCTGATTTCTTTTACTATTAGGAGGAGCCTCCGGAATCGGGCTAGGGATAACAAAGCACTTTATCACGGAGGAAAACACCCATATCACAATTTTAGACATTAATCCCACAACTGGCACGCTGGCATTGGACAAACTTCGTTCCGAATTTCCAAATGCGGGCGTGTCATTCGAGGAATGCGACGTATCTTCTTGGGAGAGCCAAGCTGCAGTATTCGAAAAGATATACAACCAGCAAGGCCGAATTGATATCGTCTTCGCAAATGCGGGTATCAACGAAAAAGGCAGCTTGTTGCCTTCCAAAAGCGAAAGCGGAGGGCCTATTAAACCAGAACTCACCACTTTGAATGTCAATTTAATTGGATGCATATATTGTAAGTTTTAGCTTGCCCTTATGGTTGACTAGCCATACTAACTCTCTTGGATAGCTGTACAACTTGGAATTCACTACATTGCCAAAAACGAAATAAGCGGTTCATCGAGAGGAATTATTATGTGCACTGCTTCTAATGCAGGACTATATCCATTCCCTATGGCGCCACTTTACGCAGCCACCAAACATGGAGTGGTCGGGCTGGTTCGATCGCTCTCGAGAACACTTGCAACAAAGAAAATTCGGATCAATGGATTGGCTCCTGCCGTTATTGGTAAGCCTGGTGATACTCATTTTGCTATATTCACTAATAAAGAGCAGAAACAAATATTGCTCCTAGTTCTGATTTGTTTAAGTCGATGATACTCACTCCCATGTCTACCGCGACAACCGCTGTTGCCAATCTTGTAGATGATACGTCATTGACAGGCAAAATCGCGGAATTACATGGTGAGAGTATCACATTCGCAGAGGCACCCCCATATGTGGATGAAGATACAGGGAAGAATATTGAGAATTTTTGGAATTTAGGTTATTCCTAGTTGATGTCAGAAGAAATCCCAAAAAAAGGTGAATGTAGCCACAAAGAGTGGTCATTAAGAGTATCAGAATGAAAAATGAGCCTTGTGCTTCCTGCGCCAGGCTTTATTTTTGGTATTATATTGACGGCGTCATAGTAGAAACTGAATTGTAGAAAATAAATAAATAGACAGTGGATATCGTGTTTCATAATCAACGCCAATCGCTAATCGTCCCAATCGATAGCCCGCTTGAAAGACCAAAAAAAGCAAGTCCCACTAACGCCTCCGCCGTTCTATCAAGCAAGATGACATGGCAGCTCCCAACCTGCTAGTCCTGTTCGTCCTTGAGTAACACCTTCAACTTCTCGAGCTTATCTTCACAATGGACCTCCATTTGCAAAATGACATCAACGGCATCCTTATTGGTGATAAGAAGCTGCGAGACGAGCCAGAAGTTATATCCGTTCTTGTAGAATCCCATCGAGGCCCATTCGTCGTTTGAGACCTGACTGCGGACTGCGAGCCAGTAGTAACGCCAGCGGTTCAGAGCGGTGCGAATTGAGATCAATAATGAGTCTTCCGGTATCATGCTCCTGCTGCCATCTCCGTGGGTTGTATTTTGTAAAGCATGGATAACAGAGCTTTGCCGCTTCAGAAGTCCGACTAGGGTCATATGCGTATTGATGAAGGCGAATAAAACTACGGTGTTCGTCAGCAAAATGTAAATGAAACCTAGGGTATATAGATTGGAACGTACCATGAATCAGGATGAATGTATCCAAAACCGTCAGCCCCATATCGTAGATATCGGCAGATTGGCCCTCTTGTTTCACAGGTTCAAATAAATTTTGAAAAGCGGAGTAGATGGTGATATCCCGATTGAACCGAAAGCTAGGCTCGGAAAAGGGGTGCTCAGCCTGAAAGACAGACTCTTCGCATGGAAGCTCGCATTCCATCTCAGAATGCGTCAGACGGCACGGGTAGTTCTGGTAAAAGAAGAATGCGCAATCAAGCAGAGAGATGACACTAATGGCACGGATGCGGCACTCAGTCTGAATCCAGAGATGCTCCTGTAGCTGCTCGTGGGGCTGGTGTCGGCATTTCACGAGATCGAGCCGTCGGGCGATTTTGACGATTTCGCTGAATCGATTTTCCATCGCACGGTTTCGCGAGGCGCGGCTGCCTGCCCAGTACTGAACAACAGTAATAATAAGGCCAGCCAAGAAATTCTGGAACTTCACCCAGTCGTTGTCGTCTTCCTCCGGGGTCTTGTGACCGGAGAACACAGAAGCCACTTCTGTCTCTGGCGAAAAAACGGGGCTGGAGAACACGAAGAGCTCAGCAAAGTCCAAAACTCGCTTTGCGATGTATGTTTCCCGCGGATCTGTGCTATACATAGCGCCCATAAATGTCACCGCAGCAAGAAGTGGCAGTGAAGTTGTCTCCGGGTCAAAGGAAGGGACGTGAAAGATGGAGCAATTGTTCTGCCAATACCTAAAATAAAGCGACAAGAATTTCCGTATGCGTGCTGTGGTGAGCAAGAAGTTAAGACCGGACGATATTTCCTCCTGGGCCTTGGGATCCAGCGGTACAGTCCATGCCCTTGCCAAGATAGATTGAACGAGAGCCATCGCGAATGGCTGTTCTGGTTCGAAGACTGCAGGATCTGATTGCATGGCTAGACTTGGATCTTTCCCAGGCGTATTGAAATCGATACGAGCAGTATAGGGGTCCTCCAGGGACTTCTGGTTATCGCCAAATGGTCCATTGAAAAAGTCCAGAAAGGTGTCTTGGAAAAATTGGAGAGACGAGGGGTCCGGACCACCAATTGGTGGGGGAAATTCTGATCGATTCTCTTGCATGCTGTATGGAAACATCCCCCCAGCGGCTTCTTGCAATCCGACCTGATTGTGGAATTCCATACCCCGAGCGCGATCATCTCGTGGCGGGAGCCGAAACTGCTCGGTGAAGCTGTCGGTACCGCCATTCAAAAGAAACTTGATCGATCCACGATCCGAAGGCTGGTCGAATATTTCTGGCTTGGCTGAGGAGACCCGAAGCTTGAAGAGCCATCTTCCATACTGTGTGCAGGCGGTCGCGTCATGGGATCGTCGAGGTCGTGGTGGGCATCCGCGCGGATGAGTCGTTCATTGTTGCAATCGAGACCTCTCTTCACGCATGAGCCACAGGGACTTGCGCCATCGCAACGAAGCTTCATCGAGGTGCACTATTGAACCAAGGAACCGTTGGTTAGGCCGAGACGTACGAGAGTCGCATTCGGAGAACTCACAGATTGGCATGCATGTCGCCGACGGCCCCTCTGGCCAGTCTCGGGGACTTGACGATCCCCACGTTGGGCGCAATCGTTATAATGATCGCGAAGATTGTCGCTTCATGGTGTAAGCTACGCGGTTTCGCAGGGAGAAGGGGAGAGCACGTACCATCGCGCAAAGGCCTCGTTGCAGAAAACGCACGAGTAGGGCTTTTGGCCGGAATCTGTTCTCCACGTTAGCTCATGCCGAAGTCGGGGAGAGTTATGCGGGCACCGCACGGCGCAGGTGGTGTCTCTTGAGGTGATCAATGCGTGTGAAGCCCCGCTGACAGACTGTGCAGCGAAAGTGCTTGTCGGCAGGCTTCATGCTGGTCCATCGGGGAGGAGAGGAGATTTCCCTCGCTTTGGAAAGGTTGAGGACCGGCCAGAAAGAGGAAGGTTGGCTTTCTCCCGGGCTGAGACTAAGATTGAGGGGGAGAACCTTAAGGGTATTCGTATTTCGCTTCTGCAGTGGATTGCAAGTACCGCGGTGGGTCTGGAATTTGGATTTTGCATGGATGACGCGTGGATGTACTTCTCGTGGATACACCAGAGTGTATTGTATGGTATTGGCATGATATCACTACCAGACTTGATCCGACCAGGGTTACCTATAGACTACATTCATGGCTTGATTACTCTTCAGATAGACTATCTCCATATTCTCATATCGATCTGCGAGTTCTTAGGAGTACAGGAGTCTTCAAATCCGGCAAAATATCTAGTTAACTCTAACTAATTGACCCGTACTGGTATACTCGTATCCACTCAGCTTCTTGCGGTTGGTAATGTCTCAAATTTGAGACTCAACTTCGGAAGGATTTGTTTTACTTCAAGTTTGCCGGAGGAAAGTCGACCTGATTATCATCGAGGTAATTCACATGGATCTTGTCGTTCTTCTCGTTTTCCGTCCAGCCATCGCCAATCCAACCAAAGGGGTTATCGTTGACATATTCATATTCATAGTCTTCCCATCGGGGCTGTGCAAAGACTTTCTGAGCATGTAGCGACGAGCCTAGACAGTCAGTTAGTAGCTGTTCGAAATGGACAAATGACTTCCAGCGAATCCTAAAAAAAAGCATAAAAGAAGCATGAACTGTACATACCAGGCCATAGAGCCACAATCCGACCATCTTCAGTACCCCCCTTGTACCAACTGCGACACTTTCCACCAAACACCGTGCCTTTGAAATATTCATCGCAGTACCGTCGAAATTTGAGAACAGCTTCTTTGCGTGGAGCCATGGCTCGAATATTATCTCGCTGCATTTTCTCTACGCACATGGTGAAATAGTCCAACTCCTTTTCAATGAGAAGTAACAGGTTTCCTTCCCCTAGCGCGGCATTTGGACCTAAAGAGATGAAATAATTCGGGAACCCATCCGTCGCGACCGCGATGTAGGTCTCAGGGGTCTCTTTCCAGCGTTCTGAAAGAAGGACACCATCGCGACCCCGAATTGCGAAGCGGGGAGTACAGGTTGTGTCAAAACCAGTCGCGCAGACGATCGCGTCAACGGCTCTGTGCTGTCCGTCAGCAGTGACGATGCCCTTCTCATCGATCTTGATGATGTCCGACTTGATGATGTCTACCTTTTCATCTGTGAGAGCTTCGAGGTAGCCTGGCCCCGGGGTGAGACGCCGGCATGCTGGTGGGAATGCGGGGATGAGATCCTCGATTAGCTCTGGCTTGTTTGCCAATCGCCGTTTCATGTTCTCGACAAAGGCGTCGTGGGCTCCAAGTTGCATTGGGTGTCCATTTAGAGTAGCGCCGTGAATCGACTGGAGTTCCAACTCCACACCTATCGCCTATTAATTGATGCGCTTCACACGTATTGAGCTTGTCATACCCTTGCGGAACTTCTGGTATGCTTCATGGTTGTTCTTGAATTCCTCAATATCCTCGGCGGAAAATGTGACTTTCGATCATTAGTTTTTAAATGTTTTTCATCCATTAGTTCAGCAATGTGCTCACAGTTATCCTTTCCGTTGCCATGCTTCTCAATGTGCTCCCTTGCGAAAGTGGGCGACACCCAGGTGCGGCTGCGCATGTAGTGGTCAATGTGTGTGACCTTGGGTAGTATTCCTGGAACAATCTGAATTCCACTGGAGCCGTTGCCAATAACGGCAACACGTTGATTCTATCCCGATATCAGTCAATGCGATCTGTAAAACTGCATGAGATGCCTACCGAGTAGTCGTATTCCTCGTCCCAGCGAGCGCTATGCAATAATTTGCCCTTGAAGTCATTCAGTCCTGGAATATCTGGCCACTTCCAGTTATTCAAAGAACCGGTTCCCTGGATCACAATATTGCCTTCATCTGTGTATGAAGAGCCGCTGTCCAGATCTTTGATCTAAAACTCATGTCAATCGCCATAAAGGTAATGGGACACGTGGCGCTCACCTCTAGCTTCCACTTCGAACTCTTCTCATCCCATGTCGCCGAGTTTACTTGTTGCTTTAACTTGATATACTTCATGCAGCCATATTTCTCCGCGACATGTTTCCAATATTTGTGGATTTCTGGGGCACTAGCATAGAAAGTAGACCATTCTTTGTTCGGCTCAAAGGTTGCTTGATATGTATGGGCGGGAATATCTGATCGTAGAGGTAAATTAGCAATTTGATTCTTCTCGGCGTAATTCCTTTCAATGGGGGTAATTTACGTACCACATGCACAGCCGGGATATCGATTTTCAAACCAAGTCCCTCCTATATCCGGATTCTTGTCGTATACACAAATTTCGATGTTTGGGATCCTCTGCCTGAAACGAATGCAACTGAGTATTCCAGAAATGCCGGCTCCGATAACCACGACTCGTAGGGGTCGGCCCTCATCGATGGACCGACCCTCAACGACTTGCTTGGGCCTTTCCGGTGCAATCGCCGCTGGCTCAGGTCGAGCAGAGACAGTTTTTGGGCTACTGCTGAAAACCCGAGAAAGACGTTTCATAGTGGTATGCGGATGGCGAAATAATTGGGAAACCGGGGAATAACCAGACCACAGACTATCCTTGTACTCTTTCTAAAGGGTTGTACAAACTGGCGCCGGAAACAATCCACCTTAAAAATAAATGTTCAGGGTCTTCTATAATTTACCGGAATTCCACCTTTCTACTCCAATTTCTCCGTAACACCGCCGACCCTGAAGCATCCATATTTCCCCCAATTGGGAAGGATCATCCGTAAAATGAATCTCCCTCTCCGGCTAGTGCATCCCTTCAACAATTTTTACCACCAGGAAAACCCCAAATGCGACCCACAGTTCTCGGATATATGGAGACTTGGTGACTATCCGGTCTATAGTACGCATGATCATCACAGATTCTCAGGACAAGTGGTCCGTAATTTAGTGATAGCCGTTGTGAGTGGATGACCGGGAATCCCCCTGCTTGTCACCACCCCACTCCACCCTGTTGCGGGGATATACTTTTGGCTACTCCTTATTTCTTGGCGTGTAACTTTACGAGGTTACTATTAAAACGGGTTTTAGCTGTATCATTGACCGGGTTGGGAGGTAATCTGTATTCGGTCAGCAAACAGTGTGAATCGATTCATACCGGGTCCTCATTCACGTCGACATGCAAACTCCGAGTCATGACCTCGTTGTTCTTTCTGTTTCAGTTAAGTTTTGAGAGAACCGAGGGGGTAAGACACGGGCCTAGGTCGGCACAAAGCTGCACTAGTATCTGCCGCGTTTTTTACCCATAATGTTGACTCGGACCTCTAACCGTCTCGCTTCGGAGTTCGCCAGTATTCCGCAGGTGAGCGGAATTATAACCGTAGCGTCGTTTCCCCGTCAAATGTCCAATTCTCAAATGATGTACTACACAGATCCGAAAATCACAGAAACCTTATGGCCCATCAAATGGCACTCTATCTTAGATGGATAACTTTCATTTATAATTATATAGTGGTGTTGGCCCTGTAGGTCCAGCCAGAGTTCGGAAAGCACATGGATTTTAACAGTGATTTGTTGCCTTGCACCACCCACGGAGGCACCAACAATAACCGCAATAATCAAGACTGCATTTTGATTAGCATATAGACGGATGAAAGTAGCAACTGCGCCTCAGACTCACTAATGACTAGCAAAATATACCACTTGTACTTCTTGGCATTACGTGCACTCGTCACGGCAAAAGAAAGCTTCTCATTGCCACTGCGCAGATCATCGTGGGCAGCTGCAGTATGATCTTGAATCTTTTCTACAGTAAACTCATGCTCATCAACAAGTTCAGCAATCTCTTGGAACAACGTCGCAACCGTCATTAAATCTTGCTCGATTTTGCGAATAGTTGCCGATCGCTGTTGAACTGCGTTTCTCGCATCATTGGCCTGTTGAGTTCGCGCACCCTGGACCTTTTACAAGTCAGAATTTGTCGTATAAACATAGGCGATATGATGTCACTTACTGCAAATAGCTGCTCCCCACCCTGGATGACATTTTCAACGCCCTCGGATATTTCTGTTTCTGTCGCTTCGGGGTGCGAAATTTGGTATCGACGTCGCACTTGTACTCGAAGCTTTTTCGAGAACTGCATCTGTTCCAGGCGATAATCTTGCAACGGTTGTTCCATGGTGTTACTGATGATCTTAATCTGCTCCTCCACGCGAGGGTCGGCCCGGTCAGAGGTAGCTTTCAGATCAGCAATAAGTCCGCGGATCCGCCCGAAGCATTCTGAGATTTCCTCTTCGATGGTTGTCATTCGGGAATTGGCCTGGTAATCCTCCGTGGGGGTTGTCGCATCTAACACTGCTTGCTGGGCGGGTCGAAGTAGGCTTTGTTGGGTCTCGCTGATTTTATTCAGCTCGTCGCTGATCAGACGGCGTGTCTGAAGTATGTTTTGGAAGCCATTTTTCTGTTGGAGAGATGGGAGCTCTGTAGATAGGAAATTAATTTAAACCAAGGTTTCCATTTGTGTAGAGAACCTTACCATAACCAGTATGCGTAGCCCCAGCCTCCAGATCTTCTGTGAAACCGCTCATGGTGGACTTTCTTCAATGATATTTTCCAAGGTTTGTTGAATTGTTGAGCTCGGTGATTAATGGGGATTTGTTGGATATATAACTTCAAGAACCTTGGAATGAGTAGTAGCGTTTCAATGCTTACAAGGCAAAGACGAGTGGGTCAATATTAATGGTGCCTAGAGCTGGGGATAATGCTGGGAAGAAAAACAACTTTCCAACTCGAATTTTAGGTTGCTGACAGGCAATTATAGCAGCGATTTCGACTTGATTGTGTCAGTCGAGCTGGGGGCGCAGCCTCATTGCCGTGCCGATCTGGCCCCCAAGTCAGTGCGAGCGACTGCGGCCGTAACTGCGGCTGATGCCTGAGTGCTTCTAAATTAGTCCAACAGTGCGAGCGCTACGTTAGAAGGCTGAGCCTCGATGGAATTTCGGCCCCAAATGCGACCAGAAAGCCAGCTCACTCTCATGCTAGCGTGATTAATTAGCTTTGATGAGTGTATTTTGCGCGAGCCAATTCCCAACCCCTAAACAATGCGACCGCGTCGAAGATGGCGATTTTCTATTAGCAAATTCCAGCCACCGGCCAAAATTGAAAATAGTTGGGTCAACTAGTTAAGTTCAAGTTGTTAGCAAGAGTTGTCGGTATTGACTACACTGGTTACTACTATTTACCTACTACTACGACTACATCATGAGAACTTGAAGACAGCCAAATTCTAAAGACCATTTAATCCTGAATGTCGGTAGTTGTCTTGTCTTCAACCATGAACGGCCCTTGAATAACTTTATCGCGTGCCAAGGTGGATGGATATGTTAATCCTCCGAGTCTTGCTAGTAAATCAAAAAAGGCTAATTGGAGAAAGCAAGGAGTACTACGGGAGTAACTAGTAGTTACAATATTTCCGAGACCCCGAATCTATAGCCGTTCAGTGTACATCCGAGCTTTAAATGCACCGGATCAATCCTGACTGTTGATTACCAGAATCTCACCAATCCACTTGGTAGGCACTTTTCGCGCTTCTGAGTGGCCCATCGCATGTCTCGATCCACTAGAACCACGAAGTCTTGCAAAAAGCATTCCTCCACTTTTCCCCTCACTCCCCTCGTTCCAATAGCCTCCTCGCCAAACATATAATATAAATTCTCCCCCTAGACGCGCATAATGCGGTTCTTTCCTCCTGTAGTTCCTGCAAGCCGCGTCAACCTCTCCCAATGCCGGTCTTCACCGAATACGCCGCCGCGTCGCGCGAGCTGCGCGTCCTGCCCTCCTTCGCTCCCCCGCTCCCACGTCGATCTCCAAAACCCGAGCCTCGTAGTGACGATGTAGAGAGATACGAGGTTGTGGTTGTCGGTGCAGGGCCGGCTGGCCTTATGCTGAATTTACTTTTGGCGCGTTACGGGTTGAGTGACGAGTCGCTGCTTTGCGTAGATGCGAAGCCGACGACCTTGAAGTCTGGACAAGCTGATGGACTCCAACCTCGCACTTTGGAAACGTTGAAATCGCTGGGCCTGGCAGATGAGATCCTCACAGAAGGTTGTCAGATGTGGCAGGTATGTTGGCTATCATCCGTTTGCTGGCGGGGGAATCGCTGACCATTTGACGCAGGTTGCGTTTTGGAACCCCTCGAACGACAAGGAAAAGATCATTGAGCGAACGTCCATTATTCAGGATGTTTCAGTCCCCGCACGATTTCCACACGAAGTCACGATTCATCAAGGCCGAATCGAACGAATTCTCGAAACAGATCTCCACCGATACTCGAAGCGAGGCGTCCAGCGGAATACAAAGCTCATCGACGTGAAGATCGACGAGGCAGGCGACTCCGAATTCCCCGTCATTGCCGAAATCGAAACTGAAGGCCGAAGACAGACGGTGCGGTCGAAATATCTGGTCGGGGCGGATGGCGCTCGCTCTGTGGTCCGTCGCAGCATGGGCCTGAAGCTGGAAGGCGAATCGCTGGATCACATCTGGGGCGTCGTGGATTTGATCGTGGACACGGATTTCCCCGACATCAGACGTCGGTGTGCTATCCACTCCCCGGCAGGCTCGGTTATGGTAATCCCTCGCGAAAGGATTGCGACAGGGGACTATCTTACGCGATTATATGTCCAAGTCCCGGGGGATATCAACCCGGATAATGACGCAGAAACATCGAATGAGACCAACAAACCAGCAGATGCTCGATCTCGGCGCAGCCAGGTTACTGAAAAAACGATCTTCGATAATGCGGCTGCTGCATTCAAGCCGTATTATATCCGGCCGAAGAAGGACGGAGCAGTCGATTGGTGGGCGGCATACCAGATTGGCCAGCGTGTAACGGACAACTTTTCCATAAAGGACTCCAAAGGGGTAGAGCGTGTGTTCATCGCAGGTGATGGTAGGTTTTATTCTTCAGATTGAAAATTAGCTACGGAGGTGTCTCGCTAACATGAAATTATAGCCTGCCACACCCACAGCCCCAAGGTGTGTCCCCGATTCTGAAATTTTCCTCGGTTGATAAAAATATTCGAGTTTTCACTAACTCTGATATATAGGCGGGCCAAGGAATGAATGTTTCAATGATGGACTCCTATAATTTGGCCTGGAAACTCGCATACTCGATCCATGGGCTCACTCCAAGCGCAGGAACTGCTGGACCGGACCCCATCCTCGCCACATACCACAAGGAGCGACACACTATTGCCCAAGAGCTCATTGCATTTGACCGCGACTTCTCCTCGATGTTTTCTGGCAAGATCGGGGCCTCTGAAGACGAGGTTGGAGGATTAACACACGAGGAATTTTTGCAGGTCTTTAGTCGAGGCAACGGCTTCACCAGCGGGTGTGGAATTGAGTACCCAGAGAACATGGCCGTGAACCGCGATAAAAGTGCGAAGAATCCCATATCCGGGGAAGACTATTTATCCGGTATACTTCGGCCGGGTCGGAGATTATTGAATGTACGCCTTGTGCGGCATGCAGATGGATACCGTCGGGACCTGCAAGATGGTAAGATTCAGGCTGAAGCTAATCCTGGTCGAAGTTTGATAGCTCAATTCAATTTAATAAATGCTAATACGCTTCCAGACTTTGCTTCCACCGGCAGATTTCGCATTTTATGCCTCACTTCCACCGATATTTTAGATCCGGAGGGGTCTCCGCAAAGACTCTTAGTAGCCTTGGACGTGTCATTCCACGGTTTCCCCAATCGGTGGTTGAACAGGTGGTTATTCATCCACGTTTGGATAGGGATTTCATGTGGAATGATATCCCCAACGAAGTGAAGCAATACTCCGAGATGTCCTTTTACAGCGGACATGAATTGGACGATGTGTATAAGGCATATGGCGTCGATATTGCCAAGGGAGCACTAGCAGTGGTTCGTCCAGATGGATATGTTGGTATCGTGGTGGCTTTGGAAGACGCCGAGCGCGTGGAGAGGTTCCTGGAATCATTGATTTGTACGGTGTAGATCTGAGGTTCAATCACTGGCGGCTCCAATTCTGATCGATAAATAAGAAGAAAAAATGAAACAATTTTGAAATGAAGGTATACGCTATGCAGAGCTAGACAGCAAAATCAGCAACCAGCAAGAACCCGGGTATTTCATCCTAGCAGCACAGGTGGTAAACTCTTCCAGTTTCGCCTCTTCGACATGCCCTCTCCCCAATAAGACCACACAGCTTTTCTCGCCCCATCGACAACCTTCATGTGGTGCTTCTCGAGAAATTGTGAAAATATATGCATGATGACTGTTCTGTCGCTTGTTGACCCTGCGAGGCGACCCACAATATACAGCGGCCAAGTGAGAGTAGCCATGGGTGTTGATAGCACACAGACTCGAAGGACACTGTCGAAGGCAGAACGATATAGCTCTTGATCCTGGGAATTCAGAAGACCATGGTCCGGATCTGGATCAGCAGATATTATTATCATGCGAAGCATCAGGATACCGCAAAATTTGTACGCCCTCGCGATTTGCGCCATGGCTTCCATGTACGCGTCGGATGATTGGGATGACTCTATTGACCAAACCTGCAAGCTGCCTATGAGAGATTGGGCTTCCTCTCTTCCATCCTCGCCGAGTCGGATTCGACCGATCAAATCGGCTAAACGGTGCATAAGAGGCCACAATCTACCAGCACACCCGAAGACAGTATCTATTCTGTCCGTAAACTCGGGACCGTGCACGCCGCAAATAACAAGAGGTTGTCTCCCAAGAGATAGGGCAAGCATGACATTGAAATACTGGAAGACTTTTCGGAAAAATAGGAGACACGAGCGGCCGACCGTTTCATCCTGGTATTCGAGTAAGACTTTGGCTCCCTGGAGGTGACACCATGCGTTATCAGCAGAGTTGCCGAGTACAATCTGAAAGCGCTTGTTAGGATTGGCTATACTGAGGACGATTTGGAGCATACCTCGTAGTAAATCAATAGCAAAATGCTGGCTAGCAGGTTGACTCGCGCAGTACCATCTAGTTGTGGGGATGAAAGCTCAGTGGCTAGGAGGCTCAAAGCTTGTGAATGTAGTTGAGTCGCACGGTCGCGCGTCTCTGCTCCCAAGTGGTACAGATGGGCCGCAGCAACGGCTTCCACAGCACGTTGGACCTGTGTTGAGCTGGAACTTCGTGGAAGAACATGTAGAAGAAAAGGATTCGATATGTCGGGTTGAGGGAAAGAAAATGAGATCAAGCTAGCCAAGATAGTCGAGAAGTGATAAACAAATTTCGTCTCGGGGCTGCTGGGATTTGCAGGAAGCAGCACCGGCTGGCTAGATGTGGGGTTGTTGCTGGCATTCTGATATTCTCGCACGCGGTCTCGAGTTCGTGCATATTTGACCATAGACCAGTCAGGATAGACGCATTCAACACCACGTTCGACACAAATCTGGCACCCAGGTCGAGCCTCGTCGCACTTTTTACGTCGTTTCCGGCTGCATGTTCAACGGAGTTAGCTGATTCGGGAGTCTCCGACACATGAGTTGGCATCCAATACCAGTTCAAACACCCCCATCTTGACCTCGTCTCAGGGCCTCGGGGCATTCTGAGCCTTGAGAGGCCAAGGGTCTCTGTCGCTAGGTCAGTTTGATAGAAAGTATGTATGTACAATGCGATCCTGCAGAAGTGATAACCTTCCGCGATGTGGAGAGCGGCACGAGATCAGGGATCAGCAGTCATGTGATGCATCTACTAGTAACAGTGCTCTGAATGGCCATTTATTATTTAACAAATATTTTATAGAGCTATGTATCAAATCAAAGGTATCACATATCGCAAATAGAGTAGGTACTTAACGGCGCCGGCCATGAAAAAAAGCCACGAAATATTGTTGTCCATCTGGGCACCTGGGCAGGTGAGCATCAATTAACTAGTGTATATAATAGTAGTGGTACCAAACCCCTGGGTACTCTCGAAAACTCCGAGTCCCGACCCCGGGCCGTCACCTGGGCATCCCTATCCAAAGTATTTGACTGAAGTTCTTCATCGGTTGTTTAACGTTCATTGCTAGACTCAGGAAGTTGGTGGATGACGTTGTTCGCCTCCAGCTCGGATGGGCCACGGGCATTTCGGGGATTGAAGGAAGGGTCCCAACTCCAATGCCCGGACTGATGACGCGGCGATGAAGGGCCATAGCTAGAATTACCGTCGCCAAGTGGTGGCGACATGGTATTGTAACGACCTGGATCGGGGCTCGAAACGGAAGTTGTGTCTGTCATGGGTGGCTTTCCTGCATTGCTAGCCACCTCAGGACCACCATTCGGATGGTTGAAAAGTGCCCACCGAGCAGTACGTTCAGTTCTCCCATCTTGAGAGGACATCCACTGCTTATAAACTCGATTGCGACCGAGTAAAAAGAAAAGTGCCACCAGGATTCCCAAAAAGACAACACCTGCAACAGCGATCCCTGCGATGGCACCCTTGCTGAGACCGTGTCCACTGCCGGAGGAATCATTGCTTGAGCTTGAACTCGAACCTGAGCCGGAATCTGCACTTCCCTCCGCTGGAGGTGATTGTCCCGGAACTAGCATGTATGGCGAATCAAGTGCTTTGTCATATTGTGTTTTGAATGTTTGAGAGGAGTTCTAGGGAAGCAAACTGATGTCAGGTCCATTGATTGTTAAGGCGTCAATGGTGAAGAGTCCATACCGGATTAATGACACCAACCATGCCATTTTTTATGCAGGAATCGAGGGCAGTGCAGTAGAAAAAAGTTGGCTAGCATAGAAAAACGAAGTCAGAACTGTTATCCATGTCCTGGTTGTGCGAACCGTAGTACCTCAGTATTATTGATGACCACCGACCAGGTAGGTGCCTATCGAGGTCAACGTTAGCCATTTATTGCCGTATGCCATTTTGTCGTTATAGATTGTTCCACTTACTGGCCCAACCAAACTGCCATCATTGGTGTTGAAATCGTTGAAGATCCCCGAGTAGAAACGTCCATGATCAGCAGGGACACAAGGCGCATCGTAGTCCGCTTTAACGACTGAGTGATTAGTGGGGTAGAACTCGAAGACTACTACATCGCCGACATTCGCTGTGATGTTATGGGGAACATAGGCATGTGGGCTGGTTTTTGGCCCAACTTGAATCGTATGCGTTGCCTTTCCAGTCGATGTCGAAGAGGTTGTAGAGTCTGTAGTTGTGGTCCGGGTACCAGGTGTTGATTGTGCACCTCCAAGACCCACCACCGTGATTGACGCAACAGCAGACCAAAAAAACTGTCGCGTAAACAGCATTTTGAGTTGACGTTAACGATAGTGATGCTGTGCGGTGAGATGCAGTTGATAGAATGAATGCATAGCGGGGAAGAGAAGGGGTCATTCAAACTTGAAAGAGACCTGACCGAATAGGGCCAACACACTATGACTTGGCATATAATTAGCGGCTGAAGACCGCAGGCTTTGTTCTAGGTCAGCTCTTTTGGTTCGGTCCGTGAATAGCAAATCGTTCCTATTTTGGTGGAAGACAATCAGACTAGGCTTGCTCCGGGTGCTCTCAGGCGTTCCTTGGGATCCACTTGGATGCATCTGGGCCGTGATACAACCTGGGGAGAAAATAACAATCAGTCACTTCAAGTTCCCGTTTTAATTTTGCTTCGCTTTGTATGCATTCCAGTTTCTAAACCCAAGACACCATTCCGCGTTGCGATACAATCTCAAAGGTATCGCAAATTGTGAAACAGGGGGTATGAAATGAACCTTGCTCAATATCGTTTCAACTCTGGTGTTGCGCCAGATCACAATAATTCTTTGAGCGCTGCAGTCAGCAAGGCTCTGCATAGGGCCAACCGGGATTGGATTGGATGAGCTTACTGCCAAGACGGGTGAGGGGGCTTTGATTTCCAAGGTCTGTGCACCTCATCTTCAAAGGAGAAATGGTGAACAAAATTTAGACCCAATTTCAATGAGAATCCGAAACACGATCATGCATGTCTTGCAGAATTCTTGTTGAATCAAAGATACCATATCAAACATAGTCGAGAACTAATCGTTTGTGGTCAAATGAACCAAAATTTTAAATGGAAGCAAGGGATATTCAGCAGCATGCTAGTAGTACTCGTAACGGCGAAGGTACCCAACGGGGAGGCTGACCCACATGTCAGCCTCAGCAACACTCTTGGGGCCAAAACCTCACCCAAGCATCATCTTTCTTCCAGCATTTCATCCTCGGTAATTCCGAGGCCAGTGCGGACATGGATGTGACCCTACTTCGTAGTATGTCTTTATTCCCAGACCGACTCATGCAAAATCGAAAGCATAAGAAAATATCATGTGAAGCTCAAAAGTCTGCAATAAGCCATCGTCGACAGTGGCGGTGTTCTCACTTGTGGCTATTCTTGAGTGTATTCTGTCCCCTTGTGAATTTCCCAAGACTCTTCAGCTATATCGGATTCCTACGCCACTGCGCCACCTCTTGTCAAAAAAGAGCCTGGTACCAAGACTTGTCGATGGGTGGCGAAGCCAGGTTGCGATTGTTGAAAGTTGAATAATTCGTTCAATAGCCAAAGAACGCATCGTCGTCAAGTAGTTGAAATATCTGGTAGTTCTGATCCATCCAGTCCCCGAGCTGATACCCTTGTACGCCTGGCATTGCGGCTTTCTGCTCTCCACCTACGTTTCTTACAGCTGATCCTAGACTTTCAAGACCTCTGGTCTCGGGGAATTGATATGAAGAACTAACTCCTGTCCCCGCGGGCTGTTTCAGCGGACTTAAAATCTGAGTTGAGTAGCTTTCAGTTCCTCTCGTTCCAGAACTGGCGTTTTTTGCCTTGATCCATTTGCACGCGACGTCATACATTAGCTTGAAAATAGCCAATTGCTTTCCATAGGCGTCATTATAGTTACATGCCACCTTTTCAGTAGCATGTACAACGGATGCGAGTTTGGTTAAATGAAGAGACGACGATGTTTCGATGGCGAGACAGAAAATGACAATATATGGCACAAATGGTGCTGACAACAAAGCCCTGGATAGTCTGAATGAGACTTTTTCTGGGATGAAACTGGAATTACTCACCATTGTACGTAAAAATCCATCATGTTGTGTTCTGTGTGTTCCAGTAGACGCATGCATTCCTGATGCTCGCTCAGGGCCCGAAGAGCGGTTGAAATACATTGACTAGAGAGTACTGTTCCAGTAGCTATATCTGGCTCTATTGTTCGATAGATCAGAGTCAATATTGCCAATCCTGTTATTCTCTCAGCCCTTGTGAATATTTCTGATATGGTTTCCCCAGCAGTAGCTCGTATTTCTTCCATACAGTGGATCTGGAAAATGTCAGCCGGGGGATGGATATTTGTCAGGCTTGGTGAATGGTACTTCAGCAGCGTCCTGATTGAAGAGCAAGTTCTCCATCTGCGCCGCGAGAGTGCGGGCTTTGACTTCTCTTTCGGCGGCTGATTGAATCAGTGCTCGTGGGCTACAAAGACTGTCGTATACCTCGTCTTGTAGAAGTGAAATGGCTACCCATTTATGCCAAAATGGTTTCAAGTAGACGTTATAACCTTCAAGGATTCCGGCGTCCACCAAAGGTACATCGCTACTGCGAATTGTTGACGCCTTCCCCAATCGGAAGGCAAGCGATTTCTCCGTGACGAAAATGCCCAGGAATAGTCTTCTTTGTCGCCTGGTAGCAATAGAAGATTCTACCCCAAGAGTGTCGTTGCGGTTGTATCCTAGGGAATGACATATGTGCGCCGAGTGAACCGCAAGTTTCCAGGCCATTCGTGGTCTAGACAAGGTCATGTATTCGGTTGACTAGATGAAGATTTGTTAGTTAATTGCTTCTTCAAAGATCTTCTACTTGAAAGTCAGGATGAACACACAGCCATTGACAAGGCAAGCGCCAAGTCGAAGTTATGAGATGCAGAAAAAGGAAGCTGAGACATGAGGATCTCCAAGTTCTGACGACAGTTTCCTGCTCTCCGCTCGTATTCAATTCGTATCCCGGGTTCCATATCGTAGCAAACGCACTCGTTAAATGCCCGAGCCAGGCCGGCATTTGCAATCATAAGATGTGCATGCGATGGCCTTTTTAAGTAGCAGCAAAGCAGATACTCGACGAACTCTCCAAGAGATTCGATTTCGAAAAGACAGACATAAAGGATAGTTTCGCGCTCTTGAGATTCGAATCAGTGATATTCATGGAATTATTAGAAGGAAAACTTACCTTTGAGCATATTCAGACACGTCATGGCTGTTTCTAATGGTGGCATCTCCAAGCCTCCGAGAAGGGAAGGCTCCACTGGGTTGCAAGGTAGTGAATTCCCTCTCTTGGACTCCCGTTGCTTGTTGGTCTGTACAATATTCCGCAACGCATCGAGACTAGACATTATATCCGACTTTACTCCAGTGTAGGTGCTGCCTACCATCTGTTCGACCAGGTCGGCAGCATATGCAGCGTGTGTCTTGAGTGACGCTTCTCCCTCTGAATCAGCGTCACATACATTGCCTTGCGTCGTACTTGGTAATGAGGATAGGCCCCGCGGTTGAGACTGAGGGGTTAGATTCCACGACAGATGCGGATAGGGGGATAATTGCGAGTCGAGAGAAGTTTTATCAACAGGATTGGGTGGAAGTCGGATTGTATCGATCACGGATCGTATTTGGTCAAGCTTCCCCGATATTTCCTCAATTTTGTTTTTGCTGAGTTGACATCAGTACATTGAGAGGATAGCAACATTTCATTCGAAGCATACCACGTGGTCGAGTCAAGAGTTCGTTGTTTCTTCTGTCTAGACTTGAAGCCACGAGGGAATTCACACAGGATTCCTTTTCGCACGCATGGCGTGCATGGATGAATGCGATCGCACCTAACCTTGACTTCCGATCAGTATGGGAATAGAAGCGGGTGCTACTTCATATATTATGGACATACCTTTCGCCCTCGGCAATGTTCACACTGGTTCCAGATTAGCCCACCGTTCATCTTGATGAGGTTATCGGTCGACTTACTGAGAGTTTCTGAGTCGGTATGGAAGGTTGATGGCCCTCATCTTCTTTATCAGACAAATAGCGACTCTCCATTGACTTGACGTTAAGCGCAGAACTATCCTCTGATGACATCGCGAATCCGCCACCACTCCATGGGGCTTTTTTTGAGGAAGTAAAAAGTGCGAGAAGACCGGGTGATGAGAGATCATTTTGTTATCACAAGTATCCAATAATTCTCGGCCGTTTCCGAGCCTAGAAAGAAAGGTCGAGCCACATTCAATTTGAAAATGTAGAACACCTGGATATTCACTGTTGCCTGTTAGGAGTCAAAGGAAAGAATACTGATGAAGGAAGGAATTAAGGTGGAGGGTCCAAATGGAGCCCGCGGGGCCCGCGGGCTGCCGAGTGGGTCTCGGCATTACGGACTGTCCAGAGACACCGACCAGCCAATGCATATCAATGATGCTGCGGACTTTCAACTGTCCTTTGAGACACCGAAATATGTTAAAAGTCCTCTTGAAATACACTTCAGGCAGATTGGATATTTTCAAGTCTAGACCTTGCTTAAAGGACCCTTTGCCCAAGTCGTCAGCGTGTAGACAAATTCCTCACGTCTTCTGCCTCTGATCAATTCTACGTTAAGGATGCGAGATTTTAAGACTGAAAAACCATCCGATTCTTCTGGGTCCTCTGTCTCGGAAGATACCAAACTGTCTAGCCTCTCCACGGAAGCTGCTCGCGGCAATGGATACCTGGTAAGGTGATATAATGAAAACCTGGCAATAATGCAAGTCTAATAACTACAATCCAGCGAGTCTTCAAGTACGGTGATACTGTCGACTATGTTCTGGAGATCGTAGGCTTCATAGCCGCGATTGGTTCTGGTGTTGCGTTAGCCTTAGTGAATCTCGTCATGGGCAACTTTTTCAATTTACTCAGCGGTGTCACTCTCGGGCAGGGCCAAATCCCAGAGGTCTTCATGGAAAGCGTTGCTAAATATTCGTAAGCCGCCCCAAACTAACAAATCAGTTGATATTAATTTCCAATTCACAGCCTCTACTTCGTTTACATTGGAATTGCTCGCCTTGTCTTGACTTACGTCTACGCCTCGCTTCTCACATATGTCGCACTCAGAATAACATGCAATCTACGCCACACATATCTCCGGGCCGCTTTGAGTCAGGAAGTCAGTTACTTTGACCAAGGCACGAGTGGGTCCATAGCGATGCAAGCCACATCGAATGGAAAGCTCATCCAAAATGGCATTTCCGAGAAGCTTGGGCAAGTGTTTCAGGCTGCCGCTACCTTTATCGCGGCTTTCATAATAGCCTTCAAAACTCAGTGGAAGTTGACGCTGATCATCATTTGCATTCTTCCGGCTCTTCTCATTATTGTAGCTGGGGTCAGCGTTTTTGACGCAAGAATTGAGACGAAGATTCTCCGAACTTACGCCAATGCTGGTAGCTTTGCCGAGGCTGTGCTTGGCAGTGCGCGTACGACGCATGCATTTCATCTTGGCCCACGCATGGTGTCAAAATATGAAATACATCTTCAAGATGCGCGAAATCTCGGAAACAAGAAGAGTGCTTTATACGGGATCATGTTTGCGGGAGAGTACTTTGTCCTATTTGCCGGTATGGGCCTCGCCTTCTGGCAGGGAATAGGCATGATGGCCCGAGGAGAAGTGGAAAGTGTCGGAACAGTCTTCACGTTAGTGATTAACCCACCCAACCATCCATGGCTTGACTGACTCTCTCTCTGATCCCTCTGTAGTGTACTATTTTCTGTCATCATCGCAGCAGCAACGCTTAACTCAATAGCACCTCATTTTGTGACATTCAGTCAGGCCGCGACAGCGGCATCCGAACTATTCTCCTTGATTGATCGTCCATCAAACATTAACCCTTTTCACGAAATTGGAGAGAAACCGAATGTCACAATTGGAAATGTTGAACTTAGAGGTGTAACATTCAGTTATCCTACACGACCAAATGTTCGCGTGCTAGAGAACTTTGACTTGAGCGTACCAGCGGGAAAGGTGACCGCGCTTGTGGTAGGTTGAGACTGACCGAGCAAAATAAACCAAATCACTCTAACATCTCGGTCTATAGGGCGCCAGCGGCTCCGGGAAAAGCACCATTGTGGGACTTCTGGAGAGATGGTACAACCCAGACTCCGGAGTCATCAAGCTCGATGGCACGAACATCAAGAACCTGGACCTGAAGTGGCTGAGGACAAAGATACGTCTTGTCCAACAGGTGTGGTTTATACGGTCAGATTGTCTACAGTAGGAATACTAAGTCTCACCAGGAACCCGTTCTCTTCAACGGCACAGTCTTCGAAAATATTTCAAACGGTTTAGTTGGAACGCCTTGGGAGTCATCACCGCTCGAGAAGCAACAGAAACAAGTCCGCGCCGCTGCGAAAATTGCATTCGCTCACGAATTCATAGAAGCGCTTCCTCAAGGCTACGACACCCGTATTGGAGAGCGCGGTGGTCTCCTTATCGGGGGGACAAAAACAGCGAATTGCCATTGCACGCAGCATAATATCGGAGCCAAAGATCCTGCTACTCGACGAAGCGACAAGCGCACTGGACCCAAGCGCTGAATCCATTGTACAAAAGGCTCTGGACGAAGCATCAAAGTCTCGCACCACAATAGTTATCGCGCATAAGCTAAAGACGATCCGAGCTGCTGATAACATCGTCGTCATGCGCCGAGGCAAGATTGTGCAGCAGGGTACTCACGAGGAATTAGTAGCAAAAGGGGGCACATATGCTAGCTTGGTCAAGGCCCAGGATCTGTCACCCCAGGCACCCGAGAAAGTCGCAGACAGCTCTGACAACGAAATCCCTGTCGCACTGGAAAAAAGTCGATCTCTGGCGAAATCAAATACAGTGGATGCCAGGATTTCTGATATCAAAGATCCCGAAGATTTGACGGACTTTCATCAAACTGGCATTGTACATACAATTTTGAAGCTTGTTTCAGTCACGCCGGAGCTTTGGCCATGGTATGCTGTAGCGTTGATTGGATGCATTGTTGGAGGTAAGATATCTCTATCTATCAACTATTCGGGTGACGCTAATGCTTTCACAGCTGGCATGTACCCTGGTCAGACTCTTTTGCTGGCCAATGTCATGGACTTGCTCAAGACCCCAGACATGCAGACACGGGGTAACTTTATCTCCCTTATGTTTTTTGTCATAGCACTTGGGCTTTTTTGCGTGTTCTTCCTGCTAGGCTGGGCCACCAATGTTATCTCCCAAGTTAGTGATCTCGACCAAAAGTTATAGATCCTTCAGAACTTGAAGCTGACTTGTTTAGGCGATTACGCAGAAAGTGCGGCGGAATATGTTCACTGCAATGCTGCGTCAGGACCTTCTGTTTTTTGACCGTCCAGAAAATACGGTCGGAGCACTAGTCAGCCGTATTGATTCTTATGCACAGTCAATTTTCGAGCTCATGGGCTTCAGCATTGCAGTTATCACAATATCAATTGTTACGGTATTTGCCTGTGGGGTCCTGTCAATTGCAACGTCGTGGAAGCTTGGACTTGTCGGTGTGTGTGCTGGCATTCCCCCATGGTTCTATCGGGATACGTTCGTATCCGAACAGAGACAAAAATGAATCGCATCATCGACAGCAGGTTTTCTAACAGTGCATCTGTGGCTTCGGAGTCCGTAAACGCGATTCGCACAGTATCTTCTCTGGCCATTGAGGAAAAGGTCTTGCAGAGATATACGACGGAGTTGGATGATGCCATTTCCAGTTCAAAGCGGTCACTATTCACTATGATGATATTTTATGCGTTCACGCAGTCTGTCGAATACTTTGTCTTGGGATTAGGGTTTTGGTTAGCCCCCTACTTATCTGCCTTCATGCTCGTCCGCTAACTTTGTGCACAGGTGGGGGTCGAAGCTTCTGTCCCAAGGGGAGATCACCTTCTACCAGCTCATTGTGTCTTTCATGGCGGTATACTTCTCTGGACAGGGAGCGGGACAAATGTTTAGCTTCGCTGGAAGTAAGTGCCAGGCCATAAAACGCCACGTCACTCCACATGCTTACATTCCATCATCGCAGGCTTTACAAAAGCATCATCTGCGGCCAACTACTACTTCTGGCTATGCAACCTTGCGCCCACGATACGAGAAACACTGGCGAATCAAGATATTTCCCCCCCAAATAGCTGTTCATCGTATGAGTTCTCGGATGTCAAGTTCACGTACCCACTTGCACCGAAAAATTTCGTTATCAAAGGCATCTCCATGAAGGTACAGTTCGCTGTTACCGACTTAAAGGGCGTTTACTAATGATTTATACAGATCAAACCAGGAAGTTTTGTCGCTTTCGTTGGCGCCTCAGGTACGAACTTTTCTTTTCCAGGCTCTCGCTATCGGCTGGTAGATGCTAACGCGTATCTGTAGGGTGTGGGAAAAGCACCATGATTTCGCTCCTCGAACGGTTCTATGATCCTTCCAGCGGGCAAATTTACATCGACGGCGAAAGTCCGTTGACAACACTTAACCCAACGCTGTACCGTCGTCGGATTGCTCTCGTACAACAAGAGCCAGTTCTTTTCCCTCTCAGTATCCGCGAAAACATTGCCATGGGTGTTGACGTAGATTCTGATGGCAGTGGCCGCGATTTGCATGGAGTGGATGACAGCATGATTGAGGCCGCTTGTAGGGCTGCCAATGTATGGGAATTTCTGATCTCTCTACCGGATGGACTTAACACTCCCTGTGGAACTAGCGGCAGTCAGTTATCTGGAGGGCAGCGGCAGCGTATTGCCATTGCCCGTGCGCTCGTCCGAAACCCGTCCGTCATTCTCCTAGATGAGGCCACGAGCGCGCTCGATTCAGAGTCGGAGAGAGTCGTCCAAGCAGCACTTATGGAGGCGGCAACCAGCGATGAGAGGATCACAATCGCTGTAGCTCATCGCCTGTCTACGGTGCGATATGCGGACAAGATCTTTGTGTTTTACGGCGGAAGAGTTGCTGAGGCCGGGTCTCATGAAGAGCTTATCAAGCAGGAAGGGATCTACAAGAAGATGTGTGAATCCCAGAGTCTGGACACTGCGACCTAATACTTTGACTACGTGACTCAATGATATTTACCTACGGAAACGAGTTAGAAATCAAATATTGATGAATTCATTCCCAATAGTGTCAGCCGCTGATTGCGTAGGTGTGCAACCTTCATTTTGGCACCCCAGCTGAGTCTAAGACCTTGGCAAATTGTGATGCATCTACATTTTCCAAGTGTCCTGATTAATCGAAATGGCTTTTCCTTTTTACGTATACACCTTCGCCCTTCTTTCCTTGTATGACGTTTTAGCTAGCAAGTAATCATGATATAACGGGCGTAGAATACAGTTTGCATGGAAATTTACTTCGTGTCAATTATAATAAAGTGTATTTATCGCTTTGAATCGCCGAGCGTTGACCTCAATTCTGAGCCTAAACGTCCATTCAGACTTCGGTTCTACCGGAATTCTTATGTTTCCCTTCCCTCGCTGAACAGCCAGTTTCTAAGGTTGTTTGAGACATTTCATTATAATAGCAAAAGTAAATTATGCAAAACCTACCCAGACAAAAAGGAATTTCAGGTCTAGACAGATATCAAATTCCTAAAAGCCTCGCAAAATCTGCTAAGATTGATAATTTAAGCAGCAGGACATTCAATCCAATATACTAATATTTCTTGCAAATTAGCTGCAAGTAACAAAACTAAAAATAGGATTCCTGACGCCGAAACCGTAAGATACCTGATGATTATATTACAGGGGGTCATGCACCTGAGGAATACAAACTAATTAACCGAGCTAAGGCCGTAAGGCAACCCACTAGGACCTGCTACGTGCTTAAATTTAGTCCGATCTATCCAGTAGTTTTCGGAGTGCAATGCGCTAGCTGCCAAGGTGAGGCTGATTAGCGTCAACCTTGGAAGGGTCTGTGCAAGTGAATACGGGGCTTCTATAAGAGAGACACCCCGCTCATGCCAGCTTTCAATTCACCAAGCGACTCATCATGTCGAGACAAGTGGATAAATTAACGCCTCCGAGTGACATTCGGAAGAAGAAAGTAATCGTCGCAAGCGCAAGTCGGTAAGGCCCCGCTTTTTAATACAACTTCATTACGACCAAATCGAAGGTATTCGACCTTGGAATTGAGCATAAAATAGTTCCGGAACGCTAGGGCTCTATGGTGCAATGAAGATTTTGGGCTATCGTCCCTATCATCTTTATGAATGTGTCTGCATTCATGGCGCGACCCATATTAAGATTTTCAAACAGGCCGTGATTGCTCAATTCAACTGGCTCTCCGGCGTGAGACGATTGAAGAAATCCGACTGCGAGAAGTGGCTAGCCGATTATGATGTGAGTATGATTTTCGCTTTTTAGTATCCCTAGGGGAATTTCACCGTTTGTTCAGAAAGCTGATGAGAGTAAGTGTATTATTGAGATTACAAGCTATTTGGGAATGGATGTGATTGAAGCTTATGCAGAAGATCCCGAGGTGAAATTTATCCTTACCGAGAGGGATCCTAGGAAGTGGGCTCGGTCATTCAATAACACAAGCGCGAAAGTAGTTGCTCTATCAAGCAGCTTCCCATTCAATGTTTTGAAATATTTTCATGGAGATCTCTACCACTTCATGGATATGAATGTGCTGGTGAATCAAGCGATGGCCAGTGGGACCAAACCGGGCGACCCAGAAAACGAGGATATACTTTGTGAATATTATTCCTCGTAGTCAGTCTCACCTTGGCTTCCTTGCTGTTTTTACTTCACCCGCTAACGTAGTTTCGATATACAGTATCAAAAATGTCAAGTCGACAATTCCAGCAGATCGCCTGTGTCTCATTCAGCTCGAAGATGGGATTGATTGGGATACCATCTGCCCATACCTGGGGGTTCCAGTCCCAAAGGAAGAATATCCAGATCGAAATCAGCCCGAGAGGTTTGAATACCTGCTCAATGAATTTTTACAGCCAAGAGTTCGAACCGCAATGCTAAGATGTGGTGCTGTCGCTGTTGCGGCAATTGGGATCATCGGGTGGGCGGCCATCACAAGTGGGCCATCCTTACTCCCACGGTTCATGGGGATCTCCCCACCTTGAGCTACCTAAGCGTAGTACGGGATCCTATTTAAAACCTTCAGGGCTTGTAATGTCTTGTCTATTCGGGATGAGTGAATATTATGAATGGCATTACTCAATATATAAACAACCTTGGAACCTTGAAGTTATCCAAATGCTGAGCTGTCACAATGCAATCATTTTCAAGTATAAAATAAATAGAAAAACAACTCTAGACCCTACTAGCAAGTTCCTCTTGACTTTCTTCGTTTGGCTTTCGTGACAATAAATGTGTCTCTTTACGGAGTGGAGATATCCTAGCCACAATCACATATGTGCACACGCCAATTGTAGCTATTTCGGGTAGCATAGTCATTATGAGATATGCAGTCGGGTTGCCCTTAATAGCATTGAACTTCATGTTGCCAGAGATTATGAAGATAAGTGAGTATGCGAGGCGGATGGCAAGCAGAGGAATACAGACGGTAACCCCATTGAGTGCCCACTTTTCTTCCTCGAAGTATTCGTGTCGGTGGGCCCAGAAGAGTATGAAGACGCCGACAAGGTAAACGTAGATGACTGCCAATAGGCCCATACTAGCTTGGCTCCATGCAGTGGGGAGAAGGGGGTGCTCGACGTGTATGACAGAAATCCAGCCACCAATTGATATGCCAATGTCAATCCAGGTTATTATGGATGGAGCCCAGAAGATCCATTTTCCGGCAATGTTAATGACTTTGTTTCTATCGCGCGATTGGTTAGTGAAGAGTCCTGATTTAATTCAAAGGCTTGACCGCTTACATTCTTTCCAGCAGCTCCAAGAGAAGAAAGATAACTAATATCATTCCCAAAGATTCGCAAACAAATATCGCGGCCCATAGTCCTTGGGTGTCGTGGTTGATCGTAGCAAGCTTGCAGCCAGCCCCGATAATCCTTAGGAGTGTGAAAACTCCAATGCAGAACCAGCCTATCTGACGCCTCCATCGGAAGTAGAAAGCAAACATCAGGGGCAGTGAGAAAGTGACGATTTGTGCAACAGCTATACCATCGCGATATGTGAAACCCCCCTCGCCCGCCATATTGCAAGCAAAAGCAAAGAAATATAAATCGAATTGCAGGTGGGTTGCGATAGGTGAGAGATTATTATGGAAATGCTTGACCGAAGCGACCGGGTAAATTTCATTGAATGGATGAGATATTTCACTCACGCTTTATAATGATCGAGACTGTAATTGTCGTGCCGCCTTGACCTTGGCATCTGATGCTATTGGAACGAGTCATCCGGTAATGCGATTGGTTGTTGTAAAGGCCCACAAGGCTGGGCGCACAAGAAGGGCAGCAATCACGAGGACACGTGATGTGCGGCCGAATATCTCTCCGATGGATTGTTTTAATAGTTTTGCTTGTGTTCGAAGATCGGCGGTCGCGTTCCCTTGGCGCTCGTCTGCGCCCCAGGGCTGAGTTGTAGGGGCGATTTGAGGTCTCATCGGAGTTGATCCTTAATTTCAGTCGAGGATGCCTAAGGAACTCAAAATTACTATCTCTGATTGACTTACTCCCCGGAGTCGATCTAGAATCACCTCCCGGCGGCAGGATGTCTAGTACTAGTACCTAGTGTGCTGGGAATTAGGAGGTATATTTCGACACCGGCACAATACCTCCCGAGTGGTCCTTCAACCTTGGAATTTTTCGCAGCTCCCGAGGTCTTCCAAGTTAAGTGGAGATCCTGTTGGGTCAAGGAGGAGGTATGATTCGTTTCAAGTTTGCTGAGGTCTCAAAAGCCATTTTGAAGTAAGCTTCAAGTTGTGGACATCGTATATCTAATCTTGCTTCAACAGGCCGCGCACTACTACGAACACCCCCTGACGAAATTTTTAAGAAAAGGGAAGACTATGAAACCGTGACCACTGGCAGTTCTGGTTTGAATCCAAGGTAAGGTTAAAAATGTGCGATGGGGCATTTGAGACTAGTCGCTAGTAAATCAATACAACAACGCAAACCAAAATATACTATCAAGACAATACCGAGTAACAAGCCCTGAAGGTCCTGCCGTCCAACGGCTGAAGAATAGAAGGCAAAAAATCGAAATTGAACAGAGACAAAATTTATGCCAGCCACAGGCTTCTTCGTTAAAGAACCAGGACCAAAGACATCAGACTAACTTAGTTAGTGCTGCGGCTACCGGAAGCACTGGAGGTGGAAGAGCCGAAGCCGGGAGGAGCGCCGCCGCCGCCGCCGCCCATGCCCATGCCAGAGTTCTCATTCTCAACACCACCCTCCTCGGTGTAGTAGGCGGCAGGAGTAACGGAAGAGTCCACAGTAGAATCAACGCCAACAGAAATCCAGGCAAAAATACCGTCGCTAACGGAGTCACCAAGAAGGATGTACTCCATGAAGGGGTCGATAGTGTCGGCCTCCTCTGAGAGGATGCTGTCCTCGGAGTTGGTGGTCAAATCTTGGGTGTTTGTGCTGTAGGGCGAGGTCTTCTCGACCTTAGCGATGAGGTCCTGGTCGAAGAAGGTCTGTCCAACGTGGGAGGAGGTGGAAGAGTAAAGGCCAGAGATAGTACCGTTCTTCTGAAGAATAGTCTCATTGGCGGGGTGAGTCAGGACTGTGAATACTGTTAGAAGGGCTTGGATCAAAAATAGGTAAATTAGACCTCTTACCATGAATGTGAGTAGCACGGCCAGTGTAGTGACCGGGGAAAATTCCCTCGAATTGGACAACACCGTCAGCGTTGCTGGCCTGGATTCCGCGCAGGAAAGTGGCGTCGAGGTTGCTTGTGTCAGAGGAGTCTCCGTTGCCGCTAGCGCTGATGCCAGAGTAGACACCCTATAATACGGTTATTAGATCCAGAAGGTGGGGTCTATAAAGGATGTGCAGTTACTTACAGTGGCATTGCAGTACCAGATATCGGTGTAGATATTTGGCAGAGGTTCGCAGGTGTTGGTGTCGATCAGCTGGAAATCCATGAACAGAGGGACACCCTGCTGGTCCTCGGTGATATCCTGGCGGACTAGCTCGCCGGTAACGTCTAAATACAATGTCAGTGCCTATGATGCGAAATATATGAGTCATTTAACCAACAGTAAGGTCCCTGAGTAACATCTGGGGCGAGAATGCAGCTGCCCTCGGAGGTAAACAGCAGACTTGGGTCAGTGTTGAAATCAACACCAGTCAGGTTGGAAGCGTGCGATGTCGCTAGAGCAGTGTCGAGGTCACGAGCCTTGAGATAGTTCGCGTCTAGTTAAAAGTCAGTTTAATTTATTTTGTCCCGCGAGATTCAAAATACTTTGCGTACCAGACTTGAGTCCGCGACGGCGGCGAAGGTTCTTGACCGCAGCAGCGCGACGAGCAACATTCTTGCTTTCAAGGCCGCGAGCCTTCATCTGGGAGGCACACTGGGACAGGCTGCGGGACTGGATGGGCGCATTGCGCATGTACAAGGCACGTTCAGCGGCTTCAGCCTTGTGGTCATGGCCAGGGTGGGCGGAAACAACGCTGGCCAGACCGAGGACGCCGATGGCGAGGGCAGAGCCGAGTTGAACCATCGTGGCTAGTATATATCAATTGGAAAACAGGGTGACTGAATGAAGATCTGCAACGAGAACTATTGGATGCTTGATTGACTGGAGTATTTTCTGATGATCAGATCACTTCTGGAGGAGCAGATCAACTAGGCTTTATAGAAAAGAAAGCCATGCCTACACGGATAGACCCACGCTGAGAAGGGCCTCAAAAGGAAATGCCAGTGGCAACCAACCCGCGTGCCTCCGAGGCGCACAGATTGGGGCTGACGAAAGTGATGGAGATACGCCCAGCAGGGCTAGCAAATCAGGGCATACATATTTCTCACATTGTGCACCGATGGACATATCAAGGCAATTCCGAGTCCCACAGCGGAGTATGGCCCCTGCCCCGGTGATCTAGACATTTGGGGGTCGACGTGTCGTGATTCAGGTAAATTCGTCATTATGTGGCTCACTGGTACTCGGCACATCATTCAGATTGACTTCTGTGTCCCTGACGGAAAGTTGATGAATCAGTGCATAGGTCACAGAAACTGGCGTGGCGCTGCCAAGGTTCTCATAGACGAGTCGCGGAGTGCTACCTCTCCACATAGGGGATTCACTATGGACAGCTTTGGATCCATAACTCAAAAACTGTCAGATCTAAGTGGAGGAAATTAGAAGGATCTGCGCTGATGACGAGGCGTTTTGTTTTGCATCCCCATGTCAATTGACTGGACCTATAATGTTGAATTGATTTCAATTTAACTACAACGGACATTAATATCGCGACGCCACTTGGACGTTTATGTACTAGGTGTTTATTCAAAATGCACATGTTACTATTGCTCATATCAAGCCCGTTCCAGAATAGTCACGGGTCAAGTGTACAAATAACCCTCTAAAGAGGGCCAAGACCGCTATTGTAACAAGCTAGGGGATTATTAATCGGGACAACGACTGTCGAACAGTTTCGACAATTAGCGTGTGTAGATCATTGCCCCTTAAATTAAGGTCAAAGTCCCTGAGAAACCCCTACAAGCTATAACAGTCCAACGTACCTCGCATACGTACTCGTTCTTGGCAGTTTTCCTCCGACGGGGTCCCTCCGGACGCATCTATCATTGTACGGTCGCAAAACTCCGCTCATATTGCGCCAAGCCTTCATTCACTTAGCTAACGAGATGTTCCTCCGAGGAATTGGACCAAATAGTCAAACAAAAAGCCATAGTTACGACATGTGAATCGTGGCGTGGAAAATCTCAAGGCCAAGCAGTTGACGAATTTTTGCGGGCCGGGCTTGGCAGATGCTTACGTCCGGTGATCCCGAGGATCTGCCGATTTCAACCAATCCAATGACTGCGCCTCGACGGTTGGAAGGTTTCGATCATTTTCTCTTCTAATTCGCTACTATTTATTCTATATATATTTGCTCGCTCTGGTATCCTTATGGGTTGGTTACCACATTGAATTGAGTCAGCACGCACTCTATACGTACATTCGCTAAGATAAGCTTATACACGTCGAAACAGGTTTTCTGTAACTAAAAATCCACCCTGTGTAACTAACTTAGTCGTTAACCGAGATGCCCAACTTCCAATAATACTCAACCTTGGAACTGAAAACTTCGAACACTGCCCTGCTCTCGTATTTCTATGTGTTCACTCTGCGGCTCTACATAATGCATTATGGTGAATGATTTAAATCTATGATCTTCATGTTCATATTCGTGTTCTTGTTCTTTCATGGATGATCATATTGCGCGATTTCCCCTAAATCAATTATTCAGCCCCTGGGGCCAGATATAGTATACAAGTAGTAGCCTTTGAAACTTTCAAGTAGTCTTCCTCCAAACGCATACAGCCTCCAGGACTGGAAGCCTTTTTATACGAGGATTCTTGGAACCTATTCTCAATAGTTGCTCAATTGTGACTGTCCACCTCGGTAGGTATCTACATACGCTCCAGGGCTGCATTCATAAACGATTTCGAAATTTGGTTTCCTTAAAGATATCGTTTCCTTGAGTGGGCCGTACTAACAATTTTGCCATCAATTTCAATACACCTGAGTATCTCCAATTTGGAATGCTTTCTCATATTATGTTGCCAGATTTTCCTACCTTGCCTACTAGGTAGAAGTATACGATTGGGAGGACCTTGCAAAATTTTCAGTCGAGAGGACAAGCACTAGGTACTGAGTACTAGTAGGTATACTGCGGATCTTACAAAGCCAGGAAAGATTGGAGGTAGGTATATATCACTCAATTCAGATAAAGATACATCGACTCATGATTCCACATTAAACAAAATAAAAATTAACCATATTAAACATAAACGCATGAACACCCTGGTATCTGCGCTAAACAATGGGCCCAGCCAACAGGAAGCAAAATCGAGGATGAGACAGACGCGTCTCATCATTCAAACAAGCCCCTATTTCGAAATGCATGATGAGATCTAGACCTCGTGCTGGGTGACCTGAGGAACGGCAGTAGACTTCTCATCGGTGAGACCCATCTCATCGGTGAAGGTAGAGTGGGGCTGCCACTTGGCAGAAGTGCGAGGGGTGGACTCCTCCATCATCTTGTCGACCTGCTCCAGGGTAAGACCCTTGGTCTGGGGATCAAGAAGTAAGTGTAGACGAAGGCGCAAGCACAGAGGGATCCCCAGATGAAGAAAACCTTGGGACCCAGGTTACCCTGGTCAGCATCGGTCATGTAAGGGGTGATGACAGCGATGATGCAGTTCCAGAGCCAGTTGGAGGCAGTGGAGAGGGCAACACCACGGGAACGAATGGGCAGAGGGAAGATTTCACCGATAACAACCCAGGCGCCGGGGCCCCAAGTGCTAGCGAAGAAGAAGATGTAGATGCAGATGAACGAGATCATAGCGGAGACAGCCTTGGGGCTCTGTCCGTCAGTGACACCGATGATGGCAACCAGGAACTGGCAAATAACCATGCCAAGGGCACCCCACAGGAGCAGGGGACGACGGCCGACCTTCTCAATGGCATAGAAGGAGAGGGGGGTGGAAAGGACGTTGACAATGGTGGTGATCATGCTGATCAGGAAGGGGTTCGAAATCGTGCCGAGTTGGGTGAAGAAGGGAGTACCATAGTAGAAGACGAAGTTGACACCAGTCCACTGTTGCATCATCTGGAGCGAGGTACCAAGGACGGTGCGACGAACATTGCTGTTAGGGTGGAAGATGTTTCCACGGAAGCAGTTGATCCAGCTGTTGAAGTAGCCCTCATCAGGAATCACTTGAATCTCATACAGGTAGTTGGCTTCGATCTCGTTAATTTCGGACTGGATGAACTCGGAGTCTCTGGGCTGGCCACGGATTCTGGCAAGAGCATCAATGGCTTCCTCCTTTCTTCCCTTGCGGATGAAGAAACGAGGGGACTCGGGGAGCACAAACAGACCGACGGCGAGGATGACAGCCCAGAGCATCTGAAGACCGATAGGGATGCGGTAAGAGCCGGAGTCGGTGCGGTGCTCAGTACCGTAATCAACGCACGAGGCCATCATCAGACCGATGGTGATGCAGAACTGGTAGCCGGAAACGATGGCACCACGAACCTTGCGGGGGGCAATCTCAGACATGTACATGATGATAACGGCAGAGACAAATCCAACACCGAATCCTGCAACCAGACGACCAGCAACGAGAAGACCCAGGCTGCTGGAAGCAGTCTGAAGGATGACACCGATAATGAAAACCACGCAGCCAGAGATAATTGTGAATCGACGACCGTACCAATCTGCCAGATCACCGGCAATGAGAGAACCGAAGAAAGTACCAGCGGAGAGAATAGAGACGATGAGTGACTTGCGCGAGGAGGGGATGACGAATTTGTCAGTGGGAGTGTTTGCTTTGTCCTATAAAAACATATTAGCATATGGAGAGGCAGCTTGTCGGGAAAAAGATGAAGTACGTACCAGACCCTCGAAGGTCTCGATGAAGTAATCCATGCTGAGAACACCGCTAATGTGACCAGAGTCGTATCCGAAGAAGATACCACCGAAGGCAGCGAAAGCGCACATCAAGTACGTCTTGAAGGTGACGGGGGCTTCGATGCGACGGGCATCGACAGTCCCCACGGTTGCGACTGCACCACCAGGCATTTTGGTGGATGTCACTTGCGACACGTGAGTTGTATTGGCAGTAGATGGAGGAGTTGTAATGTTTGCAGTATTAATAGTTGCGGTAGGAGTGTTAGCTTTCAAGATGATCAGAGAAGAGCAGCAAGAAATATATAGAGATGATTGAGTGAAGTATGAGATACAAGAAAACAAAGGAGAGGAGGAGGGGAACGGAGGCAGTTTATAACCTGGGGCCGGAGGTACATGAGAGCCACGATCCCCGGACTGAAAATAGCAGGGGGTGGGAAAAACCCGCTAATGCGATCTAGTTCCACACGGAAGCGAAGACAGAGAACGGTGATTACGGATTTTGGCCACTCTCGGCACGCGATGGACGGCCATCGCCGTGCCAGACTCGGCTGAATGGTGGTAGATTGTTGGGCTATGACTGCTCGAACCTTCTCAGTCCCGAGAAAAGAGTCAAATTCGAAGGGTAGGCAAACGCCAAACCCAAGCTGGGATCCATCACTAGATCGAATTGAGTCTAATGCAGGAATCCACACTACCGCGAAATGAGAGGGACATGCCATGCGGCACAGAACCCGGGGAAAACTTTGCACGGATCAGGCCGGTCGAAGAGCCACAGGAAGCCAGCTGATTCGCTGAAAGAGGCATAGCAGAAAAGACCTAGCCATACAGAAACTCGGGTCCAGCCCGGCCGTGAACACTGTCGAAGTGAAATGTTCCCTCGGGACGCGGAGATGGTGTCTGAATTAGGGTTGGGGTCCGGGAAAATATCGGCGATGATTGGCCCGCATTGGCGCTTGGGACAAGGGCCAGTCTGCGCCACAAGGTCCGGGCTCCTTTTTTCACCCAAATTTTCACTGCTTCGTGACCCGAAAAGACATCTTTTGGACCGAGACAACTATTCGGCACCCCGAAATAGCCCATTTGAACTTCTCATTCTTTCTATTGACTCAGCCCTGAATCGTGTGAGCCGATCGGGTGACTTACGGATACGTCCGGCCTCATCGGTCGCTTATTGGGAAGACTCAACGCAGGCCCCCGTGTCTTGCAGGACACTGGGGGAAAGGATTGCATGTCCTAGCGAAACAAGTGAATGGAGTTCTCGACCAGGGTGGGATCTAGCGTAAGGCACGCCTCAGGGACTTTCAGTAGACCGTGCGACTCGATCGTCTGACGGCGAACTAAACCTCGCCGAGTAATTGGTCCCTTCTCTATGTCGGCTTGCTCGGTTCAACGCAACCATGACCTTCAGTTTTACCTCGTACCTCGTAAGCAAAACAAATCCGCCGCCCCACGACTCTCGATGGCACCCTAAACTCAACTCTGGCCACACATATCCCGCGCGGTCCCACCCCCAGAGCGACCTTAGATTTTTCCCACGGGGTCTGCGACCAGTAAAACAGGCTAGCGGTTTCCGCGCGTGGGGAAGTTTGGCGTTGGCTTTGTCTCTGGACCCTTGGCGCCTCCTGTGGCGCCCTATTGAAGCCGTTCTCAAATATCCCCAATTTCTCCAGACCCTCCACATTGTCCGTGGATAGTTAGCGGGGAAAGAAAAATAATAGAACTGTCACCCTACCAAGGTTTGCCATGCCGGCCTAATATCGGGTCAGAGCCTTGGAAGGCATTCCTTGCCGGGGCCGGGCCTTGGCCCTTGGCTGGCTGTCGCTTGCATCCCCTCTTCGACCTTTGTATAACGGTTCCTTAGGTCGGAACCTCGTGTTGGTGGTGGTCGAGGTTGTACCGTTTGATCACCGGTGGCCGAATTAAGCAATCCAAGATTGAATCTAGCCTTGGGATGTGTTTCTAGGGTGGAAGCGTTGGCGTGCCACCACATGCAGAAGGGTAGAACTACTTCCCCACCATTCAATTGCCGAGGAGGGGGGAGTACATTCAGAGACCACAGGACAGAAAAAAAATTCAAAATTTTTTCCGAATTTCTTTGGAACGGATTCAACCCACGGGGTAAAGGAAGCCTCGTGCGAGGGACTGCAGACATCTCCTAACAAGTGCCCCAGGCGATCGTGATATTTTGACCACTCCAAACCCAAACGCATTTAAACTACATATTAGCATCAAGAGATCAAACCGGTCACTCTCTGTTGATCTTGATCGGCGGTAGGATAGCAATGTTGAGTGTCTGAGTGTTTCGAATACGCCCCTCATTCAAAGTCTCAGCTTATTCTCAGCCTAACGCAATGGTGGTATCATTAACTGCTCTTGGCTGTTCCGTGTCATTATTCCCGAAACCTTGAGTCAATATTTTCTTCTCCACTCACACTCACACTGACACTCCCCACACTTAAGATCCAGGCACGATTCAAGCAGGGGTACTCGTACCCGGGCCATGATTATGATGTCCAACCTACAAGGTCGTTCAGAACAAATGTCAAAATAACGGATACGATTATCTAAATCTTAGAGTCTCTCCGCTTCTTCTTTCGTATGTTAAATTACTTTATCGCCCGTTATTGGGTTCTTCACGTTCATCTCCGAGGTTGACTCATTTTGGCCAATCAACTGCTTTGTTACCGCATCGTCCGTCTCGTGACGGCCCGCCAGGAAACCTTTTGGATAATGATTTTGTATGGCCTTCGTCTGTTGATTTCGATTTTTTTCGTAAATCATTCTGATGGAAAACTTCCGAGTGAAGTTACTACTACTAGTAGTGCATATAATTCCAAAGTTAGCATCGCATTTCACAATAAATGCCAGCCTGAGCCCTGGAGTGAATGTAGTAATGCTGATATTAGGAGTCCTGCTAGTAAATATATATCCATGGATCTAACGTCAGTACCTAGTAGTACAAGGACTGACGACGTCACGGTACTACTACTAGTAACAGTCAATGATTCCGCAGGGGCTGTCATCGCGATCTTGCGCAATCCAAATATAATGCTCAGGTGATTCCAACTTGAAGGTTATCACTTTTCCTCTGCATGACATACCCGACTATGGGCCCGGGATAAATTGGCAAAATCGAAAGACCCGCCTGAATCTCGGAATTGATTGATATGATTGAAATATACATAGAATAATTTAACCTCTTTCAAGAATCGGTGTGGCGCAGATCGTCGATCGCAGCCTCGCCCCGCAGAAACAATGGTTCCACATGATTTTTCTGATGTTCTTCTTGTCTTAAAAGCCACGGAGCTTAATCTTTTACTCAATTTACCATTCAATCGGTTCTGGGGATCTTCTGACTTTCGACTAAGGAACTTACCTAGGGATCGGGTTGATCCCGGTCCCACCCGAGGTAGATCTTGTACATATACAACCTCCAGATTCCTCCCGAGTAAAGTTTTTATGGAGAAATTCTATATTTATAGATTCCTGACTCGCGAGATTAGGGCTCAAGGAGAAGAATTGAAGATGAAGAAGTCAGAGCACACAGAATTTTATGATTTACCTGAATAGTAGTTTTACGAAGATTAGTCGTGAATCGTCTCTGAAATTTCAAGTTCTTTGTGATACTCAACTGCCAGTGGCTACTAGTATATTAGTCGACTTCATTTAGCTTGTGGGCAAACGATATAGACGGTCATAAGAATAGTACTAGATTTTGAGACCCTAGTAGGGCTGTCGCTGATAGATGAACAAACAGTTCATATTTTCGCCAATGAGGCCGCGAATTCAAAATAGAACAGGAGAGACTTTGACCAATTTTGGAGATATTCACATTGGACTTGAACCGCACGTCTCCAGGACTGATCTCTCCCGCCCGAGGTCCGAAATATATCGTGCGTTGAGGAATCCGGTGGGGACAGAATGATCATCTCCAACCCCACACGTTCTAGAGCTGGAATTACTCGAGGTTAGGATGATTCGACAAATAATTACCTAGATATGATGGCAAAAATTAATATTGTTTCCGCCCACTCATCAAACTTGGTCAACTTCTGGAATCCTGTTACACAACCCCCTAAGACATTCTGCGGTCTCAATTGTTGTGACTTTTCCAACGCGTTCCTGTTCCCGCCTTGGCGCGACTGGCATTGACATTGGGCCTGCACCAGTCAACTTTTCCAACCGCCTTTACAAATTCCAAGTAATTGTCTCGGTTCGAGCTGTAATTCTCGATAAGAGGATCCTTCCGGTTTGATCTGCCAAGTTTTTGTTCTTATATGCATCTTGGCATGCCCTGATCCAGCTTCTCTGGGCAAAATTAGACGAGAAGCGACCTCGGAGAAACCCCGGAAGGCGTGGGATCATCCCTCGCCAAGACGCCGGGATCTCCTATTCGACGGGATATTGATACATAGTCAGCGCTAGCACTGTTTTGTTTGCGGCCGACCCTGCGCCTTGGACCCTCGGCTTGATTCGATGGGGCTCAAAGATAGCAGCGAGTACAAATGTCATTTACTATCTCTTTGATGTGCTGGGGAGCCAGCAAGATTATTGCAGTTTGCCTTCCGTGAAACAGTACAATGGGAATTAAGCTGAACGCCCTCGTTGCTCTAGCGGCCGTGGTTGGATTTTCAACCGCCGACGCAGTGGGTTATTTTGATGATTCCTCCGTTTGCGCAGACCCAGACGGGCTTGCAACTTGCTATGAGAAGGCGGATAACAGTTACACAAGTTGCATCACTAACAACTGTGCCGGAGGTAGCAGTTCCCGCGTGAAATCATGCAACGGGGACGCGAATTGCATTGCTAAGCAGTAACCCAACCTCGGTGTCGATTGCATCAATGCATGTGGTTGTGTTAGAGCTGGCAACCAAATCGATTGCACCGCATCTAGCTGCTGAAATCAGGTGCGATATCATATCCAGCGTCCCGATGCTTGACTAATGATTCTTCTACCGCAGGTCTACTCCTGCGAATACCAATCGACTGTCCAAGACCTCCTCAACCTATGCGTGAAGCAACATCTGGACGACATTCCTTTTTGGCCTCCTCCAGCCAAAGCACCCGGCGGATGCTCTTGCAACATTGGAAAGGCCGACAAGAAGGAATTGCAGATATCTTCGTATCTCGATATCTGTGCAAACAACATGACCAACCTGAATCAAATGTCGGAAGTGGATGATATGACGGATTATGCGCAGGCCTGTATCTGCTGTACACAGAGTGCCATAATGTCAACGTATGTTTGATGTTGCTAATGCAAAATTGGAGAGGGATGTGGAATTGACAAACCTGCAGGATCTATGATACGTGTCCGAATACCGAGCCCTCCGCCATGGGAGCCGACGATTGGTACGCCGGCCTCCTTGCGCATAGTAAATGGGAAGGTTGCGGGAAATACCTGGAGGCATATGATTGCGCTGGAGATTTAGGGTTCGGTGCTGAAGATCCCGGCGACACTCACACCTTCTATAAGCCTGGAGACTTCCCAAAGAATGGTTCCGAATCACTGTACAATACGGGCGGTGTTATTTCGACACCCGTGAGTGATGCAACCTTCACATGGGCCTATGGCACCATAGAACACCCGGCCACGGTTAAATCGACTGATAACGTCGTGACTACGACTGCGACCACGACCGCGACAGGCACATCGGGCGACTCAAGCACCACAGCTTCCGAGACAGGCGCAAGCAGCACAAAGACACGAATGGCTGTTTCTGTTAATATGCCGCATTGGGAACCTGTTATTCTGTCTGGTGCTCTTGCCCTGGCATTATTTTGATCAATCTGCGACTCGTTACATAGAAAAGGCCCCCGATAGCATGATTGGCGTTACATAGACCGCTATGTAAAGCGATATTGAAATAAACTTTTATGAAAAATATAAGGTTTCGCAGAATACAAGGGCAGTGTCTTATGAACAGATACCCATTTAATATAGGGCATTGTGTGAATACTCCCCAGCAAGATAAATTCGCATAGGCCATGTAGATTTCTATAACGAACAAGCGTTGCAATAACCCCATCCCTCACTACAAGGCTTGAGGCTAGCCGCGATTGTCCGAATTCTCGAAGATTATTCACCAATAAAGTTTTTATCGGATTTTGGGAGATCTGGTAGGTCTCTACAAGCAGGCCAACACCGGCAATCTGTTTATAATTTGTTCTTTAAATTTCCTGATTCTAGATATTGGTGCAATTTGTGTGGATAGAATACAGTCCGAGTGGACGGATGCGTTACACTAAGATGCTAATTCTCTCAATTTTGTATGATCCAGCCTACTTCTCGTGATGCGTAGCTTCTGTGTCGTTCGTGTGCATGGTATCAAGAGCGTCAGTCGCAAAGTCGATACGTGGACCTGTAAAGTTCTTGCGACCGTCCACAACCCACTGGAAGGCGGAGATGATGATTATTATTGCGAACGCAGCCACACAGTAATCTAGAAATCTGTCAGTCTAGCCCTTAAAATATTGATAAATGTCTTACTCATGCTGCTACCAGTCACAGTACGGGAGGGAGGGAAAACAAAGAGCACGGTTGTCAGTGCGATGTATGATAGCGCGACCTATTATTACTCAATTAATATCACTTCGTCTTCAGATGGGTAGGAGGCCTCACAATGTCGGCGATCCACCCAAGGGCATTGGGTAGCTTCCAGCTTCCCTTGGGAAGGGCCTTGCGCCCCTGCAAGCAGTTTACCAAAATAGGCATCGCGTAGGATAGATCAAGCGCCACAACCGAGGCGGAAATAATAGCATTGAAGGCACTAGATTGTTAGTAAAATAATTCAAGACGGTTGAAAAATTAATTACCTCGAAGAACCCAAGAAGATGCAGCCGAAGCAGATCACCACAACTACCGTCAAAATGAGTGCATTCAGGGGCAACTTGAGGGTGGGGTGGACCGTGGCGAAGAAACGGGAGGCAGGAAGGCCGCCATCGCTGCAAATGTCAGTAGGCTTGCGTTTTTCTTTGAAAGGGAAACTTACCGTGCGAAAGCGTAGATCATGCGACTGCTGGTTGTCATCACGCTGAGGATAGCGAGAATCAAACATACAAGCGGAAGCCTTTAACCAATTAGGGATATATTCGCAAGAAGAGGGTTTGGAGAGGGCATACATCAGAAGGCAGATAGCTCCAGCCTTGTTATTGGTCGCGTCGTAGAGAATCTGCAAGAGGGGGCCAGCTGCCGAATTGGTGACCGCATCCATGCTACCGGCGACGAATAGCAAAACAATCAAGAAGATGAAGCCAGTGAAGATACCGATGCCAACACAAGAGACCATGATTTTGGGCCCCTCAATGGATGGATTAGGAACCTCTTGTTTGAATTAGCTCTGTCATTGACGAACCATGGGCACTGTAACTCGGTCCTTACCTTCTATCATATGGGCAACAGCATCCTGCGTAGTACATTAGCACGAATCCTATTTCGGCTTCAAATTTTGAACTCACAAAAGCAGTCACACCGAGACCTCCTTGCAAAAGCTTTAACCGTTAGTGATTGTGTGGTGCATACTAGTCAATTGTACCTACTCCAAGCAACCAAGCAACACCATCAGGCCCTAGAAGATATCAGCAAAAAAAAAACCAGTGTCAAGAGTTGAAACTGGATACTCACATCCAGTGCTGTTCACAAAGTTTCCGAAAACAAAACTAAGAATGTTAGTTATTGTCTCGAGCTGCTGAATGTCACAATCCACATACGAGGCCGAGTTATAGTCCGGCGAAGAACAAGCCAAGACGGTGATTGAAACAATCACAAATCCACCGATAGACCAAGTAACTAAAAAGATCAGTCCCCGAACTTAAATAAGACAAAGAGGCATCGTACATGCGCCACGGTAAATCACCGGTAGAATGGAGTTCATGAAGCCATTGATGCAGAATGCGCCCATTGTCAACCCAACGTAAATAAGGAACTGATGCCAGCGCTGGGGATCATAGCTCTGTGCTTCATCAGAATTGTATCAGTGAAACTCGAAGTGTAGTTATCCATACCGGGTGCATCAATGAGATGATTCCAACTATCAGTTGGCTGGATAAAAGCGAGTTGGTGGCGACCAGGGCGACCTGAAACCATGTCAGTTGTAATCCAGATAATAGAACTACTTGATTTTCTTACCCAACCAGCGACATTGATCCATCCTGTAACCCAGGACAATATAGGAACCCATTTAGGCCAAGCGACTGCAAGATTAGCCTTTGCTTACAGAAGCGTCATGGATAGTAAACATACTGACTGGTATATTGATTAGCCTTGAAATGGAATGTACTTGCGAGGGAACTTACCAGCAACCCAATGATATTGACCACCGGCACTAAATTCGTAAGTATAATCTCTGTTTGTTTGGAAGAAGGCACTAACGTGGGGTAAGTAGAAAGAAATTCAGCCAATGAAGAGGCAATGCACAAGTTGCAGAACCCCGCAGTCACAAGACCCCAGATGACGCTTGTCGCGCCCCCAGAGGTAAGACTAATGGATAGACTGGCTGACAGGGCGGTCCACGACTAATCCGAGCGGATATTAGCTTCCTTCTAGTGCCGCAGGGCCAGGTACTAACGTTCAACACGGCAAAGGCGAGACCGAGCATTGCCCTAATTTCCCAAAGTTAGTACATGGGTATTCTGTACGATCGAGCAGCCTGAGCGTCGATCTCACCAGGTTGAAAACTGGCGCTTAAGCTCTTGCTTGTGGCCCATGGCCGCAAGTTGGGCGTCATCATCTTGCAGTGGTGCTTCTTTCATCGCGAAAGGTCTAAAGAGAAAACAAAAACAGTTGAGTTAGAGAAGAGCCCAAGGCGAAAGGGACTATAGATAAGATGAAGAAAAGAAACAGTAAGCGTCTCGGCGATTAAGGTCCAACTAAATGCATCGCAGGCATCACAGGCATCGCATGGCCATGTCGTTAACGGATAGCGCCGACAGGGTTGCAACTCGCTAGCATGCGGGGAAGAATCTCATTACATACAAACTTGAAGCAGTTATCAGCGGGCAGACCAATGACGAGTGATCGTGGAACCGGCCAGGATCGAATCGAGCTGGTGCAATTCTCCACCGTGTCCACAGTACCCACCATCTCTGGCTTATCGCCCCGAGGCAAAGAAGTCATCGCCATGAAGCTGTACTTATCCTCCACAAAGCTTATCAAGCTCCTGAACGGCCCGGCTTGGATTCCCTGTTTCGTGGATCTCTGCGTGTACCTGCCGAATCGCGCATAGTGGCTTCCCCAGGGCTGCAGATACAATATACTTCGCCTCGCATGGTTCAATGCCGATCGCGGTGTCGGCAGTGGAGCTGCGTGGATGGTGATAAGCAGGAGAATGGGGTCGTACACATTTATAAGGAATGCGCGTGGCTGCGTGTTTTCCCCTGACCCAGACTTTCCTCTTCTGAGTATTTCGCACAATGTTCTCCAAAGGGTTGTTGGCTGTACTGGCCGCGCAGACATGCGCTGCGGCAGTTTCCAAGGCACGCGATGACGCGACTTGCACGAAGACTACGGTCGCAATTCTGTGAGTTTGAGTGTTTAGTGGAGCGAGCAAGGGCCTGCGCTAACATTGGTTGCAGGGGCGGTGGAATGGCGGGCGTCGCCGCGGCTGTAAGTTGTCTTCCGCGACATGTGGATGGATACTTGGATCTAATACTCGGTTAGCAAGCATTGCATAACTCGTCCATCGAGGACTTTGTCCTAATTGAGTACCGCGACACTCTTGGCGGGCGTGTTGCCCACACGGATTTCGGCAAGGATGCGAATGGCAAGCCATACACGGTGGAACTTGGTGCCAATTGGGTAGGTCGTTCCATTCGTGCAAGTCGTTCGAAGGCTGAGAAAAATAGGTGCAAGGACTTGGCTCTCCCGGAGGCCCTGGTATGATCGACCTCCTATCAACTTTGGACAATGCGGATCGCTGACAGGACTAGAAAATCCCATCTGGACATTCGCGAAGAAATGGCATCTCAACAATACTTATTCCAACTACAGTTCCATCCTGACCTACGATGAGACTGGATTCAATGACTATGCCTCTATGCTCGATGACTTTGAGGACCTTTACGATGATGCTTCTGAACAAGCTGGCATTCTCCTGAAGGAGAACCTGCAGGATCAGACTGCGCGTACTGGCCTTGCACTGGCTGGTTGGCGACCTAAGGTCGATGATATGAAGGCTCAAGCTGTCGAGTGGTGGGAATGGGGTAAGTCGCGATCACACTACAGTCTACTCACATCTTCTAACATTCCTTAGACTGGGAAGATTCTTATTCGCCCGATGAGAGCTCTTTCATCTTCGGTGCTGCGGGCGAGAACCTCACCTTCAACCAATTCAGCGACGCAAACAACTACGTCTGGGACCAGCGTGGCTATAACCACCTCATCAAGGGTGAGGCCTCAACTTTCTTGAAGAAGAACGATCCCCGTCTCCACCTGAACTCCATCGTCACGAACATCACTTACACTGATGACGGTGTGACAATCCAGAAGAAGGACGGAAGCTGTGTGCAAGCAGCCTACGCTGTCTGCACTTTCTCTCTCGGCGTTCTCCAAAACAGCGACTTGACATTCAGCCCGAAGTTGCCGTACTGGAAACGCACTGCGATTGAGAAATTCAGCATGGGCACCTACACCAAGATTTTCCTTCAATTCAATGAAACCTTCTGGCCTCGGGATACGCAGTACTTCCTCTACGCAGACCCAACCACAAGAGGATACTACCCGGTTTGGCAATCTCTCTCGGCACCAGGTTTCATCCCCGAGTCAAACATCATCTTCGTGACCGTTGTCTCGCAGGAGGCATACCGTGTCGAGCGCCAGTCCGACGAAGAAACTCAAAAGGAGGTCATGAAGGTTCTTCGTGAAATGTATCCGGACAAGGACATCCCTGAACCAACCGCATTTATGTATCCCCGCTGGAGCACGACCCCGTGGGCGTATGGAAGTTATTCGAACTGGCCCCCTTCGACTACGCTCGAGATGCATGAGAACCTGCGGGCGAATGTTGATCGCCTATGGTTTGCTGGCGAGGCGACAAGCGCGGGATACTTTGGTTTCCTACACGGTGCCTGGTTCGAGGGTCGGGATGCGGGTGAACAGATTGTTGCTTTGCTTAAGGATAAGTGCAGCAATGTGTCGGATACTTCTGACGACTGTGGAAACCGCAGATACTACGAGAAGCTTTCTGGGTCTTCGCCATTGGCGGATTACAGTGTTTTCGATGGGTGGCCAGTTAGCAGCTTCTACTCGAGCAGCTAGGCGGTAGTACAGGCCTGAGAGATGAAAAAACAAGATCTATGTCATCGGGGTAGATGTTGATAGCTTGGTGTCGATAATACTAGTATATAAGCTGAAATTCACATATTGGATAGTGTACTAGTAGCCTTCAATGAAGACTTTCAAAGTTAGATGTTGAAATCTATTAGCCGTGACTCGGTCGGCTGGATATTTTTGTCAATTCAACCATACTATCTTTCTCAGTTAACCTCATGGAAAGTAAGAAACTTAGGCGAGGGATAGCAGTGACTCGAGCTCGTAAGGTCACGGTAGTAGTCACTACACCTCTTGTTGAAACACCCATAGGTTTGCGTGAATCCCTGATCGGGTCATTGAGTTGAAGATAAAAAATAGTGTGTTCCATATTGTGGATCCATAACAAATGAAATTTCCGTTGTACCTCGGATAACCCTTCCATCCACCTGCAGTGCCTGCAGTGGGCAGGTCAAATAATATAACATATACCCATTAACACCTTAGATGCAATCATTCCGAACGCCCTTAAAGTACTTCCGACCATGCAAATGCCAGCATTGCTAAAAAGAATCATGAAGTATCAAATTCCGACAGCGGCGAGTCCGGCCCGGCTGAAATCGGCTCCGCTCGGCTCAGTTCGGCCCAGCGATGGTGATGGTGAGGTCATCACCGGCCATACATGTCCAAGGCCTGTTGAACATCATGCAGACTCTCCTTGTTGCCATAAGCGTCCATCAACTCTCGATTCTTCGCCAAGCGCTTCTCTTCTTCTTGGATGGCGAATCCGCGGCGAGCTTGTGCTTGTGTGTAGTAGTTGTATGCGCCGAAACCGAGACCGACTGCTGCGACGACGGGGATGTACCTGGCGAAGGTGAGTAAGTATAGGGTGGAAGAGAGAAAGAGGTCAAGAGTCAAGCTCAAACTGGACTCGGCGATCGGGAAAGGGGCACGTACCATCGTCCGTGCCTGGGCTTCAAGCTCGGGGTGGTTGGGTGGGAACGGTATTGTGAGGGCTTGTTTGTGCCGGGAAATGCGTGTGAAGACATGTTGTGTGATTGGCAATGGAGGAGCTGGAATAGATGGTAGCTCAAGTTGGATCTCTGAAGGAGTGAGAGTGGTGAGAGTGAAAGAAGGGAGAGAAGGAGGGCGCGTGCACCGGGCCGGACTTTAATGGTTGGCCGGAATGCGGGGATTGCATGACGTGGAGATATCATCAGCCCACACGATCATACTATTACTATAGTATTACTATAGTACCTCTGTTATTACACCATTATAGCATGATTCAATTTATATTAATGGTGATCTACATCATATACCCCTGTATAATGTACATCTTATGTTCCCTGGATGCTAAAACCTCTACCATTTACATCACCACTACTAGTACTAGTACTACATCCGACTATCGGATCTTTTGGGTTAAGTGATAATCCCCCCCACAGCTTGGCACGGCTTGGCAATTGCACTGCCCCGCGACCGGAGGAATCATTTCCAGCCAATCATGAATGAGTTATGCTAACAAGTTATCAGTACTACCTACATAATACAGCTACCACCCATCGCCTGATTCGCCAACTTCGTTCTCATAAAATGATCTGGGGCATAAGAAATGTAGTACATAAAGGAGCATATTATGCCCCCATTCAATCAACATCAAACTCAAGAATAGTAACGTCGCCCGATAAATTTCCCACGGCAATCGTATTGCCGTGGAAAGCAACATGATTGCCGTTGAAACGCCCAGCACGTGGGCCAGGCCGATTTTCAGGAGGTAGCCACAATACCCTTCGTTCTCGCATGTATACCCAGTCATCTTGGCCTATTTGGACAGTCCTGTGGCTACCAGTCAGATACTGATCTTGTGGTTTCCAGTTAGGCTTCCAGTCCCCAGACTCAATTGGTACGTCTTGGGGTCCCAAAGTGGTCAATAGCGAAAGTCCACCCTCGTTCAAAACAACCCCAGTGAGAATTCCAACATCTATCGAATGTTCGGGTATCGGAAGGAGATTTCCAGAGTTGACAGTCCAGAACTCAATGGCTTTGGACTCAAGGACAAAGACCAGGTATCTGCCATCTGGGGAAAACGTCGAAAAACACGAGCCATCAAAATGATTCGCCATAGGGGGTCGGGATAATTCATGCAGTGTACCTGTCATCGTGTTCCAAATTTGGACAATGCCCTCCTGATCTCTATAGGCCAGCAGTTGACCATCGGGCGAGAACAAGACCTCTGGTGAGAACAAGACCTCTGGTGAAGGGGCCGAGGAAATTTCTGGGATAGGCTTCAGTACAGTAGTGACTGTATCAGCGGTAGTATCATAGACCCTGACACCCCCATAGTGCCATACCAGTGCGAGTAACTGGGAATTAGGCGAGAAAGTTGGAGGGCAAGGTGAAGCTCCTGCTGCCCAGCCGTAGCCGTCTCTTATGTTCCCCTGATCACCGGCCGTAAGGTCCCAAATCATCAAGTGCTCAACTGGGCCCCAGTCCTCCGATGGACTGTTGGGGACGGACCAACCGACAGCTGCTAGCTTTCCATTGTCAGGGGATATGGCCAGCTCCACTTTTACACCTGAGGGTATAGTAAAGGTGTTTGATACATGCGCCGTTTCCACATGCCATACTATAATCTTATCCCCGTACTCTGCCATGGTTGCTATCAGAGAGCCATCTGGAGAAAACTTGACTAATTCAACCTCAGTGGGACGCCGTCTAGTAGTCTGACTCGTGTTGATAGATTTAGAGAGGTCCCATAGTCTGATGTTGTAGTCACTGCAAGCTGATGCTAAATATTGGCAGTCAACGGAAAAGGCCAGGCTTTGGTGCAACCGTATATGGCTCCTCAACTCATGTTTGAGGGTTCCACAAGAAATTCCCCAAATTTTAATAGTATTGTCATCGGGGACGAGTCCAAGAAGTTGGCTGTCCGATGATATTGTTAGTTTGAAGTCCCCCAGCTGCTGATCAAATCGGATAGTATGCTTGAGATCGTTGGTATCAATGTTCCATAAACAAATGGAGCTTTTGTTTTGTGACACGGTTGCAAGGATCTTGTTCTGACAAGAGAAGGTAACCGACGCCATTCCCCCATAGCTGTTCCAAATACTTTTCCTCTTTTTACCTGTAGCAGTTTCCCAAAGGAGAATTATTGGACTCCGATCACTGATTGCTGCCATAATCTGGCCATCAGCCGATAAAGCGGTAGACCCATCCAAAAGCTCTTCTTTGTCATTTGCTTCGAATGGACATGTGTCAGATAAAAGGCTATCAGTAAATTGATCTCCTCCTTGATCAAGTTGTATCTCTCCCAGAGTACCAGATTCGATATTCAAGAATCGAATGGTTAGCCGGTCTATAGCCGCCAACGTTTGACTTCCTTGATAAAAGCCTCCATATTTGCCATCGAGTCCCCTCATATAAGCACCTGTAGCAAGATCCCAGATGTAATTTTTCCACCCAAAAGCAGCCAGATATCGGCCGTCAGGCGAGACCACGATGGATTTCATATCGTGTTTGCCAACGCACATCTGGAGTGTTTTCCGCAAAGCACCTGTCTGGGTATCCCACAATCGGATGGTTTTATCACGTCTGGACACAGATATCATTATCTGGTCGTTTTCAGACGGGGCAAATAAAAATGCCACGGAGCCACAATGACCCTCATTAGTCTGCAATTCTGAGCTCCACTTTTCCTGGTGTTCCGAAAGTAATCGCACCCACTTAGGAAGATTTTGTTCATAACATTTTCGGACTGTCGACATCTTTGGCGCAAATAAAAGACTAGAACAATAAAGTTGCAATGGCGCTTCATTGGTAATTTGAGCATTTCGAAGCGCAAACCTTTTTGCATCATATATGAAGCTACCCAGTTCTGTGTGTCGGGATGCCTGGTGCGGGTGGGATTAGTGGAAGGAATAATTGAAAAAAATGTGGGCGGCAAAAAGCTTACGTAGAAGGCGGACTGCAGCAGGTTCAGGTCTCGAATCACCTGAAAGGCAAGGCCTAAAATTCCCATTGCTTCCATCCAAAATATGAAATACCCCTGGAGAAAGAGATGGATATCATCCGTTTTGGTTTTCTTGCTGCGAACTAAGTGATGAACCCAGTACCGACAGGAGTACTGCAATGCCGGTGAAAGAAGCCCATTGATCTTCCGCGCGTCAATTTCGGCCCGTTCTGTGCCTGGATTTATATCGCAGATATTCTCTTTCAAATTTCGACGACAAACAGAAATACACAAATTCGATAGTCTTTGATGTGTCGAATCTTCATCCACCCACAATGGAGTTAGATCTGATATTTCTGAATCAAGAAGAAATTCGCGGAATGAGAGGTGAAACAATCGTACAGGTGCCGGGTCTTCAAGCTTGTTGGGAATATTGAGAACCGAGTGGAATGACCTTAATCTCCATTCAATTTTTGGGGCAGGGAAATCAAGAAGTTCGGAAAGAGCATTCACTGAGAGCGGACTTTCAAGTAAAATGATCGACCCAATGATGTTCTGGAACTCATCAATTAACTGCTTCTCTTGTTTCTTGCCTTGTCTCCGCAAGAAGCGATTCAAGACGGGAAGATATGTTCCATTAAGCTGGTACCTCTCGTTCAACTTGGAGCCTTCATCTCCATAGACCAGCATCTCTGTGAGAATTTCTGCCAGATCCCATGGGTCCTCTTCAAGCAAACGACAGGCGGTGGCAGCGAAGATGAATAGAGGGACAGAAAGATCGACAAGTTTGCGAATACTCTCTCCGCCGGGCCAATCATCTGGCAGATGATTATCTCCTCGGATCTGGGCAATTTTATGCTCCAGAAATAAAGAGATATCATGCTCTATTTTAACCTTTGGTACCTCATGGAGAACAAAATCTTCGTGCTGATCTGCTATCTTTGAAAAGCCAAGCCGAATGGGCAGCTCCGGACGACTGGTCAAGAAGATCCTTATACGCATCGCTTCTACTGATCGTAGTTGAGGCAATAGCCGAATGATAGTCTGTATATCTGCATCATTGTCACATTCGTCCAGCGCATCGATGACGAGAACAACAATTGGTCGATCAGACAATTCCAGACTCTGTAGTGGACGTAGGAGTATCTTTTCAAACTGCTCCGATAGAGCCTTTCCCGAGATATCCGGGTGAGTTCGAAGTGCCCGCTGCACAGCTGGCAATATTATCGGGAAAGCTACCACCAGCTGCCTCATGATCGTAGGAAAGAGTGACAACGCATTTCCTCGGTCTGTTTCTCCTCTCTTGAAGAAGAAGCTGGCACCCAATAGACCGGCATCTGTGAATGATTTTGACAAAGTTCTCGAAATCGTTGATTTCCCTGTTCCAGCCATGCCTTTCAACCAGAAAATTGGCTGGCCGGGACAGCTCGCCCATTTATTGACTTGCTGGAGAAGTTCGATTCTGGTTCCGGGAAGGCAAAGATCTTCATTCTGATTGTGAAAGGAATCGAAGGCAGCGCCGCTCACGATTGGGAGTTTCTCTAGAATATCTGCAGACCGGTCAGTGATGTCCATGCGGGGTGGAGGTGCGAATTTCATACCACCAGCAGATATTGAACCGTTGTTCACGCCGACTTGCACCCCGAAATTTGAGCCACCGAAGTTCATCATAGTCGAAGACATGACGGGTCATGGAAGCCCGGGGTCGAGCAGAATGCAATATCGATCAGCTGCTAAGCGCCTTGGTGAGTTGTCTCTCGCGACCATCAGGTGACCTTTCAGCCCCAATGAGGGACATTCGTGCCCCGCATCACTGGGCTCATGTACATGCAGAGTCTCTGCTTAATACCCTAGGTGGATACTTGAGCATGTGAAAAAGAAAAGGAAAGAAAGAAAGAAAAAGAGTTGCCGCAATCGATTGGCGACAAGGATCAGGTCGCCGAGAAATCAAAAATATCGACTCTCCTGTACTCGAGAAGGGAAGATCAATATGAAATAGGAAATATGCAATCTTCCACGGCTCGCATATTGATTTGCCTCCAACAGATTTCCCAGGAAATCTTCTAATCGGTCGCAGTTACTGGTGGTCGGGATATTGTTCATCAAGACCCACCTGAGTGGATTTCAGGGAAGGACATTATGTGATACGCAACTATACTAGCATGTCTCGTGGGATTAATTCTGCCCGTTAATAAGAATATACGATGATAGTAGGTATCGACATCTCAGATCAAAATTTTATCCGTGCTCGCGGCATCCCCACCTCCGCCGTCTTTAGACTGTACATCGACCTTGAACGATTGATGATATTTTATACCCTTGGGATCATTAAAAGGGTCCGCACTACTCCCTTGGAGACTGTGAAGCTGGTAAGAATGTTGACCTCTACCATTAGGTTGGAATCTCCTCAAATCCGACCCGTGCGATGTTTTCGCAGTATTACTCGGGTTAGATGAGAACAAGGATAGTCGCGGGAGATATGTCGCAATCAATCTTTTCATGCGCATCGCACAAGCGCAGACGATACCGAGATTTATCTCAACCATTGACCAAATTCCCAGGATCGCTTCGGTGTAGGTTACATCTTCAGTTTTGTCGAGGAGGAGGACATATGGTAGGCGGGCGATTGAGCAAACAATGACGCTGAGAAAGTTAGCTAAAACTCACGTCGGAAGATTTTCCACGAAAGCAAAGGGAAGCTAGATAGATAATTGCAGCGAGAAGAGAGAAAAAAAACTCACCCAGATCCCAGAGTTAGAAGACATCCGACCGTGATTTTGTTTTTCGTCGATAAATGAAGGGCATGGATTGTCGGAATGGGTAAGGCCATGACTGCAATGTCTGATGCAATGTTCAAAACCGATTGAGCCAAGGCAACATTCTCCAGGCATACCGTCGTTCCAGTTTTGAGCGGATTGCATGGCCCTCCCACAATGGTGCATAATACCAGGGTATATGCGAATATGGACACAGCAACAGCTACCACGATACAGCGATAGATGACTGAGGGATTAATACGAAATAAAACGGACACAATGGCCATTTTTGTAATGGCTGGACAGATCAAATAGGTCAAGGTGTTGGGAAGCAAGCCCTACTCTGTCTTAGTCTTATACTTCCTTGGAATGATTCGATGTTCCAATCTGACCTTGTTGAATTCCATAAGATCCGCCAATGAGACATTCCACATGTGTTTTCCCCAGCCCCATTTCATTTCTATCGTGTGGTTCAGTCAGTATAAGATCCATCCCGCGATACATCGAAGTACTTACGATTGACTATCGTGGCAAAGTAGGTCGCAGAGACGCCATAGGAAATTATAATTGTAACTATTTGGCGAATGAAGCGTAAATACTCTGTTTCACACCATCGATTGCAGGAACTTAATAGTACGAGACTTACTCAGATCCAGCTCAATATTCTTGATCAACTTGACCGCCTGGAAGACCCGAAGACCCAAGAAGCACGTAGCAATGAAGAAGGTGACACCAAAGGAAATGACGGTTCCAATCTGGAGTGAGCTATAGGGCCCATTAAAATGTGATGCCTGGCCGGCCGGCGGCTGCATTCCTGGTGTTGTAGACAAATTCATTGTGTTCAAGTTGAATTACCATTCTTCAGACAATTTGAAAAGTGTCAGAGCACAATCTGCACATGCAACACTAGATATGGGTTACGTCCACCTTATCTAAATTGAAACCTTGGCCCCCAAGAAACCATGCAAAAAACCAAAACGTTCCTCGCCCCTCGGTCTATCGAAAGGGGGCCTCGCTTACCCTTTACCGGCAAGAGACATCCATTCCAGGCTCAGATCGGCCAATTCCCGGAACAAGACGAGTTAAACTAGCGTCAATGCTAACGGAATAACGGCCGGCAAATCTGGGAAGGGCTGTTCAAAAGTGGACTTCAGAACCCTGGGGCTAACGGTAAGTGACAAAAGCGCGGCCGGGGAATGTCCTCGGTTCCGTTAGCGCATCCTTCACAATGGATGAACGGTAGCGCATCCTGTCATATAATGCAGCCAGTAACCCTTCAAAATTATGAAGACTAAGTGGGGCTTACTTATTAATGCTCTCATGACAGGAGCCAATAAAGTGGAGACGGGCGAGTCAGTGTGTTAGTTAACGCAGCCCTCGGGAGTTGATGGCCCTCTCCTAGTGCGAATTAGTAGTACTCGTATTCCGCTGTCTTTAGGTTGAAATTTGAAACGGCCATTTTTAGCGTAGAGTTTTGCAATGGCATTAGCCTTGATTTTCCTAAAAGGTCCGGAGTACTGCCAGGAAGTTCTCCGAATCGAAAAATCGTTTGAATTCCGCAGTGTCCTTCGAGCAGTACCATCGATCAATTGCCTTCAGTGCAAACAGACTTGCCCATGATAATGATGGAATTCCTATTTGGTCGTAAGCCCACTAAGAAACCGGTTCCAGGAGACCGGGTGGTGCCATTGCACTTCTTCGAGAACAGCCTGTTGGTGCAGGGGAACAACATGGCCGTGTCCCTCGTATTCGAAGCGGTGCTTGATCCACAGAAGCTGCGGGACTCACTCGAAGGATTGGTGAAACGGGAAGGATGGCAAAGATTGGGCGGTCGTCTTAACAAAAATGCAAGATCTGTTCCAACTTTTACCAGTTCCGATTGAACAAAGGGGTACGTACTACTCAGGTATACTGACGTCTCCTGTTGTACGCTCTAGTCCTCCGGCCAAATCGAATGGCATATCCCAACCCAGTTCACGGCCGAGCGACCAGCAATCTCCTTCGCACACGTTGACCATGGCATATCCGCTACCGAGCATCCAGCAGCTTCCAAGATACCGAAACCTGATACCCGTCCAGCTGTCGTAGGCGATCCGGACGATTTGGAAAGTCTTACGTGGGAGTCCGGATACAAACCCGGAGGAATCAGCGACTATGTCGACTCCGATCTGCCTGTATTGGGACTGCGCGTGAATTCCTTCACCGATAAAACCATTGTAGTGTTACAATGGCAACATGTTGCTTTTGACGCTCTTGGTCTGCAGTATGTTGTTGAAGGATGGAGCTCGATGCTTTGGAACAAGGAATCTGAGATTCCGACACCGTGTGATTTCAATAAGGATCCGTTCCATTCATTTGCGGACGGTACAAAACCCGCAACTGAGAATCATATTCTCGCGGACAACAGGGTTGGACTCGGTGGGATGCTGAAGTGGGGGTTGGGGTACGGGGTCGACATGTTGGTCCGAGCCAAAGACAATCGTATGGTCTGTGTTCCGGAGTCATACTGGGGCCCACAGTTGGAGAAAGCCCTGGGAGAGCTCCGAGACGAGGCGATCGAGAAGGGCGAGGATCCTTCGAAGGTGTTTTTGACAGAGAATGATGTTCTAACAGCCTGGATTTTGCGTTGCGTCGTTGCTGAGATGGAGATGGACTCCAGCCGAACGGTATGATCTCGCCTTGACCCTTCAAGCTGACACAAACTCCAAAATGTAGCCACTGAACACGTCTTTCAACAGGTTGCTGCATCAATTGCCATGTCTCTTCGGAAGGCCTTCGAGGGCGACCTCATCCCATCATCGGCTGAACACCCTTATATTGGCAATGCCTTTGGCTGGGCAAACGTACTAGTAAGCGCAGGCGATGTCGCCACCAAGTCGCTCAGTTGGCTTGCCAGACAGGTCCGATGTGCGATAAATGAGCAAGGCACGCGTGCACAGCATGAGGCATACTACGCCATGGTTCGCGAATCTGGTATGGGTCTGCCAATTGTCGTACTCGGAGATGGTGGTATGGCTCAGGTTGGGTTCTCAAATTGGACTCGGGCAGGCCTTTTCGATCTGGACTTTTCACCCGCCGTCAAGGATGCAGGGGATTTCGATCTACTTCCTTGCACGCCTTCGTATGTACAAGAGAATCATGGCCCAGTGAAACCTGCGGACGGTTTCTTCGTTTTTGGAAAGGACCAAAAGGGAAATTACTGGACCTCGGCTTGTAAGGTGAAGGGCCATTGGGATAAGATTGAGGAGCAGTTGAAGAAGGACTTTGAAGTAATATCTTAAAGTTACGAAGAAAATAGAGATACTAGTTAATCAATATTTAATCAATCCTCAAAAACCATGAATTCATAACCTATCTAAAAACGGACGAACAATTTAAAAAAGAGACTCGTTAGACCGGTCTAGTCGGGAACTAAGCCTGGTTCTTGGGACCAACAGGAGCGGGTCCCTCGGGGGTAACATAGGCCTAGTAAGAAAGGAGTTAGCACAATGCAAAGTAAACGCCAATCTCACCCCCGCGCTAGGGACAAACATACCTTGCTCAAACCACCATCGACAAGGAAATCGGTACCGTTGACGAAGCTGCTCTCGTCACTGGCCAGGAACACAACAGCATGGGCCTGCTCAATAGCCTCGCCGAAGCGACCGCTTGGGAAGTGAACCTCGCGACGGAAACGCTTGGGCTGGTCGTCGCCGAGCCAGTCCTGGAGGAGCGGGGTGCTGTCGGAAATTCGTCAGTATCGCCAAAAGAAAGAATTGAATACCATTTGGGTAGAATTGGGGACTAACTTAAGAGGACCGGGGCACAAGGAATTGAATCGAATACCCTCCCTAGCGTGAACGATAGCCAACTCTCTGGTCAACGCCAGAACGGCACCCTTGCTAGCAGTGTATGCCAGCTGGGGGGTCGCAGCACCGAGGACAGCAACGAAGCTAGCGGTGTTGATGACGCTACCCTTGGTCTTCTTGTTGCGGCGCAGGGCAAGGACAGCATGCTTGCAGCCGAACCAAACACCCTTGACATTAATGTTCTGGGTCAAGTCCCAGATCTTCTCAGGGGTGTCGACGGCATCAGCGTCATCGGCGTGCATAATGCCTGCATTGTTGAATAGGACATCCACACCACCCCAGCTGTCCTGCGACTCGATCATAGCTTGAACGTCGGCTTCCTTAGAGACATCACAGCGGATAGTCTCCAGGCGACCAGCGGTGGGAACGAGCTCCTTGACGCGGGCAAGGGCCTTGGCCAGGGCTGGCTCAGAGATATCGGCTAGGAGGATGTTGGCGCCTTGTTGGGCAAAGAGGATGGTGGTTTCAAGGCCGATGCCGCTGGAATACTGTTAGTTCTTGACACGGAAACCTGAAATTGGAGCCGGGACGACAGCAGGGAGGAAGGGAAGAAGAAGAATAGCGGAAGGAATTCTTACCCAGCAGCACCGGTGATGATGGCATTCTTGCCTTGGAGACGTCCTTGGGCCATTGTAAAAGGTGATTTGATTTATGATGGTGATGAGGGGCACTGTGCGACGGGGTGTTAGCGGTGATGATAAGCGCTGCAGGGTCGATCGTGAACAATGCGGAGTGATGGCGGGGGAAGAAGCTTGCTTTAAGCTGTCCGTACACTCACACTAAAGCACTGTCACACTGGAGTAGACTCACCGAGATGGTTGAACTGACAATCCTGGGAATTGTTCTTCTGAAGGGAGCTCTATACGCGGGGCTCGGAGCGCGTGACTAAGCTATCCGATGCGACGGCGTCGGCGTCGATTGGCCGGCGCTAATCCTAAAGCGGTACCAGGTGGAGCCAGCGCGGTCCCGGACCGCGCTGATAAGGGCGCATAAAGCTCGATAAGCGACGATAACAGCGGTTGCTAGCCGCATTGGGACTGGGCGCTTGCGATAAGCAACGCCAGCTCCGCGCGCACCCCTCCGTCACTTGACTCGGGCTGACTGGAAACGGGGAAACTGGGAAGTTGGAACTTCTCCTTTACATCCTGATTCCTGAGCCTCTTAAGTCGGTTCTTCTGTCGCTTGAGTTTAGCTTCAGCTTCAGTGAATTCTACATACCCCTCCCACCAACACAACACACCCACAATGTCAACAGAAGTGGTAACCCCCGAAAACGTCGCCGACGTACTACAACATGACCGCATGGTCAAGGTAGCAGGCATAGACGTCGACGGTCAACTACGAGGAAAGCTGATGCAGAAGAAGAAGTTCCTCTCTATCGTGACTGAGGGATTCGGATTCTGCTCCGTGATCTTTGGCTGGGACCAGCATGACCAGACCTATTTCAAAGAGCTGACGGTCAGCAACAAGGAGAATGGATACCGAGACCTCGTCGCGGTACCTGACCTCGCTAGTTTCCGTCGCATTCCTTGGGAAGATAATGTCGCCTTCTTCCTGATCAGCTTCTTGGACCCGGATACTCGCCAACCGGTGTGCGCGTGCCCGCGCGGTCTCTTGAAGACTGTCTCTGCTAAGGCCGAGGCGGCGGGATACAAAGCCATGGCTGGCGGTATGACCTCATACTCCTTATCTCCACATGCCCTGAGGAGCTCCCCACTGACAATTTGCAGCCGAGTATGAATTCTTCCAGTTCCGCGCTCCAGGAAACCATGCTACTCCCGAGCGCGCGGCCTCGCATACTGCGTCCTTCCTCCAGAATAACCCGGTCGACTCGCTGCCCCCATTAACGGAGGGCATGTTTGGATACTCGATTACGCGGCCACTCCACAACCAGGATTACTACTACGGCATCTTTAACGACTGTGAGAAGTTCCGCTGCGACATCGAGGGATGGCATACAGAGAGCGGACCTGGCGTGTTCGAAGCTGTAAGTTGAGAGAAGTGCAATGCGCGGAATGAGATCCAGGGTTTGCGGCGAAATGGCATCCAGCTGACCAGTTGCACAGGCACTACAATTCGGTGAAGCAAAGGAAATGGCTGACAAGGCCACCCTTTTCAAGTAAGATCCTCCCATGGCCCTGAACACAGGCCCAAACGAGAAAACTCCCGACTAACACCCCTCACAGATACGTCGTCAAAGCCAAGGGCATCAAGCACGGCATCACACCCTGCTTCATGGCAAAACCTCGTCAAGGTCTGCCCGGAAATAGCGGACACATGCACATCTCCCTTGTCAACAACGACGGCAGCAATGCCTTTATTCGTGACACTCCCGATCCATCCCCACAGTACCCAGACATTGCACACCTCTCGGATCTCGGCCGTCACTTCCTAGCAGGACTGCTGGTCGGCCTGCCAGATATCATGCCCCTCTTCGCACCGACGATCAACTCATACAAGCGACTCGTCGAGAACTTCTGGGCCCCTGTCACCGTATCCTGGGGTCTCGAGCACCGCGCTGCCTCCATCCGAATCATCGCACCGCCAACCGCAAGCGCAAAGGCCACACGATTCGAAGTCCGCGTCCCGGGCGCCGACGCGAATCCTCATTTCGTGCTGGCGGCTGTTATGGCGCTGGGCTGGCGGGGTGTGGAGAAGAAGCTTGAGATCCCCGTGCCACCACTATCGAAGGGACAAGATATGGGTGGGAGCAGTGACCAGGGCGTGCGACTGGCGAAGAATCTCAAGGATGCGATAGCCACGTTCACGAGGCCCGATAGTGTGGCGCGGGAGGTATTCGGGGATTCGTTCGTGGAGCACTTTGGCGGAACGAGGGAGCACGAGGTTAGGCTTTGGGAGGAGGCTGTTACAGATTGGTAAGTTTTCTTCCTTCCCCATGCATAAGCTTCCGATGCGTGTATCTTTTCCTCCGTGATTTCATGCAGCTAACTGATTCGTTCTCCAGGGAGGTGCGACGATACATCGAGACTGTTTGAGTTTTGTTTCCATAGTGTATATAAATCGAAGCGCTGGGCGCAGCAGATAATCCATCATGATCTCATAGGACCGATGTCATGCAGATGGCCACACGCACGTACGTCTAGAACCGGCCATAGCTTGTCCCATACATAGCATAGCTGCGTAGATCATCGATAAGATCACATGCCATCACATGTACAATTGGCGGAAGAGCACTCATCACAAGCCGGGACAATTCGGCCAGAGCAGACGATAACCACCGAGCATGACAGGCCTGGCGTCCCGAATCCAGCCCTGTCACAACCTCTCTTCAGGACAAGGGAATAACCCTGAGCCGCGGCTGATTGGATCTCGGGTATGCGGGGGAGAAAAGTAGAGGCGTTGTGGCCAGCGCCTCCGCCAGTGATACTGGGGGTACTTTCGGGTGGATTAGGAGAAGGACCAAGGAAGGGCAAAGCGAAACTCTGTTGGTGGTGATGATCGATGCGGCGTGTCTGTCATCCCAAGCACTCCGTTCGACCCCGTCAGATTCGTGAAAGAAAATCTATAAGGACCCCCGAATTCCCGGACGAGAGAGCTCCCCCTGGCGGCGGATCCGCCGAGGAAGACTATTCGGGCTGCGGCGCATCCCGAGGATTTCGGGGCAGAGGGAGATCGGGGAGAGGGATAGGCGGATAGGACAGGCTAGGCTGGATTCACGGGAAAGTGGCGATGTCGGCCGAGAGGATGTAATGTGATTGGATGAGAGTTGTAGAAAGAGTTGAAGTTGTGGAGAAATCAACGGTGGAACGCAGCTGCGACTGGTTTGTCCGTGGGAAAGTCACGTGGATATCAGAAGTGTGGGGAAGCAGTCGAGTACAATCAACTGCGGAATTGAGTGAATTGAGTAGCAATTACTCGATTCTATTGGATGTGAGTATTCTTCGGTGCTCTCTAGTCCATTTTAGTCCCCTTTTATCACTCAATATCAGTCAATTCAATATCCGAAGACCGGCAATTACTCGATCGACCGGCTAAGCCCTTCTAAAGTGCAGCTCTCTGATTGGTCCGCCAGACAGCCGCGGCTCACGGATCCTGACGTAGACTCCTCGGATGAATGGTACTCTCTGACTGACTTGAGAGTATTCCGTACCGGTCTTAAAATATGATAAGTATATATATATAATACTGCTTCGTGCTCAAATGAGATCTTCTCATTTCTCTTCCTCATCGACTAAGCTTGTGTTGCGTTGGATGGTCCTATAACACCCTTCATCCATTTTATATCCGTCCCACCTCCCCCAACTAGTATATACTTCCACCTCCCAACCTCCCACACACACCACCGTCACCATGGCTCAATCCGCCGACGCTCACCTCCAGGGTGTTACCATCCTCGGTAGCATCCCCAACGATGCCCGCAAGATTCTTACCAAGGACGCTTGTGCCTTCCTCGCCATTCTCCACCGCACCTTCAACCCTACCCGCAAGGCTCTCCTCCAGCGCCGTATTGACCGCCAGGCTGCCCTCGATAACGGCCAGCTCCTCGACTTCCTCCCCGAGACCAGACACATCCGTGAGAATGACGCCTGGAAGGGTGCTGCCCCGGCCCCCGGTCTGGTCGACCGCCGTGTCGAGATCACCGGTCCCACCGACCGCAAGATGGTTGTCAACGCCCTCAACTCTGATGTCTGGACCTACATGGCCGATTTCGAGGACTCCTCCGCTCCTACCTGGGAGAACATGATCAACGGCCAGGTCAACCTGTACGATGCCATTCGCCGCCAGGTCGACTTCAAGCAAGGTGGCAAGGACTACAAGCTCCGCACCGACCGCACTCTCCCTACCCTCATCGCCCGTGCTCGCGGTTGGCACCTGGAGGAGAAGCACTTTACTGTTGACGGCGAAGCCATGTCCGGCTCTCTCTTCGACTTCGGTCTCTACTTCTTCCACAACGCCAAGGAGCTCGTTGCCCGTGGCGCTGGCCCATACTTCTACCTCCCCAAGATGGAGTCCCACCTTGAGGCCCGTCTCTGGAACGACGCCTTCAACCTGGCCCAGGACTACATTGGTCTGCCCCGCGGTACCATCCGTGGCACTGTCCTAATCGAGACCATCACCGCCGCTTTCGAGATGGATGAGATCATCTACGAGCTCCGCGACCACTCCTCCGGCCTGAACTGCGGCCGTTGGGATTACATCTTCTCCTTCATCAAGAAGTTCCGCAACCACCCCAACTTCGTCCTCCCCGACCGCTCCGATGTCACAATGACCGTTCCTTTCATGGACGCCTACGTAAAACTCCTCGTCAAGACCTGCCACCGTCGCGGTGTCCACGCTATGGGTGGCATGGCCGCTCAAATCCCCATCAAGAACGACCCGGCCGCCAACGACAAGGCCATGGAGTCCGTTCGCGCCGATAAGCTCCGTGAGGTTCGCGCCGGCCACGACGGAACCTGGGTTGCCCACCCGGCTCTCGCTGCCATTGCCTCGGACGTCTTCAACAAGCACATGCCCACCCCCAACCAACTCTTCGTCCGTCGCGAGGATGTTCACATCACCGCCAACGACCTTCTCAACACCAACGTCCCCGGAAAGATCACCGAGGACGGCATCCGCAAGAACCTGAACATCGGTCTGAGCTACATGGAGGGCTGGCTCCGTGGTGTCGGTTGTGTCCCCATCAACTTCCTGATGGAGGACGCTGCCACCGCTGAAGTCTCCCGCTCCCAGCTTTGGCAGTGGGTTCGTCACAACGTCTCTACTGCCGAGGGCAAGAAGGTCGACAAGGCCTACTCTCTCCGTCTGCTCCAGGAGCAGGCTGATGCCCTGTCCGCGAAGGGTCCTAAGGGTAACAAGTACCAGCTTGCGGCGCGCTATTTCGCCGGCCAGGTCACCGGTGAGGATTATGCGGATTTCCTGACCAGTCTCCTGTACAACGAGATTTCCTCTGCTGGACAGGCTGCCAAGCTCTAAGCTGGTTGCTAGTGGATGCTCCGTGTGATGATCATGAATACCCTTTCCTTTGTTGTTTTTTCCCTTTTGAAACGAAACATCTGCGTTGTGGACTGTTTATATTTTAGCATCGTTGTATAACAATATATTTATTCTTCAGTCTTTTCTCTATCTCTATATCTCTCATACACACTCCGTAGACTCCTGTAGAACGCATTTCTTTTCCGATGATGCCCCGCAAATTTCGGAATGACGTCAATTGAGTTGGGCCGAGGTCAAAAAGCTTAACCGATTCAATTGGCCGTGCATTCCGATGGGCTGGGCTAAATTTTGGAATCACATTGATTCAAACTCGGCCATGAATTAGGTAGTAGAACCAAATAGCACAGTAGCATACTAGATCCCGCAATGTTGATTTTCGCGAGTGCTTGCAGCCTGACGCTGAGCTTATACACGATAGCCAACTATACCAAGAGAATTACTAAAGGTATATAGCAGACAAAAATGAATGAATACTCGAGCAAGATACGACTGTATTTATTGGATAGAACGTGTTCTATTCACCGTCTCCGAGGCTAATATTTCTGGTTCAACCAAACGAACCAAACCAAAAACGGAATTGAGCGTAGGCAAACAACAGAAATACGAGAGGAAATTGAACGAATCATTACATTCAATAACACTATCCAGACACAGGTGATATAAGCTCAGAAGGTGAGAGTGGGATGATATGCGAATGTCTAGAAATATCTAGGAGGGAGTAAGGCAGCAAGGCAGCAACGGAGGAAGGAGATAAAGATGCCTGAGGCATCTAGATCTCAACAACATGTGTTCGTGCTGAATCTAAGTCTATCGATGAAATGCCCAGGTGGTCTTGTTGGATTCACCGGGAATCCTTGCGACCTGGGGTCTGATCAAACATTCACGATATTTGGTCTGCATGTACCTCTTTCCCTATGACTAACTGCTAGTAGCTACCCTCTTTTCTTCCAAGACAGCTTGCCACCAGGGCAATACGATTTATGTATGTTGTTACGCGATGGTAGAATAACTGAAAGTGGACCGGGAATATGAAATTTGAACTCAGACCTATGAAACTATCTCAAACTTTCATGCAAGTATCTTCAGTGTGAATGGTGGTCTGAAAAGACACCCTGCTCTGCACACGCCTTTCGACACTCCTCTAAGATCCTTGCCTGCTTGGCAACATGCCCGAGTCGACTGATAACTTCCTTATTGCCATCAAAGAAGGTGAAGACTGCATAAGGAATATTCACATCCTCACAAAATTCCTTGACAAATTCTTGCGTCTTGCGCAAGTTGTGGCGGGGAATGCGGGGATATAAATGGTGGATGGCCTGGAACTGGAGGCCTCCATGAACAAAGTCCAGCCAGGGTGGGCAGTCCACGTCCATGGTGGTGCGAAGCATCTTCTGAGGAAATGACTCGCGGGGACCGAGGTCGGCAGTTGACATTGCGTAGTGGGAGAGAGTAATCTGCACATGCAGCGGTGCAGTAACCATATGAGAAATCAGAACGAAAGCAATTCGACTCCACCAGGAAGGAATGCTGAGATAGACAACTCCGTAACCGAACCATGTCCAGAAAAAAGCCTGACCAGATAACTCAAACCAACGGTGCCACCAGCCTGCACCGTGTCGAGGGCCACGGCCGACAATGATATGCTCCCAGCTCAAGAAGTAGAGGTTGAAACGGCCAAATAGAAGAATCGGGTAATAAAGATAGTGCTGATACTTGACGACCGCCTTCGACACCGCATCATATTCCATGATTCGATCATAGTATGTGCTGCGGAGATTGCCAAAGAAGCGATGCGATAGAGCGAAAAATGGCATCAGTTCAATATCGGGATCGTGCTCTGGGGCATTGGTCATAATGTGGTGGACATTGTGACTTCGTTTCCACCAGCCGAGACTAAGCCCCCCCAGGTGGTTTGCAATAATCATGCCGATGGTAGTATCGATTTGAAAGTCGTGAGTGATACCCATGTGGCCAGCATCATGGGCGGAGAAGACTAGTTGATGCCAAAAGCATCCCAAGAACAAACCAGATAGGCAAAACCAAGACCGGTTCAAGAAGAAAAGGAAGAGACCGAAAAGTAGACTGTATCGGCATATCTCGATCGCGTACGCGGAATAGTTGCAATTGTACAGTCCAGCTGCACGAATACGCTCGTTGAGTTGGCGGTATTTTTGCGTGATGTTTTCTTGGTGCTCGGGGGTGATCGGAGGATACTTGGATGTATCTAGCTGAATCTCTTCCTGTGTTCGGGCGTCCATAGTATATCCTCCTTTGGTTTCTTTTGTCGGGGTAGTGGTGCTGGCTACTGATGAGATAGTAGATACCGAACGCCTGCGTCTTAAACCGGCATCCGCTGCTTCAAAAAGTGGCGATGGGGGCGGCGAAGATTCCTCACTTGAGAGCTCAGTCTCTGAACTCGAAGAGGACATTCTTTCCTCCAATTCACTATATAGGCGGAAAGTGCCGCCTTGGATGGGAGGAAGAAAGTTGGTCCACCTTCCCTCGATGGTACCGATTTGGAATTTCTTCATCTGCGAAAGTGCTTCCTGTGAATGCAGTCTTTGAGAGTTTTTGTCAGTAAATTGGCAACTGATATGACAAACCAAGTACTTACGCGTTCACTTCGTCTGTCGCATCTCTGCCTAACATGTGCTTGATGGCTAGGGGGCCGCCAGGGTGGAATTTCATCCAACAATCCAATTGAAGGACTTTACCGTCAAGGATGATGATATGCTTGTTTTCAGCAATCATGCCCTCAATCTGCCGCCTCGAAAGGACATTTTCCCTGGCCCCAGCCCGGGCAGTCGTCTTGCTCATTTGAGATGGTTGCTAAAGTCTGTAGAGTCACCAAGAAGGATAATATCGAAGATGATTTCAGGGCAAAATATTGGGGGATAATGGTTTTGAGAAGTAGAGAATAAGAAGAAGTTGAAAAAGGGCCAACTATGCGAATAGACACTTTTACTTTGCTACCTAGAACTTACTGCTAGTCCCACAGAAAAAGACCACTCCGTACTCCGTACTCCGTATTTCTCGCAACCTAATACTCGCAACGTAAGGGGGGGCGGTGCAGTGGATCGCTACGACGGGAATTGTGGACATGGAGAGCCCTGTGGAGGGAGGATTCTGGTACAGAAGGAATGGTGGAAACGCGTGTGCAACGTGCCACCAGTGGCGTCTCTTGGCCATGGAGGTCACAGCGTGGGGAGGCCAATACGTCCGTAGCGGGTTGACAAGATAAATATGGCACGCGAAGTGGGCCTACCTTATACGCGTCTAGTATTCCGTGAATCCTCATTTGCTGAGGTTGATCAAGCTTAAACTCTGAGACTTTGCCCCTTTTTTAAAATTAAAAGTACCCGATCGCCAAAACTAGCCCCAGTTTTGCCATGTGGTCCAGGTGTCCAGGTGGCTCCTAATGACAGGTGTCATTGGGGTTCCAGAAGATAGAAGTCACTGGCGAGAAGTCTTCGTACCTCATATTGATAGTTATTGGACGTTGATGACAGGGACGCAACAGTGGCAACCCCCTGGCAAAATCCTGGGACACATTTTTAATATCTTTGGTACGAAGTGCGAGGGTCCACTTTAAACTAACTCGCAGTCACTGAACCGTTGGAGAGACCCTAAGAGGCGACTAGATCCGCGATTCTGTGTCTCTATCTAGGTTGTTGCCACTCATGCCCCACATCTAGGCGGCGGAGTTCTCCTATATACGTGCAACTCCAGTGATACCCCAACTTGAACCCAGGATGAAGACTGCCACTTTGGTCATTTTCTGGGGCTACTCGTATATTTTGGTTGCGTTCCTGGCCGGCCACGTAAGGACTCCCCTGAAGCGTCACCTGACACACCATGATGCAGATAGCACGGCACTTTGATGAATCCTTTTGGTCGAAGTAAAAAATTCAGAGACAACCCACTAGATTGCGCCGCTAGAGGATAGGATCGAGAGCGCTAGTTCCAGTGGTCGTATTCGTATTCCTTGGCGAGTGAATGGAAGAAGAGAAGGTCTCATCCCTATCGCATGGGGGTGAATGAGATAGCCTACCAGTGGATTCCATTTTGGGGGTCGCTTAACCCTGCCAGTGGCCCGTGTTCTATCCATTTCGTTTAAACTTGCCATCAATTCGTTCGTTTTATGAGTATGCTGAGTGCGAAAGCCCAGATTTTCACCGGTTATCATTTTACTGTCAATTTATAACACTTTAGTTTTGGTGAATTTTGTAGAGGCCTTGCAGGAACTCAAGACGAAATGGTCAACAATCATGTATGGTAAATAAACAGGAGAAGTGAGAGAAGCAAAAATGAGGTCGTCGACGGTGGCTCACAAGAACGCACGGTGTCGTGACTCGTAACCAAAAGTGGTTAGTGGGGGGCAAACGCCCCTGAGAAACCCGGAGAAAGATTATTCCATAGTTTTATGTGGTAATTGCTCATACAAATTGGGGTAGAGCTATAGCCACTTCATTCTTTTGTCAATGCCACCGGATTTTCATGATCTCAGCTCCGCCACAACACCTTATCCACCCAACTTAATTTTGGATAGAATCACCAAAGAATTACGAAAACGAATAAGAGTAAGAATAGGCAACCGTTGTATAGATTGTAGTGTGGGTTCTAGACGGCAATAGTAGTCTGTTGGCTTTGTACTCCGTTGTCAAAGTGTTTTGTGGCCCGTTTTGGACTAAGCAAGCATCGACGAACAGCAACTCGGCTCAGAAGACCCTCCCGAGATCGACGACTAAATACAAAGATCAACACGTCTCAGAATGTTCCACGGCCATCCTTATCTAAAAGCGGCACATAGGCCCCCTGAAACTCCTGAGCTGGGCCACGTGCATGAGACTGGCCAGGAGAAACATAAAGTGAGGGATTTCCTCCATGACCCTGACGCGCGTAGTATCCAGTATCTCCTGATCTAGAGTTTGTACTAGTAGTATGCGAGTGCAATTCCACCTGCGAATACTCACCCGCACGTTCAATAGCACCATCCTTCCTCAATTCAGCCGCCATTCCAAAAGCGAACGCTGTGGCGCGCAGTATCTCCATCGGATTGAATAGTCCGATCCAGGCATTGACGCCTAAAAACCCACCATGATAGGGATGATAAGAATCGACGCTGAGATAGGGCGAGACACTATATGCGTATGGGAAGAAGAGGGCAAAGGGGACCATTTGGAGACAAATTATTAGATTCGGTATTCCGATGTTCACGTCTGCGTAGCTTAGTTTTGCAGTCGGGTTGAGAGTGTTTGCTGTGCGAAGGATTGCGAATATTATCTAAATGGCGGGCGGGGGAGTTAGTTTAATTTGAATTTGTTTGTTTGTCGAGTTTTTCATGACTTTTTCTCGGCTGAAGAGATAGACAGACGAGGCTTGTCCTGACTCACTCTTTCTAGGAAGGATAGTCCGACAATGAGCTTGAAGGCCAAGAGTTTACTGAGCGGCTTGTGTCCACTTAGACATTGGCTTAGTCCTCGGTAGAAGTTGAGCACTGACATCACAGCGAACGCGACGGAAATGATGGAGATGATGGTTAACTTTTATAAGATTGGAGATTAGCGATCAGGGAATCTCTGGAGGAGGAACAGGGAAAGCTTCCAAGTTAGCTTACCCAAAGATGCGCAAAATATGGTTCGTTGCTCTCTAAGCAGTAGATTCCCGCTGCTTGGGTGATATCTGTTGTAATCGCGACGCCAAGAGCGACGATTGGGTATTGGAAGATAGCGATCCATTGTTTCTATCAGAAGGGAGTAAGTGTAAGTGCCGTGTCTAGAAGATATGCGAAGTGAACTTTGTTGATTGACAGGGAATGAACACATACACGGAACCATTCTAGTCCAGTTATATGCGATTTTCCCTTTTTCTGCGGCGCTTCAAAGGCCACGAAGAAGATATCTATCTCTGTAGCTGAATCTTTTGAAATAAATTCGCACAAAAGTAGAAAGAAGGAGCCTAGCGCGACTGCCTGGAAGACTTCGAGCCAGGGTGCTAAGAATGTATAGGCGCGCGGGAAACATATGGAGAGGAATGATGTGACTGTGTATAGCGGCAGGAGAATGCATATTTTCATGATTCTGGGTATGTCATCAGAAGGTGTTTATTTTGCTTGGAGGACAAGAGAAAATGTTCAAGATTTCTTACTTGATTTGTTCCCTGGGCTTGCTCAGGTGAATCGCATGCCAGAACATTAGACTGAACATGACGAGCACGACGAGGGCTGTGCAAGCGCCCGAAATTATCATGTTGAGATGGTAGAAATAGATATTATTTCCGACAGATGGTTCAGAGGCCACTATATATGGTAGATATCTGAGTTGATTGCTTTTGATATGGCAAAGCTGGAAAGCAGTGAGACTTCAAGTTACCTATAGCAAATGTATCGGGCATCGGACAGGTGTGGTTACTGCTGCCATGGTTGCTAAAGAAACCCATTGTGATGGTGATAGGCCTAGCGTAGCAATTTGCTAGATGAAAAGAAAAAGGATTTAAAAGGGATTCTGAAACCTATATCTTCAAAGGTCTAAGGTATCGAGAAAATTTCAGGAAAATACTAGTAATATTGGGACATAATGGTTTTTAAATCTTTCCGATCGGGATTTTATGAGGATCTACAGGATAAATTTTTGAAATGAGATAGCTCTACACTGCGCCACGAATTACAGCTCAGCTGAAGTAGACATAAGTATTCAAGTGAGAGAAAACAGCTAAAGACTTACTTGGGCGATGCGGGTTGGGGGTGTGCGGATGTAGATCACTACGGAAGAGGGTATAGCCTCGAATCGAATTTCTAGATCGAGTTAGCAGCTATTTACCTTCCACTCAGCTTGTTGTTGTAGATCGCAGATCGGCGAAATTTTGAAATAAGCACAACTAAAAAGGCAAGTTCTTTCGATACGAATCGAGGAGCAAACTTGGCTACGCAATGGACTAAAAATGGTATACTCTTTCGATACTTGGCGAAGCAAGAATGTCCAAATGAATTTAGTAAACAAGGCCCGTTCATATTTGACTAGTAGATCCCAAGTATTTAAAGCGGCCTTGTTAACACATGGGAGACCATACAGTTCACAAATTCAGAATAACGGCCTTCAAGTTGATTATTACTTGAGCTCTTGGTCCCAAGCTAAATTCCGACCGCACCATGCGTTTTGATCATACAATCCTTCTGGGGGCTTTGCTCGCAACGCCTGTAGGTCCTTTACAGCCTAAATTCGCCCAAAAAAAGGTTTGACGCTGACGGCTATATAGCAAGTGATAAATGCGGCAAATATCCCCGCGGTCTCAATCACAAACTCCACTACATCCATGTACCAGCTTAGCACCGACTCCGAATTCGCCTTCGTACTCGAAACTTTTCTCTCTCTAGCCAACGGAGGTGGGGCTGCAACCGGCGAAGTGCTTCGTTCTGCAGCTCGAATTGCCCCCGGCAACTTTGAGAGCTGGTACAAAGAATGGAAGTTCATGGCAGACGCAATAGCTTCCCAAGGCGATGCCGTCAATGCTACGAAATTTCCAATCTCAGCTCAACAAGCATACTTCCGCGCAGCTTCATACTACAGGGCAGCCGATTTCTTCCTGCATGGCAATGCTTCGGATCCACGTATTCTGACTCTGTGGGCCTCTATGCTGAAGCGATATGATGCAGCTGCCAAGCTTCTGCCAAATCCACCCGAGAAAGTCGAGTTACAGGGAACAGGCTTCAAGATTCCTGTATACTTCTACCAGGCACCTCAATCATCCGGGGTCAATCAATCACAGAAGATACCGACTCTAATTATTGGTAACGGCTATGATGGGGCGCAACAAGATCTCTACCACCAGTTCGGACAGCAGGTCCTGAGTCGGGGTTGGAATTTCGTCACTTACGAAGGTCCCGGTCAGGCGACCGTTCGCCGAGAACAAAACATTGGCTTTATTCCTCAGTGGTGGGAATCCGTTACACCGGTCATTGACTGGCTTCGTGAAAGAGACGATGTCGATATTGATCGCATTGCTTTGCAAGGTGTTTCCTTTTGGGGGGCAACTTGCACCACTCGCTGCCACTCAGGAGCACAGAATTGCCGCACTGATCGCCCTCGACGGCCTTCTTAGCCTGAAAAATGCCACCCTGAAGAAGTTTCCCGAGCCACTTGTTAAACTATATGAGAGTGGGAACAAAAGTAAATTTGACGACGCGATTCTCTCCGCGCTAAACAAGAAAAGCACCACGACCGAGTTCAAATGGGGTGTTGAGCAAGGCACGTGGGCTTTCAACGTCGCCAGCCCTTTTGACTGGATTTACAAGATGGGCGAGATGGATTTATCGCCCGAGATGCTCAAGAATATATCTTGTCCTGTTTTTGTCGCGTCTGGTCAAGACGATAGCCTAGCCCCCGGACAACCTGAGAAGATGGCACGGATATTTGGAAATCAGGCTCATTATCATTCGTTCAAAACTAATGTTGGGGCCGGAGAGCATTGCTCGATTGGTGCTGAGCCTCAGTTGGCAATGACAGAGTTAGATTGGTTGGCCAATGTCTTCGAAAATGTGACCAAGTCGCCCTGATTGCATCGCTGTGGTAGACTGTCCTGGAATATTTGTGGAAGAGACTCGAAGACTAGCGGGGTTCAAGGAAGTCCAGGTTATTCTAATCAAAGATGCTTTTACTGCAGTCATGATGAGGCATTATTAGTCATACTTAAATGAGAACTGTCATGGAACCCATTGAATGTCCAGCTTGTATCGATTGAAATCGGTATATTCTGCTGTAAACCTCTTATTGACACCATTTAAACGTCCCAATTTCATCCGAAAGCGTACCGAATAAGTTCCTTTTGGGCTTGGCAACTGAAATTCAGGACGGGAATGATCGAACAAGGGGTTTCGGGGTCGTCGAGTCTGACTATGCGCCACTGGGTGGCCTCGATTCACCCAACCAAGAAATGGTAACCGAATAACAATATTTCGTATTCTCATTGGCTAACGATTGCCCACATTTCAAAAAGCTTCGCGGTCCTGAAATAACTGGGAAATTTTTTCTGGCCTTTGATTGGGCATCTCATCAGAAGGATCGGCCGCAGAAAAAGTTTCGAGCCTCCTCCCCAAACCCATTCGGGCGGTCTGCCCCAACTCAGCCTGGCCTCAGCCTCGACCATCTCACTCAGCTGTGTGAACCCCAGAGCCGCGACCGCGACATATGACAAAGGGGCGAGAACACAGATTTCACGAACGGCCTCCTTCTTATCATTTGTCTCTCCAGCCTAAGAGGTCAAGATAAAGCGAGATCTCGGTTTACGAGATGGTCAACACGGGCCGCCCCAGCAGGGACTGCGAAGGATGTCGGCAACGGCGAGTGAAAGTGAGTGCAACACTGATATTCAGAAAAGGAGAGTGTTTAGAATTGACTAAGTTTGCTCAGTGCGACATTCGCCGCCCAGTATGCTTCAGATGTGAAAGAATAGGACGGGCGTGTGAATATCGAAACCTAGATGACCTCAAAATCACCTTTCGTATATCAACTCCGAACTCGTTCACCAAGGTCAAATCTGACAAGCCACGGCGTTCCTTTAAATCTGATCCAGAAAACCAATTTAAATCTTCAAATGCATCCACTTTCCAGTCCTCAACTTCACCATCTCCGACCCACCAAATTATCGAAGCCTGGGACGTGCACATTATGCCTTTGATCGTTTATCAATTCTCGTTTCCATCTCCCGGGGGAGGACGCATATATGGAGCATTGGAATGTTTCTCATATCTTCTTGGCACGTTAAGAGATGGATCAACCTTGCAGCTGGCCTGCAACGCGGTTGGTCACGCATATCTTGCCAATAAATCCCCTTCTCGGTCCCTGACAGCGACCCACCGCAGAGTATATGGGGATGCCTTGCAAGTCTTGCAGCGAGCATTGAATGACCCCGATGTAAGGAACCAAGATGATACACTTTTGTCTGTTTGGATGTTATGCTTTTATGAGGTAAAAAAGGAGAATCCACATTCAGGTCGAAATATTTGCTGAGAGTGTCCTCAAGTTGGTCCTAGGCACCCCTAACAGCTCCGATGGGCCAGTCAACTGGGACATTCACAGCAGAGCATTGGCCGCCCTTCTACGCTCCCGCGGCCGGAAACAGTTCAAGACCAAGACAGGTCGCCAACTCTTCCAACTCGCGTATAACTACATTGTACGAATGCTGGTACAAACAGAGACCGTGACAGAAGATGGAGCTAACTTTGGCCTTTTTGACAGCAAATCCAGTCTTTCCAACCCGAAATAGGACCACCCCCGGAGGCGGAAGAGTGGCTACAAATTGTTCAATCAGAGCTTGATGCGAATGATTTCATATACTTAAAATCGTTCTGTTATGGCAACGAGGCCTCTCGCATCTGCAAGGACGCAAAACTTTTCTTTGAACTGGCATGTTCTACAGAGGAGAAGCTTACTGCGATAGAGAATGCATTTCAATCCTACTATGACATCAAGACATCGATACACAGTGCCTCGGAAGCCCTTGTCGGTTCCCATTCCTCGGACACAACCACAATTCTCGCAACAAAGAAACGGAGCATCATCCCGCTTCTGGGCATTCAAAATCACCTCGACGCCTGTATGCTTCGAACGGAAACGATAATCCTGGACCTTGCCATTTCGACAGCCAGTCAGCCAGACATTTCCAACGAAGCAACCACACGAGTAGCTGAGATACAGCTGATCTGTGAGGAAGAATCGCAATTTTCTATCGGCAAGATAGTTGCGAGACTGCCCTGTCTCTTGCCGCCAGAGCACTGGGCGATTATTCCTTCTTGGGCAGATACACTTAGGCTACTGTGGCCCTTGAGATGCATATTAAGTGCACCTACCGCCCAAGAGGCGCACAGAGGAATCGCGCAATCGGCTTTATGGAGAATTGCTTATGAGATTGGTATCATGCAAGCAGTAGGGTCCTTTTTCTAGAATGCCAATACGATTGAAATCTGAGCAGTGTAAGGATTCAAATTGAGTTGAGAGGTTTGACTTATCCATAATATTGTTGAATTCGACTGTCGAACGAAAATAATCAACTCAATCCAGCGCTCTCATCAAGATGTCAACAGAGGTCTTCGATTCCATAGAATACCCATCCACAAAACGCTCTCCAAAGTCCCTCAGAAAGTTGTCATATGTTGTCTCAGGTTTGTGCTTGCATAACGCACAAAGAAGCTTCTTCACCGAGTCCTTGAAATCGAGCAGTGGCAGCTCTTTGACAATAGCACTATGCTCCTCTTTTGTGATCAGACCACCAGGTAGACCGGAGCCCAAAAAGTCTCCAGTAATCCCCATATGACAGAGAGCAACTTCCATCTCCTTATGCTGGGCAATACTGGGAGTGGTGTGCAGTGCAATGCTGTCCCAAACCATCTGCAGCTGTCGCTGGTCGAATTCTGGCACTTCGCGCTTCAAGTATTCACGGGCGGCATTCGCACTATCAACTTCAAAGCGTTTGTCATTTGTTGCATAGACACTAGTACAATCCCACGCCAGATCATGAAGGATGGCTGACACAGCGTGGACTTCGAAGTCTACACTTTCATATACTGGGATTTTCGAAGCGATTAAGGCGCCAAAGATCCAAGAGCGATAGATATGATGAAATGACATCGGATCATGATGGGCCCGGGCGAATTCCAATGCTGCCCGTACAATCGGAGTGTCAATAAGAGTGACGCCGGCGAAAACACGAGTTTCTTGTGTAGTTGTCATTTTGCTTGTACTCAAGTTCAAGTTGATTTGGTGTCCAGGTGGTATTCGAATTGGCGGTTTCAAGGTTGGTTTGTTGAAACTTGAGCATTATCTGCGGATAGAACCTCCTATTTATATACTACGGCCATCAGCAAATCTCTTATTCCTTCACCGTGCAACAAGTCAATTTGTTTTTCTTTCCATCTGCACATATAAATGCTAGTGGCTGCTTACTGAGGCTTATGAGCCAACAAAATGTGAGCTTTCATTGCCGGCGGTCCGGTATACCGCAAATGGTTAGCGCAATGGACGATATCGCCCCGCCCCGTCAAAGACTCGCCTTGTGTGTCTTCCTTTCTACAAACCCCTCTCAGAAATGAGGTTGTGATTTTAGGTCACACGTCATATCCACAGGAAAGGTCACATCCTTATCATGATTGTGTCTCGGCCTTGCCGTACTTGTCGTTTACGGAAGAAAGCTGTGGGTCTTTCTTTTCCCAGTGAGCAACAGCTGGGTACTTACGATGTGGACAGTGCGATAAAACCCGACCGAAATGCAAAGCTTGCTCTAATTCTGGGCGCCAATGCGAAGGATATGAATCCCATGTCAAGGGCGTATTCGTCAATCTCGATACGGGAAGCATCAATACGCCCATGAAGACCCTGATCACAAAAGCCACCCTGTCAGCCCGGCAAGTGTCAACCAGCAATAGTGAATCAAAACGCAAATTCGATCATAATTGTAGTGATGAAATCTCCATACTTTCCACTCACCTTCTTGACCTTTCACCCGGGGAATTTCAAGATCACTTCGCTACATTATGGTCGCATTTCCAAAAAGAATACGCACGAACACCTTCCGATTGGTCTATCCAAGTATCAGGACTAGCCCTCCACCACAAAGCCCTGGATTTAGCCCTCATTTCATTAGCAACAATGCGATTATCGGTCTGCGGTCAAAGCGATACCTATCGAATCTTCAGTCTAACCGCATACAACGGCGGCCTTAAGATTTTTCAACGGCTTCTGCAAGAGAATGGACAGGAATCGAAAGGGCTTCTGGTAGTTATTTCATTGATCTTCACCCTTTTTGAAGCTGCCCAGCTGGAGCCCACTCAGGTATACGATGGGTGGGAGGGTCATCTCAAAGGCGCTCTGTTTCTTATGCAACGGCAAGGCCCTTCCGCATTTCAAACTGGTGGCCTTCATGCGGCATTCATAAAGCTTCGGGAGATGGCGGTGGGTGTAAAAATGATTTTTTAAAAAGGCACACAGTGATATCTGACAGCTTATGTAGATGTTATTCGCATTTTCGACAAAAAGCCGATCGTTCCTCGCGCAACATGACTGGATAGAAATTCCTTGGGCGAGGATGGAGAAGTCTTCGCGGGATCGCTTATATGATATCGCTACCGAGATGACTATTATCAACTCAAGAATGGACGGAAATGAACTGGATATTATCCAAAGATGTCAAAACCTGTTTGATAGACTAGTTGCTTGGCGCCAAAAATGGCTAGAAGACGACCATCCGGGGTTGCTGATTTCCTGTCAAGGAGACCATGAGGAACCATGTGGCTGCTTTCCGCCGCGGAGCATTTCTTCACTTTGCGACGAATTTTCATATATGACTGCCGAATACGTGGCCTTTCTGTTAATGGTTACGCATATTGCCATCACCGCAGCTAAGAACTCGAAAATCGGCCCGGGAGACGAAAACCATACGGCTGCAGGTTATCCATACATCGATACCCATCGAAGGCGTGCATCTAGGCTACGAATGAGTTTGCAGAAAATTCTAACCCTGCCTTGCTTTGGTCAAGCTCTTTCAGGTACTCCGGGTATCACTGAAGGCCGCTGTCGCTCATTATTCCCGACATGGGTACTCTCGCAGGATCCCGATGGGCAGGGCTCGGATAATGTTGATTGGTGGTCCGACTTGAGTGGTCGAGTCAATTATGGGATGAAATGTTGCCGACACAATTAATTTAAATATGCAGAGGTCTCAAGTATCCTAATTGCCGCAAGACGTATTTTTCTAGACAACAAAGTAACAATGCAATGGCTCGTGTTGCACATACTTCGAGCCACCAGCTACGAACTTTGCAAAATCCAGTCAAAGGCCGTGAAAATAACACTAATCACGATTGGCATCTGATATAGTCAACATATCGTTAGTCACCTCGGTATGGTCCGAGTAATGTATATCATTTAATCTTCGGATGTGGGTCGGTAAATCAGGGAAGTTCCCACGGTTCCCCAGTTATTCCCCGCAAATTGCCTGATTGGCGGAAGCTCTGCTCCATCCCGTGAACATCGAAATTGTGTCACGATGACGATGTGGTCATGATTCATCTTCCAACAATATTCAAGATTCTCAGAATGGTAGTCGTCACTATTGTAGTATAGCTCCTTGTTATTTCTGTGGCGTTCGCAATTCACTCGAGTATAGATACAAAGGTACATAGGACCCGGATCCAAAACTTGCGAACAACGAAATTAAATTTTTAAGTTCTGCAATTTCTATACTTTCACCAAGTCCATACAATTCTGGTTAACAGGGCTCAAAATGCTTGAGCATTCTACAAGACGCGCTATGCGTGTAGTCGGGCGCCCCGTGCGCTTCCAACCTCGGACTCGCGTTCTAAATCGTCGCTTCCAATCAACCAATTCCGGTTCTGCCCCATCTGGTGGTAACTCGGCTCTAGTCGGTGGTATAGCAGGTGGTGCTTTCGCTTTTACGGCTGGGTACGCATGGTACTACTTCTCCGGCGCGAAGACACTCATCGATTCGAACACGCAAGCGAAGCAATACATCCAGCAAGCCAAACAAAAGTTTTCAGAGGCCGCGCCCGAGCCGAATGAGGCTTACTCATGGTTGAAAAAGACTGTCAATCGATACGCCGTCTTTATTCCCGGTGCCCGCGAATACGTCGATACTGCCTTCAAGGATCTCGAGACAATCAGAGATAAACACGGGAAGGAATTCGACGAGGTGGTCAAAGATGCATACAACGAGCTGAAGGACCTTTCCAACGACAACGGGTTCAATACAGACACGGCATTTCAGGCATTTTATATCTTGCAGAAGCATATGAATCGCCTGCTTGACCTGGCTGGTGATGCTGGCGAGGAAATCTTGAATAACCACCCTCAGGTCAAGGAAAAGGTCGGCGGTAGCATTGATCAGCTCAAGGAAATGGGCGAATCATACGGGCCGCAGGCGAAGGAAGAGGTGAACAAGATCTGGAGCCAGATATCCGATATCATGAAGCGCGGCGCAAGTCTAGATACTGCTGCTGAGATCAAGAAATTGATCGATGAGAAGAGAGAGAAGCTGCAGAAGCTTGGTGAGGAAGCTTGGCAGAAGGGGCTCGACGAGTCCCGAAAATACCTCGAGAAGAACGACAAATTGAAGAAGTTGGTCGACGAGAACGCCGAAACCCTCAAAAAGGGCAATTTCCAAGATCTTTGGGGACTTCTCAAGGAGAGCGCGTCTTCTGGTAAGACTGAGGATGTGGAGAATTTCATCAAGGAGAAGGTCGACCAGGCGAAGCAAGGGGGTGGTGGCATTGACAAGATGGAAAAATGGCTGAAGGCCGTACCGGGCGGGTCCAACATTCTTCAGCAATTACAAACCCTTCAAAACGCTGCAGACAAGAAGGGTAATGAGGCAGAGGGCGTCCTCAAGGAGACATTTGAGGAAATCCAGGATGTACTGAAGAAGAGAAAGGAGCAGGTTGAGAAGATTACCAAGGAGGCAAACTCGGAATCTTCATAGCTTTTCTTATAGAATCAAGCGATTGTATCAAATAACAGTATAACTTACAAATAAGGCCAAGCCCACATGAAAAATACCTGGTCAGATCTTTGATTATTTGACAGTGAGCTGTTCGAAAATATCCATTGTCAAAGTACCATTTTTGTGACCCTCTCGGCCCTTCGAGACCGACTGGAATTGCAAGCTAAAAACTTCAGACCTAGCCTAGTCCTGCAAGAAAGTTGGTTGGCTGTTTACTTTCAAGCCACGATCTACATACACTCGCATGTCAGTGGAGGCCCGGAACCTCATCCGTGAATGGCCATCGACTAAGTACGTGGTTTCAATTCACCACCTGATAATTGTAATGTATCACATTCAAGTCCAATGAAAGTCACAAATTTGTCTTTTGTGGCTGTTACAGTCAAGGTTCCCTTAAGTCGACGTCATAATGAATTCACCCAGCGAATCAAAGATGCTCGTAGCTGGAGTTTCAGTTGAGTGTTAAATTTGCAAACGAGATCACAGGGGGTGGTGTTTGCTATTTATTAAAACTGCCATTTCCCCACGCTCTCCGGGGTAATGGCCTTTTCAACCTTCTAATTTCCCACTTCAACATGGATTCCCGACCTCATAATCAAGAAGCAGCGTCAGCTGGCAGAGTTCCGACCCTGAGCACGACCAGGTCTGTACCGCGATCGTCCTCTTATTCTGGCCCGGTCCACGAGGATTCCGCAAAAGCTAGTCAAGCCACAAAAGGGCAAGATCAAAGCTACCAGCAGCAAATCAAAGCGGCTTCTACTGCACTACTGAACGACGAAAGAGTTGGAGCCGGATCCAAAGCTGGAAGGTCACTCCAGAACGTGCTTATGGATACTGAGCACCGTCTCAGGGACCAGCGAAGAGAATCATTACACAAACGGGAAAATAAGTGAGAATCTCCACTTTTCAATCTTTGGCATCTCGATTTTTCCCCAGTTATCTAGCCACAGAGTCCCCGCAACAATATGTTGAAATTAGCTGAGTGGATGTTAACCCAACCAGAACCGTCGACTGGCTACCGGATCCAACGCGATGAATAAATCTCTGCCGGTCGCTATTGAGATGACGTGGACAGTTGAGCTAGTCTACCAAAATTGGGTCTTTTTGAGCGTTCTTTGATTTGTGTCATACGGTTATCGTTGGAGGGATACGGTGCACGGTCGCATAGCCAAGAATATTCCAAGGTTATCCAGTTTAGCTACCGTGACCACAGGCTGTACTTAATCGCAACGGTCATCGCGACGGTCATCGAGCGTGAGTCTTAGTGTTGCTACCTACTAGTCAACACTCATGAATGGAATGTACTTTTAACTCGTCATTGATCCATTGGCTCCGTACGAGGCCTGTCTATAAGATAATCACAAAAGAATGTATATGTGCAAAGAGGCCAAAACAAATATCGGTATACAATTAATCAAGAGCAGCCCGGTCTTTCAGAAAGGAGATCACCAGGATCCACTTTCACATTTGACTGGGTCTCAGATCCCCGACTAATCATGCTCGGTACCTGAAGTCAAAACTTCAAACCCTCCCGAGCAACCCAACTCAAAGCATTGCTTAGATGTACTCCCAAGTGGGCTGGGTGGTGGTAGTGTTGATGGGGACAGCGAGAGCGTCGAAGCCGAGGCAGTCGTTGATGTTGCCAGTGGGGACGGTGGCGTTCTTCTGAGCAGAGAAGACCTGCCACTTGGGGGCAGCAGGACCGATACGGCGGCGGCTGTAGGGGGTGGCAGTGGCATTGGAAGCAGTAGGGCAAGCAATGAAGCCGGAGCCGTAGCTCCAGGTGCCGAGACCGCCGTTCTTGCCGGGGGTGTACTTGAAGGGACCCTCGGAGGAGCCCTCGGGGATGTAGCCCGAGTGGGGGTGGTGAAGGACAGAGCACCGGAAGCATCGACGTAGATCTCCTGGCCGCCGGGAACAACGACGTCCTATGAATTGTTAGTGGGAGAGCTGCGCTGCGAAGTATGAAAGTGTACATACAAGGTAGTGGGAGCCGGTCAGGATGGTGTCGTTGGTCGACTTGCTGAGAGGGACGCCCTCGGGAATATAGGTCTGACTCTTGCCACCGAGATAGAAGTGGGAGCCGGCAGCAGTCAGAGGCAGGAAGTGGATGGGCGAGCCAGAGCGAGCAGCAGTGACGCCGAAGGAGCCGGTGGAAGCGGATTCCTGGCGGCGGCCGGGCATGGCGGCGACCAGAGGGACGAGAGAAAGTAGTGCGGAGACCTTCATTGTGAACGAAAGTAGTATGATAGTACTGTGTAAAGACTGTCGTGTAGTAGAGAAAAATGGAGAGAGATAAAAGTTCAAGTTGAAGTGGACGGATGGGAGGTTATAAATGTTATCGAAAGTCGACCTCCATAGTACGGATCAAGTTTATATTCCACTTCTCCACTGCATTTTCCCCATGTGCCGTCTAGGGTCTCCATCGGTGGTCCTGGGTCAAGGCGATCGTCGTGAGATTTACTTGACTGCGAAAGTGCCACCGCTGCACAATTGATAGCATGGCTCGGACTCTAAGATTTGCCCTGCAGAAAGGATGCGCTGCGCCCATGGACGCTGCGAAATGATCACATCGGGAACTTCAGTGTTAGGAATAGCGCTGAGTCTAGCAGAAGCATTGGCCAATTGACAGAAAGTCGGGTACAGGTTGTCGGTCCATTCCATTAAGGCAGAAGCTCCATGAGTTCCCCTTTTGGGAGGTCAGTTCAGGGACCGAAGTTTCCTATTGGATGATATCATATTCTGAGACATTCTTTGAAGAAGTCCCCACCATACTTTGCGGTGATCGACAGCCACAATCAGGGACGCTGAACACTATTTTGCGCGAATGAGTTGGCGAGTACCTGATGTTTTCCTTGCGACGGTAAAAATTTCCCGTATTTTGCATGGGCCTCCGGTCATGGATAGATTGAAGACAAATTACATTGTCAAGTTGTCTGGACCCTTGATCATCGTCGATATATCCGATCTCAGAAACTCCTCTGGTCCCAAGCGAAGACCCTGACAGGTGGGTCGTTTCAGCCAAATCAACGTGCCAGCGGAGAAAAGTAGGGATCGACGGATGTCTTAGCAATACGGAGTACCCTGCGCCTTGATCACTTCTCAAGAACGAGAAAAAAAAATCACGATGGTTCTTCCGTCGCTGAGTGCAACAATTGCGAGTGTGGCTTAACGGCGTGGCGACTGGCAGGGCCGGATCCATTGTGGTCCCACTTTGTCTCGGCGTGAGCGGACTTGACATCACAATCAGAATTGGAGCCCGATCAGACAGAGATCAACCAAAGGCTTGCCCCGGCTGGGACGGAGCTCCCCGTATCTCGACCGGTGTCCGTCGAGATCGCAATCGAAGACAATGCAGACCGATGCCGATCCCCCTCTTCATAACCATTCAATATCAGCACATGGGAGAAAGGCTTCTCAGGAACCTTCTCCAGTGGAACCGAGGACATTGCGTTGGTCTAGAAGTTCCAGCGCAATATGTCTGTGACGGGAAACGAGAGATCGACATTGGGAGACGCATCGGGAAATCCGACACCGCCACAACTTTCTTCGGCTCTTCGGTTCTAAAGTCGATGTCTTGCCGCAAAAGTGGATGGACTAGGCAGAGGAAAACCTAGGGATAACTATAGAAGATTCTTATTTTTAGCCCTGAATTGACCCCACGCGTATTGTATGTCATTATTCGAACTTGCCTTGGTCTGTGCAATGATTCAAGTTAGCAATCGCAACAAAATTGATCATGGCGGTGTTGTAGTCGCGCTGGGGGAGGAGAGAAGGAGAACTTGAAGGAGAAGGAGAAAGAGAAAGAGATCCGTACTGCTGTCTAAGCCACTGCAAGCAGGCCCGATTGCTGAGGCCGCTACAACAATGACTTGTTCAGTGAGCCTGCCATGAGCACATGGGCACTTTTGTCTAACATCCTCTTGCTTTCTCAAGTTGCCGGAATTCCTATCATTTTTCACGCCGCTGAATCAATGAATAGTCCATGTTCAACCTTCACCTCGGCAATCCCGAACTAGAAATAACGATGGCAGATGTGGTGGTAGTACATTCATATTCTACAGACTGCCATGCAGTCATCACATCGACATCAAACCCAAGGAATCGAGATAAGTTTAAGATCGCCCGCTGAATATAAACAGAAAAATATTCTATGTGCACCTCCTAGTCTCGTTTCTAGGAAAGAGGACGAGACCCGATACGAAATATCAAAATCAACTAGAACTCAGCCACCAACGGCAAGTCCCGAGAACTGCGACCAGCCCAGATCTTGAACTCACCCTCTGTCGGCAATACCCAGTTCTGCGCCCGAACACTCCAATAGCTGAGATCCTTGCGGGACAACGTCATTTCAACTGTCTTAGACTCCCCGGGCTCGAGAGAAATCTTGTCGAAATTCCGAAGCACGCGAACTGGAAAGTCGATCTCTTCCCTACTCTTGGAAATCCCGCGGTGCTCGACAACACCCTCTGGAAAGGAGACATAAATCTGGATAACCTCTTTGCCTACTCTGGTTCCGGTGTTGGTGACCTTCACCGAGAGTTCCAGCATGCCTTCCCACAATGATGGGTTTCCGCCCGGGCCACCTCCGGCTTCGGATGGTTCTTGCTTCTCGTCGTACCCCTCTGGATAGGGGTATTTTCCTGGGTCGGTGCCGTCCGTGTTCAGGAGATAGGGATAGATGTATTTGGCCAAACGCGTGAAGTTACTGGGGAACAGATTGTCCTTCGCTAAACCGGGGCTGCTATCGTAGGCAGGGGGCGCGATATCGCTCTTCTGACGCGGGCGTGGAAGCCGGGACTTTTCCTGCAAGGCCTTGATACGGAGATCGGAGAAGTCGAAAGTAGTGTACGACAATCCGTAGCCGAACTCATAGCGTGGTGTGATGTTGTGTCGATCAAAATGGCGATAATCTATGTATAGACCATCGTCAAGATCGACTTGTGGAACCTGATCGTCGGTCTTGTATACGACCTGCGCGGCAGGACCATAGTCCTCAAGAGACCGACCAATGGTGTAGGGCAAGCGTCCACTAGCATCGACGTCACCAAATAACACATCGACCAAGGCGTTCCCGCTCTCCTGGCCAGGAAGGTTTGCGTAGAGCACCGCATGAACACCTGGGAGGTCGATCCAGGGGTCTAGCACAACAGGGCCGACGGAATGTACCACGACGATTGTTCGGCCTCGGCCATCTCCGCATTTTTGCGCGACACTCTCTACCAAGTTTACCCCGTTGCGTTGTAGGAATAGGTCATTGCGATCGCCATTGATGCCGTCGCTGCGGATGAAACCTTCGCCGCCGTCAGAGTTCGCAAAAACGAGACACAAATCTTGCTCCGCCAAATCTTGGTGTGCAATATCGTTGCTGAGGTAGCTACGAACGTCAACTGGATCATTTGACCACGCAGTCTCGAGAGCTTCCCAAGGGCTAATCAAGTACGGAAATTCCACTGCGCCGCTGCCCCAGCCAGAGGCTAGAGTCCCCTGGTTGCAGCCGCGATCAGCGCAGGAGTTAGGACCCTTTCCAGGACCTGCATCTTCGCCGAAGATACCGACCCGGTATTTCCCATCCGGACTGGGGGCGGTTCGCGAGAGAGGGAGGGTATTATTGATGTTCTTCAGGAGGACAGTGCCTTCTGCCGCGATCTCACGAGCAATCATAGCATGCTGGGACTCCTGCACATTCACGAATTTGTTGACTTCCTCCGAGGAATGGTCGTCCGGGCTACCTGGGTGCAGTTTACCCATTTTCTTGTCCGTCCAAGAGGAAAAGTTAGGTCCGCGTTTTGCCCATTGATCTTGGCGGAAATGGAACCACGCCGCAACAATTCGTGTCACCATATCATTCAATCGCTCCATCGGGACGGATGAGTTCAAAGCTGCGGCCGTCAATTGTCGTCCCCAGAGGGCTTCGCCATTTGCCCAGGCGAGCCCATCACCCGGCATACTCATGTCGAGACCACTCAGGGCACTTTGTACCCCAGACCGCTGTGCTAGCCAGTCCGATTGGACGAACCCTTGAAAGCCGAGCTCATCTTTAAGAATGCCATTGATAAGCTTGCTATTCTCGCAGGAATAGCTATTATTGACCATTTGGTAGGCACACATAACACTCGCGACATCTGCGCGCACGCTCTCAGCAAATGGCCATACAAAGACCTCATGAAGGGCACGATCGCCAATGTTGGAAGAAATCGCGTATTCTGTGCCCCAGTCGTTGGGTTGGCGGAAATGTTCCTGCTCATTCAGAACGAAGTGTTTGGCTGTGGCCATCACGCCAATTTTCTGAATGCCTTGAATAGTCTCCGCAGCTGCCACAGCCTGCAAGACAGGGTCTGATCCGAAGGACTCCCAATTTCGACCTCCGGCTGGCATCATTCCCATGGCACCCATCGAGGGGCCAAGAAGAACATTGACTCCTTTAGCGCGAGCTTCGCGTCCGAGGGATTTCCCGCGAGCTCTCATGAGATCACGGTTCCAGGTCGCGCCTGTGGTGATTCCGGCAGGGAACGCGGTGATGTTATCAGCGAAGCGCAGACCAAGCGGACCATCTTGTAGACAGAGAGAGGGGGAATCCGACGGAGTCGACACTTTCTGTAATTGAGATCAGCACGTTGCGATTCTACTCGGATTTTTTTTTTTTTTAAAAAAAAAAGTAGGAAGACAATGCAAAGCCCCAGTACATACCTGTGTTTCCAACACAAAGACCCATCTGCCATCCAGTCCCAGTCGTAACGCCAACCTTCTCAACAAGACTCATCCTCTCAACCATATCGTGCGCTTTTCTATAACTCTCGCTCCAGTTCGAGCTAGTACCCCCCATAGGAGCCGGATACCACGGAACAGAGCGCTAGAACAGTCAGCCCAGTTCTAGAATCACAACACCCCCCAGTCCAAGGCCAATGCCATTGAGCAGGAGGAGCAGGAGGAAAAAACTCACATATCCCTGCTGTCTATCGCCCCGATACCAAACAAGCCCTTGGAGCGCAATCCAAATCAAAAGAATTGCACCAACAAAGAACCCGCCAATATGCCACCAAGTTCTCTTCCCAAAAATGGCACTCCAATATCGTTTCCAGCGGGGCTCCTCTCCCTCTCTGTCCCTTCTGCGCGGTTTGATCGGAGACCCATACTCATCTTCATTCTCGTAATCGAATTCATCGTCATCACTAAACACAAAATCGGTATTCGCATCCTCAATGTCCGTCCGAAACGACTCGGCTAGTAAAGTCCTCCTTTCGCTCTCGAGGAAGCCTTCAATGCGCTTCCCGACGTCGCGCTGTTCTTTCGGTACGGGGATTTCTTCATTGCCATTGCCCTCACGCTCGTATTCTTTCGGGAGGAGGGTGGACGAACTGCCCGAAGGTGTATCGTCGACAAGTACTGCTCGATGATTGTAGCTCGAGCGCACAGGACCACGACGCGTATCCAGATTGTGATTCCCATCCGCATTCTGGTTTCGACTTCTCAACGGTCGGAGTCTAACATCGTCTTCGTTCGCGTCGTCGTCGGCGCTGTCGTCGCTGGAAAGTAAATCCGCATCATTGGGTTGGCCGCGCGAAGCGAGGCGCTCGGAGGTGGTGGAGGATTGGTGGAAATCATTCTCGGAATCTTTCGTAAGGCTAGACGTAGATGTAGACGTAGGAGTGAGCTGCTGCTCGTCTTGTGGGATCTCGTTATCGAGTGATTGGTAGTCTCCGCGACGGGCGCTGGTCTTGGGCGAGACGATCGGGCCATCGCTTGGGCGTGGCATAAGGGAGGTTTATTGGGTGGGGTTTTTGGGCATGCTGTATTTCAAGGTTGGCTCGATCGGTGCCGGGGTAGCTGGGCTTCAAATTGTTTATGAAGTGAAGTAGTAAGAAAAGAGGTGAGGTGAATTGTTGTGATGGGCCAGAATCACATTATGGGTGGGGGTCAGGTGACTCCGGTCTGGGAGCAATCATGACGATGTAAATGGTCAACAATTAATAGATTGAATAGTAATCAAGTAGAAGGTAGTAGAGGTGAATTAAAAAGACAACCTTTGTTTATGGGTGACAATTGTAAACTTCCAAAATGAACAACCTTGGGAAGTAATGTGTCTATACTATGGGCCATACTAAAAGACACTGGCAGGCAGAATATTATAAATCTACTAAACACCAATATAATACTTAATAAATACTACTAGAGGTATTAAAATACAAGAGCTTATAGAATACAGTAGTATTAGTTCTATATTTATTGCAGGGTGTTGACCTTGAGGCTTGATGCTCACCTCCAGGGCTCCCACATACACTTCTTCATATAGCTCATTTGTTGTAGTAGAATTTCAAGTTGTTCTCTACAATCACAGGTCGTATAATTTAGCACCTCCAGTGGTAAATGGTACCAGTGACAGTGAGCATCCGCGAAGCATACTAGACCTGGGGGGCTTGAATAGTGCTCCCTATGTCTACGTGGACTATATATATAATTCCGAGTCGGACCTCCAAGACACCTTCAACAACCTTGGAAGTTCAAGTTCTACCTACGCAAGGTCCGAGTCATTCAGTTCCACTGCAAGGTTACTACCAAAATGAATCGGAGTTCAATTGAAACCTCTTATCAGAGCTTACTAGTAGTACCCGTGGACCTAGATATCACCAGGAACTTGACATAGTACTAGTAGGTAGCAAAATTAATACTCTACTTTCGCCTACGAAATTCAGGAGCCAATGAGAACGGATAACTTCAAGTTCAAGTTGATAAATAACAACTACTCGAAACATTCTATGGTAAAAACAACATGTTTTGATCGGGGATAATTTCAATCCCCTTGAAAATAGAGTCTACACTGCCAACCTTACAAGAATGCTCAGCTTGAGGTGATTACGCGTGGCGTCCATTCTATTTCTGGTTGGACGTTGGGCCAGAGTGGAGCCACGTTGCGGGGGGCTGCCAATATCTCCCGCATTCGTTTCAGCCCTTTACTTTTACTCCCTTGACACCTGGGCATGCGAGGCAGACACATATCGCATATCGCATATCCCATCTTCCCCACCCCCGTCCTGATCGTGGTGAATGCGTGATGTTATGTCCAACTGATTTCGGTCCCGAATGGCAGAGCAGGTCTCTCTACTATAGGGGTGGCGCTGTCATCACAGCTTTGTTGGCTGCTATCCTTCACATGACCTTGGAAGACTCCACTGGCTTCTACATCTTCTTGGTACGAGTATCTCGGACACCCTGATGACTCTATGCATCGATGAGTGTAAAAATGGCATATAAGTACTAAAATTTCGATTACAGCTCTTGCTTCCCTCGATCTGGTCCCTCACGGATGGACTGTTGCGCCTCCGTCAAGTTGAGGTTCCGCTCCTAATTAATGCCGCTCTCGATCTCTTTTCCGCTGGCTGGCTGCTGTACAATGGCGCCGTCACTGTATTCGGATGGATGTGGTATGGCTCAGCTGTTCTTGCAACCATCGCTATATGTTGCTTCATTGCTGTGTAAGTTGCTTCCATCTCTCATGCTTTCGACGTTTTCTCACGTATGCGCAGATATTTCTTTTTCGTAATGTTCCTCCGTGCGACTGTTCAATTTTTAGAGGAATCACGAGACCCTAGACGTGATGAATGGCAAAGTGTGCCAAACCCCGTCTGAGACCAATGTGCTTACTAGGAAGCAGTCCGTGGATGGTGTAAGGAAAGAATGAAAATTTTCACTTGTTACTCCCCATCGTTCCCCGAGCTCCTACTCGTACCCCGAGAGAAAAGCTTCTAGATCTTTTTCGTGATGAGGCTTTTCCCCAGCTCGTACCCGCGCCATCCCCAAATCCCAACATGAATCGTTCTAGGCCGTAGGGTATGTGCTCGGCTGAAATCCGCGCATCAAGATACTCCGCTGATAATAAGTAATAACATGGATCCTATTGGGTTGCCTGCCCGTATGAGTGATTTTCATGAGATGACGATCCCCAAACCGACTCACCCATGAGGTCTGATGAAGAAGCAAAGAGCAATCAAATCTTACTGACATCAAATGGGGATTAGCCAACGTTTCAGACTGCCGAGTAAACCTTCAGCCGTCCCGGTGCTGTGTACCTGGGTCTCTCCACCGGCCCACCGGCCCCAAATGTCGAAGCCTCGCGTGTAAGAAAAGCAAATACAAAGCAAGAAGAAGCAAATTCCCAGTTGAACCGGCTTTTCGGAACGAGGGCCAAACTTTGCTATTCAATTTCAGAAGGTGCACCGCTCGGCTAGCATCTTTCAGCACCCCTTGATTCGTGTGACTGGGAGGAACTTTCAGCCACTCCCGGATTACGATGGGGCCATGGGAGCCATGGCCAGGCGGGTGGTCATAGGGATATTGCGATCCTCAAGTTTCTTTTGACTGATTTGAATACGGAATACGTAAGAAGGACGTCGTCAACTACTTCATTCCAGGGTCATCGCAAGGAGTACGGAGCAGACGTCGCGGAATTGGTCCGGTCTAGGCGCATATTGAAAAAACGTCTGTGTTCGGACTGTGTTACTGGTTCAGGGAGTGATCAGACTATGAGAGTGCATCTAGGGAGTATACAAGTCGCAAAGATATGAAAGGAGACGATTGGAACCACAATAATTTAGGTTGCGTGGCTATCGTGGCGCATGGAGTACAGATACCTAAACGAACTGGGTCGGGATTTGCACCCTCTAAATTGCTGCGTTTGTTCTCGTGGCATGGATGCAGGGGTCGAATGTTGCGCGGGCAACGGATAAGGGGATGCAGCGGCTCTTCGGTATCACAGCCGACTTTGGGGCCGTTGTGATCAGTTTCGTGATGCCGCGTTTCAGACTGCTACCGGCTGCATGATTTAGGACTGGGGCAAACGTTGTTCCCCAAGGGATGATCATCCGGACGATCGCTACTATTTTTGGTCTTCACCCTGCGAACTACTGTCGATAAACCCCCCTTGGCAGGAACATTTATTCCATTTTTGCCGTGCTGGTGTGATAGGTAGGAAATCCTCTGGTCAGGGGCAGCGCCTAATGCTGCAAGGCTGGTTCGATGGCCCCAATAAACAGTTTTTTCCCTTTAACCCAGCACAATGGAGGCGAAAAGAGGCTTGGGTAAAGTCGGGCGCAGAACCAATCTGTCGGGTTGGTAGTACGAACATCCCCCAGGGTCGAGTCAGCTTGCCACATCACCTGAATAATGATCGATGCGATCGACTGGCAGATCGGGTCAAAAACTCATCATGCGAACGCCAGCTCAGTGCCTTCGGCGATCACCGAGTGTCGTGGTACTAATCAGAATGGGGGATAAGGTTGTTGGGATTCTCCAGCTCAGACCAGGTGTGCCTTGCATATTTGAGCCAGCGAGTGGACCCGCAACATCGTCAAACATTGCTTACTATGGAAGGCTGGAATGATCGCTGGCCAGGGGGTGCGCGTGGGAAAAGCAACCTTATTATCTGAAACGCCGGGGCCATATGGCTTCTGTGGCTTTGCCCGACGTCCCCTTGTATGTAAGAAGGGTATTCGCTTCATACTCCCTAGGTACCTCGCATATTTCGGTAGAGCACGCGGACCGGGCCACCTCATTTATTGCGGAGGAAAGCGGTCCGTAGGCCACGTTGGAATGAAAGTAATTTCCCGATATAAACAACTTGGAAGACAAGGGTATATTGAATCGTTTCGGACATCCGCTTGTCGGCCCCCCGAGGTTTCCGGAAAGCCGTATTAGGACCCGCGCTAATTTAATACTCTCGAACTCGTTCATTAATTGAGGCTTGAGCCACCTGCAGGAGCACGGCCCATGAGCTCCAGGAGCCACTTGGTGGCGTCCTGGGCGAAACGCATGTTGATGCTTTCCCTATTCGGCCGACCCTACTAGCAGACTCGTCATAAACGGCGGATGGGATGGGCAGGCAATCCACGTGTGCCCCTTATTTTATTTTATTTTTACTTTAGTGTTTTTGTTGGAAAACCCTTGATTCAGTCTGAAACAACGCGTTAGCGTGTTGAAGAGCTACTTTTTGCGGTTCAGGGTGTAGCATTCCACGAACTGGTATTATGGCTGTGTAGAATAGAATGCCTCGTAGGGCTTAGCCGGGGTAGACGTGGCTGGTATGAGCTGACGCCTACTTTAATCTCATTTTTAATTTATCCCCGTTTTGTACCTGGGTTCGACAACGCTTGTCGAAGGGATTGACATCGCTGCGAGCTAACTGGTAGTGGGAAGTGAGGAAGCATACTCCGCGCGTGGCCCTGGAAATACCGCATCTCGCACTGCTAGCTTAATCTAGTTCAATTTACCTATTCGGATTTTCAATCCTGCATTTTGATTGACTCCCCTGCACTAGTGCATGATCTCCATGTGATCGACCACGTTGGTCCCACGACGTTGTTTCACCCTTTCGTCGTCAGCCCACGCGACGAAATTCCGCGCATTGCAGAGCGCATTTGCCGCTAAGAGTGATTGGCACTCATAGCCTTCTGTGGGACAGTCTAGACCGACTAGCATGACGTTCTATTTCCTCACTTGCTGCCCTTGTTGGATCTCTCACTGGCGATCTAACGTTCGTTTCGCGTAAACGCGCATAATCACCTCCATCCCTTGGCTCATTCCACGGCACATATACTCTATCGGGATGTTCCTGGCTTAAGACATGTGGCTTGCCATGTGCTCAGAGTCCCTGAAGGCATGCCCTTGAATAATTATTCCTCACACGGAGCTCGGGGATCGTGAGACCCGGGTCCACTCTTGGTCCTGGTGCATCTTGTTCCTGCCTTCATGCCCCCATTTCATGCACTACCCGGGCCAATCATATCTGCCTCGTCGCCTGTTTTAAATTCGCGGGTATGTGCTTTGCACTAATTAGCTCGCCCCCACTGGTTAGTGTTGGGCGGAATTCCAGGCCCGCCGTTGCTCATGCGGACTACGTTCGATGCAGGCTCCTCGAAACCTGACGACGGAATGGTGTCACAGGCCTTGAGTGGGACCCCCCCCCTCGTCGTCGTTGATGCGAACCGAAGATCCTTCCCTCCATTCCTTTCTTCGCTTAGCTTGTTCATCCATATGGGCCGCCATGCAAACTCCTGCGGAGCTCGCGTGTCAAGGCATGCTCTCTACTGCAGCATAGCCTCACCTTACATTTGCATATATAGAGGACCATCTCCAGTTTCATATTTGCCATCACATTCCAAGACAGACCAAGCTTCTACATCAAGTTTCAGCCCAATTCCCTGAAGAGTGGCAACATCTACAACCACCGAGATCACATTCCACCACTGTTACCTTCTCCAGCTCTACTCCACGTTACACTTGACGTCCCAGTTCGCAAGGCTTCTAGACCAGTCGACATCAATCAGAAATCATGTCTATTCCTCAATCATCTTCCACAAAGTAAGTACTTTCTGCTTCAAGATCATGAGACGAATGTACGCTAACAACCCTACCAGCAACCGAAATGGTACCACAAGTGCAGCTCTCAGCCAAAGCAATCTCAACCAAGTTCCACGAGCAAACCGCAGCACAGTTGATCGATATACACGAGCTTCTGCAGCAGATGGGCCTTACTATGCCGGTGCACGAATGCAAGAGCGTTCAAGCCACCTCACAGGACTTTCAAATCAAGTCAACGCGGTGGATGAAATCTTGAAAAAATAAAGGTCCCAAACTTGAAGGACTTAAAAGAAGGATGGATGATATCTCTGTCTATGTATAGTATATTCTATCAATTGTATGTAACAAATCCTGGCGAGTATTTCTAGATGCATCAAACAACGCTCAGCGATGAGCCATTTCAAAGCAATTTCGATATGTACGTCGCGACATCCTCGTACTTAGTGCTGGGGAATTCGTGACCAGCCTCGTAGAACTTGAAGGCAACGTTTCCGCCCAAGGCTGCTGTGGCATCTGCAATCAGTTCATCTTTGATGATTATGGCATCGCTATTACCACACAGAATGTGGACCTTATCACTGCCCAGTCCCTTTTCGCCTCGGTTTGTTGACGAATAACTATTCTGCGCACTCAGGTACTCCCCAAGACGGGCCCAGGTGTTATACTGCCGTTGGCTCAAGATTGGTCCATGGCGCATACTAGACATGAAGGCGTGGACGAAACCAGAATGATTATTCACTTGCCAAGCAACAGCAGCTGGAATGTTGACATGCGGGTAGTCACGAGAAAGTAATTGGATCTCTCCCGCGGTTTGCGACGGGAGTTCTTTCGGTGAGCGCATCCGCTGCATTAATCTTTCGGTTGCCGGTCTTAGGGGTCACCAAGGGCCCAGCTCGTAGTCGGCGACCCACAAGATATCCAAGAAGGTTCTCCGGCATCAGGCCGCGGGAGTAGAGGAGACGACTCTGGAAGCTGATTTGCGAGTCTCGGAGCAGACCGGCCGGTGCGAGGAGAATTAATGACGATAACATTTGCGGGAAATAAGACGCAAATGCCGCAGCGATTCCACCTCCAAGTGAATAACCCACTAGGCAGAACTTTCCTGACTCTTTGCCAGTCCAGGCGATCGGTGAGGAGGCCAGGGCAAGTAAGATCTGAGTCGCAAATAGACGGTCATCCTGAGGCAGATCGGCAGGACAATCAGAGTATCCTCGCCCAAAACTAAATCAATCTTATAAGCATGTATTAAATGTAAGAGGTCAGGTGCTGTGAAGAACATACAGGTCGAACAGCATTACTCGGCAGCCTCGGTCAACTAGCGCATGGGCCACCCCGCCGAGGGCGATGCATGGCGTGGTGATACCATGCACCAGCAACACCTTTGGACCATCCTCTCGACCCCATTCATAAACTCGGATCGAGCCGTAAGGACTGGCAACGTCGCGGGCACCGGGAAGCACGTCATTTGGGAGAGGGAGGTTGTGATTTTCTTCTTCGGATATGCCGTTCAAGATTCTTGCGCGGGGTGAAGGGATGACTGTCTCTGTAGACTCGCGGGCGGATAAAATCGATCGAAAGAGTAGGCCGAGTGTGAAGGATGCCCCCGATACTGCTAATAGAGGCAGTTGTGTTCGTTGGTTGGCCCAGGAGTCAGACAGGAAATCCACGGTTTGGTGGTACAGGGCCATGGTTGGTTCTGAGGGCCGTTCAAGTGGGTCGATGAGGGAATATGGATAGCTAAGGTCTTAGCAAGAGGGTGTCGGGGTGTCTAAAAGAGCGGTCGTGCTGGTCTCAGCAAGATGGTTGTTAGTGACAGGAGTTGTTGAAGTGCTGAGACTAGGCCGAGGTCCACCCAAAGATGAACAGCGATCCTTGCCAAAATGGGAAATCTCCAGGGGGTACTGATAAGAGATAAGAGATGAGATAAGATAAGGGATCCCAAGCCCCCCGGCCCGGTTACTATAGGCCCTTAAGGTTAGGAACCCTGCCCTCGACAGTGGTAAGCTTTAAGGTGGGTATAGGAAGGGCTTATGGGACCCTAGGGCCTAGGATCGTAAGTAGATCAGGGTGTTTGAGTGATTATTATTAGTAGGGGTAGGAGTAGGAATAGTAGAAGAAAATTATGAATTTCACGCTGATATTGCCCAGTCGGGAGGGAATCCCAAATCAAGGACTTCTATGTACTTGGTATAGTGTGGATGGGGTATAGTATGTACAACGAATTGTTGGAGAGTGTGGAAGTGAGTGATGATCATCATCCGAGTCTTCAGACTAGAGTCATGTGTCGTCCGCAGGATGATGCTTGATACATGATACATGATCTGTCATCTATCAGGCACTTCAGATAGTCGTAAGGGCTAAGAAAGTGACCATAGATGGCGTAGCGGAAAATGAAAAAAAGTTCCAAAAAATGCTGGGTGTTTAATCGGCTTTGGCGGCGTCTTCTTCGACAGCAGCCTCGTCCGTTGGAAGATGCTGATAGGAGCGCATTTTGCGACGGCGGATGTACCAAACACCGGCGAGAATACCACCGATGCAGAAAATGGTCAAGACACCGATGGTTATGTTTTCCAGCATTTGAATCATTCCATAAGCCTTGTAAACGGAGTCTGCAACCTCTGTGGTGGCGTGATAGACTGCAGCCTTGCGGTCTTCATCGGTAGTAGTCTCATCATAGAGATCCCCGTAGTCGCCAGAGTCGAGCTTCTCCCGAATATTTTGTAGGATTTCTGGGTCGTCGGGTGTAGGATGAGAGGACTCCCCAGTAAACCCAACCGCTTCCCAGTCTGGAACTTCAGAACGGCAGACTTCTGATACACCCAAGACGTTGCCATGAACATCAATAGCTTTCGCGGTCATCCAATCCATAAATCCCTCGGTGATATACATCGTTTCAAAGGATGTTTTGTCTGTGCTTGCGATCAAAACATCACTACCGTGCTCATGAGACCGAGCATAGAATTCCCAGCAAGCCACATCGGTTGCGCCGTTCCAGCTGACGTGCACGACAGTTATCATTTCCTGCTCGTCAGCACCATATACAGAAGCGACTAGATCTGGTGGTGCGGTTGGTTGACCAATCCAATCAAACTTGTAGGAACGGTAGCTTGCATAGCGAGTCGATGCGAAATGAGCTGACATGATAAGATCACCACCAGGTCCATACTCAGTCATGTAGCCTTGCTCATTCCATCCGACAAAGACATTTCCATTGGAAAGTTCTTGAATGTTACCTCCGAAACGAGTGAAATTGCCACCTGGATGATTCATGCGGTTTATAACGGTCGCGGTCATAGGAGAGCTGTTAATATCCAGTTCCACAAAAAGAGCGGATGTGATCTCTGCCTCGGTGTGAAGTTCATCTGCTGCATTATTCATGAAAGAAATAACGTGATGAGTGCTGTTGGTTTTGACAAACTTGACGTCGTGTTGCCTAGTGAAGTTGAAGTCCTGCTCAAAGTCGCTTTCCTTACCACCAAGGCGCCACATGATTTCGCCGTCTTGGCCAGAAACCAAATAAATTGTGTTTGTGAAGCGCATCGAGATAATGTAATCTCCATCCGAATTTTTGTCGACGGAATTGATGTGCACGTAATCCCACCCAGGTTCACCGAGCACCTCATCCTCCTGGATAAATTTAACGGACTCGGTGATCGACAGCTTGTCGTAGGAGTCCCATTCGACGAGAATCTCGGATTTTTCGAGATCTATCTCGACAAAGCCGCCGACAATGACCCAACTCTCCTCTTCTGGTCGGTCGAAATCGCCAAGGCCGATTTGCCGCGGTTTGGTAGTACAGGCCAGAGCAGTCTTTCCACCGTCCAGGATTTTAAATTCGTGTATATTGAACGCATCGAAATCACTGGCCGCTCCGACCTCACGTTCCAGCTCATAGTCGTTCCCCATAATCACACCCTTTCCTTTACCCTCCGCACGGTCGTATTCATGCTGAACGATGAAAGAAAGGTGTGGGTCTCCGTCGATATTCCAGTTCGCCTTGAAGTCAAATGTATTGTGGTTGTCGGTCACTGGAGAACCTGCCCAAATGAGCTCCTATGCGGTCGTTAGAATTGGTGGATGATTTTTTTTGTCATGTAAGAACTTGAAGGACGTACGCCATCGGTGTCATATATGTAAGGTCCGACCTGGTATTGCATATACTTTGTGGTGGGTTCCTCTGGGTCAACTTGTCCGTAGGGCGCAACGAACCAGTATCCTGGCGATACTTGTTCTCGGTCGACATATGTGATATTAAATCTCAAGGCGCGGACTTCTGGAAGCTGGAGGTGGTATTAGAGGAACAAGGCCGAGGAATGGAATGGAATCGGGGGTGGAGTCACTCACAGTGACGAACGAGCGCAAGTCCTCATCCAGACGCTGTGCAACAGCGCCCAGCAAGCAGAGACCAAGCAGGACGCCTAGAAATAACATGATGGCAGGACGGCAAGGAAGATTATAAGGACAAATCTCTCATCGTGCTCTTCAGCAAAAGCTTGGCGTTAGACAAGAAGCATCACCCAGTTCACGAAATCCGTGAAAATGATCGGAAGTCTGGACACGAGAAAAGTCGTATCGGCAGCCCTTTGAAGTTTAGGGGCCGCGCGGGGATCAAGCGGGATTTAAGGAGGAAATGGGGCGCATGGGAAAAAAGGCCCGTTCGATCGTCACTAGAGCGACACCGTTCCCGGGATTCCAATGACCATGATACTACCTCTGGATGGAGACAAGCGCGATGCTCGTAATCTTATTCAACTCGAAAGACCAGTCTAAGAGCAGAGGTGGAATCCGAAGCCCCGCTCAGGTCAAGACATGCCCCATGGAGCGGAATATGGATTACAGATGGGTGAAGAAAACTCCTCGCCACGCGTCGGTGGGGCGCCACCATTGGGGATTTTGGAGTTTAGGGGTTTACGCACAAGCACTGCTTTACTGAGCGGGAGATACCGATCATTTCAAAGCCAGTACCAATTAGTTTTCAATCGGATGTTCAAGATTAAAGAAGAATCAACTAAGGAATACCTTATAAATGCATTGCTGGAGATACAAAAGTGTCCAACTTTTCTCTCCACAAGGCTAAGATTCCGCCAAGTCGATCTGACAGACAGGGCAGCAGGTCACACGAGCAGTTGAACGCAAGTGCGAGAACGAATCAACGTCATTTTACGACCCTTACGAACTAGCGGCGCCCATAGGCGCTCCTTCTCCAATCGCACTGCAAGTAAGCAGAAAAACCGGCTTCCCCTGGAGACTCTCCACATGCCAAGCCACTATGCCAAGTGCTCCCAAGCCTAGCACAGTTAGAGTCTCGCACAAGACCCTGGTCTATTCATGGTCCCTGGATTTTTATTCGCGTGGCTGACCCGCTTGGCCCCCCGGTTCTGTGCGGTAAGCCTATCGGCTTGGGGGCCCTGTCCTGTCTCCGGAAGAGACATTCCCCACACTTTCCAAGTGCATCGTTTCGATGGAAGACTGCTGAGAACGGAGCAGACCTGCCTCGATATCGTGCTCGACTCTAAACTTGTCTGTCAGCAGAATTAAAAAAGGAAGAAACCATCAACTTGAACATAAACTCGTGGTTGCTAACGCCACTTTGAAAAGATATAAATGCTAGGCTGGCCCCCGTCCAAGACCGAGTAAATAGCAGAGCTCCCCAAATCTTTTGGCTTTGCGAAATGGTTTAAATACCCTAAAGAGAATAATTCTAGATTAAGAAGGTCAAAAATAGGATAATTATTTATGGCGTCGGAAATACGAGTATGAATGTAGGCGTCCCGCGTCTAGTGGGAAGCCTAATATCATTCAAAAATAGGAACTCGTTTCGAAGCCAGACCTATAAGATGTTTAGACAATATCAAATCTTGTTTATTAATTGAGTTTATTAAACTAAATAATCCGTGCTTTCCCCATAGACATTATGATATCTTAGAGTATGGTTTCCCCGCATCCTAAATCAGGGGTCGCTCGGCCGGTAAACCACTCGATCGGCAAGCAATCGGGGAGTGGAAGGGTCGTGACTGGGTAATATGACGACTTCAGTTTCTCTAGCAAACTGCTTGATTGTTTTCAAGGTGGCCAATGCCCGCATGGGATCATCGTTGATACCATCTGGCTCTTCCTTATCCAAGCAATCCAAGCCATATGTTGCGTCGCCAGGAAGGAAATATGTGGTCTGGTTTCCACCATTATTTCCGCGGCTGTAAATCACTAAGCCTATATGACCAGGGACATGACCGGATGTATCCACGATAACAATTTTCCCGTCATCAGTCACGGGAAATGATTGCTTCCAAGGTCCAAGTGGCTTGTCTTCAAGGTCGACAATCTTAGGCGTGAACCCCCTGGGCCAATGATTTGGAGTTGCACCTTCCATGCTGGCGAAATATGGATGTTCTCCAAAAGCTTTCCAGTGCTCCCGACTAATAAAAACTGGTAAATTTGGGGCCTCATTGAGTAAATCCTCCAGTCCTCCAGCATGGTCGTTATGTAGGTGGCTGAGAATAATGCCTTTGAGATCGGTAGGCTCGACGCCAAGGCCACGAAGTTGTTCAACAACTCCATCTTTGTGCTCCAGGGTGAACTCGCTCAATAGTCCATTAAAAAAGGCGAGGCGCGGGAAGTAGCCTGAATTATTGCAACAGGGAGATTGGCCCGTGTCGAAGAGGAAATTGCCTTCAGGGTGACGGAGGAGGAATACCCCGACGGGTAGAGGTTGTGTCCATTTCCTGTCACAAAGAGAACGAATGCGACGAAATATAGCAGGCTGGTTGGCCGGCTGGGATTGCATTGATGGTCTGATGCGGACGGTTCCCGTGGTCAAGAACGTCAATTGCACATCTTGATCGTTGGGTGGTGATGCCATCGAGCCGGTTTTCATAGATCAAGACCGGGAAGGCCGAGAGTCAAGGGCGGTACAATTAGCAAAGAGTCACAAATATTTCGCTTTAAACAACGTCGCGATGTCAGTGATTGAGAAAGAGACGAGGCGAATCGTCCTGATTTAAATTATTTAACTCCAACTTGAGAGCCGAGCGATGGTTAGCCGAACAATGTTAGCCGAACAGCGCTGTGCAGCTGCGTAACACCTGGGGATTTTAGTCAAGAAGAAATTGAATTTAGACTGCAGTGATAATCTTAGAACATATTATATCGCAGCTTGTTTTAAGATGATACTTTCGTCCTCGTCCAATATATCCGGTCAAAAAGAGCCCCGAATGTCTCGGCAAACCGCACTCGGCGTTCGGCAAACCCTCCTTTTTTGTCCGTTTGTCTCCCTCAACTCGGCTCTCAATCCAACAACGCGCCAACTTTGCCGTCAGAATGCCGAAAGCGCACAACTCGGATTCCCAACGTCGAGCACGCGCCGTGTGTACGCGCTGTCACAGTCGCAAGGTAAGTCTCTGTTCCAAGGGGGGGCGATGCGGATCTGAGACCAAGATTGAAGGTTCGATGTGATCTCGAAGAGCGACCGGGAGGTGCCAGCTGCACTCGTTGCCAACGTGAAGGTCACCAATGCAAGTACGCACTACACCCATGATAAATAGCTTGATGTTCTCAAAGCCAACCCAAACAGTCCCCATATTGGACCTCGGAAACAAAAGGCTCTTCGCCAGTCTTTAGGAACATCGCTTGATGTGGCTTCATCCCCTGATAGATCGGCCTTAACTGTAACAGATCAAGCTACACCTTCTCCATATGTCTTACATGAACATCCACACAATTGCCATTCAATTCCTTGGAAGACGAAAGACAAGCCCTGGGAGAACCAGCCGAATTTCATCCACGGCAGCGATGTCATTCTCGAAGCTAGTCATGCAACCCGTCTTCCGCCACTGGCAATGACGCAGGCATTGAAAGACTTCTATTTCAAGGAGCTATTTCCCCTGGTCCCAGTATTAGACCGTCAACAGACAGACACGGATGATTCTATCTTGCTACAGCAATGTGTGTGCTTTGCAGGAAGTACTATGCGCCAATCAACCGAGCCAGCCGAATGGTCTCCCACTGCTATCTACGGTCGCATCAAGACATTACTCTTCTTACGCCATGACCCTGACCCCTTCAACATGCTCGCTGCTCTTTGCATTCTGGGAACCTGGCTTCCGTACTCGGCAGATGCTATAGTCCTGGATAGTCCTTGGCAATGGACGGGCATGGCAATCCGACTGGCGCTCCAGTTGCACCTACATGAAGAAGAATCGTATCGGCACCTCCCAAAGCCCAAGACAGCCATCAGAATCTGGTGGTATCTCTTCAACAACGATACACTGCAAATGGCTTGCACCGGATGTCCCGGCATGTTTCCGATAGACGGGAGTAGTATCCCGTTGCCCGAGCCGAGTGATTTCGATACGCCTGACACCGAGGCCCACGTTTTTTGCGCGCTTGTCTCCCTTTGCAAATTGCTTCGGAAGATTTTGGAACTCGGTCGATCTGACAAAACCTCGAGAGAAGAAGTGCAGTCGGCACTTGACAAGCTGATTCAATGGAGAGATCGATTACCCGACGATTTGCAATTATTCGACGAAAGCCGAACATCTCGACGACCTTATAACCGTCTGGTCCTGGAGCTACATATTTTCTATTTGGTAACCGCCATTTTGACGTTCTTCCTTGGCCGACGCGACAATCCTTCACTATTCAAATACGCATCCATGGCGGCTTCCTCCTGCATCTCTCAGCTCTATGAAGAGATTCTCTTCCATGAAGATGCTACGTATCTGCTTCCAATTCACTCGTGGGCAAATTTGGTTGCTGCTATCCCTCGCACCTTTAGTGATTGTGAATTGCTCAATCCAGCGCATGCCGAAGAGCTGAGAATCAGTCGACAGGTGCTTGGAAAGATAGGCGAGAAACATACATCAGCTGCTCTGGTTCAGAATCGGATAGCTGCTCTCAGTGGATCGGCGACAGCGTGGGATTCTCCGCCCATATCTCTCCCAGAGCAGGACAGACAGTATCTTACTACCTGGTTTCATTTTCCAAGCGACTTTTGCCCCATGTTGAATCATCTCTACTCAGCCTCTGTTCCAAATCATGACCGACTTGACTCCTTTACTGTGGAAAATGCAGTCGATGAATGGGCAATCGATTGGGCCTCGTTCATTTTTGATGGCAGCATGGGGGTCTAGTAAATAGCATGAATAGTTAACAACTTGGGAATTGTATTACAGAGAACCCACAATGCCCAGACAAACTAGTTTAATCTAAATATCATCGAAAATACGGCACTCTCCTCCGTATCGGGTGCCATGTGAAAGTATTCGGGCTAAATAATTCCACGCCAAGGGATTTGCGAATACGATTCCGTGATGCCTTTTCTCAGGGGGGCAAAGATCGACATCATATTTCGGAAGAGCCTGCTTAAACGCCGACAGGCCGGTCTATGCATGGGTACACCCAAAGGCCAAGACCTGCATTCTCTTTGGCACCAATTGCAGTCTTCATCTTATGATTTCCGAGGCTCAGTTCGCTTATGTAGAGAATATCGGTCACTAAGACTTGGAAGATCGGCCAGGAACTTGATTAAATAGACCTGAACTAATGCGATGGAACGACCGTGTCGCTTTTGGCAACATTTAATTCATTTTAATCGCCATGAGAGATAGAGGTCATATTCTGCTCAGCTCGACTTGTTCCAAAAGGCATTCCACCAACGCCCGAGATCATAGGTTTGCATCAGGATACCCGGCGCCTTCTGCCGGGGACCCCTGCGTTGTCATGCAACGGTCAGCCAGTGTAATACCCTAGCAAATTGTGGGGAAGCCATGCAATATTCTTCAAAGAATAGGGAGCCCGCCACTGTCGACGGTGGCTTTTCATTGCCGGAGGTAGCTGGTATGCTCTAAAATTTACTATCGACACAGTCAAAACTGGCTTCCTCCCATGAAGGAGATTCCGGATGCACCCGGGTATAGCAGGATTTCGAAATTCGGCATACAAGTCTAGGTTATTTAGAGTCTACCGCATGTCCAATCTTAATGGTCTTGTCAGAAATCCCTGCAAACGATCGACACGACGAGCCAAGCCCCCTGGGTCACCCTTCATATCATCTTCACCCCCAAATGCTTCAGGCTCGAGTTCCGGCCCAATAAGCAATAGTTGTATCCACCCATCAAGCGTTGGGATTTAGTGAGTCCACTCACAGTGGACCGGGCTCAAGGTCGAGGTTAATTTGGTTTCGTACTTGTCTGGGAGTTGATCAAGTTTACATGCGACTGTACCCCCGTTAGGGCTATCGGTAAATGCGCCGATCGTGAGTTGTATGCAATAGAGCTTGATAATTGCAAATACCATGTAGCCGCATTCTAGAAGGAAACACCTCTAGTTGTATCTTCAGTAGAAATCACTGCTGCCAGCACTCTACTCGTACTATCCACCGAAACCCATCAATGCCGATCAGCAAACCTCGCTCATCAACACCAGCCTACCTGTTTCGAATTAAGATATGGCCAGGTACAATCATTGGGAAAACGTGTTCTGGGCGCCTGTGAGCTGCCCTCTCATTGAAGGATATTTAGTCTGTTTTGTCCCGAGTCTCTGGCTGAATATTACCGGGGAGGGGCAGCGTCGCCGATCTGAAACGCTCTATACCCGAACGGTCATACAGATGCTTCAGAAAGACTCACCAACCTGGATCTAGCTATGTTCGCAGTGATCTGTCCCACTGGTCCAGCCACATTCTGGGAAGGGCTTCTAGTGGCACTCTTGGTTGGATTAGCCCCCCACTGGCGTCTCATGACCCTGGTCCATACTCCGCAAAGATTGTTTGTGGCTAAAAAGATGAGACGCCAGGCCGGACAACTCTATCATTTAGCAGCCATAGGCAATGGAATGCCCTGGCGCTTTGACATTCCGTAGTCAAAAACAGATAAAGACCAAGAATAAATTTTACCCCAGACAAACGTGTTCGGGGATTGCTCCGTGGGTGTAGATATTGAAACTGCTAGTGCTTGACTAAACGCTTCACTTTGTCTCCAGTCCAAATCTGGTTTTGACAGCGCTTTGGTTGAAGATCTTTCCCATCCTGATCTGGGTGACTGATCCACTCTCAAATCAATGCATTACACCGGTCATCACCCAATCTGGAATCTCCCGTTGCTTAGATGAAGGGTCCTTTCTTGCCAGATTGGGGACGGTCTCGCGGTCCGTCGCACCGTCAGGATGCGGCGGAAGAACTTGTTTGAGCCTTGCATGGCAAGGTAGAAGTGGATATCGGTTCGGCGGAGAATGGTATAAAGACGGCATGGGAGTGTCCCGGATGCTTCTTTGAGTTCATCAGCTGCAGGACAGACGACCGACAATTACATTCATTCCTTTCCTTTTACCAAAGATGCAGCAACGTGCAATCCTTATCTCTGCCCTTGTGGCAGTCGCTCGTGCCCAGCAGGCTGGCACGCAGACCTCAGAGACCAAGCCTTCTCTGACTTGGCAAAAGTGCACTGCCAGTGGCTGCACTGACCAATCCGGATCTGTCGGTATTGATGCCAACTGGCGTTGGGTTCACTCGACTGATGGAACCACCAACTGCTACACCGGCAACGAGGTGAGCTGAATCTTGCCCGCGCAGGGAATTCAAAGAACAGAGCTGACAATCAATCTCTACTCTAGTGGGATGCGGATCTCTGCCCCGACGACGAAACCTGTGCCACGAACTGTGCCCTGGATGGCGCAGACTACTCTGGCACCTACGGTGTGGAGGCTGACGGCGACTCTTTGTCGCTGACCTTCAAGACCGGCTCCAACGTCGGTTCTCGTCTGTTCCTGATGGAGGACGACAGCACCTACCAGATGTTCAAGCTGCTCAACCAGGAGTTCACCTTTGACGTTGATGTTTCCGCTCTCCCTTGCGGTCTCAATGGCGCTCTGTACTTCGTTTCCATGGATGCCGACGGTGGCTTATCCAAGTATGAGAACAACAAGGCCGGTGCCAAGTACGGAACTGGCTACTGTGACTCGCAGTGCCCCCGTGACCTGAAGTTCATCAACGGACAGGTTAGTTCCTTATAGACCAAGAATCATAGCTCGGTCATCATACTGATCAAATGAATAGGGTAACGTCGACGGCTGGGAGCCCTCCGACAACGATGCTAACGCCGGGGTTGGTGGCCACGGCTCTTGCTGTGCGGAGATGGATATCTGGGAGGCCAACAAGATCTCAACCGCCGTGACCCCCCATCCTTGCAAGGAGGCTGGACAGACCATGTGCGAGGGCGACAGCTGCGGTGGCACCTACTCGTCCACCCGCTACGCCGGTACCTGCGACCCTGACGGATGTGACTTCAACCCTTACCGTATGGGTAACGAGAGCTTCTACGGCCCCGGCAAGATCGTCGACACCAGCTCCAAGATGACCGTTGTCACCCAGTTCATCACTAGCGACAACACCGCCACCGGTACCCTCAGCGAGATCAAGCGTATCTATGTTCAGGACGGCAAGGTCATTGCCAACTCGGCTTCCGATGTTAGCGGTGTCAGTGGTAACTCGATCACCTCGGACTTCTGCACTGCGCAGAAGAAGGCCTTTGGCGATGAGGATGTCTTCGCTCAGTACAACGGCATGTCTGGTATGGGCGAGGGACTGGAGCAGGGTATGGTTCTTGTCATGAGCTTGTGGGATGACCACTACGCCAACATGCTCTGGTTGGACAGCAACTACCCCACCAATGCCACTGCTTCCGACCCTGGTGTTGCTCGTGGTACCTGCGGTGCTGACTCTGGCAAGCCTGCCGACGTCGAGTCTGCCTCGGCTGATGCCAAGGTGGTGTTCTCGAACATCAAGGTTGGTGCCATTGGTTCCACTTACTCTTCTTAAGAGAAAAGATCTGGGATTTATGGAATGAGGAGCTGAGGAGCTGTGGTTGATCTCGATGGATCTAATCAGGTTGCGAAGTATATGCGGGGGCTGCTGAGTGTGGTTGTATGTATTCCTTCACTTCTTTAGAAAGAATGACTCCTGTGGGGGTCTTCCTTTATTGTTCATTTGTATTTTCAATTGAATGCCTTTATTGTTGTCATTGAGAGAAGAGAAGAGAAGAGAAGAGTAGAAGAGAGAGTGAAAGATGAAGTGAAGTTGATATGTTTTGGTGGAAAGGGCAAGTAGAAGCGGAAGATCTCTCGGCCCGAAGAAAAAAAAGGGAAGCTCCGAAGCTGCGACGACCTTCAAAAGTTCGACGTTCGCAGTTCAACCCTCCCAGCACATATTTCAACCATGTTTGAATCAATCTGTTCGCTTCCGCTCTCATCGGACCTGTTCTCTCAGGCTCTTCACCCTCGAGAGCCCGTGGTCGCCGTTGGTTTGGCTGCTGGCCATGTTCAGACCTTCCGCTTGCCATCGGAGGAGGAAGACGAGGATGATGCAGGCTCATGCTGCTCGTCGCACAATGGAAGAGGACACATTGACACAATGTGGAAAACGAGGAGACACAAGGGCAGCTGCCGGTGCTTGGGATATGGAGTTGACGGCGAGACTTTGTACTCCGCCGGTACCGACGGTCTTGTCAAAGCTGCGAATTCTGAGACTGGCAAAGTGACCAACAAGATCGCAATTCCTTTGGAAAAGAACGGGTATGAAGAAACTGTGACCCTTTGTATGCAATTGAACCATTTTCATCTAACAATTCTGGCATTTTTAGCTCCATCGATGCCCCGACCGTGATCCACGCCCTCTCCCCCCAGACTCTTCTACTTGCTACCGACTCCAGCGCTCTACACCTCTACGATCTGCGCATTCCCTACTCCAAGGTTTCTGTTAAACCCGAACAGTCCCACCACCCTCACGACGATTACATCGCTTCCCTCACTCCTCTCCCGGCCTCCGATACCAGTACCTCGGGATTTAGCAAGCAATGGGTCACTACCGGCGGCACTACTCTCGCCGTGACGGATCTGCGAAGAGGTGTCTTGATGCGCAGTGAAGATCAGGAGGAGGAACTTATCAGTTCGACTTATATTGGTGGCCTTCCCACCAGCGGAACCAGCCGCGGCGAGAAGGTCGCTGTAGGAGGTGCCGGTGGTGTCTTGACCCTTTGGGAGAAGGGCGCTTGGGATGACCAGGATGAGCGAATCTACGTGTCTCGCGACGCGGAGGGTGGCGAGTCTATCGAGACCATGGCGATCGTGCCGGATGAGCTGGGCCACGGCAAGATGATCGCTGCCGGTCTTGGGAACGGTCTGATCAAGTTTGTTCGCATTGGTGCCAACAAGGTTGTGTCAGAAGCCATTCACGATGAGACCGAGGGTGTTGTTGGTCTCGGGTTCGATGTTGAGGGTCGCATGGTCTCTGGTGGTGGACAGATCGTCAAGGTCTGGCACGAGGCTATGGAGACTGACGGTGAGGCTGGCGATGATGAAATGGCTGGCGGCAAACACTTCCGCGGCGATAGCGATGACAGCGATGACTCTGATGATGATAAGCAAGAACGACAGAGTGTGGATCGCAAGAAGCGCAAGAAGACCAAGGGCAAGGACCGTAGTGGTGGACAGCACGTCATGGGATTCGCCGATATGGACTGATGCTGCATGACCTTACATTCAAGTTCAAGTTATTTTGATACCCTGGAGAACCCGAAAAAATGTACATTATTAGCCGAGAGTATTTAGTAACAAGGTTAAGATCGGAAATACTAGAAACCTTCAAGTTGAGGAAGTTAGGAGAATTCACATCCGACTGGCAAAATTATATCCGAGCTTATTCATGCTGACCTCAGCGGGGGATTTCCGCTCTTCTTCCTTCACCTACAACAAACCACTTCAGAATTTGAACTGCATGGAAAGAAGCAGATACTTAAGAGACGGAATGGAAATACAACTCCTTCTCGGGATGCACATTCAAATGAGACTATCATCATACTAAACGACCATCGGAAGCCTGCGCTGTGAGAACTGCCAGCCAGACCCCACGGCCCCACGCTTAACTATGACGCTGAGCGAATCCGGTGGGGTGTGGGGGGAAGGCTTGAATATAAGATCCGACGGATCACCCTGGAATTTCCATTGATCTGCAAGTGTCAGTGACTATCGGAAACATCATGGACGCCTTCGAGTACAACCCCAATCCCGGCCGCGTCGTCTTCGGCAGCGGCACTCTACAGAAACTGCCTGATGAGATTGCCCGGTTACAAGTAAAGGCGCCATTGGTGCTGTCCACGCCACAGCAGATCGGTCAGGCTGAGACCGTCAAGGAGGTCCTCAAGGGCCAGATCGCTGGTATCTTCAGCGAGGCAACCATGCATACTCCAACTCATATTACCGACAAGGCTCTCGATTATGCGAAGGCCCAGGGTGCTGACTCAGTTATCTCCATTGGTGGTGGCAGCACTATCGGATTGGGCAAGGCAATTAGTATTCGCACCGGTCTACCGCATATCTGTATTCCAACAACATATGCCGGAAGCGAAATGACACCCATTCTGGGTGAGACGGCCGATGGCCTCAAAAAGACTCGATCTGATCCTAAGATCCTGCCCGGCACGGTCATCTACGATGTCGACTTGACTATGACTTTACCCGCAGCGATGAGTGCTACCAGTGGTGTCAATGCCATTGCTCATGCTGGTGAGTATCTTCTTCCTTCCTTGGGATAGGACAGAGCTAGATCGCTAATATTTATTTAGTCGAGGCACTTTACGCCCGCAACACAAACCCCATCATCAACATGATGGCCATCGAAGGCACACGCGCTCTCGCATCTGCTCTCCCTGAGATCGTCGAGGATCCCTCCTCGCAATCAGCTCGTTCTCGCGCTCTGTACGGTGCATGGCTCTGTGGAACATGCCTCGGTAGCGTCGGCATGTCTATCCACCACAAGCTGTGTCACACTTTGGGCGGTAGTTTCAATCTTCCCCACGCAGAGACTCATACCGCCGTCCTGCCGCATGCTATCTCATACAATGCCCCCAATATCCCCGAAGCTGTGAAGCTACTTGCCGATGCGCTGCCGGACAGCAATGGCGATGCTATTCATGGTTTGAATGTTCTGTTGACCAAACTTAAGGTTAAGCGTGGGCTAAAGGACTTTGGAATGAAGGAGGAGGATGTGGATAAGGCGGCTGATATTGCGGTCTCGAATCCTTATTGGAACCCTCGGGCTATTGAGCGGGAGCCGATTCGTGAGCTTATTCGCCGTGTTTGGGCGGGTGAGCCAGCGCGCGCCGATTTATAAAGAGTGTTGTGAGCATAGTATTGGCACTTTCAAACTATGAAACTATTTTGATTTACTACTCAGCATCATGCCAAGTACCTTGGAATAAATCATCTTGATAGACTATTCGACAAGCATAGAGGTGCAAAATGTAGTAATCGAGTCGTCAGGGCCAAGTAACTGAATATATACTCTCGCACATTCCCTGAACAACACTTTGCTAGATTCCGCCCGGCCTAATGAGATTAGGTTAAATGCAAGTGACATCATGATGCCTAGCGTGGCTGGATGCTCTGTGCCGAACGCTCGCCTCGAGACCACCATTGCCTGAAGTCGTATTTCCGCAGCTTCCTGCAATCGATTTTGGGCTGAGTAGACACGTCCCAGAATAACCTTGCAGTGTATGATTTCTGAATGGCCCAGCCCTAGAGCCTTGCTAACAATTTCGGTCACTTGTATGCATCGTTCTTCGGCTTCCTTCCAGCGCTTTTGATGCAAGTAGTGCCGCCCTTGATGGCGCAAAGTCACCAGGGTATCTATATGTTCTGGACCAAGAACTCTTTTCTGGGTTTCCAAAATGCGTCTTAACAACTCGTCGGCCTCCTTCTTTTCCCTTGAGTCGCGTAGTGATCTACTAGATCTTTCATGCTGTCCAGGGTTAAAGGGTCATCTAGCCCAAACATCCGCTCCTGAATCTCTATAATCTCCATGAATAGCGCCTCAGCTTTCTCCTGATGACATTTTGCACCGTATGCCGAGGATATTTGGCTCATGGTCCGCAGGTTACGTCGGTCTTTGGGACCGAAGAGGCTTTTTGCTGCTTCGAATGCTTTCTTCACAATTTTGAAACTTTTTTCATCGTGTCCTCGAATATGAGTACACCCTGCAGTTCGCATAAGTACTCGAGCCCACTATTCCGATAGAAATTCGGAATACTGTGAGACTGTGCGGTATACGTGAGCAAAAAGGTGTTGGCATCTTCTCCAGTTTTCGATTTCCGCCCCAGGAAAGATGGCAGAGAGGTGTTGGATAAACTGTTCTTTCCATTCTTTGAGGGTGTTGTGTGACTTAAGCCACTCCTGCATGGATATTTGGACTAGACGATGCATCTCCACATTAGATCCACTCGTGCTGACAGATATAAATTGGTAGTCTCTCAAGACTACGATATCATCTTCGAACTCAAAAGCGACGCTGGGAGCTTCAATATCGCGTCCGTCACTTCTATCTGTATCCTGTGCAGCTGAAGCCTGGCGCTCCGCAATCAGATTCTCTTTGAGTATATCTACAGGGATACCCTGTCTGTCAAAAAAGCTTAAGAGGGATAATAGATCTGCAGCTGTCGGCATTGTTCGCTGTATATGGTCTAATGATATGTGCCAGGTAGCAAGAATTGAATTGTTGGCCTCCGTATCTCTGCGAAGATGCCCAGTTTTATGTTCAACAAGAAGATTAATCTTTCGGCGATCACTTTCTTCAAAGGTTCTGAGGTATTGCGCAACAGACACACGAGGTGATCTATGCCTTATATATGCTGCTGCCTGAACAATAGCAAGAGGCATGAAATCGAGTGCTGCGATGAGTTTTCTTTCAGCTCTTGAGGATCTTCACCTCGCGCTCCGAGTTTCTTCTCAAAAAGAGCAATCGCGTGTGCTTCATCCATTAAATCGATGGCAATAATATCGCTTTCCTCCACCATATTTGATACAGCAAGCTTATAGCGACTTGTTATTATCACGGATCCATTTGAACCCTGGGGAAATAGTCCCGCACTGGCCATCCCTTGACGCCTTGTTCCATCGAAGGTATCTCAAGGAGAAACTGGTCGTCGTCGACATTATCGAGAATAACAAGCCATTTATCCCTCTCGTCCTGCAACCAGTCATGCAGAAGCTGCAATATGTTGGCTTGGGGATTGTTTCGATGTGGTATCTGAAGTCGATCTGCAGCATGTCGGCAACTCTGGTCGAAGCGAGTTAGATTACTGGCATGAAGCCAGAGAACCCATGTGTAAGGTGATTGATCTCGGACTCGATAGCAGTATTCAATTGCAATTTGTGATTTCCTTTTAAAACTGAATCAGAAAGGTATGTTAGCCACTCCGATTACGTGCTTACCCGACTCCTCCCAAGCCGACAAGTGCTATTCTCACGCATCCATGGCGTTCTTCTCGTCAATTTGATCGAATATTCCTCAGCCCCGTATCAGGTGACCCTTTGGCGCTAACTAAATGATACACGACAAACAGTTTTACATCTTTGCCCTAAATTTTAGGCATAATCATAATACTACAGTTGCGTTGCAAAGGTTTGAAACCCCATGTTGAATGGTACTAGATATATCTAGTTTTTGTACCAAAAGAAATTACTAGTACAAAAGATCAGTAGAATAGAGCCAAAGGTTTATAGAATAAATAATGGATCCCTTATCATTTACGGGAATACCGGCAAAATTGAATACAAGATTAACAAAATATTGGATTTGTATTTATATCGTCAAAGACTGCAATACAAGATGGATTGAACAGACATAGAGAATAATAGATAATTTGTCGCAGCTCACGTTAAATAATCCATATTACCACGCTCTTCCCAATCAAACGCGTTGCCATCAACAAGACCAACAAATTCTTTCTAGAGAAGTTGAGGCTTATTCCACCTCTTCCTCCTTGCTTGCGCCGAGCCAAATCCGCGCATGATTGTCCGTGTCCTTTTCGTATTCGAGGCTCAATGTAGCCAGGTGACTGAGGATAGTTCCAATGGCGATGTCACCTTTGCTCTGCTTGGTGCGACCCAAGTCATCAAGCCATTTCCATTTGTTCAAGACGAAATAGATGAGGGCAATCACCACAGTCACGCCAATACTGTACCCCCAACAACGGACGACATCGACAATATTGGTCCAACCATTGGCGGTCTCCCTCAATATATATTCATCAAAGGGATCGGTTATCATATCCTGATTCGTGAAAAAACCAAACAAACAGAAGCAGGTTGCGAGCGCATCCACGCCGAGGATGGCAAGGATCAGTGGCAGGGAAGGCCAGGTGCTGCCTCCACGCGTCACAAAGATGAGCCAATTTTCCGTCAATGCGACCTCCAAGAACAAAATCTCTTGGATTGACCCCAATTCTGGAAGAACCCCCCGTTCGGCAGGAACATCGACCCGCGGATCACCCACGTCCCGAGTGCTAAGAGAACACCGAGAATGACAGAGATAACCCAGATCTTTGGTAATTGCCACTGGACAGGTCGGCGTTCGAAGGATGCGTTGTCGTAGGCCACTGCGACTGTCGCAAGGTCTGCAAATAGTGCGAGGAACACGACCAAATCAGTACGGATGCTTTCCTTGATAATGATCATGCTAGTAACTAGATAGACTTCGAGGTGAAAGCAGAGTGCAATACGATATTGAATATATGCTTTCATGCGTTGGAAAATTTGACGTGCCAACTAGCAGCAAGAGTCAGTGATCAATATACAGAAATCGATTAGGTGAGCAGATCGAACCTTGATAGAATCAATGATAGTTGAAAGGCCTGGCTCGAGGAAAACAATATCTGCAGCAGACTGAGCTGCTTCCGACGCGCCTTCGACCGCAATGCCACAGTCGGCCTTCTTCAGCGATGGGGCGTCGTTGACACCGTCACCGGTCATAGCTGTAAGATGACCAATCTCTTGTAGCATCTCGACCACTTGGTATTTGTGCTCTGGGAAAACTTCAGCGAATCCGTCCGCCTTCTCACATAATTCACTAGCCATTGCACCGCTAATACCACCACCAATAAGTCTCTCTGAGTTATAGACTTTTGTTCCCAACGCAAGCATTTTGCAAGTCTCCTTAGCGATGGCAATTGCATCGCCAGTCAGCATCTTAACTGCGATTCCAAGGTTCTGCGACTCCATAATCGTATGAGCAGTATCGTCTGGGGCGGATCGAACATCGGTAGCATTCCCAACAAGGTCCACGGCTCGTCACCCTTCTGGACGGCGACACCAAGGGATCGGAAGCCACGGCGAGCAAACTCCGTCGCTTGCTGTCGATATAACGTGGCAATTGATTCCTCGCAGTTCGTCAACTGAAGCACTGCCTTTGGCGCTCCCTTCGTGCAAGTATACCGCTCGTCATTTAGCGTTACGACTGACACAATTCGCTTCGACACTGGATCAAATGGGATAAAGCTTTCCGTTTTCCACGGTTGCCGCAAGATTTCCTTAGCTTTCGGATATTGGTTTGCAGACAAGATGGTAACCTTATCGATCGGATCCAAAGAACGAACATTGTGAGAAGAGGCTAGAATTGCAACTGCAAACAACCAGTTGACATCAACGCCCTCGGCGACGTATGGCTCCTGGATACTGAGCTTGTTGGCAGTCAATGTTCCTGTTTTATCGGAACAGAGAATGTCCACACCCTAGTCTGGGTCAGTGCTGGGCTTGAAAATGGGTTGTGGCTCGTGAAAGAAAATCAAGCTGGGATACATACAGCCAAAGACTCGATTGCGGTAAGCTTCTGCACGATCGCCTTCTTCTTGGCCAAAATAGCCGCACCGACGGCGAGAGTGGTGGTCGTGACAACAGGCAATCCGACGGGCACGCCAATGATCAACAAAGAAAGGGTAAAGTGCAGGAGGGTTTGTTGGGCGGGACTGGCAATGGGAAGGTTGCGGAAGAAGCCTCCAATCCACATGATCAAGATCCATGCCATAACAATCACCAGCAGGGACGTGCCAATCCCGTCCATGACTATCTGGAAGTGTCCTTTTCCGACAGCGCCTAGTTGAACCATCGCCGCCGTGCGACCCACGAAGGTCTTGGTTCCAATCGCTTGAACAATGGCATAGGCCTGGCCTCGTTTGCATCCGGTCGTGTAAAACACGTCGTCACCAGCATAGCGGTCCACGGCGAGAGACTCTCCAGTAATCGCGGAATGATCGCATGCCAGAACGGGGAAGTCTCTGTGTTCGTCCTCCTCTTGAGATTCCTCCTCCTCGGCCTCGCTCTTCTTCTTCTTCTTTTCTAGCTTGCCTTCTTGCCGCATTTGCTGATAATTCCGCCAGCCTGTCTCTTTCTCTTGGTAATCGCAAACCACTTTGGCATCGGCAGGGACCGAGGTCGCCTCTTCGATGATTATCTGAACATGACAAGATGTGTTACTAGAGTTGAATGGTGAAGAAGACAGGGATCTCATCTTACCACGTCGCCGGGGACCAGGTCGCGGGCCAAGATATCGATTTCAGTTCCCTCGCGAACAACCGTACTGCGCATTGCAATATCGGCCTTCAGGCTGGCTACTACGTCCTCAGCCTGCTTTTCTTGATACCAGCCGACTGAAGCGTTCAGACAGAGAATGCCGATGATAACACCAAAGTCAATCCATTCAGCCAAACCGGCGGCGAGCAAAGCCGCGAGCTCCATAACTGTCGAGGTCCAGTTAGTGTGTCACTGTCCGCATTCGATCGGCCCGGATGCGATAGTTCCTCACCATATAGAATTGGACCTTGGAAATATCCCAAAACTTTGCGGAATTGATTGACTTTTTCCGCCGTCAATTCATTGTATCCAGTCACCTTCCGCCTTTCCTCGACCTCCGAGTCCGATAGACCGTGATTGATGTCGGTGAACTTCCAGTCATCGGGAAACTCCTGTCCGACGCCAATGTACTTCCAAAGGAATTTTCTTTTCCGCCATGGCGCAAACCACACGCGACTCTCACGAATTTCGCCTTCCTCTACGCGGTCTCCTTTCGTATCACGGTAGGTTGACATCCATCGCACCAGGCGCGTGTATTCATCGATCTTTGCATCCTCCTTGTAGGAGATAGAAGATAGTCGGCGCCCGGCATTATTTTTGACGTCGCGGTTTGGGTTATACACGGACGACATTCTTCAAAACAGGTCTCGTGAGCGCACGAGAACAACGGCGACAGGGGAAGGGGGTTGGATATTGCATTCGCTACGATGATACTCTCAGGAAGAGATCATCAAGTACGAATCAAAATGACAGAGGTTGGACTATATGAGGTAGATGCTTGACGTAGAAATGATCCGACTGGCCTGGCAACACGAGCTTTCTCGAATGAAGAAAAAGGTTTCGTCTTGATATCATCGACTTTTTGTTCGTGCCGGTTCAGAGAGACGAGGATGACGCCGAGAATGGGAAGGTTTGAAGCTCGCTTGATGTCTGGCTTATCCTAATGCATCTTATGTTCGATCGAAGCTAAAGCTACAGTTCGGTTCCGCAGAATCTAGGCGTTCGTGGCGATCCGGCGACATCCGTTAGATCTAAGCTCAGTACCAGGACTGTCATTAATGGAGTCGCAAGCCGTAAATTCTGGACCTTCCTTGTCACGGAAGTCAGAGGACCAGAAAAGCTAGAGACAACTGCTCCCCGCAGGATCCAGCGTCTATGTTAACTATTGCTGGCTTCTTTGCCATCTCTTCAACCCTAGACCTTCCTCCTTAAAATACCTTCATTCGAGCACTCTCCCAGACTACTCTACATCTCTACTGCTCAACACCTCTGATCTTTGAAATCACCCCTCCTCCATGTAAGTCATACTAGATCACGATCATGTCTTTCAACCATGGCATACCGTTGGATTTCTGACTTGCCGAAGCTGGATTTAACTCACATCAGTTCGTTACTCTCAACAACTGCGGCATTCGATGGCAGTGATTCATCCTTCCGCCGTGAGGAGTGTCCAAGTCGGCGATGAGTTCGTCAAGCGCAACTGGGCCTCGCGAGAACCCGGGCCTATTCTCGTGTTTTGCATTGTCTTTGTCGTGGGTGTTCTAATTCTTGCCCTTATTATCCAAAAATCCGTGAAGGATCGGCGGGAAGAGCGCGCGAAATGGGAGATAACAGAAATTAAGGATTGAGAGAGGTGTTTGGCCGAGTAAATTTGTAAGATCGCGTACCTAGTTGTATCTCATTCTTGATGCTTTAGCTTGAGCTGCTCCTAATATCAAACAAATCTTTGATTTTGAAATTCAAATGATTCTGTCGACCTAGTAAGTCGGTCTCTCATGAATTTCGTGTAGCGGAGCATGTCATGTCAATTCTCCATGCGATGCCAATATTGCCCCACACATCCGACGATCCGAAGTAGCCGGATTTGTGGAGAACTCCCATTGTTCCCCAGCCAGTGCGGAGAGAGAACTTAAAAATAAGCTATATGTACATTGTCACTCGTCCAGATGATCTCAAGAGCAAAATTTCCTGCTTTTTTCCGCCCTTTCTTAGGGCCAGGTCTGGGCTTGATCTGACTGACGACACACCACGGATCATGCTCGGCTCCTTTGCCCCAGATGATTGACTTTGCACCGTCTTCCGGTTTGAAAATGATAGATCGATTATATCACGGATAGGATGCTGAGGCTGCTGGTACAGTGGTACCAAGTACCATGACACTATGATCTTGCCGAGATGACCTTTTCACGACTCAAAGTGAAGTGTGGCGCTTCTTCCATTGAGCACGACTGGACCTTTTCACTGATCTAGGCCTGTTCGACCAGAACACTTCAAATTAAGTTTCTCCATTCCATGGACACCTCCTCCATTCCCCGCATGTTCACCTGCGCAGATGATACAACGGTCAAAGGTGTTCAGGCCGTCGATGTGCTGATGTGCTGATGTGCTGGTCAGAATCACGCAGGAGGGCTACGTGTCTTTTTTTCTATCCGTGGCAGAATGTTATTTCAGAAGCCTCGACGGCGATGGATTCTATCTGAACCGCCTCGATTCAGTTGAACAACAAGCAGCCCTCGACCATGTTGAAACACACGCAAATCGCAAGCACAACGTCGGAAGTATCTGTTCCTCATTCCCGACAAGAAATCGTAACAAAAATATTCGCAAGCCTCTCAAAGACCCCCTGCGCCCAATCGGCTTACGCTATGACTACATGGCGGAGCAGAAGAGGCACCTCACCCTGTACCCAGTCGGTAGTGCCGTCTCCGAATGCGCCTATTCAATCCACGATGAGAATGGTGCCGTTCTCTTTACCGTCAGCGGGCGAAGATGTAGCCCGCATTGCTGTCGGGAGGTGCGAGATCAATCTGGTCTACCCTTGTTCGAAATCCATCAAAGATCGCGCTGGGTGCGCGATGCATGGACCATATCCCTTCCTGGTTGCCGGACCGACCCCATCGCCGTCGGTCGGCGCAGTCTCGGCGGAGATCTGCATTTGGAGCTGGAGAACTTGCTAGAGGTAGATTGCAACGTGAAAGACCGCAATTTACCCATCGACCTTGAGAGTCATGGCCGGGTTCTGAAGATGTATGACGTGGTGGATGGAAATCGTAGGATAATGGAAATCAAAGAGAGTATTCGGTACAATAAGAAATTAGCGTTGTTGTCCCTCTGCCAGGCGGGATATCGGCCTGCCATGGATATGGTGATTATGCCAGGCGTGGATTTGGCCATGGTAAGTCTTTCCACTTAGCTGAATTGCATCAGTCAGGTCTGATCGAAAACATAGGCGGTAGCGATTGCGGTGGTTGTATCTGCATCGAGTTTTCCGGCCAACCGGACTTGCTAGTGAGGTGACGATGTTTGATGTTGATTGATAGCGCAGGATATCAGGTTATGACATGAAGTGATGATTCTCCAAATATTATGGGCTTGGGGCGAAAAGCAAGGCGTTCGGTGTTTGTGGATCCATTAACCATGAAGGGTCATGTTTAACACGTTTTGAGATTGCGCTCTCGTTGATCCTGTACCCTCTAAATCTACCTCTTGGGGGGAATTGAAGTGGATTTTAGCGCCCTACAATTAGGGTTTAATTTATTTGTACTCAGTAACTATAGGCTTAGGCAAATACAAGAGGGTGCCCTGGTCCCGAGTATTCTACTGGTTTAGATTTTTAACAACCTCCAAACTCCTTAGTGTTTCTAATCTTTCCGAATTTTGATTTCATCAAACAATTTTCTGAGGTAGTTACAAGGGTTCAAAAGTAGAATTATTTCTAAGAGGTATGTGGTATGGCCGGCCGCTCCACTAATATTAAATCTTCATCACCCACCACCACGCGTATCACCTAGGTACCGCTGTGCGCGATTATATTTTTTTAAACTAGAGATACCATACAGTAGTATTCCCGATGATCAACTTGAATATTTAACAATTTCCTTTTTTATACGCAGAAATATTGAACAATTAATCACACGCACTTCTCACAAGACATTCTGAAAATTTGAAAATTTTGGGAGAAATTCAGAATGTCGGCAAGGGGCCAAATATCAAACGTCATAAAAGCCCTTTGCTTTCCAGAAGGCCAAGAACTGATTCAGCTGACCAGGACTGAAGGGAACATATCTGATGTTTGGAGCGTCTGCAAGAGCGGTTACAGCCTTAGTAGCATCATAATGAGGCGTATCCCGACTTGTCTCAAATCTCGTCAGCTCACCCCAGACTTTCTCTTGCAAAAGAGGCATCAAAGGCATCAGAGGGTTATCTTTATTCTTAGGGTCATGGAGCCTCTTCACCCAGTCCCAGTATGGGATCCTCTGCACAGGATGCCCAGCATTATTGATGACCTCAGCTGTCTTTTCCAAGTTCACCGAATCAGAAGGATCAGGAGCCACAAGACTAAACGAGTTATCCAGGTTTTGGTTGTTGGAAGCAATATGTAGCATGGCATCGCAGACATAGTCTGTCGTCACATATTCCATCCGTTGTCGAGGCAAGTGAGGAAACGCCCCGATCTGAATCGATCCAACCATGAGACGAGCAAAGAAATCGTCTGGATTTCCAGCGCCCGTTTTGGAGTCTCCAATGACAAATCCGGGTCGATAAATCGCTGTCGGAACACCTCGATCGCGAGCACGACGCACCATCGTTTCCGATACCCATTTACTGGCTGCGTATCCGATGTCGTATGGAAGTCCTTTCAGGTTTGGCTCGAGAGTATCATCTTCGAGACATCTGCGGGTGCCCAGGATCAAACCATTTGGACCCCATGCGTCAATACTGGAAGTGAAGTGGAATGACTTTCGTCGGCCGGCGGTGGCAACTTGGAGTGCGTGCTTCGTGCCCAAGACGTTCGTTTCGAAATGAGCTTCGTAAGGCTCGCAGAAATTTACTTTCGCTCCCAGGTGGAACACACAGCTTGCCCACTGCGAGAGCCAGGAGAAATCATCCGGGCCAAGGCCAAGTCTGTCTTGAGTAATGTCACCATCAAGTACTATAAGCTTGGCAAAACTGGAAGCGGTAGTATCCCACAGGTCATACTTCCTCAAAACTTGCTCAACACGAAGACGAGGTGCTGTATTGTTTCTGGTCCGTACAAGGCAAGCAACGTGCTTCACAGATGGATGGCGAAGAAGGCGAGCAAGGAAATTGACACCGACGAATCCAGTTGCCCCAGTCATAAAAGCACGACCTTCACCCTCTGAGAGCCATTCTGGAGTTTTTCCTGGGATGGCAGTAAGCTCATCTGCCAGACAGGAATCTCGTTTCCACTTGTCAGATTGATGTGTTGCCACATTCCCTTCGGCAAACTCGACTAAATAAGCGACAAAGTCCATGAACCGGGAGTTTTGGTGCAGGGCTCTCATGGAAACTGTTTTCCCCATCGTTACTCGTAACTTGCTAATCAGATTCGCTGATTTGAGAGACGAGCCTCCAAGGGCAAAGAAGTCATCTTCATCGTTGATGGTTGGCACCCCGAGCAACGAAGACCAAAGATCTCGCACCATGGCGATGAATTTCGTGTCACCACCCCGTCATTGGTCGTCTTTTGCGCCTTTTCATACTCCTCCCAGTATGATTTCTTAAGTGATTTCAGATCCACTTTGTTGCTCGCTGTCAGGGGGAAGCTCGAGCAGAAAACAATCGCCCGCGGTATCATATACGCCGGCATTCTTTCTGATGCCCATGCAAAGATCAGGCTCTTCGGAATGCCAGCCACTCGATTCGTAACGAATGCAACAAGGAACGGGTTGGCCTGTTCATGCTGCTGAACCTGCTCCACTACAACTGCGGTAAACCATTCACTCGAAAGCAATTTCCGCTCGATCTCCTCTAGCTCAACACGGAACCCGTCTTGTTTGACTTGTCGGTCGGCTCGTCCCACAAAATCAAGTATACCAGAAGGTTGGTCTCTCCACTGTCCCAAATCTCCTGTCTTGTATAAAGTCACCGTATTCTGGTTTTCAACTCCTAGCTTCGAACCAGAAAATTTGAGGAAACGCGCCGCAGTCTCTTCTGGTCTTCCGATGTAGCCAGATGACATTCCTGGACCACCGATGAAAATCTCTCCAGGTGTTTCGGCTGTGGTGATCAGCGTGAGATTCTCATCCATCAAGAAGACACTGTCGCCGCTGGGCCGACCGATGCCAATCTTCTCACCCTGAGCTTCATCGGGAGTTACAAGTTGAAGTGTCGAATAGGTCGTCGTCTCGGTTGGGCCATACGTGTTCCAGAGACGTTCAGGTGGTCCTCCGGACTCTAGAATCGTCCGCATGGCTAGAGGGCTTGCAACTTCACCAGCACAAAGGACCTCCCGGGCGTTTTTGAAAGCTGTAGGGCAGGCTAAAGCTGTTGCATTGAAGAGCGAAGTAGTCAAAAATACAACACTTAACCGGCGTTCTGCAATAAAGTTCCGGAACGCAAGAGGGTCAATCACAACCTCCCTGGGAACAACGACAATACAGGCACCCGAAAGAAGCGTAGCCCACACTTCAAAAAGCGACAAGTCAAATCCCGAGTTATTGATCATTGAGACTCGATCATTTGCTTTGAGCGGCGTGAGCGCAGTCGCGGTGGCAAGATGAACCAGGCAGGTAGGCGAAATCTGAACTGCCTTGGGCTTGCCAGTTGATCCAGACGTGTAAAGAATATGGCTTCGGCTTGCCTCTCCAATCGGAGCCTGGTGAGACGATGAGTCTTGATGGTAGCTCGCAGGTTTATCCAATGACATCGGTATCATCGAAAGACCCAGGTCCTCGAATCCACCGGGGGTGATGGCGTATCGAACTTTGATGTCACCAAGCATCTCCCGGATACGGAGCTTGGGAAGGTCAGGGTTCAAGGGCACACATGTCAGGTTCAGACGAAGAAGCGCCACCTGGGCAACAACCATCTCGGCGCTTGGGCCGAAGATTATGGCAATGGGCTCTTCGGCCTCGACGGGATACTTCGAGATGGCTTGCATCAGGGAGCCCGCTTGCTCCAAAAGGTCATTGTATGTCAGGGTATGCGTGCCATCCTCAATAGCTAGGGCGCTGGGACGCTCACTAGCAATCTTGGTCAACAGACAATTCATTGTGACTGCTTTGATAATCAGATCAAAAGAGGTATATTAAAAGGCAAGTGGAGATTTGGAAGAGAACAAAAAGTATAGTATTTGGATGGCAGAAAGCACTGTTGAATATGAGAAAGTAATTATAAACAAAGAATAGTAAGAGCAGGTGGGAAATCGGTTTAAATAACCTTCTTGATAATTTTATTCCAGCGCTCCTTAGAAACAAAATTCTCCCACTCTTGTTGTAAGATATCACCTCGGGAAAGTATCCTATAACATCTGACGTAGTATAGCAAGTCATCAAAGTGTTGGCATAAACCAACTACCGCGAATTCATTTGATCTGCTGGCGAGGTAGTCTGCTGGTCAATGCAGGAGGCTATTTCCAGCAAAACATTATATCATATCCAGTTCATTCATCTCATGGATGGTGGGCTTCCTTGATTGAGAGAGACGATCATATTTATAAAAAATCTTCCTATCGGTGTGAATTTCCATTTTCGAACTTTCCTGCGGTTCAAAAATGGTCGAATAGGTCAAAGCATAAGAAGGGACGGGCTCAGATAGCATTTAGGCTGTTATAACGAGACTTTAGTGTGCAAAAGATTACAAGTGGCGATGTAAATCAAATTGTATCATATACTTAGTCGAACCCATCTACGCTAATCGCGGGAAATCAATAAAGCAAAAAAGCCAGACCATGTACGTTTTCACAGGTTCCCGGGGAAATTGCCGGGTCTGTACTGTACAACACCATTTTCTGTTGACTTATTGTTCTCCGCCGCTCATTTCCATTGGCCAGGAAGAAAGGAAATGCTGAAAGCACGTACATTGCCTCGAACCATCCATCGTTCTTGCGAAGAACTCTACTCAAACAAAATTTATTTTGCATTTTATTGAGTTGGCTACTAAAAGCAGTATGCGCAACATTCATTCCAATCAGTAACCAAGATCCTAAAATACGTAAATCTTAGATCTTGCAATGGATCCCTGTCAAGATGTGTACCATAGTGTTATACTTCCACAAAATATGCGGGGGTGGATCATTTCTCCGTCTAAGGTCGAATTCCCAGATGTTCCGGGCGATCGGATCCTGTCAACTCGGGTATTGACGTCTAATATCCGCATTGATCGTGCCAGAAAAGGGCAGGGAGGCTCCACCGTCCGTGGTAGTACATAGACTTGGTGTGAGGCCGTAAAGTTAATGTTGTGTAACCCATACTGACGTTCACCATCTGAGCGCCTTCGCGAAAGCACGATCGTCTAAAACAGGTAAAGATCGCTTGTCGGGGATACCTGCCACGAATAGAAACGCGAAACAAAGAAGCAAATGATCCTACGCTCCAAAATAGATCTTTGAATATCACATTTCAGGAGGGAAAAGTCACATTCGGGCCAACTGAGCACGGTTAACCGTTAACATAGTGCCTCGCGAACAATATTATTGCTTGGTCAAGCTCTATTCGGATGAACGGCATTTGGTAACAGCACCATGAACGTGTCCGACGCCCGATTCACAATACAATTCTGTTGATCCACCGGTGTGGGAGCGGGCGACAGAAAAGGGGGTAGAGTCATGCGGCTGGAGGCTGGTCGGCTACGTCAGGAGGTCGAGATTCACAGTCTTGGAGAGGTATTTGGAGAAGGTGTCGTCGAAGATCCATGCATAGTCAATTCCCGCCTTCATTCGTCGGGACACCGTGCGTCCCCTCAGAGACCTTGTCGGCCTCGCCCTTCCAAATCCATTTGAACGGACTCCGGGCCAATGCGAGCCATTTTGTCAATGATGACGGCTGGCTGGTTGAGAGATCCGGCTTGCGCGGTTGTTGTGGCGGGCAGGTTGTCGGTGAAAACGGTGTTCAAAATGGCTCTGGAGTTAATCGGGGAAAAAAATGCTTTGTCTGAGCTATCCCTGTGGAAATGAAGAGCAGGCATAAATGGAGATGCAATTTTAGTATGCTTTGACCATTCACAACGACCAGCGCATACTAGTACAACAGTATCATATTAACCCGAAATAGGTTGCTCATTTATTTCAAAACCTTGAAACGGAGCTCTATATTATTTGAGAGCAAACAAAAAATGCCTAACGGCCCCGGTGGATACCCAAGTACTATCATTCTCTGTTTGCTAGCAAAGATACTAGCTACCGCAATGTAAAACCTTGGATAATACGGTATTTTACAACAGGTTCAGGAGTACAGAGCTTTCTGTCAATTTCATATATACTTAGATTTCACCCTCATTTCTAGTACTCTGAATGTCTCGAGCGTGATATCCATTATGAGATACAAAATGTAAATATGAGTACTAGTATATTTACTCCTATAGTTCGGCACCTCCCGGCCTTCCATTCCCATAATATCACAGTTCCAATATTCAAAGGGATAGAGACGTGTAAATGAAGGTAGTCCAAGGGCGATGACCTCCAAGGAAGGGAAATACACTCCAAGGGGCGGTCAGGCGTGAGCATTACTGCAAGATTAGCTGACGAGCGCAATGCTTAGAGACAGCGATTATGAGATATGAAAAAGGTTATATACTTACTATCAATATCTCGCTTTAAACAATTCTCAATTAATTTGGGAAGTATCGGAGTAGAACTAAGTATACCTCCCGGCTACCATCTCAGGTATGCTAATAAGCTCCAATGCCCATTCAAAAATGGGGATAAATTATACCACGAAGATATAAATTACATCTTCTGCAATTTAGGATCGGCATTCTCCGTAACCAATAATCTAGTTATATATCATTATCATTATCTATAGATCCATGGATGCGATGCCTTCCTGCACCACCCAACTTAACCATCTTCTCTCATGATAAAATAATAATAATAATCCTGACCAATCCTGAGCAGTGCCCTTGTATTTCTGATCAAGTTAAATTTACAAGTATACAACAACTATGTATGTTCCTGGATGCTGGACAAGCTCTACCAATCGGGGGCGGGTGAATTGTTATCGGCGGGGGAAAGTGGGGGATCCCATCGAATACTTTTTTTTGGAGAAAAATTTCCCATCATCCCACTTTGAATCTCTACACCCCACCACTTCACCTCCCTCTCCCTCCAACCACGAACAATATGGGCTCTGAAATGGAGGCAGCCCCTGTGCTGTCAACACCGGACGATCGAATCCTGGAAGAAGCCCAGCCCATCGCCCCCGTCGATCCCACAAAGCGCATCTCCGACGACGAACTCTCCATCACCTATGACATCGAGCGCACTCTAAAGGAGATCCGCCAGGCGCGGTATAAGCGCATCGCCCTTCAATTCCCCGATGATATGCTCCCAGATGCCCCGCGGGTATTCCAACTGCTTAGCCGGGGTCTGAATTCGGAGGAAGCCGTCGCGAATGGCACCACTTCTGCTGGCCAGACAAACGGTGGCGCCACAGAGGTGGAGGGCACTGGCACTGGCGACATCACTCATGGAGTGTCTCAGCTTGCAGTGGAGGGTCAGGGGCAGGAGCAGGCCGAGAAATGGTCACCCCGGTTGTATATTCTGGCCGATACCTCATACGGAACCTGCTGTGTGGACGAAGTGGCTGCCGAACATGTGGATGCAGATGTCGTGGTACACTATGGGAGATCGTGCCTGTCACCCACGGCTAGACTGCCGGTAATCTACGTCTTCACCTGCAAGCCGCTTTCCATCGATCCCGTGGTTCAAGCCTTCAAAGAAACTTATCCCGATACAACGACTAGACTGATTCTAGCTGCCGATGTTACCTACACCCACCATATTCCGGCGCTGTATGAGCGTCTGCTGAAAGAGGGTTACAGCAATTTGTTTGCTACGGATATCGTTCACGAGCCTTCATCGGCTATTCCGAACCGTACCGTCCCGGATTCTGTACGAGAGGCACCAGAGACACTGTCGGAGTGGCAGCTGTTCCACGTCTCTGACCCACCAACTGCCCTCCTCATGACTCTTGCGTCGCGTGTCGCTGCCATTCATATCTATCCCACCGATACCCAGGGCAATGAAAATGTCAAGCCATTGCCAGCATCTACATCGGCAGCTTTGCGCCGCCGCTATGCGATCACGACGCGTCTAACCACCGTTCCGATTTGGGGGATCCTGATCAACACGCTGAGCGTCAAGAATTACCTACATATTGTGAATCACGTCAAAGAACAGATTGCGGCCGCCGGCAAGAAGAGCTACATGTTTGTTGTGGGCAAGCTGAATGCTGCCAAGGTAGCCAACTTCAGTGAAATCGGTGGGTGGGTGGTTATTGGCTGCTGGGAGAGCTCACTGGTGGACAGCAAGGATTTCTGGAAGCCGGTGATTACGCCGTTCGAATTGGAACTGGCTTTGAAGGACGACGCCGAACGGGTGTGGACTGGTGCCTGGCAGAGTGATTTCCAGGCCATCCTCGACAAGCCACAGGAGGAGTCGACGGAAGGGGAAGAAGCAGCGGACGGTGCGACCGTGGACGATGATGATATGTCGGAACCCGAAAGTGCACCGCCGGAATTTGACCTGCGCACTGGACGATACGTCTCGCATTCCCGACCGATGCGAGAACCCGCACCCCGCGCTTCAGCTGCTCAGATCAATGGATCGACCGGTCCATCCGCTGCTAGGGCATTAGCCCGGCGGGCTAAGGGGGACCTAGCGATGATCGGCGGGGCGGTTTCGCCCGGTGCGGAATTCCTACGGTCGCAGCGAACGTGGCAGGGACTGGGCAGTGATTTCGATATTCGATATGACGAGGAGGGGGAAGAGGATGACAGCACGTTGGTTAAGGAAGGGCGCTCGGGTATTGCTCGGGGGTATACAGTGGGAGAAGGCGAGAAACACTAGACTGCCAGTGTGTATACCAGTGATGCATCCAAGACTTCAAGTTTGCCGAAGTCACGCTTACTATCCATGGATGCCTGACCACAAAGCCACTGCCCAGGTGGTTAGCCCGTATAAAACATAACCTTGGAAGTATATATAGTATGTATATAAATGAAACCATGACCCCATTCTTCAAGTTTACAGAGTACCCTATTCCCACATTGGATACTATTGGATTCTATTATAATAATACTATCAAACCTCGTCACCTTCCTGTCCGTATTTCCGTAATCCCTCCGAGTCTAGTCTCAGTTGAAGTTCAATATGAAGCTGGTGTACTATTGTATAGCATCACATGACAGTCCCATCCGTCCAATCAGTCCACTGGCAGTCCAGAAGAACTTCGTATCAACTTGAGCTTTCCTCTTCCTCTTCTTCCTCCTCAATCATCAATCTTCGCTTTGATCCTCATCTCATCCTCATCATTCCTCCCCCTTTTTATCCCATCTTATCCTCCCTTCCACTCCCTCTTCGCCCCCCTCTTCCCCCCACTCTCTCCCTGGCTGCCCCTTAGCGCCCCCAAAAGCGACCCAAACCGATCCACCGCTTATCGATTGCCCCAGTCCCAGTCCCAGTCCCAGTCCCAGTCCCAGTCCGGGCGCCCGGCAATCTCCAACGTTGAACGTTGAACCTGAAGCATTCGACTCGCAATTTCATGGCCTGCGATGCATGTTTGCCTTGAGATGTGATTGTCATACTATCCAGTTCGTCTTATCATGCTCTGCGCTTGCTCTGGAACCGTCCGCGACTTCGCGTTCCTCGACTCTTCAGCATTATGGACGTTTGCGCCAGTCAAGCTGCTGGCGCTGGCGCCAACGCCGAGCAGGCTCAGGCTGGACAGGCAACCCCCACTGAAGTGAATATCGCGGTGGAAAATGCTCGAGATCTATCCGAGATTCGATTCGATCGACTTCTGTCACAGTTTGAACGATGTATTACTTTCAATGCTCCCGTCCTCGAATCACTCCTCCTCCAGCTTCCTACCGACTCTATCTTCAAGCTCTACCAAACCTCCCACTACCTCCGCACGTTTTTTCGATCCTATCCGACCGCATGGAAGTCCCTCTCCTTTCGTTTGCTGTATCCTTCAACGCCGTCAACGCTACCCCAGCTCATCCCGCCAGCAACGTCAGATCGCGAGGCGCAAGTCTCACCTGAGCGACAATCCCGACCGTATGCCTTGGATCAGCTGCTGATGAACGTGCTGGCTCCCTTCACGACTTGCCTCAGGAGCCTGGAATTGGATAACACGGCTGTATCGGGGCAGATTCTCGTCTCGACGGTGATGCACGCGCGCTGTGAGACCCTGGAGCATCTTTCGATTCGCGGGTGCAAACATGTCTCTCTCAAATATCACATTGTTCCATATCTGAACCTGCTTGGACTACAGCAGGATGTCGACAAAGCGACGAGTTTCGGCTCTTTCCAACCCAGGAAGCGCCTGGCGCTTAAAAGTCTGTACGCATACCGGTCACGTCACCATCGCCGACGACCTTATCTCGCTTCGTCAATATTTCGCAAAGACTCCGACGCTGAACCGACCCACGAGCTCGTTAACCTCTGCCACAAGCTGGGAATTTGGACCGATACAGCCTGGTGTACAACACCTGCCGGCAGGTGTTTCCGCAGGCGCGGGTATGTTGCGATGCGAGACCCGCAGGGTATGACAGAAGCCTGGGTTGCGTTCGATCGACTTTGGCGGTGCAAGAATTGGATTGGACCGTATAATGGCGACGGCGAACCATGGGAAACCCGCAGCGGTAGGCTCTGGGAAAGCGAGGACACTGGCTGTTTCGGCGAAGCTTTGGGTAGCGGCGAAGGTCCCGAGGCCGGCGAGGGCAAAATGGTACCCGCCCATCTTCGCCGCAGCCATAGGCAGTTTGTCCACGATGTCAAGTGCGATAACTGTGGTGACGAGATTCAAGAAAGATGTGAGCAGTGCAGCATTTTGATGCATTGTGTGGGATGTCGCAAGACGCTCTGCGCCAGCTGTGCCTATGAGCGACCATATCTTCGACAGGAAGCCTTATTTATGTCCTCGAACAATACTCATAATACCAGCGCTCATTCGCACTCTACTGCCCAAGCCCATCACAGCACAAATACATCAGACCCTTTATGGTGGGCACCCGGGGCTGTACACTCTCCCAGCTCGATGGAAGATCCCATATCAAATTCACTCGATGGCAACCCTTTACACGGACTCCCACGCACGCCGGACCCCGTGCTTAGATTTCACTGGTGTTGTGCTGAACCCTACTTTTCTGGAGGAGGCGGCATCAGTATTGGCACACCCAGTCGTGATGTAGACCAAGTGCGGGCAGTACCTTTACCTCGGAATCAGGGCTGGGAAGATCTAGAGTACACCGTCAGCGAGTGGAGCAAGACATTCCCAAAGTATGCCTATGGCGATCCCAGCAAGCCGGACTATACACTGGAAACAGGTCATCTTGCGATGATGAAATGGCTGCTGGGGCCACCCGGCGAAAAACTTCGCCTTGCCCTCGCAATCTTTGCCAAGAATGCTACGACTCTCCTCAGTGGAAGGTGCATTGCAAGAGTTGCTCCAAGCCCCTCTGCATCGAACACGACCTGCGTGGGCTTCGATTGCGCATCTGTGGTTACAAGGAACTTGGATATGAGAAGCTGACCATCCAAAATCGATCGACAGTCGCTGCTGCTGCTTCGTCATCTGATGCCCGGCCGAGCCAGCCCATGCCAACTAGTCATGATCTGCCTTTCCGGACGCAACGTCTAATGGATTCAACCAACAGCAGCTACATTGACGGCCCACCGGGCGACGCGCTCGGTGACGAAGACCTCTTCGAAGCGCCGAACGATCACGGATCAACTCGCCCTTTCTTTCCACGAACTCCCACTCGCTCATTCTCTGCCCCACCATCTAGTAATTCCGGATGCTCTTCCCCGTCAACCAGCTCTTTTGAGTCCACAATCGAGGGGTCACGCTGGCAAGGTTGTCAGTCCTTCTTTTGTCCCAAGATCCGTGCGGCTGGAGACCGTCGCCAGAGTTGCCCTAGCTATCTTCGCCAATGCAAAGAATGCGCTGTCTTCGTTTGCCAGGACTGCGTCCTGGCCAACCCGCCCTGCAAGTGTGCCTACTGCCAGGATAACTACAAGTGTCCAAATTGCGTGTTGAAAAACACCAACCCCGGCGGGCCCTGTCGCCGTCAAGAGGATGAAAAGGCACGGAAGGAGCGGAAATGGAAAAAGGATATGCAGGAGCTGGAGAAGATCCTCCAACTCAAGTTGGCCAATGAAGTTGCCGAGTTCGCAGGTCAATTTTTCTACTCTCTCGAACTTGACCATGACCACGTCCATGCTCCCGCAGTCCCCGTCGAAGTTCCGATCAACCATTCCCTGGCCGATGGGCCTTCTGTCACGACCGCCTCTCAGAGAGTTCCCTCCGGACTGACCGATATGACGATGGCGATGGAGCCTGGTCTGTTCATCGATCCGGAAGACATGCCTCCGCTTTGTGAGTCGGAGTAGACCCTCCACAAAGACAGACGAGTGATTGCGCCCTTTCACACCGTTCTTCACATCTACTCTCTTGATTTTCCCACCTTTTTTTGCCATCTCTCGGTTTCATTAGCGATTTCATCCGATGGCGTCAGCGGGCGTACTATTTCTCTTCAAATCTTTCGTCTTTGCCCATTTATCCCTATCACTCCCACTTCTCTTTTCCTTTATCTATTATTTTTATGGCCCCGCTCAACTCTTCCGTGGCTCAGATTCATGGAGCCAATTCCTCGAAGCAAAGCAAATCGCAACCAATGCATCGGCAGGCATAAACCCTAACGGTTTCCGAAGTATTGTGGACAGGGAACCGGCATCCTCAGCTTCTTTGTTTCTAAGCGCCCCGATCAACCCCTTCTTGCGAACTGGCCCAGGTCTGCATCTACGGGCACATCACCGCATCATACCGCGTCCCTCGTCCTACTGGTAGTTCATTTCGTCTTCAAGGGGCAGGGGCACAATCTGCGGGAGGGGGCGATGAGAATTGTGGACCAATAGACGCAGGCACAAACACTGCACCGACCACATGCGACCAAATGGGCCAAAAAAGCAACCTTTTCTCTTTTTGCGCCCCTTGTCCATCACCCTGGCCATCATCTTGGCTGCGGTATGGTCAGGGCAAGGCTGGATTTCCCACTGACATCATCCCGGGCTGTGATCCTTACCATGTACTCTGTGTTCCGTACGTGGAAATGAGTGTTGTCAAAAGGTATATTATTATATCTTTTTTTTTCCTTCTCGACTTTTTGTGGTGTTGTTGTGCTTCTCTTTCTATCGGGCTGGAATTGGGGTTGATTCCAGGTGCGAGCACCACAGTACTCTACTTCTTCTGTCTAGATTTGTCGGGTTTCTTATGTATATTGTTAGTATTTACAGCTACTAGCCAATCTACTTCCTCACCCGGGGCTGCGTCTTTACCAAACTGAGTCGTATCGAATCCAGGGCCAGTGGAGCTCAGTGGACTACACCTGGCAAATATTAGTCCTATACAGGTAGCTCTTAGTGCTGCTATCCCATTGCGGCTTCTACTACACAGGCATTTCTACCACTATCTTGGTCACTAAGCCATTCTAAGGTTATTAGCAGGGTACCCTAGAGCCGGTACAGTATCATATGATCCCATCGCGTTCCTGGAATAGACTTGGGCAATTCAAGTTCTACGGAGTATGTCCGGAATCCTCTGCATAAAGAATACTCGTAGACCTCAGAAACAGAATAGATACATCAAAATCTCAAGCCACCGAAATCCAGAACCTGGAACCTGGAACCTATTGTGGAACCACCAATGTCCCGACAACGTCTCCATAGTAGACACTAGGCGTACTGGTACATATTGTAGATCAGATCGTGCCACCCGTCCCGGTATCCACAGTCCAAGAGCCCCGCTAACTGAACCGAACTGATCTAGAACTAGAACTGGTTAGACTAGACCAGACTAGACTGGGAGGAAAGGAAGAGAGACAGGTCAATAGTACGAAAAACAACAGGATCTGAATCCGATTGGTCGGGAGTACCCCGGGCGAAGGATAGTTGGTTCATCGACGCATTCCTTCGACTATCATTTCTCCACATCCTTACTTAGTTGGACTAGCTAGGGGGGTTTTTTGGGCCCTAAAGTCACGGAGTACGCCGGCAAACACTGTTTGCGCTGATGTACCGATTACAGTACTCCGTACACTGCCACGCTTGATGCGTTGCGCTACCCTACGCTTCACCCCTAGATTGTGTGGGGCTGGCAACTTGAATGCATTGATCGTACTTTGGTCTGGACAGGTAACGCAATATGGGGTCCGAATATGGTAATCCATGGTACAAATGTTGGATCGGCGGCTGGTGGTCGTACTTTTGCCGAAGCAAAAGTCCCTTTTTTGGTGGTCTGGTGATTTGATTTTGGTTTGATTTGACTCTTCTGTACCAAGTACGAAGGGCTCCGCCCGCTACGAAGGCATTAAATGGATGATCTTTCTTGAATCAGGTTGCTTGTAATTGTTTGCTCCCGTGGCAGATTGGGATAATGTTGACGTGGCATTGCCTTGCTTCGTTGTTTTTCTTTTTCTTCCTTCCTTTCGTTGCCTAGATTAGTGTCTTTGATGTCGGTGTAAAGCATGGAGTACCATCGGAAGTATGTAGTCACTGATTTCTAAGCGAGGTAGACCGATTCCTGGAATTAAAGATCCCGTTCGATGGCTTCGCTGGTTGTGATCGTAATGGATTGCATCGCGGGCTGCCTGAATGGCATAGTTCTCGTCTCCACAGAGCTTGTTTCCATAGGCGGATTGTAGATGGACAAAGTACCTTGCCTTGTTGGCGGGTCATCTTCGGCCTTTCTGTATGGGTACGCTGTTGGAGCGGTGACATGCTGATCAAACATCGTCCTTGTCCTGGCTTGGGCACGGGACTGTTGCTCTCTGCGGATTTTATCGGTGAGATCCAAGATGACTCAAATATCTCCATGGGCAACAGGGAGCCACACTTGCAAAAGGAAAAAGAAAAAAAAAAAGGGAAACCTGCTTTGGTGTTGCACTGTTTCAAGTGCAAGGTCAGGCTTAATCCGCGGTGAAGATGACTTGGCGATCCACTCTTCTTCGATCCTTCTACTTGGCTTCGATCTAATCATTTAGGCTGGGCGGCTATAGTTGCTTCTGCTATTGCTGCTGCTGCTACCAAAACCCAACGGGGTCAGTGCCCTTCACTTGGCCCAAAGAAGAAATCTTGCTCCGACATGGCCATCAACAAGACCAGCATTGTAAACCTTGGAAGTAGGCGCACAGACAGAGGCAGTGACATAGGCACTGGCACTGGCATGGTGACTGACGTCCGTAGCGAATGTTGTGCCGAAACTCTGAAACTCCGAAACTCCGACGCACGCGAGCCCGCGGTCAGTGAGCGAGTATCACACCGACAGGGCTGCACCGCTAAACTGCCGACATCGTCAGTTCTTTTTCCCGTTCTTGTGGTCGAGGGCTGAGGCCCCGTCATCTGACGGGCAAAGAGTCGGTCGGGTACGTGTCTGCACGTATCTGGATGTACCCAAAACACCTCCGCCAGTTAAGTTGAGCCCGAGACTGGGGGTTTGAGCCCGAACCCGGGCACCACCAGGGTTCAACGGATATGCATTTCCGATGCGACGGGGTCAAGATAGAGTGGACAACAGACAACAGAGAACGGCGCAGGGACAACAGAACATCAGTTAGACGAGTATAGATCAATAGTTCCACGTGGATTGAAAGATGCAACGTCCCGGGGCGTCGTTGATGGGAAGGTGGGGAATTCCTCCATGCAGGGTGATTGGCAAAAACCAAAAGAAACAAGACCGAAGGAGATAAACTGGTTGTTCGGGCGGTCTATCCGAGATGAGGGGTGACGAATCAGAAGTTGCATGTACACTGCGACCTTGTCACCATTTTTCCATCACCTACTCGTACTCGGATGCGCAGCACCACAGAGATGCAGAAATCGGGCGTGGATCACCTGGGATCAACCTAACCCAACTGCCCGGGCCCAGTGACGCCACTTGATGGGGGGCGTCATCTTTCCCCCTTTTCTTTTCTTTTCTTCTCCTTTTGGGTTAGGTCCAGCTCGGGGGGAGTTCGTTTTTTGCTCCATCCTATCCCAGTGCCAACCCTTTAGGCGTCAACCTAGGGGAAAGGGACCGGATAGTAGATCGGTTGGCGCGGAAGGCAAAGTCAAAGCCCCCGATTGGCGCGGGATGCGCTGGAGTGTCGCAGGGAGAGATCCTATTAGTCTCTCAAAATGGCGGGTGGAGGGAGGGGGGCGAGAAGAGGATCGAGGGGGAACACAGATCACGCACAGGCACTGAGACTGACATCACGGCAAGACTGGTCTGTGGGCAATTGGTGGATGACCAATAGGAGATAGTGGATATGCCAACAGCAGGTTAGGCGGACCGCTCAGCCGAATCCAAGGGGAAAAGTAGTGGGGGATGTGAGTGGTGGAGGATGTCAGGAAGTGGAGGAGGGAGAGGTTCGGCTTGGGAGAAGTCGGTGAGGAGGAACTCGTGACGACGACGGAGAAGGAGAGAGCAAACAAACACTGACTTGATGATTAAGAATTAAAGAAAATAAAGAATAAAATAAAATAAAAATAAAAATAAAAATAAATTTATGTAATCTTTATTTGATTTTTATTTGATTTTATTCTAATTTATTTTAATTAAGAATTCTGGATTTCCTTTCGATCATTCCAGTATATAAAGGGGCCTCCTTCCGAGCCGCAGACATTTTTGACTCGAGCAGATCATACTTTGACAAGACTAAGACTCGGAGTACTTCTATTCTTCTATTCTACTCTTCTTAACTTGACTTCTTGACTTCCTCAAGTTTCTTGAGTATTTACTCTCCTCTACTCTCTTGAGTGCACTCTCCATACTCCCTCCACCACACACACTTCCACTCACACACCCACCATGGACTCTGTCAAGACAAAAGGCGTCGCGTCAGAAAAGAAGGACGACAAGCCAATGAGTGTCGAGCAATATCAGCGTCAATGGGAACAGCTGATGGACGACACAGCAAAGCAAATCCAAAAGATTCGAGGTAGGTGACATCTGATCTATCACCGTTACTCAAGCCCCAACCTTGAACCTTCGCGCTGACCATCCCCTTTTAGACGATGAGCAAGCAAGGAAGGCCGCCCAGACCTCGCGATAATTTCATTTCATAACGTCACTGCGTCACTGCGTATATGTTGATCGCTTGATCTGGAGTTGGAGTTGGAGTTGGAGTTGGAGTTAGTTGGGTGGTTCTGTTCTGGATTCCACTGGGGCATGGGCATGGGCATGGCATTTCATTATATTTCGAATTCACCTGGTTACCTGGTTGTCTCATATTCCCATTTGTTTGCTTTTCTTCTCCTGTCAATATTCCACCATTTTATCATCAGTCATCAGTCGGAGCGGACACTCGTTCGGGTTAGAGGAGTTTCTGTTCGGTTCTCAATGCATTGGCAGCATCGCCACCATTTCCACTTCGACTTCCATTTCCTCTTTCACATCCACATCCAATTCAATCCTCCTTGCCGATCACCCTGAGGTATGCGTCGACATTCCCGAGATCCGCTGTCACCCAAAGTCCAACGGCGCATGAAATGCAGCGGGTGATCAGCCCTGCCTCAGCGGTGTGTATCGCGATTGACAGCAGCATTCCTTGCTCCATACTGTTGGTCGATCCAGCTCGAGAGGAGCCGATTAGCCATGGGCCGTGCCATTTCCTGCTTTGGGCGTGACGATCTGTCAGGGATCGCCGGACGTTGACCGGTATGGTATGCAAGGAGGGACACGCGTATAGCGCGGCTAGGAGAAATTCGACAAAGTTGGCAGTGGGGTCAGCAGAAGGGAATTTACGAATTTGACAGAGCGGACTCGATAAACGACAGAATTGATAGAGTCGACAGAGGAGGTGACACTTGACACAGTGAAGTTGACAGTTGACAGAGTAGTGTAGACTGTAGTCGGTAGTCACGGCGGAGTGGACGAGTGAACGAGTGGACCCCGCGCATTCCGCACTTCCCATCTGCAAGCTCCATCAACATCCACCACCACCACACCACACACACCACAACCATGGCCGACCAGGACCCTTCACCCACAGACATCGCTCAGCGCGACATCGAGGAGAAAGAGCGCAAGGCTCGTGAAATCGCTGAACAGTCTCAGCTCCCCTACAAGTGGACGCAAACCATCCGCGATGTCGACGTGTCCGCCCCAATCCCCGCCAACATCAAGGGTCGTGACATGGAGGTCGTTCTGACCAAGAACAAGCTCAAGGTCGCTATCAAGGGCCAAGCGCCTATTATTGAGGTACTGTTCTAGTTATACCAGCTGTCACTACGGCTGAGCTACCCAACGGCAATGCCAAGTCAATGCTAACGCTCTGCCATCTGCAGGGCGACTTCCCCCACTCTATCCTCGTCGACGAATCTTCCTGGACCCTCGAGACAACCCCTACCCCGCCTGGCAAAGAAGTCAACATTCATCTTGACAAAGTCAACAAGGTCGAGTGGTGGCCCCACGTTGTGACGGGTGCGCCCAAGATCGATGTCACCAAGATTCAGCCCGAGAACTCCAGTCTCAGCGACTTGGACGGTGAGACGCGTGCCATGGTTGAGAAGATGATGTACGACCAACGACAAAAGGAATCGGGTGGCATGACTAGCGACGAGCAGCGCAAAGCGGACCTGTTGAAGAAGTTCCAGGCTGACCATCCCGGTGAGTTATGAGTTATGAGTTACGAGTTATCGACAGGAGATCGATCGTATTGAGGAACTCATTGCTAACTCATGAGACTACAGAAATGGATTTCTCCAACGCGAAAATGGGCTAGGAACTGTATTGAAGTATAAGTATCAATGACTGCATCATACGAAATAACGAGAATGACATAGAATCTTGATCACTACTCTCCCTTTAGCCATCACTACATATTACATACTATACTATCATACTATTTCTATTTTTATTCCCATTTCCACTTCCACTCCCACTTCCATTTCCACACTTTTGCTGAATACGAGGTCGGGTCTGTTTTTGGTCTAGCGTGCCCGTGACTCGACGAGGCGAACGGCGACGGCGAAAGGCGCTGCGTCTTCTCCGCTGTTTCTCTCTTCTTTCGATCTTCTTTAGACCAATGGATTGCATCGCCTTATTCCCGGAATCTACTAGTATTTCTCGGATGAACGCCTGGTCCCCACTCGTTCGCCCCGAGTCACCGGGCGCACCCGTACTGGGCACCACTGCCGGCGTCTGATATAGATCAACATCGGATAGTATCATATCGCTTATAAGGTTACCATCTTCAGCCCCAATTCAACCCAACCATCCCAACCGGCTCTCACGGCATATTCCCACGATCCCGCACCGGTCTAGATCGTTCTGACTCATTTACCGAACCCTCCAAAATGCGCCACACGCAGTCCGACTCATCGGGCCCCATGCAAGGGCATCGGAGCGTGTTCCGGGTGCCCAACTACAAACCTCAACCAACCGCCTCGGATGAACCATCTGACGGCCTAGCTGAACCAGTCTATCATTCCCGTCGGACGCACCGCAAGTCCCGCGCCGGCTGTGCTGCCTGCAAGCAGCGCCGAGTTAAGGTATTGGAAATATATTCCTACCCTATCCGAGTTCTTACCCTATCCCCGCGTCGATCTACCTGACTCGTGGGGCGTCCATTGATTCTCGACTCTCCTAGTGTGATGAAACAAAGCCCCACTGTCTCCGCTGCCAAAAGCATGGCGTCGAGTGTAACTACTCGGCACCAGCTCGGAGCCGACCAGCCAAACACATCATCAATCGGTTCCTCGAATCTCGGCCTGACCTGCTTTCCGTAGAGTCTCTGGCGTCCTCGATGTCCCTATTAGTGGTGGCGGAAAAGTTAGGTGAACTACTACGGCCAGATTTTTTATCCTCCAGCCCAGATTCGTCCTCCTCGCCGCCTCCTGCTCGAGCGCTGGAAGCCTTACATCACTTTCACCATGTTACCGTCGCGAGCGGCCAAGCGAACTCAGAGCTTGGCGTGATGATGGGTAAAGTGGCCCAGCTTGCATTTGAGGTAAGATGAGAATTATGCCACGTCCAAGAGCCGGCAAAACTACTTCCTAGATCGATAGCTAAACCTATTCGCACTCTTCATAGTCCCCGTTATTGATGCACAGTCTGATTGGCGTGGCTACGAGTCACCTCTGCGGTGTTTTGCCGAACAATAGCTCCTACCGCGTTGCGGAATCGTACCATTGGCAACAAGCTATTCAAAAGTACACAAAGGAAGTATCATCCGGACTAACGGCGAAGAACATGGACCCGTTATACTCCGCCTGCATCATGATCACAATTCACAGCTTCGCCATCGAAGAATTCAATCCTCGCTCTTCGTTCGTTTTCTCGGATGATCCCGCGGACCTGAACTGGCTGCGTCTGCAAGGGGGACTGCGCTACCTGCTTGAACGCACGAGTCAGTGGATGCCGGATAGTATGTGGTGGGCATACTTCATGCACTCGCACGACGACCAGAATCTCAATTATGAAGATGACCGGCCTGGCCGCGTTGATCTAGACCCGGATTTTGCAGATCTCTGTCATATCAATGAGGATTCTACCGTGGAGAATAATGCGTATCTCTGGCCGCTGCGGATGCTGACCAATTTACTTGCTCTTGAGCGTACTAAGCATAATTATCAGAAATATTATAATTGGATGGGGAGGTTGGAGCCTGAGTATTATGATTGTTTGTTGAGAAAGGAGCCGCCTGCGCTCGTGCTTTTGGCTTGGTGGCTTGCGCTCATGACTGTTGCTGAGGAGTGGTGGATTGAGACCCGCATTCGTTCGGAGTGTACTGCTATCTGCATGAAATTGGAAGATAGTTGGGATCCCGTTTTGTTACGATTGTTGGAGTTTCCGGCCGATTCTTGTGGGTATCTTCTGCGGCATGTGCAAGAGCGGAATGTTGAAGAAATATTGGAGAATCCGCTGTTGGCATAAAGCATTATTTCAGTTGCCGTGATTTATTGATGAGATGATGCCAGTGGTTTATGAAATTGTTAGATACCCAAGATTACTAAACTATAGTAACACTGCATTGGAAAAGGCATTGGATTATTCTGGCTTCAAGTTCAAGTTCATATATTGTATTTCTAACCATATGACCATAGGGCTGCTCTTTAAGAGCCCTGGAGTCTAGTTCACTCCCGATCACTTGATTCTAGAAAGTTCAAGTTCATCCTATAATTAAGTATCAGTAAAATGCACAATAAAATACCATGATGCCACTGCAGTGATTGAAACTCACCTCCAATTCCCCCGGAATAATCAACCCCTTAATAGCCCAACTGTCCACCTTGGGATATCCGCGCATAAACTCACGATACTGCGGCGCACCAGGTCGGAGGATATTATCCGCCACGACCAAAGCACCAGACCGCAGAAGACCCAAGCTCTCGCAGACCTGAAAATCAGAAACATAAAGATCTTCAACATGATCCAAAAACAGCAGGTCGACATGATTGAGCACACCCTCAGAATGAAGCTTTCGCAACGAATCCGCCGCTGATCCCACAACGACCGTGACAATATCACTCAATCCAGCTAGATCAATGAGATTTCTCGCAATATCCGCAATGGCAGGATCAAATTCCAGACTGAGGAGTTTCACATTTTGGCCTGGCTTGCTAGTCTGACGCATAGCGTGGCCGAAACAGATGGCAGAGTATCCGATATACCCGCCCAACTCAACGAAAACAGATGGTTGCTCTTTAGCAATGATATCACAGAGTTTAACTGCTTTGTCACTGCCAATGTTTATGAGAAAATCCTGCTGCGCGGCGAACTCGTCTATGACGGCTAAAATGGCGGGTGGTGAGTTGCGGAGTTGAGGGAGAGAGGGGTGGTTGTAGATGTATTTGAGGAGGGCGGCTTCACGACCATCGTGGGATTCGGTGTAGTCCCCGTTAGCGAATTTGGCGAGAGAGGGATATTTGGCAATGAGGTCTGGAGAGAACATGTTCAAGGTGATTTTTGTTTTCAAGAATTCCAAGGTTTGCAAGGGTGTTGTGTGAAGGAGGGAGAGTATAGTTCGGCTTAAATAGTGTGGGGCGAGCCACGCGGGCTAACTTATGACCGGTTCGAGTTGTCTTACTACGGTAGTATGTACTTCAAGCATAGTTAATAGGGTGCAAAGACTAAGTTAATGCAAACAAGTTGTTTGCACGTAGTGTTGTCCCAGGACTCTCATACTTGTAGAAATCCGTGATCGGACTCTGTCGGACTTCCGTCTCATTCTTATACAGTACGCTATCTGGATGAAGGATCTTAGAGACCAACTATTTCCAGCACCCTGCCCATGCAGTGTACTATATACTATATCTCTGAAATAATCCTTAGCCATTACTAGTATACTAAATATACAATATACAATTTGAGAGAAAGCAAGACTGCTAGATATTCCTCTGTTATCACGGTCATTCCAGCTGACTCATCCATACTCTCCAGCCAATGAGAAGACGTGGGGAATTTGGATGCCTGCGGCTGATTCCCTCCCCTCTTCCTCTTCTTCTTCCTCTTCCTCCTCCACTTGCTGTTCCTCTCTTTCTTTCCTCTTCTCTTCATACTCTCCGAATATCCAAATATTCAGAGCCTGTGACCTAAGGCTCTCTTTGAGTCACTGCTCCTCTACTATCTGGTAGAAAAGGCGGTTTTATCTTCTCAATTTCGATAGGGTCCTCGCGCATTATCCCGCTCTTATCGGAAATGCTCTAGCCCGAGACTCATTGCAACGCATTTCTTGGGGCATTTCTTTCTTCTTTCTGCCTTCTGAATTTACATTGTGTCCGACGTATTTATTATACTATCTCCCCAATAAACACAGGAGAAAAAGCAGGAGAAGGAAAAATCCCCGCCATGTCGTTCTTAGCCAACCTATGCGGTTGCTTCACTCGCAGCGACACAACTCCACGACCCTCCAACCCGGAAATGCAAAGCCGGGCTCCCACCCACTTGCGCAATGGAGTTCAAACTGGCCAGTTTACTCTCTCTGACGAAGGTCACTTCATCCGAACAGATCATGGTTATGGTCATGCCCATGGGCACGGCCCTCCGGCTGACTCGGAGGTTGGGGGCTATGCCACCGTGGTCCCACTGCCACAATACACTCCCCGCCCCATGAGTGTAAACGAGAAGACCTTGGAGTCTCATCTCCGGGATCCTTCCATGTCCTCCAATTCCAATTCCTTCGACCCGGACGAGAAGAATCGTCATCTATACAACGAGGATCTCTCATCCGATGCCTCGTCAATCATCTCGTATCCAAGCAGCTATGGAAATACCTCCACTGCGACACGAGAAACTCCTCCACCTCCGTATTCCCCCGTCAATCGGCACAGCTGACCCGAACTCGATCTGTTTCTCTATACTCTATGTCATCGACGAGGGGGATCACAATCAATCCACCGCCCATGGCGAGATTGAATGGGGCGCGTACTGGACCACCTCCTCCATCAGACGGCGATGACCAATCCATTCGTCGGCACCGCCGGTTATCCTGGGAAAGCCGGTGATAGTCTAAGACTCACTGTCTCCTTCTTCTTTTCCTATCTACCCTTTCTCGACGCTGGTAGTCGATTAATGGAAAACAACCGAATCGTATCGAGTTGTTTGGGGCTACAACTACACCATCATTAATTTTTGCGCTCTGCTTTTCTTTCCTGCTTTTTTTTGGTCCTTCTTATAAGGAATCACTGGCATATGACTCGACGATAAAGAGATTCTTCTAAATCTCGTTACGACCTGGAAGGATGGGATGTATCATGTTTAGGATACTTAATATTGGGCGCTATTTGGATACAAGGTCAACCGGACATATTGGACTACTACGTCAAACTATACCTGCACATACGTTGCATCATAATAAACCGAAAATTTGGAAACTTTGGAAACTTCAAGTTTTATTCATACTTTGGCTACGGATCTATTCTCGCCCACCTGGGCAGCTCTAAGAAGTAAATTCTACCGAGACTGGGTGTTCTCAAGGTTACTTTCGAGTGTTTGGCTTGAGCAGGGCAGTCTCGCATGGTGTGACTACGATACTTCAACTTTTCAGAAGAGAATAATTGCCTCTGCGTATTCCGGGCACCTGTACGATTGAAACACGTTGCATGCCATGGATATGCCTTCGAAAAGAACTCATCTGTTTCTGTTTCTGTCTGTATAGATCCCATTGATGCCTCAGGCAGAAGTATTGTGATAAGATAAGGCTGAGTCATCAGGTACCCCGCCGAATTCTTTTTTCTTTTTTGCCTTTTTATTTTTTACTTTTTTACAATTTGAGATCTGATCTGATCAAATTGGAATCTTCTCCTCTCTTTTTCACCCCACCCACTCGTTTCCAACCTCACCTCCACCATGACAATCGAAAACCCCCAACCCATCGAACAAACCGTCGAAGAAGTGACCCAAAATGTCCAACCCCCCCACCATCGAACCCGCACGCTCCCACGACCCCTCAAACAACATGAAGCGCAGCGACCCTTTCCAATTCGGCTCGCGCTTCCTGGAAAAAGGCGACGATGTCTACGAATTCAACGCATGGGACCACGTCGAACCAGATGACGAATTCAAAGCCTTCGCCGAAGGCCAATACGAGAAGCAGCGCGCGGCCCCGGTCTCGGATTTCGATCAGCGCCGTTTCAACAATGATCCGGCGAAATGGTGGGATCTGTTTTATAAGAATAATACGGACAATTTCTTCAAGGATCGGAAGTGGTTGCAGCAGGAATTTCCGATTTTGGAAGAAGTTACGCGCAAAGATGCGGGAAAGAAGGTCGTGTTGGAAGTTGGTGCTGGTGCTGGGAATACTGCTTTTCCTTTGTTGAGGAATAATGAGAATGAGGGACTTGAATTGCATGCTTGTGATTTCTCAAAGTATGCTGTTAAGGTTATGCGGGAGAGTGATCAGTATGATACTAAGCATATGGTTGCGGATGTTTGGGATGTTTCGGCTCAGCCGAGTGAGGAGCAGGGTGATTCTTTGCCTCCTGGGTTGAGTGAGGGGTCGTGTGATGTGATTGTTCTCATTTTCATTTTCTCGGCTCTCTCGCCGGAGGAGTGGAATCATGCTATTCGCAATCTTTATCGTCTGCTCAAGCCTGGTGGTTGCATCTTGTTCCGTGATTATGGTCGTGGTGACCTTGCCCAGGTCCGCATGAAGAAGAATCGTTATCTGCAAGAGAACTTTTATGTTCGTGGTGATGGTACCCGTGTTTACTTCTTTGATCCGGAACAGTTGACTCAGATGTGGAGTCAGTGGACGCCGGAGGGTGGAATCCAGGTGGATCTTGAGAATCCCAAGCCTGAGTCCAATGGCTGTTTTGAAGTCGTTCATATGGGCGCCGATCGCCGACTCATTGTCAATCGTGCTTCCAAGGTGAAGATGTACCGCTGCTGGCTGCAAGGTAACTTCCGGAAGCTCGGAGGCCCCGTCACCGAAAAGAAGGAGCCCGAGGCTTGAACTTGAAGACGATTGGTGAAATCTCGTCACTGAAGACCCTATATATCGAGCGGGGACTCAATAGATGGTCCGCTACGTCTCGCAACATCCATGCGATCGCCGCATTTGCGACAACTCTCCTGCTTCGCTTGCATTGTCTTGCGCCGGCCATGACACTGTTACTGCCCCTAGGGACTCCGACTAGGATCGGTTGCAGTCGCGAGCTTTAGACATTCCCTGTTGCCCTTGTGGGCCCCAACCCATCGTCGCTACATCCAACACTTTTACAGCGCACCCAAAATTTCATGAGAAACGAAAGAGGCGTTTTAGAATACCATAGACTTTGCATCAATTCATTACGATTGCCGGTATCTGGCTACTACTACTACTCATCTGGAATATGAAAGGAAGTCTGTAGCACTCAAAACAAGTACAATTGTACAGCAAGCAAGTCCAAGTCAAGCTGTAACCGAGAATAAGTCTGAAAGCGCAAGTGATGCGACGCAAGTAGATACAAGAAACGCAAAATGTGCAAGATCCCACCTCTAATATAAGCAAGGGCGAGGTGACCTCGGCGGGAGGGATCAGTCTTTGAAGAATACCAACTTCCTCAAGACAATTCAATAGACAATGAAACAAGTAAATGACTCCAGCCCATGCGGCAAAAAAGAAAAAAAAGGCCGATCAACTTTTTGACAGTGCAAAAAGTTCTATGAAGAAACTGTATACCACCCGCAGAGATGGTCCAATGTAGTCCGGGTCTTCATATGTAGTTGAGAACTGGGATGATAATTTCCATCTTCATTTATCGTGAAAGCATGTACAGCTGGAAGAGAAACGCCGGTAAAGAGGACAGTGGTGTTGAGCCACTGGATTACGACGTCAGGTTGGGGCATTGATCTTGGGCACGCAGGAAGGCGTTTGAGAAGAGGTCCTGCATGGCGCAATAATGGAAAAGGATTCCGCCCAGCACCGCCAAATGCCAAATGTTGTGGCTGCCACCAACGTAGTCAAAGAAACCGGGCTTCCAGCGCTCGGGAATCTTTGAGGCATAGACCAAGGCGCCGATAAAGTAGACGAGCAGGCTCTTCACAAGTGGAGCATAGAAATAAGCACACCACTCGAAACCACGGGTGTATGAAAGTTGGGCGAGCGGGGTGAATCCAGTGAGAGCTAGAGTGACATAGAAGGCGACACGGGCCCAGGCCATATCGTGGCGGTTGAAGGTCGGGTGCCAGGGAAGGATGATGCCACCAATACCCATGGACATGGTGAGGAGGATATATGTCCAGCGCGAGTAGGGCTCGCAGTAGAAAGCAGTATACTCGGTGGTGACGATCGAGGCGGCCACCAGCAGAGAGATGCCAGTATAATCGACGCAAGCAAATCGCTCCATCAAGGACTGAGAGGCGATGCTGTTCATAGTGTGCCAGACGGTACTGCAGACCAGGCACTTGCATGCAGCAAAGAAGAAGACGGCGGCGATCATGATGTCGGCCTTGGTGCTCAGGTGGAAATTGGTGTGGAGCGGGTAGAAGTAGAAGGCAATCGCCAAAACGATGACGAGACCAATGCCGTGGGACCAAATGTTGAACATTTCATTGGAGAATGTGAAGACGGATGAGACGCACTCCACCTTGGACGTCGTGAAGCGGTATCCTTTCAAGATGTGCGGGTTCACTCGCCAGGGGTCGGGAAGATCCGCATAGGTGATCAGCCGTTGCTCCTGGGCCAGCCGGATCGCCTCATCGACGCTGTCCGCGAGGGCCTGTCGAGCACGGCGCGCACGCTCCATGCCCTCGTCGACGACCTCTCGGGCGTGACCCAGTTTTGTGTCCATGGCTTTCCATCCGTCGTCCAAGGTGCCGTAGATGCCGCGATCCCGCACGGCATGTGCCTTCGACTCGAGTTCCGATAAGAACGACTCCATCAGACGAACACTTGCCTGGGCCTTTTGCTCGAGAGTCTCCTTGGTTGCCAAGGCATCATTGTATCGGTCCTCCAGGGTCTCGACCAGGATCTTGGCACGCTTCTTGCCGCATCCCATCAACTCACCCGAGGCGATGGAACACTGATCTCGCACGGCCTCGAGAGTGGCATAACCGCTTCGCAATCGAGAGTCGATTTGGACCATGTGAGACTTGCGATATTGTTCGATCCAATGCATTCGGCGTTCCAGCTCAGCAAGGAACAGTTCGACCTGGAGTATCATTGGTTAGCAGTCGGCCCCTTACTGGTAGAGGTTACACTTGTTCGCACTGGTTGCAGTGATCACACTGGCCCAGCCGGAGCATGACCTTGGAATCAAGAACTCACCCTGATGAATACTGTGTCGGCATCTTGGTAGTCACAGGATAGTCGTCTGGGAGCATGGTAGGAATGTCGGCGGCGTCGGTCTCGAATGAGGGAGGTTTCCTCTGTTGGAGTGGCGGTTGAGAAGGCAACCGCCTCGGAATATGATTCCATAGTCATTGAGGAAGATGAGCAGGCCATCCCGGAGGGAGAGAAGAGAAGGCGAGGTCAGAATGTGAGGAGCGATGTCGGCAAGTCGGCAATGCGGGATTTTGTGTTGAGAAAAGGTGGGCCCGTGGGGAGAGTGAGGGTGGGTGAGAGGGAGGGAGAGGGAGAGGGAGAGGGAGAGGAATAATTAGAGAATCAATATTCCTGGAGTCGTTAAGATAAAGGAGCGACAGGAGGGAGTAATAAATTAAGGGAGAGTAGTAGAATTAATCCCGGGGAGGTGGGAGTGTAACGAGGGGAGTGTAAGGAGTGTAAGTTGCTAAGTTCTTCCCCCAACGAGAAGGAGAACTTCTCTTCTTCACATGCGAGGAGCGGCCCGCCTGATTTGCCTTCAACCACAACCACAACCACCGAGTCACTCTGGTTCTTCCCTTCTCCACTT